ATGTTCGGAACACGGTTACGTAGCTGTTGCAGCACCGCGTCCCGCAAATCCTCCATCGCCAGCCTGTTTTTGCAATTCGCCTCCTGCTGATCAAAGCGACGATTGCCTCCACCGTCCCATATCATCCCATCATCCCGTCCAACCGTCGAACCACCGCGCCCCGTCCTGCACTGTGCCTCACTTACTCGCACGCACAGCTGCAATTAAACCCTCACCTTCACCTTGCTCAATGCCTAGCTCCAATCCTCCCGCAAGGCACGCTGTTATGTCAATGTCCGATTCCAAACACTGCGGAGGACCTGCGTGGGGGCATCGCCAATAGCCTCTTCCTCCGGCCAACCAGCCGTCGCGATTTCACAAGCTTGCAGATGGCGCCGTCTTTTGCCCCCCCGCTGCACTGCAACTCTGCAACACCAGGCTCGGGATTCTCGCACTGGATCCAGAAAGTTGGAGTCGCCCTGCTGTGCTTGGACTCCGCTGCCCCAAGGCATCCGTTGGTTTCGCATTGCTAGCCCAAGAGGCTTCGGCTATACTATTTGACTATGTGGTGCTCTTCTCCTTTTTCTTTTCGTGTCCTCCGTATTGTCCACTTTGCCGGTTATCGTGTCCTCTTTGACGAGCAACAGTCGCGGCCAACAAAAACGCCACTTTCGCACATCACCGCGGTTGACAAGGACAATAACTAATTATGCATACTGTAATAAATGATTACCGTCGCTTCGTGCGCTTGAAGATTTTCAGGATCTGCTCCCGCCAATCCCTGTCTCGGCTAATGGAATAGCCCTCAAAAACTGCCAGGGTCCTGCTCAGCAGCTTGCAGGCCGGGTGCATCGTCGCATGCTGCCGGGCTCGTGCAATTGGTGCGTTCGTGCATGCCTACGGAGAAAATATCGCCATGTGATCCGTTGTTGGCCGTCCGATGCACATATAAGGGTGCGTCGCATCTTTAAGACGCAATCACGCAACTTGAACGCTGATGGGTGTTTTGGCCGACTGAAGCTTCACCGAAGCCCTAGACTGCTCGGAATGGTGTCCTTCGGCCAACATGCTCCGTGTCACATTCAAGCACCAGACTCCCGTCGTATAATTTGACCAGTTCCAGTCTGGAATAGCTGGAAGCGAAATCAGCGCATGCAAGCTAAAGAGCACCAGTTAGATGTTTGCGCCTGGCCCTACCACCTCGTGTGAACATGTATTAGCCACGCCACATTTTGCGTAGCCAGCTGTGGTAGCTTTGCATTCTCTCAATCTATTGTTGCATGTGCGGACATTGCATGTGACAGGCAGGCGTTAAAGGAGCCGTCGATGAACACAGCTTGGACACATTTCCTGTACCTGCTGACGGCCTTGACCTAGGCAGCATTCAAAGTCCGAATCGCCTAGTCCTGATGTGACGTCCACAGCTTTGATTTGCCATGGATCTTAGGTTTTGAGCAAATTCGGCTCATGTGAAAGTGATTACCTCCAACAACTCCATCCTTGTTTGCTGTTGGCTTTGGTGTTGAATAAGCTTTTGTTGATCCAGCTGTTGAAATCCCTTTGACGCAATTGAATAAGTATCATTGTTTATGATACCTTGATCAGCCCAGGCATCCGAGCGCGGATGTTATTTTAATTGAATATTTCATCCACGTCAGATAACTTCGATTTCAATTTTCATTCGGAGAAAAAGGATAAAAGGAGACGTTCAAACACAACGATGCTATTTCTCTGCCTGGAGATGGAAAAGATGGATTCAAAGTGATATTAAGAGGTAGTGGATCATCTATATGGCTTTATGACTTCAGTAGCCGTCTGCTCATGATTCCAAGCGTCTACACTACTCTTCGTAAAGTAGTCATTGGATTTGCTGCTCTATCGAGGAAGCCGAACAGCAACATTTTCCTCTTATACTACAGAATGCTAGCAGGCAAGAATATTCGTCGTTTGGCTGCCAATACACTTAACCCTACCCATATGATATTTCACTGCTGTTGCTGTAGTAGTGACCTAGATCATAATTGTTTCCTTATTCCCAAAGTCTAGAATTAGGATGGTATCTCTTATCGATAGTCTCCCAGTGGAATTGTGATGATTGTTGGCTAGAAGTGATGGGATCCAAGCCTCCGATTAGCGTGTATGAGAGGCGATATTTCATGAGTTAATTTCCGACGAATGGAAGACGCAGATTTTAAATGAATGGCTGAGTCTTATGAGATTTCCCATCGATGAAGAGAGAGGCGCGATGCAGGAGCAGGAGCAGCTTTTTAATATTCTACGTGAGATATCCGATCCTTTGAAATGGGTAATAACTACACATAGTAGAGCTCTTACCCAATGTGATAATTCCCTTCCCTCAGCATGTCCCCTCTACATTCACCAGATAGCACACTTATTGCAGAGGATGAACTCAAGGAAGTCGGGCACAAGGGTTACTGAGAATAGTTAACATGTACATAACGATACAAACTCATGTCCAAAGAGAAATAGAGAGAGAAAGGGAGTTCTCTTTGACGGCAGAGTTGATGAATACAAACCCAAATGTCAGAAGCTAGACAGCTATGAGTCTCCCTCAACAGCGAAAGTCCCGTCAGGTAAGTAAACTGTACTGCCTGATGCCTCACCACCCACACAAGCTGCAGACGATACATGGACTTGAAAGAAACGAAGACCTGTCGATGGAGGAAATGATAATGTTGAAGTGCCAAGTGCAAGCTTCGAAAGTCGAAGAGCCTAGCATCCCTTTCACGTCTTGCTTGATACTTTAATGTCTCAATAAATCGCACAAGAAGACAAAGCCAAGGTCAATAAAAATACCCGTGAGGGGGTATCCTGCCAAACAATGCTCATCCGAGAGTAAATCGATCTGGTATTTAAGCTCGATGGGTCAGTAGCTGTATCAGTGGCAGTATGCAATCCGAATGAGCACTAGCAACCTACATTACGAGAACGGGATAGTTTAGACAAGTCACGCATGATCCGTTAGAGCTATTATCACTTGTTGAATAGGCATCTAACAAAAATAGAGATTCTGAGAACATATTCATAATTTTGACAGGTGGGTTCCAGGAAACTGATGACGAGCTAGGATATCGCACTTATCCTGGGATTGGACGAAGCAAGCATGGCAGCATAGCTTGAAGGGACTGCATTGTCTATATGGTGTCCTACAATGCCAATAGAGGTGGGCTAGTCCCCGGGTGTGAAATTGAGGGTGTACATACATTCTGTCCGGACGCGCACCCTGAATTTCACAGCATTTTTAACCGCACCCATGCTGTGAAATTGAGGGTGTGCAGTCGCACAGCTTCCAGAGTCAATTTCAAAGCATTTTTAACCTTACCCGGTAGCCTGCAGCAGGAGGAGCCGGACCAACCCGAATCTTTCTCGAGAGGGGCTATGAAAGAGATAGACATGTAGTCCATAAAGTAAAGTTAATATATTGTATATATTAATATATTAGCGCCTGGGATTAGCCATTTCTTCCCATACATACTTTTGCGAGATGTCCCGTCAAATCATGGCTGTCAGGATAAAAACTCTTCAAAATACTTTAAATGGTGTAGCCTCTCTCGGCAAGAACTGCATGTGTGACTCTGTTACCAACATCACAAACATAGTACTACGCTCTTTCATTGATATACCAAATTACAAAGATATATATAGTTATACGCCATTTGCTGCCGGGCGCAGAGGCTGCGTTGGCTTCAATTTGGCACTGGCTGAGGTAAAGATTGCATTGATTGAACTGATCTATCATTATCACTTTGAGATCGACTCCCCTGAGCCTGTTGTATACGATCCGTATTTCTTGGTTACACGACCAGTTAACTTCTACGCTGCTGCCACTAAAAGAACAAGTTGGCCCTCTAGAAGCATTACTTGAAAGGTTGCATACTTGATACAATGAAAACTACAAAATCCATATTTTAGCTTGAGATGGAAAACACAATAGCAACGTCAAGCGCGTTCTTGTTATGACCTAACTATTATAATGGTAATATTAAGGTGACCTATATTATAATAAACCAGGTTCCTACTGTAATATATTTTACTTGTTATTATTTTTCCTTGATCCTTAGAGTTGTAGCATGTATGCGGTTCATATAATGTTTTCTATTCTTGATTTTAGGCTATTATGCTTGTATCTCTCCCGATCCGTCCTGCTAATAGCATCCCAATAGCGATTTATGACCATGGCCTGGGGTATGATTTCATACCAAGATGCCTACACGTAGGCGCTCCAATTGGGTGGTTGCATGCCACTTGGCTAGCAATTCTTTAGATGTCGGTACTCAATAACCCGAGTCCACAATCCTCCGTCTACTGCCTTTTTGGGCATTGGATCGGAGCAGCCCCGCGAGAACCATGTCTTGGCTCCAGATGCTAGCTGCAAATATCCACTCTGGGGGAAAGGGTTGAGCTTTCGAAAATTCACATCATGACATTATCCGCACAGCCGTGATCGTGATTGAGGGGGTGTAGTGCATAAATAAGCTATGGCGGTGTCCCTCCAAATAGCATACCATGCAATTGGTTTCATTAGACACCAAGTTCTATCTGGATGGCCCAATTTCGATTCTCGCCAGTTTGTGGCTACAAGTTGGTGTTGGGGTTGTGGCTGGTAATACAACAACATGAAGGTTTCGTTACAGGTGCTGCTGTTGACAGTAAAGCGCAAGGCGGCAGACAACGCATCAGCATCAATGATGGCTGGCGATTCTGGCGCTCGCCCACGAACCCAGACGGTCTGCTCTATGACGAGCGCCCAGACACTGTCAACCTGACTGATGTAACCATTTTGAAGCCATGGGTTCTACCATCTGCCAATATGTTCATCCAGGACCCTGCGAACCACCACAAGCGGCCTGCAGAGGAGCCAGACGTTCATATCCCTTATGTTAAAGCCTCTTTTGACGACAGCACCTGGGAGTCGGTCAGCTTACCACACGACTGGGCTATCGCTGGACCGTTCTACACCGACGACAACCCAATTGTCAGCGGTGGAATGGGCAGGCTACCCACGTTTGGTGTGGGCTGGTACAGGAAGACAATATCCATGTCTCACGAGGACAAGGGCAAAAACTTCTATCTGGAGATGGATGGTGCCATGTCCTACCCCATTGTCTGGGTCAATGGAAAGATCGTGGGTGGTTGGCCATACGGATACAACTCGTTCCAACTTGACCTCACGCCGTACATGAACGTCGGTGACAATCAAGTTGCCATTCGTCTAGACAATCCTAACGAATCCTCCCGCTGGTACCCTGGTGGCGGTATCTATCGAGATGTCTGGCTCATTACAGTTGCCTCTACCCATGTCGGCCAATGGGGCACGTTCATCACGTCCCGCGACGTCTCTGCTCGATCCGCTACACTTGATCTGGCTGTTGAAGTGCAGAACAACGGAGATACAAAGAGCAAGATCGATGTCACAACAGATGTTCACGAATACGATGCCAAGACAGGCCAGATCGGCGCCAAGGTAGCAGCGTTTCCGCAGTACACCGTCCTCGTTGCAGCCGGCAAGACAGCATCGCACACAACCACGACTGCTGTGAAGAAACCTCTGCTTTGGGGGCCGCCACCATTTCAAACTCCAAACTTGTACATGGCCGTCACGAAGTTGCACAGTGGCAGCCAGGTAATCGATACATTTGAGACACGCTTCGGAATCCGCACCTTTGCATACGAGCCAAACAAGGGGCTCATCGTCAACGGTGAGCATATACCCATTCGAGGGACGAACCAACATCATGATATTGGAGCCCTCGGCGCAGCGTACAATCACCGAGCGCAGCAACGCCATCTGGACATACTGCAGAGCTTTGGTTCGAACGCAATCCGCATGTCCCACAACCCTCCTGCCCCTGGCCTGATGGACTTGGCTGATGAAATGGGTTTCCTCGTCATGGATGAGATATTTGATTGCTGGGTGCTTGGCAAGACGACCAACGACTTCCACCTGATCTTTCCAGACTGGCATGAGCCAGATCTTAGGGCATTCATCCGCCGCGACCGCAACCATCCCTCCATTTTCGTGTGGAGTGTTGGTAATGAAGTCGGAGAGCAGCAGACTGGCGACGACGGTGCCAAGGTTGCTCAAGAGCTCGTCGACATTGCTCACGACATGGACCCAACCCGTCCGGTGACGGCGTCGATGAACTCGGCGCATCCTAACCAGCCATTCCCAGTGGTCATGGATGTTCTGAGTCTCAATTATCAGGGTCAAGGCATTCGTGACACGCCAAACTATTCTCAGCTTGGTGGTATCGGGACACCTCCTGCATATCCTGCCTTCCACGGCAACTTCAGCCGCAAGATGCTGGAGAGCAGCGAGAGCGCTTCGGCCCTCAGCAGTCGAGGAACATTCATCTTTCCCGTCTTGGAGCAAGGCGACAGTGCTCCGGTCAATGACACTTCGGGGGGTAATTCCACCACGTTCCAGGTCAGCGCGTACGAGCTCTACAGCGCTGACTACGGTTCCTCCGCCGACAAGGAATTCCGGTCACTTGATCAGAACCCGTATGTCGCTGGAGAGTTTGTCTGGACTGGGTGGGATTACCTCGGCGAGCCGACGCCGTACAACGTCCGTAGCTCATATTCTGGAATTGTTGATCTGGCCGGCTTTCCCAAGGAACGGTTCTACATTTACCAGTCGCGCTGGCAGCCTGACTTGCGCATGGCCCACATTCTGCCGCACTGGACCTGGCCAGATCGTGCTGGCAAGGTCACGCCGGTCCACGTCTTCTCCTCAGGCGACGAGGCCGAGCTTTTTGTCAATGGGAAGTCTCAAGGCCGCCAGACAAAGGAGCCGCTTACCTACCGCTTCCGCTGGGACAAGGTAGTCTACCACCCTGGAGAGCTGCATGTCGTGACCTACAAGGACGGAAAAGTATGGGCCAAGGATACCGTCCAGACTGCGGGCGAGCCTGCGAGGTTACGTCTTACGGCAGATCGCTCGAAGATTACTGCAGACGGCCTTGACCTATCCTATCTCAGTGTTGAGGTGCTCGATCACCAAGGACGATTCGTGCCGCAGGCAACCAATGCCATCACATTTTCCGTGTCTGGTGCTGGCCAGCTTGTGGCTACAGACAATGGCGATCCTTCAGACTATGTTTCGTTCCCGTCTCCCAAGCGTCATGCGTACAGTGGCCGGGCACTTGCCATTGTCAAGGGTGAGAAAGGGCAGCCGGGAAAAGTAGTCGTCGAAGCCTCTGCTGATGGTCTTGCGTCTTCAAAAGTTACCCTCCATACCATTTCATAATAAAATCGTATAAACTTAGTAAAAGACCTATTCAAATATTGAATGATGAAAATAATAATAGCTTATATAATGATTTTTTCAATATAAAATTTAAGCTATTAAGGTGCAAAGGCAATAGTGTTAGCAGCCTAGTAATTATTCAACTCTATGTTATTTATCCAAGGTACATAACTTTCTTAGATCGGGTCATAACACATAGTAGTACTTTTCACCAGCCCCGTGTTCTGTACTTGCTAATATAGGTTGCGCATTCCCAACGGCGTTGACGTTATCCATGCAGGGTGTAGTTCAACAAGGACCGGGCTTGGAGATGCCCTGTTTCTCGTGGGCCATCTCCTAGGGTAGCACTACTGAGATTATCCAGATCGCCGAAGAGTGAATGACGCTGAGAGACTCTTGAATAGGGCCTTAGCTAATTACAACAGATTAAAGGGGAAATATCCTTCTCTAGTATATTTAGTGTAGCACGCGGGAGTCGGAAACTCGCAGGAAGAAACTTGTCAGCGAGACTTTAAGGTTGTTGTTATTGACATTGATATATTGTGGGCTCACAGAGGTATCTGCTAACTACGCAATACCTACGCATCCATCAAAAACAAGGTCAAAGAACTAAAGGATATTATGCATATTGGCCATTAATCTGCAAATTAAATATCTTCTCATACAGTTGCCTGATACCATCTTGTATCCTCAATCAACCTTTTCCCGACTGCCGGTTAGTGGAGGATCATGATGGAAGCCGGATGTGGCTCCACAGTGAACCCCTGTCAGCCCAACTCCGAAGTGGCGCAACAAACCGCCGCTTCTATCCAATTCGGCAAGGAAATTCTTCTTGGTGGGCAACTTCAGCATCTCTCTCAACTCCTTCGATTCTGGGGGCAGGCCTACCGGGCACCTCAGCGCGCAGTTGGCGCATTGGACAGAAACCAGCGACAGATTGAAAAGCATTCTCCGGCAGAATGAACGGGCTCAGCTATTCGAATGCTTCTCGGTCGCTGCTGAGGGCCGCGCGGGGCATTTCGAGACAGGCTGCGACATGCTCGACTTCGACCTCGACCTCGATAGCGAATATCACAGCCTCACGATGGATGTCATGCTGCCATTTCCAGGGCCCTGGCAGAGAAGCGCTGAGGCGGACCGAGTGGACAGGCTTGAGGGCAAGCCGACGCCTTGATGGCGGCCGCCGAACCTTCTTTGCGCCCAAGACTATTCGTGACTACGAAGAGCTACCGAAAGACTACCGTGACCAGACCGGGCTTGCTTTCGGCGGCAGAGATCTCTCCGGGGCCGAGGTGGACAAAATATTTGGCAAAGGAATTGGTGGTAAACGGGCAAATCATTTGCTACGGATTTTGCATGGGAGAAGAGTGGCTGGGACACTGGAGGATCCTGCATTTGCGATACACACGGCGCAGTTTACAGACGAGGAAATTGCCAGAGCGTTGGCATATCTACGGAAAACTGTACCTGTGGAGGAGATTAGGAACGCAGGCCTACGAGCAGAGGATGAACTGGAGCACATGGAGCAAGAGATGGAACAGGCGGCTGCGAAGAAGGCCAGGGCGAGCAAGGGAGACGGCAAGGAAGAGGACGATGTCGACGATGTTTACAAGCCCGATCCCATCTATGGTCGCAGCAAAATTGATGAGCTGCGAGCGCGGACCAAGGCCCGAGAGAAAGCCAGAGAGAAAGCCCTGGAAGAGGAACGCAAGGCAAAGGAAGCTGTTGAGGGCGTCTCAGGTCCATTGGCGAAGCGAGATGATCAAGTCCGAGAGATTACCAACCCTCGTGTGGCGGAATACTACAAGGCTGCGCAGTCTGACATGGAGGCACCGCCAGAGTTAAAGCCTTGGGAGCGAATTCTGCCTTCTGCTACCGTGGTGGCCCTTGTGCTCGGCTTCATCGCTGCCGTAGCCATGGTGTACGAGGAGCCAGCGCCGCGTTACAGGTTGTTCCGAGAGGTATCGACATCGCATGCTACGGTTGGTGCCCTGATTGGAATCAATGCCCTGGTGTACTTGGGATGGAGGATACCGCCGCTCTGGGCTCTCTTCAACCGATACATGATCTTTGTTGTGGCGACCGTGCGGCCTGTAACGCTGTTTACCGCGGCCTTCTCACATACCAAACTCAGCCACTTGCTGGTCAACATGGTGCCTCTTTGGTTCGTTGGAACGTGTTTGCACGATGAGATTGGGCGTGCGGATTTCCTTGCGCTGTACCTCGGCTGCGGCTCTATGGGTTTCTTGGGCAGTCTGGTCACGTACACGCTCAGGGGCTGGCTGACTGTCACATCCCTTGGTGCGTCGGGCGCAACTCTGGGACTATGCTCGGCTTACTTTTGGGAACACCGCTCCGATGGTTTCAAGATCTTTGGACTGCCACAGGACGGCGTCCACGGCATTGTCTTCCTGGCACTGATCACGGCCGTACAACTGGCTGGCCTGGGGAAGACGGTGAAGCTCAAGGTAGACATTGCGTCTCATATCGCCGGTATCATTGCGGGTATACTGGGAATCGAGCTCATTAATAGGACAGAGAGGAGGAAGACGCCCGTAGGGGAAGACAAGGCCGTGATAGATATCTTGTCTGGAGAGGCGGAGGATCGGAGGATGACTGATGAGAAGAAATAGAGGGCTCTGGATATAGAACCAACTGTATTCACCTATGTAACAACACTACTTTTTTGCATACAGGAAGCATGAGAATTGCCGGGAAGTGGTTCGTGACGGTCAGACCTTTGACATGTGCATAGCGGGGGACTGCACTGACATTTGAGAAGTTTGCTATTCAACCAGCATCATTGTCACTGCTGGTTTGGATTCTGTGATTTGGAAGCTCTGCTAGGTAATAATCAATACCCAGGCATTCGATATGCATCTTCTCCAATACCACATAAATGCGTCATTCTAGAATTGCGCTCTCTGCACGCTGCCGAACGCGCATTGCAGATGATATAATATGCGGTACGTACTGCATTCCCAAGGTACCGATTTCTGGCTTGCTGCAGCCCGTCGTCATCGTCTGGGAGAAAATGCAAAACGGAAAGCGCCCCACTACAGAATGCTACCCTAGCTAGTTAGCGCGGCTGCAGTTTCCGGGCAACGGCAGCGTCATAACAGACCACCTTGGCAGGAACAAGCCGGGGGCCCCACTGTATGTACAAGTAATTGCTGTGATGAGCTGGCAGGAGCTGGGCTGGGCTTCAATTTGGGCGAGGGAGCGGAGGGTTAATATGGACGTGAAGAAAATGACGATATCCTGCTGCTTCTTTTTCTGCATCTTTTTGGGGAGATGCGGGCGTGCATTAGTCGCTTCAATTTTGCAATTTTCACTTTCTTCTTCTAAACTCTTAATCTTATTCTTCTCCCTTTTCCCCCATGTTAGGTTTCGTGCGTTTTCAACCTTAACTGTACGGCTTCTCTCACCAGGCACGGCACAAAAAACTGGAACACAATGGGCTGGATCGCCATTGGGTCCCAACCTCTGTTCCGATAAAAATCTGCGTTCCAGGGCTTCGCGTTTCCCGTTTCACGCAACTTGGGCTCCGACACGATACACGAACGCGCTTGGCGCCACTGATTCAACCGTCGTGTGCCAGTCAAGCCTCACCTCGACAAGGCTTTCTTGGACAGAAACTACCTAGCTCCGGCCGAGGCTGCAGAGGCGATTCGACTGCCAGGTTTGCTTTGTTCCGTGACTGGCATAAGCCTCAGCCCAGCTCACCTTGCGTCGTGCCTCTTCCTTCGCGAAAAGGGAACTCTAAAAGCAAGCCCCCTTACGCCTGCAACGCTTGCAACGCCCCACGCTGCGCTAAGATTGTCGCTGCACGTTCGCGTGCCGGGCTTTAAAACAGCAGCTGGAGATTTGGCTGCAGGTTGGGGTACTGGCGGTGGCCCTCTCTCCTCTCTGCCACTGGTTACTGGCTCGGGTCTTCACTCGTCTGCCCACACCCCCGAAACTCCGCATCTGGACCTGCAAAACCTTGGGACGCAAAGTCGCCTCAAATTCGCTCTTTGAATCCTGCACCATCGCGTTTGCTCAAGGCTGGATGTAGCCGAAAGACAGCACAAATCCAAGCTGAAGAGAAGGAACAACTAAAGACCGAGAAGAAAGAAAAAGAAAGCCGGGATTTTGTCAGCTGCGAGATGGTCTAGCCTGGGTTCGCAGTGCACCTGAATTTTCTCTTTTGGACGACCTCGCGCGTCCTCGCGGCAACTCTCTCCCTTTCCCCTGCCCCCTTCCTCTTTCTTTTCACCACAAAAGACCGATCGACTTTAGATCCGACGACATCATGGACAACCCTTCAAGTCCTCTATCCTCTCCTGGCGGCTCCCCGCGCGAGTCGCCATCGTCACCCCTCTCGACCCTCTCAAATACGCCCTCCCTGCCCGATATCCCAGTTTCTGCCGTCGACCTTTCAAGACGCTATCCCTCGCCCATGTCTACGACTGCCTCGGGAGCTCAATCCCCAATGCGACTGACGGCCACCATCAGTCTTGGCCAGCCTATGGACGACAATGATTCCTCAAAGAGCGCGGACGACGAGCAACCTCCAGCAAAAAGACGCAAAGTTTATCAGCCTAAAGAACGTACAACAGAATACTTAAACTACATGAATAAGGAGGACAAGGATATGACAGACGCAGAAAAAGCTCAGGAAAAAAGACTGATTGCGGCCTTGCGGAAGAAGAAGAAGATTGTCGTCATTGCCGGCGCGGGTATTTCCGTGTCAGCAGGTATTCCTGATTTTCGATCATCCTCTGGTCTCTTTGCGCGTGCCAAAAATCAGCACAACCTAAAAGGCTCAGGCAAGCACCTGTTTGACGCGTCTGTCTACCGGCATGATTCGTCAACGCAATATTTCCACTCTATGGTCCGGGAAATGGATGAGATGACCACGAAGGCCAGCCCTACTGCGTTCCACCGTCTGCTGGCATCATTGGCGCAAGAAGGACGACTGCTGCGACTCTACTCCCAGAATATCGACGGTCTCGACGCAAACATGGAACCGCTGACTACCAAGATCCCGTTACCCCTCAAGGGCCCCTGGCCGGCCACCATCCAGCTCCACGGTGGATTGCAGCATATGGTTTGCAGCAAATGCGGCAACGTGGAAAAATTCAACAGGGAACTCTTTGAAGGGCCAGAGGCTCCACTGTGCAATGCATGCACAGTCGACGACGAAGTCAGAACGAGGCACGCAGGAAAGCGAAGTCACGGCATTGGACGTCTGAGACCGCGATTTGTTCTTTACAACGAATACAACCCTGACGAAGAGGCCATTGGAAATGTCTCTAGTGCCGATTTGAAGGCTCGGCCAGATTGTGTGATTGTCGTTGGAACGACTCTCAAGGTTCCAGGCACGAGGAGACTCGTCAGGGAGATGTGCCAGGTTACGAGGGGCCGAAGAGATGGACTTACAATCTGGGTCAACACCGACGCGGAGCCCAAGGACGCGTTATTCAAGGACTGCTGGGATCTTGTTGTGCGCTCTCCGTGCGACAAGGTGGCTCACCTAGCGGCCCTACCACCGTGGGATTGTGATATCGGCAACGACTATCTCGTGTCTACAGAACAGGACAGCCAAAACCAAGAACGCCTCAGGAACACCAAACTTGAGGTTGCACTGCCTCTCAGCCAATTCAGCACTGATCACGATCTCAGCTTGGACGCCATTCCCACGCCACGACCCAGCCCTAAGCTTGCCGCCAAGAAGCGGATCGAGCTCCCTATTGGGAGACAACCTCCGCAGAATGGCAAACAAACCAAAGCAGCGAAGCCGCGCCCACGGAAGACGAAGGTGCCTGCCAAGCCCAAGGCGCCTCCCAAAAACGCAGTCACGGACACATTCAAAGCCGTCAAAAATGTCTCCAGGGGAAAGGCGTCAAAGAAACTCGACGAACGTCCTCAGCCTTTGTCGCTGCCATCTCTGAAATCAGAGCCTCTGAAAGTAGAGCTTGGCTTCTCTTATGATACCCCATTGAGCGATTTGAGCTCTCTACCTCCCTCCACCCCCGTCGGGTCCTCGCACCCATATAAAAGGGAGACGATATCTCCCAAGTCTATTCCTCACAACATGCAAAATCTGATTGATTGCTGAACTGAGGCGAGTTAAGGTTAGGATGTATAAATGGCATTGGTAAATGGAGTTTTGCCCCTGGCGGGATGAGGAGCGTTTTGCAGGCATACAACAGTGGATTCGGGATTTGGGTATATATACATGATTAGGCTGGGGTTATGGCTGGGTCTGGGGGCCAGAGCTAAAAAATAATGGTAAACTTATGCTCTTGGTAATAAAATACTAGGCACCTACTTTGATATAGAGGAAAACCAAGGTTCATTCGGCTTATTCGGTTTATTCAGGAAGATTTTGACAGGACAAAATCAGGCGGGAAGAGAGCACGGCATCAATGACAGTTTTAATGTTCATTATATTTATTCAAAGACGTCCGAGATTACCGTCATGGACACTATGATTCAGACACAGCATCAACCAAGCTTCATTTGCTGTATCCCTCAGTGTGATTTCACGCCTTATAAGGACTCCAAAACAATTCGTCACCATTCCACCTTTTCTGTACTCGATCCAACTCGGCCAGTCTCTCCTCATCGAGCAAATCTCGTCGTCCAGGGAGGAACCTCATCACGCCTGAATGCGTTCTCGGAGGAAGGCCATCCTGTTCATCGTCCTTTTGCAGAATAGCCGTGGCCTCGTCAAAGAATTCCACCAGGGCATCTCTGGTTTCGGGCTCAGTGCACCACAATACCCCAATAGAGAAAAACCCTCTGTCCCTGCCCTCGATGAATTTCCCCTTGCCTTCAGGGGTGGTGCCAAACTGGACGAGCTTAGAAGGGTTGAAGTTGTGGAACATGAAGGCGGTGCGAGCAGCGTCGGGATATCGTTCTGTCACGGCGAGAAATTTGGCAAAGGCGGCTTTGAGGTTTTGAGGGGAGAGGCGGGCAATGCGGGCAGAGGCCATGGATTTATGGCCACCGTGAGCGTTCATCGCCTCGACGCCGTTGTTAACGTTGGGGAAGGGGACTTGGACTGTATTTGCCATGAGGGCCTTTTCGACCAAGGATGGGTTGAGGAGGCTTGCTCCGGCGGGTGAAGCTTCTGCTTCGCTGGTAGGGCCATAGTATGTGCCTGTGAGGACAATGATGGGCTTCCCAGCAAGCGGAGTTCCGGGAGGGCCTCGAGTGAAGCCGAAGATGAGGTTCATGGGGTCTGGAGGCGGGACAAAGGCGAGGAAGGCATCGACGGCGGCATCGACGGCAGTTGTAGGGAATATCAAGGTGCGGCTCCAGATGCTGGGAGTGGCATCATCTTTGCTGGCAGGAGAGAGATTCAAGCTGCTCAAGGGGTAGATTCGCATGGTGACGGCAGCGACAACACAGAGACCGTGGCCAGCGCCGTTGAGAACATTGAATAGAGCGAGTTCATCTCCCGTGGAAGATGGTCCGATTTGGAGGATTTCGCCTGCAGCGGTAACGACTCGAAGAGACACGACGCTATCGGCCATCCAGCTCACAATGCCGTTTACGGATGTGTTGCCGCCTCCTAGCAGGCTTCCGACGACGCCGACTGCGTTTGAGTTGACGACGGCGGTGAAGTAGCCTTGATCGGAGAGCTGTCTTAGCAGGTCGCCAGTGAGGACGCCTCCTCCGAAATGGACTTGTTCTTTTTGTTTGTCTATGATGATGGATTGGAGATTCTTGAGGTCTAGGTACAACACCTTTGAATGGATGGGGAGAGCTGAGCCATGGCGGCCTCCAGTGGGGACGATGGTGAGATTGTTGAGGCGAGCGAATTTGATAGCTGAGACGACATCCTGTTCGGTGTTTGGGGAGATGATTATTGCTGGGGGGCCTTCGATGAAGGAGTCTGACCAACGTGAGAGGAGCTCGGGGGCGGAGGCTGAGGGGTCTGGGATGGTGAAGGGACAGGCGAGGAGGTTTGTTCCGTTGAGTTTGGGATCTGCCATGATGAGTTTCGGTTTCCTTCTTATTCTAGAATGAGATGTTACGGATGAGGAGGTTAAAGTGAAGCACAAAGAGGATGACGGTGATAGCTCCTTAATGTATGTAGCTCGATGGGTGGCTTCGTTAGAGTTAGCCGTTAGGTCATCGAGCTTGGGATGTAAGTCAGACCACGAATACAAACAATTGGATGAAAATGTATTTTGATAACTGACAAAAGGAGCAGTTGGTACTTCGAGGCGTTGTATAGCAGAAGCTTATAGTGTATATAGAATAAGCACTTGTTTCGGGCATCAGCAACTACTGTAGGCAGACTACCATCTATTTCCGAGTCCGACAGACGGCCATGTGGGATGAGCCGATATCCCAATGGATTGCATAAGATTATGGAATCATAAGCTTAAATACCGCGCTATAGGGGTGCTGCGGGTGTTTAGATAACATGTAGAATGAAGAAATTGCGGTGTGGTATGAGGTTTGATTGTCGGCTTTTGGTTGTGAGTAGTGCTGCGCAGTGCGGAGAAATACTGGTGAGATTACCGACGCAGTGAGACGAGTGTCATGAACTAAATTACTTCTGGGCTGTAAAACTAAATATATGCTGTTTGCTGATTGAATGAATAATAATAAGCCGCAAAAGGGGTAGTGGATGGAAGCCATAAAAGGGCAATGGATACCTGTATGGAGTGGCGGCTGGAATAACAGTCTCACTCAGAGCGGATACAAGCTTGATTGTTATTGGAATCAATTTTCATGCTATGTAAGTTGTTTCATTACAATGAATGTGCAGATTGGCCCTTTGAAGGGATACAGCAGCGAGATTCAGCCCTACAATTTGGAAACCAATCTTTTTTTGAGTTGAATCTCTCAGATAGCCTATAAGCTTGATGCACCGACATTTGGAGTTTCAAGCCACCAGCATCATACACCGTCAGTGGCAGAGTAAAAGGAAAGAGAGAGATTCGCCTTCCGATCGCTGTTAGATCACAAGTCATACAGAAAGAACTCACAGTCTTGAGACGAAAAACCTCAATACTCGTCTCGTAGCTTAAAATCGCCCGGCGATTGAAGTCGTCTTCCCAACGGCGTCATGTCCAGCAGCGTCAGCGTCGGCTGCACCTTTTCGCCTCCCCTCATGAACGTCGAGTACGTATGATAGATATTTCCATCCTTCTTCAAAAAGATGCTGAAGCCAGGAATGTCGCCCTTAAAGTCCGGCTTGAACCTCGCGTCTTCCTCCTTGAGGTCCTCAAAGTTGTACTGCTTGGGGGCCACGGCTTCGTCCAGCGTGGCATGGAAGTCGTAGTTGAAGTCGGATTTGCCGCTGGAATACCAGGGAAAGGTCCAGCCAGCTTTCGCCTTGTACGCCTCGATCTTGTCGATCGGGGCACGAGAGATTGCGACGAGGTTTGTGTTCTTTGACTTGAGATGGCGCACGTCGGGTAGAGATTCGCCCATGTGCGTGCAACCGGGACAGCCGCGGTCGTCTTCGGGCTTGAACATGAAGTGGTAGACGATTAATTGGTCTTGGCCCTCGAAAAGATCGTCGAAGGACACCGCCTTGTTGCCGGGGCCTTGGAAGAGATACTCCTTGTCTACTTTGACCATGGGCAGCTCGCGGCGTTCAGCGGCGAGAGCATCGCCCTTGTGCGTGTACTCTTTCTCTTTTTTGAGAAGAGCTTTGCGGGCAGTCTCCCATTCTTCACGACTAACAACCTTTTGATGGTAAATTGTCAGCATTTGGATGAGCTTTGAGATCGCCACCTATCAAACAACTCACTTTGCCAGGCATATTGACTGATGATAATGTCAAGTAGCTATATCTGACTGATTTCAGATCGTAGAATGCACCAGATCTGATTCAATTGATAAGGATCTTGAGCTTGAGTAAAGTGGCGATTGAAGGGATTTCCAACTCGAGAAGCTTCAGAAGCTTCCAGTTCCCGTTTTTATAGTCACTGAATCAAAGGATATTGCCATCAACAGCCTATACATGTTCACTAATCAATCGTCTTGATCAATTCTCTTCGAACTATGCTGCATGTACCACTTGGCAATCAGTTCGACGCCTGTGGCGTCCGGGGCAGGCAGACATGCCATCCATCTCAACCCGAAGATGCGTAACATGGGGGAATTCTCTAGGCTGCAGAGGAGGGGCTCCTAATAGATTTCGCAGTGGCGTCCATCCCCGGCGGCCAAAGAGGCGCTATGCAAAGGTGGTGATTGGGCATGGGGGAAATCCTGTTTATAAGTGTTTCAGTGAGGGGAACTCAAGCCGAAATCTACAAACGCTGATGTTGGAGCGCCGTGATAGCTGCCACAGTTTGTAGAGTAAAAATGTCACGACAGGTTGCATATGCGTGTCGGATTCGTTGATAATAGTGATTAAGTTGCTTTGTGAAGCCACTTGCAATATGACTTCAATCCAATGCATCTCCGACATTTTCGGTTCTGGGGCGCATGTTTGCCATGCCTCATTCTTCTAAATCTATGATGTATATCCTAGTTGAAGAGCTGTAGTAAGCTCCTATTACAAGTTCTCACTTATTCTTCTGCTTGTTTTTAAGCGTACGAAGTGACTTACACCGAGAGCTAGTATCACCTCTAATCATCACGCAGCGCAGTTCCATCTTTAGACAACCTTAAACTCTCAATTCCACAGGAATTAACAATAGTAGATTATAAAGAGTTGGCAATATATTATTCCACCTGCTTCCAAATAGACTCTAGCTGTGCCATACGCACCCAGTCCTCGGCTCGATTTGAATCCGAGAGCCCATTCGTGAAATCGTTCCAATATTGCTTCGACTGAACCCCATAACTCGTGTCGAACCATCCGAGGCTGCTACTCCCGTAACTGTACCCATCTCTCTGGCCGAATACGCTCGCCATTGCATCCATGCCGTTGTACTGAATGCTGAGCAACGCGTTATTCATTGCGGCTTGCTGCTTGATCTTTTGCATAGCGCGAATCACGTCAATCTGCGAAATCGTTTTCATGTATATCTGAACCCTCTGTAGACAGAACGCCTTGAACTGCTCCAGAGCGGCGTCTGACTCTTCGGACCCTGGCTCGCCGGAATTACACACCTCTAGCCACATCTCCCGCAAACGTGGCGACCATATCTGGCAGAGCGTCGTGCCCTCAATATACTCTCCGTTCAAGGGCAGCGAATCCGCCAACGGCGTGTAAGCTACGAAATCGAGATAACACTCCTGGCAGAACTGAGCCTCTGGGTATCCCCACCACTTCGTTTTGCTACACTCCTTGATCTTGGGACAAAAAGGCACTCCCGCAAAAGTCGTGACGAATTCTGAAAAATAAGAAAAGACTCCTCGGTCGAGCGCCTCCGCAAACTTGATTATGTATTGAGAGAAGCGCGGAGTCGAAGGGCAGAGGTCACACACGTAGGCACTGTCAGTATCTCGATCCGACGGTTGGAAAAAACGATCCAGGTCCCTCGTCTGGATATACCCTGCATAGCATGCCTCGCATATGTTGAACTTTTCGCATCCCCCCTTCACAGTCCACCAGTTTCCGTAGAGGATGCCGTCTGCTGTGCAAGGAGGGAGGCTGAAGATGACCCGCGCCGCTTTTATAAACACTTCAAGATCGTGCCTTTCTTTGGCTTCCCCTAATGCTATATGTGTTGACAGATTCCTGTCCGCCAGTCCACAAGTCCACATCTCCGGATCAAAGTCGTTGTCCAGGCGTTGGAACTCTCGTTTGAAGGGAGTTAGTGCCAACTTGTCCCAGTAGCATGTCTCGCAGACCCGAAAGTTCCTAATGGCGTGGTTCTTTGATAGATACCATTCAGCAGCGTCCGTCCGTATTTGCTCGCCTTTGCAGGCTGGAAGTTGAAAACGTTGGCTCGCGGTATTTACGAAACCGTTCCAGTTATTGTGCTTGGACATGGGAGCGACAGCGCCCGTAACATAGGAGACGCTCAAATCGCAACTGAATTTCGAGATTCCTTCAGGATAAGTACCGAACTTGGACTCAAAGCTAGTTCCAACAACATAATCCTCAATACAGGCTTCACACGCGGCAAATCCCTCAATGTCATTGTCCATCATGCCATAGATGACTCTGCCCTCGGTATCCTCAGTCATAGTCTGACCGGGACATTTCTTGAACTGCAGGCGCCTGGTCATGTATTCACGTAGAGCCTTCACGCTGTTTGTCCGAACAGCCTCGGGCCAGAGAACATTTTTGATACGAGGAAAACGAAATCCGCAGACGGCAAGTTCGCCATCGGGCCACTGTATCTTTTTGAACTGAGATTCAAGGGCAGTTCCCTCGATGTGATCGGCGTGGCATCTTGTGCATATCAAATAGTCTGCGGTGTCGTCGAACACGTCTGGGAGATAATACCAGTCCAGGGAGTAGTTGATTGCGGTGCCCCCGTGACATCTTGGGATAATGTCTAGCGTATCTCCGGTTCCTCGAACTGGATCAGCCGGTCGCGGGCCATCGTCTTCATGTTTATTTGATATATGCGGGGTTGCGTCTTGCTCTGGCGGGCGGAGGTTTAGATCGCTCAACTCTGCAGTGAGATCGTCAAAGGGATTGTGCGAAGCTGATGCCTCCGCCATAGTATCCGTGTTTTGTCGCTTATGAATATTACGAGCACGATACAAGAAGTTTTAGTATTTGACGACGGTTTGGGAAGTGCACAAGAGGAGACAATTGCGATATTTACTGGCGAGAGCGCTAACCCTTGGACTCAAGACCCTCGTGCGGCTGAACTCATCCGATGATAGCAAGGCAGATTCGCCATTGTCCCGCAAGGCAGTCCTTGTAGTATTTCGCATACGCGTATATGTTTGTGGCATACAGGGAGTACATGTGGCTTTCTGTCGCCCTGCATCTAAGACGAGGTAGACATTAATGGCTGCTCTTCCGATTTAGCCGGAAGATGCAGGAATTCAATAGTTCCAAATCCCATGTAGCATGTACCACCGTTATTACAAAGCATCATATTATCGTAAGTAAACTATGGAGCAGTATTTATATTTCGTTCACTTCCGTCAACAAAGAACGTACCTGAAGTTATCCATCGTGTTTACGCGCTGTGATTTGGAAAGTCTTTTGTTTAGATCTGCCTTGGTGGGTCGGGATGATTGGCCCCAAAGTTTGCTGTAACTTTATAATTTTTTCATGTGCTACAGGTCTTTGTTCAGGTGTGCATTTGTAGGTAGAGATGATTCTGGTCCAGGTTTCTTGTGGCATTAAGAGAGAACAAAAGGATCTCCACGACGAGCTCGGCAGGCATCAGAGTGGGCATAAGATGATGGAAAGTAAAACTATTTGCAAATGGTGGCAAGTCGTACAAGTTATGCAGTAATGAACAGCTTCTTGATTCCCTTCATGGCAAAAGCACTCGCCAAGGAAAAGGCGCGCCTTGGCAAAGATCTTGACTGACGAGCCGAGGATGCGCGATTGCAGGTTGCCAAGGCGGAGAGCTGCATATGCACGATCGTTGTAAATATATACCTGACCAATACGCTAACCACGGATGTCACCTCGTCATATATGGGGTGAAAGTGTGATCAAGGTGATTGAATTTCTGGAAAATGCAGGTTTAATTACAGGTTGACGAATAGGTATGAACACACATAGCTGACGTGACTTTGATATGAACATGAATTTGTGGTGGAGTTTGAACGATATGCTGGTAAATATAAGATTTAAGCTTAAATATAGCATTCATTTGAATTAACAGGTGGTTACATGTATGTGCACCTGAGCCAACGCAAAATTACCCTCCCGTTTATTCCAATTTTAAATAAGCATGCCGCGGTTTCTTACTGCCCCCGAAGATTGCTTAGAAGTGGTAATGGCAGTAGCAGTGGTTGTCGTAACCTGAACAGCAGTAGTTTTAGAACTGGTGGTGATGGGACCGGTCTTGGAGGTAGCAGTCTCTGCAGCAGACTTGGAGCTGGTAGATGCTGCTTTAGAGGCGGTAGCCGTTAGCCAGTTTCCCCTCGCTGACGATGCAGTAGGACCCGACGTTCCACGGCTTGCAGTCTAAGCCGACAGAAGGATTCCACTTGTGAAAGTCCTCGGGAGAAATGTCGAACCCGGAGCGGGTGTATTCGCAGGAGTCTCTGCCGATGTTGTTGTACCACAGGACGCAGGGGGAGATTGTGTTTGGATCATATTTGAATTGGGGCTCGTCGGTTAGTGGTTGCTATTGGAGACTGGAGGAGGTGTTTGCTGTGGCGAGGGCGATGGTGGAACTGAGCAGGAGGGTGGTTGTGAACTTCATTGTGAGAGAGTGTACGAGTCAAGTTTTTCTACGCAAGTGTCGCGTTTGGGGGGTAGGCATTAACAGTTGTAAGAAATGAGTGAATTGGGAATGCAAACAAGGAACGTTGAAGAAGAGGAAGACGAAGAAAAAAAGGAGAAGGGGGCAAAGGTGAAGACAACCAAGCTGGGCTGATGGTGACTCTACGAAGATGGGCTCTCCTTGGCTACCTGTAACAAGGAAGAATGAAGATGGTCACGCGACAAGATGACCGAGGTTTACAACCCAACACACAGTTGCATTTTTGAGGGATAAGCTAAATAAAAAAGTTTTCATCAACTCTATTTCTCATCTCACAACCCTGGCTTTGGGGCCTGTTTGCACGTGCAGCTTTCAGTAAACGGGGAAGCGCTTCACATGTCGAGGCCCGCCATATACCTGTACCTTGTCTACATGTACCCAAATTTCTCGCCGTCGGTGTAGCTTCACTGGCATTAACCAAAACGTTTACGGGCGCTGTCTACCTAATGGAGTCAAGTTCAGTGCTCATATTAGGTATCAATTAGGTACTCTTTTGGAAGCTTGATTTGTTGCTGTTGGTTGAGCATCTTGAAATTTCTTGGCCTGCGCCTCGGGCAATTTGCGAAGATCTGGATTCGCGGAACGAGCAGCCAGATGCGGCTAGCACTGGCAGCTGAATGCTTTTAGTGGGACGTGCGCTAAGCGTCCCCTAGACGATCTGCCGCTTTCCGCCCAGAACATGTGCTTTAGTGCATCTTCAGGGTCCAGGTCCCTAAGGGACTTTGGGGATGCAGTTAACGAAGCGGGCTCGACTCGTCTAGGCTCGGACCCTTGCGCCTCTGCCGTGCTCCGTACATCTACGGATAAAGCATCCATGGATCCATGGATCAATGATGTGACTCAACTCTCTTCTGAATATAATTTCTATCGAGCAGAGCACAGCCAGCTTCGCCGGACCGACTGCTTCCCTTGACCGAACCAAAGTCCGCGGCAATTCTTACTATTACCCACCCTCAGCTGTTGGCTGTGACATTGAGAATTTGATAGTCAGCTCACTTGCGGGACCACACATACGAAACAACACATTGAGTCAACAGAATCACTCACAATGGCCACTACCTTTCATCCCTTCCCGCGCCTCCCATCCGAGATTCGCAGCCAAATTTGGGCCTTGGCAGTGTACCCACGTCTCCTCCACATCCGCATAACTCCAAAGAAAGACACGCTTGGGAACAGCTACCTCCACTATGCCTCCATGATTCCACAGGCCGAACTCATGCATGTCTGCCGAGAGTCCCGTCAACTCGCCCCTTACCGGAAAGCCTTCTTCACCACCTTACCCGGTGACTCCGAGGCTCGGTACATCTGGGTCAACTTTGACGAGGACATGATCAGCCTCCAAGACGAGAAGTTGAGAGGGCTTGCCCCGCATGCGGCCGAGATTCAGCGGCTGCGGTTTACGGTGCCAACGGGGAGTTATCGTGAATACTGGGAGGACCTATTTCACAGATTTCCAGATACTCATTTCAAGATGTTTACGGCCCTGCGGGAGCTACACTTTGCTCTATCAGAAGGCTATGGGATGTGTGGATATGCGAACTATGGAACGTGTCACCCGGACAATGTTAGATATGTTAATGTCCATACGGGATGGATGTTGACTGAGGCCCAGGTGGAGATGGTGGATGAGTGGGCGTGGCGGAAGGGGGGGCTAGTAGAGGATATGGATAACTTTGATAGGGAGTTGGAGTGGGTGGTTGACAATGCCATTACTTTTATTGAAGATTGCGCAGAGGTAGACTAAGACATGCCATAGCACCTGATTGAATACATGTAATGGGGGGAGTTTTATTAGTAGCTTAATGTTCTTTGTAGATATTTGTACACGATGAAGTTTACATCTGACACGACTGAATAGCAATAATCTGAAAATTCTCAACCGTCTACATCCCGAATATCTCTCTCGCCTTCTTTCTCATCCTCATTATATACATCCTGCGGCTTTGTTGTGTGCATTCGTAAAAGCCGTTATGGCCGCTCTGTGCTCTCGGGCCTGATCACGAGCTTCTTTTTCGAGTTCAGTTTCCGTACGACCATCAACTGGAGCATCATAGAAATCCTTCTTCGCATCGTCCATCAATTTCTCCATCTGTTCTCTAGTACCCTTCCCAGCTTCCACGGCCGCGGCTATGGTCTTTTCCCAATCGACAGTCTTCCAATTTCTTGTGCTGTCAACAGGGTTGACCGGTGGATCGAGAACCTCTATTTTCACATCGATGCCGTGCGGTTTCAAAAACTTTTCCGCTGCAGCGATGAGGTAGGGGCCATGGTCGCCTATTCTGGCAGTCTTGATCAGGCGGCTGGTTTCTTCAAAACGTGAAAACAGCTTCTCGGTTGCATCGTCCAGGGATTTACCAGCTGTTGCGGCTTTGAGTCTAACCTCTACTGATGTTTTGGCCACAACATCTGAAATCTTGTCGATGGCACTCACGTAGTCCGTAGTACCATCTTTCAGTATCCTATATGGCGCCCAATTCTTGACCCCAGGGGATTTAAAAGCTGGATCCTGTTGATGTTTATAAAAGTTCTCCGCAGTCTTCTGGGGGTCAGGATCTGCCGTGTCTAGGGGCAACGGCTTGCCCGCGCTGTCTGCAACAAGCTGGTCATAGGGACCTACGCGGCCAAGTTGGTTGAGGAGTGCAGTCATGCTGCATCGTTTGCCTGGCCCAATTTGGCCTCGGCACGCCTTCCATGGATCATTTTTGCCTGTCTTAAGGCATTTCTGCTGAGCGCGGTCATATTTCAAGCAATAATACCCAAGAGTTTGGATGTTTTTATCGTTCAGCCCGTCAATTTGATAGGCGTAAAATAGCCACACACGTTCTAGTGCACCGGCGTAACCACCGGCCAAGACGCTGGTGATGAGCAGAAAGAAGCCTGCCAAGATTTTGACTTGCATGATGGACGACTTTTGGTGAAAGAATGACGGCTCTCCAACATGAAAAGGTTGGAAATGAATAAAGAGAGGATACCCAAGTCGGGAGAAACGGATGGAGGAGAAGCAGACAGAGCATCTACGAGCGGACACTCAATATGTCACTATTAATACATTCCTTTTTTTCATAGCGAAACAGTCCAGGCCAAAAGGCTATCACCGGTTCACATGGAACTTTTCACGATGGACCTGTTTGTAATAGCAGTTACATAGCCTCTTCGGACTGGAGTCACGGAGACAAGGGTCCTGATGCAGGGGTCCGCCAGTGGGGACATGTTCGCACAACCAACAATTCATGTTTAAATTGAAGCTTCGATGTAACCCTGACGGCCTCGTCTAGTAGTATTTTATCTTTATATCGGGCTTATGAATCTCATCGTGGATCTCATCGTGGATCTCATCGTGGATCTCATCGTGGATCTCATCGTGGATCTCATCGTGGATCTCGCCATGGATTGAGTCATGAATTGCAATTTCCAGGGACAAGACCTTTTGCTTGTGACTGTGCGCAACCAACAACGCCGAGCCGGTGGCCGGTCCGAAGGGCTCTTACAGGAGCCAAATGTATCTTCATGTAACTTCATGTCCAGATGATACTTGCAAACATACCGAGCATCATGAATCGGCTTATACGGAATGGCAGAGATTTTTGCCTCTGCCGGCCGACGGAGTCTATCGGTGGTCTTTCAGATACCAAGCTGCGTTGAATAAATCGACTTCCTTCTCTCTCTTCATGGCCACTCTCATCTGTCACTGTCAGTTTTCTCTCGTTCTTTCATCAACACACTCTTTTCTTTTCTTTTCAGTCAGTCTGCTTCCAGTCGTTTTCACAGCTATTTCTGAGCACTCTCATTCTGTACGGTTCACCTTCCTTCATCACCGGCTGAGGCCCGTTAGACCTCCCTTCCCTATCAATCATGGTGGTTTCTCTATCGTCTTGCCTCACCTCACTCCTTCTGGTAGCAGGAACGATAGCACCAACTGCTGCCTATCAGCATGAGCCTCGTTCAGACCCAGGCTTAGACGCGTGGCGTGCAGCAAATGATCGCACAGCGTCTCCCCAACCATGCCCCGAGTCGTGCCAAGATATTGACTCTGACTCTGGCGACTCTTCATGGTCCTGTTTCCTGATGCAGCCAGTCTAGGGGCTTGCAATGACACTATGCTGTTGAGTTTCAACATTCAGAAGACTGTCATCAACGGGGAACAGATACCGGTTACTGCCATCAGAGGGTGTAAGCAGACTATAGCTTCAGCTCCGAGCTGGAGAATTCGGCAATGTCAAAAGACGATGTTGCCGCAGTCTGCTCTACGCCCAATCATGATATAGTCCAGACTTCTGTCACTATTGGCGAGCCTGCTGACGCCACCGGCAGCGGCAGCAGTGCTTCTCTGGACGACATTCTCTCTGCGGGACACCAAGTCCAAAACCATCTGAGCACAAAGGCGCCATCTTGCACGGAGAATGTTTTAACATTTGGTTACTCTCAATCTGCTGTTGTTGGTCTCTTCGCCGGCGCTGAAGTATACCAGCATGGTATCCATGCCGACATCTTGAGCCGCTTTTTGCAAGATGTGGAAGACAAAAAGACCTCATCTGAAGTCCAGATTGTCCAACTCTGCCCTAGCAATGGTCGTGGAGCTGACTACGCAGTCGGAATCATTGTAGCTCCCGCCAATGATTTGGATCTAGTCCAAGAGACTGTACGGACCTGGTCAGATGGGAGATGCGTGGCTGGGAACTTTGAGAACTATATGACAGTCTCTCTGCGAGTTCCTGGTCAAGTCCAAGGCTCCAACAGCACAATCTCTTCTTCATCTCCCTCATCAGCGCTGTCAGAAGCGGCCCACGTCTGGACAAAGCGTAGACTGGCCGCGAGAGCTACTTGTAAAACCACTACGGTCAAACCTAACGATGGTTGTGCTGCTGTTGCCACGCGATGCAAAATCAGCCAGGCAGATTTGCAGAAATTCAATCCTGCCAAGAACTTCTGCACCACACTTGTCGTTGATCAAGTAGTCTGCTGCTCTTCTGGCACGCTGCCAGACCCTATTCCTCCCGCCAACTCTGACGGCACTTGTAAGACCAAGTCTGTTGTCGCTGGGGATTCCTGCACATCCATGGCGACAAAGTGCGGGCTCAAGGCCGCAGACTTTACCACCCTACACAGTGGTGACAAGACCTTTTGTTCGACCATGAAAGCTGGCCAGCCAGTTTGCTGTACCCATGGAAAGTTGCCTGATATTACCCCCAAGCCCAACAAAGATGGGTCTTGCTTTGTATATACCATCAAAGCAGAGGATGGCTGTGATTTTATTGCTGCGTCCCATGGGCTTACTAAAGCCAAGATTGAAGATCTTAATAAGAAGACATGGGGCTGGAATGGATGTGGTAAGGTGCTTATCAAAGATGCGCAGATATGCCTCAGCACAGGAACGCCTCCTTTCCCCGTATCTGTTTCCAACGCTGTCTGTGGACGCAGGTCCCTGGGACTAAAAAACCGACCTCTGGAACCAGTGACGACTGGGTCAAACTAAATCCCTGCCCTTTGAATGTTTGCTGCAACATTTGGGGGCAGTGCGGCACTACGGATGACTTCTGTGTCGCCTCTAAATCGGCGACTGGTGCACCAGGCACAAGCGCTATCAAAAATGGATGTAAGTTGTGATCAGTACACACAAATTCATGCATACAACGCCTTTTTTCTAACAAGCATAGGTATTTCCAGCTGCGGTAGAGACATCATCAATGGCTCGGCCCCGGCCAAGACAATGCGAGTTGCCTACTATGAGTCCTGGAACTCGAACCGCAAGTGCCTACACATGGATGTGGACGAGATTGATACAACACAGTACACGCATATACATTTTGCCTTTGCCAATGTCACTTCAACCTTTGGCATTGATATTAGCGGTGCTCAGGACCAGTTTAACCGCTTCAAGGCCATGCCTAACACCGTCAAGAAGATCATCTCCTTTGGTGGGTGGGACTTTAGCACTAAGCCGGGCACTTACAACATTCTACGCGAGGCCACTAAAGCTGCAAACAGAGCTACTTTCCAGAATAACATTGTTGCCTTTCTCAAACAGCATAACCTAGATGGTGTTGATATTGACTGGGAATATCCTGGCGTAAGTCACACTCTCAATTCCCACGTTGAGACCAGAATAAATGCTAACTCTTTCACAAAGGCCCCGGACATTCCGGATATCCCTGCCGGAGATGCTAATGCTGGAAAGGACTACTATGATACTTTGAGTGCTCTTAAGACAGCCCTCGGCAGCAGCAAGTCTGTGTCACTCGCGGCCCCAGCTTCCTATTGGTACCTTAAGGCTTTCCCCATTAAGGAGGTAGGAGCCAAGATTGACTACATCATCTACATGACCTATGATATACACGGCCAGTGGGATTATAACAACAAGTGGACTTCCCCTGGTTGCCCTACTGGCAACTGTCTCCGCTCTCATGTCAACATCACTGAGACCAAAGATGCCTTATCTATGATTACAAAGGCGGGCGTGCCGTCCAACAAGGTCGTGGTAGGAGTCAGTAGCTACGGACGATCGTTCAAGATGGCTCAGGCCGGATGCACAGGACCCATGTGCCAATTTACTGGCACCCCAAGAGTATCAAATGCGGCCAAGGGCCGCTGTACGGACACCAGTGGCTACATCTCCAACGCAGAAATCGAGGATATCCTCTTGTTTGGCAAGGTGAACAAGCAGTGGACCGATGCTGGGTCAGACATTCTTGTTTATAACGACACCGAGTGGGTTGCGTATATGAATGACACTACCAAGACAGCTCGGGCTACTCTGTATGCTTCGTACAACTTTGCAGGAACAAGTGACTGGGCTGTCGACTTGCAAGAGTATGTGGAGTAAGTATTTACCCTTTCCCACAATGATGGCATAAACGTCAGCAAGCTTACATGTATCTCTTATCTAGTGACTCTGAAGAGGACGAGGGCCCTGATGACAACTTTGTCGCCGTCATTAATGACAATTATTATGCAAAATGCGACACTAATTATACCAGCCTAGACCAGCTTACAGATAACAAGGGCAGTATTCCCTACTACTGCATGGATCAGTATATCGTCGATGTGGAAATCCAGATCTTGACCGACGCGTTAGCCAAGTACAAGGATCTTGTCAGCAGCGGCTATGACGATAAATTCAAAATCTACGAGGAGTACACTACCGAGCTGGTCCCCACTCAGATCAACGCCTTCATGGGCAACGGCCATGCCGATGATTTCTTCAAGTGTGAAGAGACGAGCCATAGCACATGCTGTTCCAGTTGCGAGGTAGTAGCTTGCAGTTCAGTCTGCGACCACTCACCAGACTGCAAGGATGGTCTTCTTAGCAACCATGCAATAACCTGTCCCACAGTCTACAAGGATGGACCGGATAATGTCGACTGGCTCAACACACAGGTGCCCAATACGACGTACACTCTGAATGACTCGGATGGCTTTTACAAGGCCATCAATGATAATTACGGAATTGAAAAAGATTGGATTGAGTTTGGTGATGTTGATATAAAACTCACAGAGGGCTGTCAGTTCAAAGAGGATATCAGGGAATGTCAGCGAGAACACGATGATTGGTTCTGGAACTATCCTCAAGCTGCCAGCGACATCAAGGTCTTCAACCCCAAGGACGTGATTGGCCAATCGTTTGACAAATCTCAAGATTTGCTCGCCAACCTCAGGATACTACGGGCCATTGGCTCCCTGGACTCTCAACTCGACATGGCGGATGTGGCCGATGCGGCTTCTCTGCCGGCCTTGACGATGGCGCTCGCCGTGGCGAGCATGGAAAAAGTTGTCAAGGAGGCTGATGATATCAAAAAGCAAGAGCGAGAGGAGATGATTGCCAACTTTATCGGCGCCATTCTATTCTTCATCCCCTTTGTAGGAGAAGCGGTGGATAGTAGCATGGTTGCTATCCGCTCTGCCTTGGAGATGGCTGAGGCTGCGGGAGAGGCTGGTCTGCTGGCTTACAGCATTGTGCAGGATCCTAGTAATGCCTTTATGGCTGTGTTTAGCACACTGGCGGGTGCAGGCATGAGCCGTTCGGCGTGGTCAAAGGCTGCTAATGAGAGGAGAGGGATGAAGGAGGATGATATCGGAAAGTTGGGGTCGATTAAGGATGATTTGGCCAAGATTGATAATGTCCGTGGAGGAATGTGCAGGTTTTAATTACCTTGACATGAATGGGATGTTGATATAATTGAATGCATCGATTCTGACCAGGGGTAAAATGCCCGCACTTAAGGATCAAACTGAATGACATATTTCTGATTTCTCTGTTTATACCACCCGACTCTTGCGTGACATCTCATCATGAAATGGCCTTCTCGAGAGCCTGACGGGCCAATCTAACATCGTCTGCCTCTGTCTCCCAATACCGCAAATGCGCAAGACACACCTTCAATGTTTCCTGCGCGTGCCGCTCAAGATCCATCTTCTGTAAAAGCCCAACTTTGCCTGCACAGATGAGTATCAGTGCACGACAAGCTGTCTCGCGACACCTGAACCACATGCCTGCGTCTCTATGCCTCAATCCAAAGTTGAACAAAGGGTCGAGACATAATAGCACCGCCTTTTGGGCCAGTTGTCGTACGGCATCATCAACCGGCCAGCATTTGTCTCTCCTGTGTGCAAGACAATATAGGAATGGGCGGTAGATACGCAATTTTATGTTGGCCGAGCGTAGCCAGGGAGCTAGCTGAAGCTCACTGACTGTCGACAAATCCAACGACTTATCAAAACAAGAGGCAATGGGTTGAGGGAGGGTTTCTTGCCATCGCTCTATCTGCTCCTCAAAGCCACATGCCATGATTATCATGTCGAGTAAATTCATGCTCGCCCAGGAAGCTGGAGATGTCATATAAAACGCCTGGTCGACGCTATTTGAGAGCCGCGAGAGCGAAATCTCCGAGAGGTAGTTAAACCATGAGCTCTCATGAAGCTCTTTGAAATCTTGAATCTCAGTTGGGGGAGGGCAAGATGATAAGATAGTGGCGCCGGAGAATGCTGATGTGCCATGGTATTGGCTGTCATCTAAGCCGTCCACGCTCTTTGGTGTCGGAGGCGAAGGGAATTGGTAGGGGTAGTCCATGGTATGTAGAGCAGATTTAGGTAATTCGACCTCGGCACAAATTTCACTTGATTTCATAATCAGCATCGTATTCACGTGCTATGTCTTGCATGGGGGCTAACCTTTCGGACTTGATGCAACTCCAATACAGTCGTTGCTCAAGGCACTCCCTCAACTCGTCATGACAGTCGTGCTCGTCGGGCAGCATGTCCATATCAACACTGTCTAGCTCATTTGTAATACGCACCGCAGCTTGACCTTTGAGATAGACGGTATATAGGGATGAAGCCTGAAAGAACGCGTTCCAAGCTTCTATTGGACGCAAGGTATACAGAAGATATATGCCGGATAATAAATGGCAGTGACATGCTGTAAGACTTATGCCAAGCAGTCCAAATCGCCTTCTGGCGGACTGATAATACGACTCTGCTCTTTGACGGGATTGGGCTCCGTCTTGCCGTGAAGAAGAGCTTGAAAGAGTCTCTACTGTGTCTGCGAAGGAACTGAATGAGTCGGCAATTGCGCCCAACGCCGCAGCAACAAGCTATGCAAAGTTAGCCTTCTCAAACACCAATTGGACGGGGATGTACAGTATCAATGTGCCGCCTGACCAGAAAAGGGGGCATGCTAGCTTACCACAAGACAAGTCTGAGAGTCCCACTGTGGACCAAGTTCAGCAATGGTCCTCCCATAGTTCATCAGAGTAGTGCAATCCAAAATAGGATTCATTATATGGACCATTCTCAAGAACCTTGTCAACAATGCAGAAATTTCTTCGCCATCTAGCCGCGGCATTCCAAACGCTGGACTCGCTCCGCAACTCATTTCTTGCATTTGACTAGTTCCTAACACGCCGAAGGCTACACCACGGGAGGATTTATTCATAGCGAATATTGGCCACTCGAAAACATGGCCCATAGCTGTAAATGCATGTGAACTGGTCGAAGCAGAGCCAACAACCTGTACCTCGGGCCTTGATTCTGTGGCTGGCGGTAGCCTCCTCAGGATTTCAGTCAGAGCATCTAGAACTTCTGAATTGCTCTGGCTGGAACTAGATGGAGTGCTAATGCATGTAAGTGGCCGTTGGATTCATGTCCCAACAATAAGGGATGATACATACGATTGGAGCGCGTATTTTGGAGGCTCGGGATACACGCATTCACAGCCAAGCCGGGCGCACCCAGCGCAAGACGGCTTGCCATTAGAACACTTGACCTTGCGAGCACGGCACACCAGACAAGCTGTTGGGGCACGCGGGCGACGGGCTGATCCGATATTATCGCCTCTACCAGCATCGGTGCCCGCTAGGACGGATGGGCTGGCGGCATCTCCCCGCGGAGAGGACCAGCTCGTATTACTGCGCCGTCGGCTCATTTCGGGAGTTGATATCTCGTTTGGAATGACGTGGCAATATGCAGGGTGAGAAAGTAAAGGACAAGATGAAGCTCTCTTCGGTTACGGAGTCAAGACCGACATCTCCGACAACCACCTGGTCATAGATTTTGGCGGCTCGGAGACGGAGCCGAAGTTACCGAAGACTCCGGCGGCAACGCAAATATGGCGCCACAAAGCGAATCCTACCTTAGTTGGAGATGGACGGAGAAGTTGAGTTATTTCTCCAATCTAGTTCCTAGATTTGTCCACATGCTTAAGAGTGAAAGTTCTCTCATTAGATCATCCCGATTACTCATGTAGCTTATCTTTCATGGATTGTAGTAATGGAGGTAAGCATAACTTAACCTCTAGGTACGTCAACTGTGAATACTCTGTAGCAATATTCAATTGTTGTACTTAGGAAATGGATTTTATTCTATAATGGGAGAAAATGTCGGTAAAATTGTATTTGTTAAGTGCAAGAAAATCGCCGTCAAGATCGTATTTCATCATTGCTATTCGTGGTTCCCTATGCTTTTATGAATATCTGCTCCAGAGCTCTCTTCAGTCTCGCACCGAGATAGAGAGGGACTATGTATAACTATGACGCTACATGCATTCAAGGAATTGTGAGCTTTGTCGTCTTCTTTGCTCTCCCGCCAAAACCCCATCCGATCTGGTGGGCGATGTTGATCGTAACACCCAACTCGTCCGCCCACTGCCACACTAAACCCGGGTTCTTCAGAAACATCCGACCAGCAGCAATCAGATCCAGCGGCGTGTCGTCAGCGTCTTTGCCCTGGATAATCTCCTGTGCCACCTGTCCCGTTTTGATGCTCCCCACAGAGCTCACCAGCATAGAGTCCCCGACTGCAGCCTTGATTGCCTTTGCAAACGGTGCCTGATACCCAGGACCGCCAACAACCTTCTGGTGTGAGTGGTTACCACCGCTCGAGACATCCAGTACATCAACTCCGCGCTGGGCCAGAAGTTTGGCAAACTCGATGCTGTCCTCCACAGTCCAGCTTGGACCGGTCCATTCCGAATTCGTGTCCAGCCAGTCGGTAGCGCTAATGCGTACAAATAAGGGCATCTCCTTGGGCATAACCTCCCTTACTGCGTCAACTATCTCAAGAGCGAGGCGGGTACGGTTTTCAAAACTTCCTCCGTACTGGTCTGTACGGTGGTTGACAGCAGGCGAGAGAAAGCTGGAGACCAAGTAACCATGGGCAAAGTGCAAGTCGATTACATCAAACCCGGCCAAGAGAGCTCGACGCACGCCAGAAAGGTAATCCCTCTTCAGCTGTGCAATCTCAGCTAGGCTTATGGCTCGGGGTTTGGGGTAATGCTCGTTGAAGGCTTCATCACCTGATGAAACCACGTCAGTTGGCCAGCCACCAACCGCCTCGGTAGCTGTAGCTCCAGAGCTAAGCCAAGGTGCAACTGTTGAAGCCTTGCGGCCAGCATGGGCAAGTTGGATCCCGATCTTGGCATTCTGACTATGGGCAAAGTCGACATGTTTTTTCAGAGTATCGACATGTGCATCAAGCCAGATGCCTGAATCTTCCGGAGTGATGCGGCCGTTGGCTTGAACGGCAGTTGCTTCAAGCATGATGAGACCAGGCTAAGTGATTTGTATTAATTCACTGTAGATGGAAGAAGGAAACTCTAGATGAAATTACTTACCCCTCGTTGAGCCATACCACCGTAGTGGGTGATATGCCAAGGTGTATGGAAGCCCTCGTGTGCACTATACTGACACATGGGACTGACCCAGATACGGTTTGGCATTTCAATGCCACGGATTTTGATCGGCGTGAAAAGTTTGGGGACAGGATTGCCGGATGCTTGGACAGCGGTCGCGCTGCCAGCTACCGGATCTTGCTCAGGTGTAAAGAATGGGACGCCCTTGGCAGCGACGTTTGGAATTGGCGCAGAACATTTCTCATTCTTCTCGGGAGCAGGTGTTCCGGCTCGTGAGACGGTGATGCCGTGGTGAGGGTGGGCAATGTGAGGGTGAGGTATGCGTTGGTTAAGGTATGCGGCCATCTTGTACGGCTACTATAGTGTTGCGTAGGATGAAATCAATTCAAGTTTGTTGAGATGAAGTTGTAGTTGCAAAACAATTCTTTGGTCGTTTGAGTGGCTTCGTTTTATATAAGTGCCAGCAGCCCCTCGGAAGGATTCTTTTCGCCTGCAGCATATGACGACACGGACAAATTCAAATTAAGCTTGATTGTTCAGCGGCAGATCTTGATTTCTCAGCTTCGCTTCTACAAGATCATGGCGAGATCCGTCCATCTTGGCTCAGCTCCATTCTGCCAATATCAACAGGGCGCCAAAGGATTTAGACGGTGGAGTAGCGGGTTGTTGCAGATCCGGCAATTTCGGTATGGCCTCCGAACAGCCTTACGGCTGGAAGATAGAACTTTTCATCCCTCCACGTAGCGATCACATCTCTAAAATGCCAAGCCTCTTCTGCTGAGGAGGTTTTTCTTACCAATCGCTGAAACTTCAATGTTGGCTTTATTGCGCCACCTATTAGGCTTCAGTCACTTATGGAAATAGGAGTCATCAACTTCTTTGCCAGCTGCACCATTACTTCATGTACACCAAGCTTTTTCACCTTTGCCAGCCAAGGCGGTAGGATTAAAGTAGGCAAATAGACCCGCATTCGTGACCGAGGCAACTTAGTTATCAGTATGCCGAAGCAAACGGCCACAAGGCTAACAACCGAAGACAAAACTAGCAGAAGCGAGAACGAGATAAACGTCATGCACGCTTGTGGTGCGGTCTGCCGGCATGTGGGTACCGAAAATACCGAACTGGGCCGTTATTTTTGGCTTTGAGGGCATTCGACCAGTAACTAATAAGTGCGGATATACCCGAGCGTATTACCCCTGTCGATAGGCCTGGAGGCCAACCGTATTCGAGAGAGTTAATATGTCGGCAAATGAAACGAGCATGTTTATAGTTGTCAGGTGGTTTAAAGAAAAAGGCGATAAGTTACCAAACATGTCTATTAGCAAATAGGTCTAGGAGTTGGTTTCACTAAGGCCAAGAGCCGGCTGGTCACCCTAGAAAGTACAGAATTGTCATATGAATTATTTTGTTATCAAAAATTTCCTAGTTGTAGTCCATTTTGTGAAGAGTCTACCATTCGTGATATTATTACCTCGTCTTTCATTGTCTCCCAGTTACAGTGTCCCGCTTGGTTATGGATACTTGATCCAGTCAGGTTAAGCAGATGGGGCCAGCCAAGTCCGATTCGCGGCAAGCCAAATGGAGACAGGGTTCCGTATGACCGGAAGATCCCCGTCATGCCAATCTTCAATCCTTCATCAAACATGCCAAACTCACCGAGTTTGCTAAAATCGCATCTCTGTGTCATTTTTCCATAGGTCACGAGTTCCGCCTCCTCGGGGGTCGCACCTATTGTCCCAGAAGCTTTGATCTAGGAGATTATCGTATTAACCAAATTCAATGGCGCAACCCAATGATGACACCAGCACAGGGCTATGGCAATCAGTAGAGAATCTCGATGATGATGGTAAGTCTTCTTCTCCAAACTATAATGACATCACAGCCAGTGCTCATAGAAATAGTCGTGAGATTCTCGCAACTTGACCTCGCTTGCCTAGGACTTGCCACAGAGACCGACCACGAGACAACCGGCGCACAGAATCTAGACCTGTCAGGAAATCATTTCCTTCCATTCCAGCTATCTTCTTATGAAGAATCGATCGATGAGAACTTGTACAATCGAGGGCTCTTTGATGGACATCGATCAATCTTTGCTGATTCGATAGAATCAAATGTCACTCCCCCAACATACATGATAGATCCTAGCCTCAATGAGCCCCGCTGGCAGACACCATCATTCTCTCTACAACCAAGCCTAGCACATAATTATGCATCACAGACCGAAGGAGGGGACAGACATGAGACGTCAGTTAGGAGGACACACGCCTATGGACCTGCTGAGATGCTTCAATACTCTCCAGCAGCTGAAAATCAGCCGCGTGGCCTCCCGAGACGACGGAGCCGATATTTTCGCAGCCAACAATATCAAACAACCCTTCCACCACCGATAGACATCGCAAACTCGACGGTAGTTGCTGATGCTTTAGATCCGATGCAGAGATGGCGCGAGTCACCACCCGAAACCGAACCGGCTTCTTTGTCTGCCATTGCTGATGCTTTGAAACATACACCCTTACAGACTCGCTCATCCTCCTCAGCTGGAAGCCTCAATAGTCAAGGAATCGGCAGCTGCGCAGCCTCAACCATTAGCTTCGGGAGCGGCACTAGCTATTCCTCAGCTTCTAACGCCTCGACTAGCTCGGCAACCTTTCGAAGTTCGAACAGTCGTTCCCGCAGCAGGGTGACGAAACGAACTCGAGCAAATACAACAAAGAAGAAGGACAAAGACCAAGACAAGAGGATATTTCCATGCACATTCTGCTGTGATTCATTCAAGAGCAAGTATGACTGGGCCAGACATGAAAAATCACTCCATCTCAACCTCGAGCGCTGGCGATGCGCTCCATTCGGCGGCACGGTGATCTCCCCTGAAACTGGGAGAGCACACTGCGCATATTGTAGCATGCTTGATCCTAATGCAAAGCATCTCGACTCTCATAATCACGGTGCCTGTGAGAGTCAGGGACAGACCCCTACTTTCAGCCGCAAAGATCACCTTGTTCAACATCTACGGCTCGCGCATCACGTTGAAACTCTGCCTATCATTGATTCCTGGAAAGATCAAGGCCCTCCAGTGTCATCAAGGTGCGGCTTCTGTAACATCCGCATGCAGACTTGGCAAGAACGAGTCGATCATTTAACAAAGCACTTCCGCAAAGGCGCAACAATGGACAACTGGAAAGGAGAACACTGCTTTGAGTCTTCCGTCTCAGTCAAGGTCACACATGCAATGCCCCCGTATCTCATCGGGGCCGAGTCAAGAGCCTTAATTCCGTTTTCGGTTACCAGCCACGGGACGAAGGATCATCTCTCCCAGATCCAGCAAGCAACGGAGCAGAGCCTAGGAATATGGGATGGCGGACGCACGGCCTCACCAATCTGTGGTCCTGGGCCTTCTCCCGAGTTGGCAACCCAGCCAGCGTTGTTGAACCCGTTCAGTGAAGAAACTAGTTCCATGACCTTTCCCGAGGTCCTGGCATTACATCTAGGTCGTTATGCTCAGGAACAAATGAGACTAGGTATTATTCCCACGGATAGGATGTTTCAGGACGAGGCTAGGCGGATCATGTTTGATTCTGTAGACCCATGGGATCAGACCATTGCTGATGATGACTACTGGCTCTCGCTGTTTCGTGACCGTCATCTCAATAACGCACCGGTAAGCAAGGAGGATTCAGCTTAAGCTATGCTGAAACATGTACAATCTTCACATGGCCTTCGAATGTAATTAGTTACTGTCATGCCTTGGCTCACCCTCAAATTCTTCTAACAAATCGAGTGGTTCATAGAGAGGTCAATGCATTCTATCATGACTCCTGAACAATGTCTACCCAATCACTCTCCCTCTTCCCAAACATGATCTCGGTCATTCTCTCCCTCAACAACGGAACATGTGTCGTTACACCAATGTCCACCTCGATACTCTTACCATCGAAGCCAATCTCGCTGACCTCCTGGATCCAAAACGCCGTTCCAACCACAAAAACGCTCATTAGTCTGCCGTTGCTAGACGCCTCCTCGACCTCACTCATAGTAATCTTTCTTTCTAGCACCTCGCACTGCAGTTCTTTGCTTGCAGTCTCCGTGGAAAACATATCTTGTGCCAGTTCTATGATGCTGCGCCGCGTGTTACCAGCCAGTATCAGGCCGTCCTTGTCCAATGGTGGTGTGACCATTTGAAGAGCGCCGGAAAGTGTCTTCCATATTACAAAGATATTCGTTGCACCCGCCTCAGTGATCTGGCGATCGGGTCCAAACAGCCAAAGCACTTGGTCGTAGCCCTGTTTCTTGGCCAGACCATGTTCCGCAAGCGCTGGTCCATAGTTTCCTCCAACTTTGGCTGATCCAGTGCCTCCAGGCCAAGCTCTAACTGCAGAAACGCTGCTCGCTAACAACCGTGCTCCTGCTTGGAGCGCAGCTCCGCCATTCACGGTGACTAGCTTAGGACCCGGCCAGTATACCATGAAGATGTACAGCTGCGCCTCTTCCGGCACCTTGAAGCCCAAGCTTGAATCTGACCCGATCATGGTTGGTCTGAGATACAACGCCGACCCAGGTTTATCCTTGGGCAACCACTTTGGCGCTTCGAGCTCGCAGAGCTTGTGGATTAGCTTGAGCAACTCCTGCGGATCGAATGCTGGAAGGGAGATGCGCGTCGCTGACTTGAGCATCCTCTCGCAGTTGTACAGAGGCCTGAAGAGACGGAGACGGCCGTCATAACCACGGAAGACCTTCATACCCTCGAAGCATTGGGTCGCGTACTGTAAGGCGCTTGCTGAGGGCATCAGGGAGATGGGTCCGTAAGGAACCACCTGAGGATTAGCCCAACCTCTCTCCTCGGTCCAAGAAGCCGTTATCATGCGGTCCGTGAATGTCTTGACTTTCATAACGTCTGGGTCATCGATATCTGGAGCAGGATTGGGATTGGGGACGGCATTGATCTCGAGTCTGGATGCGTCTAAAGGCGCGGGAGAAGTTTCAACTGCCATTTTTGTAAAGGCGATTTAAAGGGAAGATATTATTGGGGATGCCGCAGTTGAGAATATCTACTCAAGCTACCGGCCTTGGAGTAGGATCACATCGCGATATTAGTAGTGACCTGTACTTTTAAAGCTTGAATAAGAGCATTGTATCAAATTGGCTCATCAGCGTGTATCTTATGATCTATCTGAAGATGGAGGTTAGGGAGCCAGTGAAGCTGAGTGAAGCACCGGCGATTCCCAGCATCGAGCAGGTAGGGAGTAGGGCGTGCTTTTCGGAGCGGCATTTTGATGGACATGCCGTGACCATCTGTAAGCATACCTGTACTCTTACCGCTCACTCTCTCCAAGATTGCCGACTGCATACATTGTGCTTGGGGGTCTTCTAGAGTCTTTTCGCCGCGTAGTGAAGCAGTTGTAAGTGATGCGCGGACCTAACCTGAAATTGGCGATCTTACCGAGTCTGCATCTAAACTTGTTGATTTAGGGTCAAGCTTGAGTGCTAGTTGCAGGGAGCATAAGGCGTAGGGCGTGAAATCTGGGCCGTGAACGGCATCGGCGGCCATCGGCGTCTCCGCCGAGATGCGTCCGCTCCACTCCGGTTTCGATTCCGTGATATAATGATTCCGCGCCCTGCGCCCATTGCATTGCGCTGTGGGCTCACAAAGAGACTCAAAGACACTCAAAGACACTCAACTGACTCGATGACACTGACTATGTGCCTATGGACAGCTGTTCAAAAGAATCGAACCCACGATCAAAAGTAAAATACCACGCCCTACGATGCTCTGCAATGAGTTGTAAAGGCGTCTATGGTGGGGTCGATATCATATAGATCACCCTCAACTTTACAATCCAACGGGCACTCAAAAGAGATGTTCTACTTCGTAGTATTTTTGTAAGAAAGCCAAATGCGTTACATGTGATTGCTGTCTCTTCGTTCAAAACAGGTGAATGTCTCATGGCACCGTACAGATCATGTTGGCTAAACACCTTCCACACGTATACATCCAAGGCCGCGATTTGGATGAGGAATGAATACAATGGCTCCAGAGGCTACATGTAGTCAACCCAGAGTACATGTCTTGGGACTCGGTAGCATTGGTACCTTTGCAGCGCATTGCCTTGCAGGGATACCAGCCCCTCTGACGCCCTCCATCACCTTGTTACTACATCGGCCAAATCTCGTCAACGAGTATATCAAGAGAGGTCGCAAAATACGATTAGAAACGGTAGAAGGAGAAGTCGTGTACCGCGATAATTATCACGTCGAAGTCTTGGATAACGGGGAATGGCATCGCGTTCAGACAGAGCCAGGATCAAGCCCAGTCGTTCAAGACGACATCATCGACCACCTCATTGTTTCAGTCAAGGGTGCGCAAACAACAGCAGCGCTCAAGCCACTAAAACACCGTTTAAACGCATCCTCGCACATACTATTTCTACAAAACGGATCTGGTATGGTTGAAGCTGCCAACGAAGAAGTGTTCACCGATCCAGCCACAAGGCCAAACTATCTCACCGGCGTCATCTCACACGGAGTCACACTGAATGCCCCCTTTGACATTACGCACACTGGATTTTCCGCTACATCATTGGGGCTTGTTCCTCGATCACAGTCTAATACAGAAGCAACCGCGCCGTCATACCTGCTGGAAGCCCTTCCCCTTGTCCCGAGGTTCAACGCTACGACGTACTCCACCTTGGACATTCTCCAGATCCAGTTAGAGAAGCTCGCCGTCAACGCTTTCTGTAATCCTCTCTGCGCTCTCAGTGATGCCAAAAACAAGTTTTTGTTCACCATCCCTGACACTCGTCGAGCTCTGCTCACAGAAATTTCTCGAGTCATACAAGCACTTCCAGAGCTACGGGGGATACCTGGCATATCGGAGCGCTTCTCAGTTGACAAGCTGGAGACAACAGTGAATGGCATCATTCGTGCAAACTCAGAGACAACTTGCTCGATGGTGGTAGATTTACGGCGGGGGCAGAAGACAGAGATCCTGTTCATCAATGGATACTGGTGTCGAAGGGGGAGGGAGGTTGGGGTACCGACGCCCATCAACGATAGTCTGGTGCGGCGGATTCTGGAGAGGCAAGGAGATATAGAGCTAGCAAAGCAATATTAATTAGAAAGACTAAATGGACCACTAATTGAGGAGTTGTCCGTCATACTCTTACATGTGATGGAGCAAACCCGGCTGAAGAGAATAAAGGGGGATATTCATATCCCGTAACATGACTGAGACACCGGTTTATTTCCGTCATCCAACCCCATGATACGGTCGCGGCCCGCTATGGGCCTCCATCAATAAACCAAGCTATCCGGTAGGGCGAGGTCGGTAAGCCGTACCAGTCCATATAAACTTCAGCATTATTCCCGATGAAGCCGAGGCTTACTTAGGCGGCTGTGTGTTACCAGAAGTTTATCAAGAGTGCTTTATTGCTGACAGCTATGTTAGGAAGGACTCGTAGAGCCTTTCTTTCTAACAAAAACATTCGATTACGTCTGGTTCTTCCACTTGGGCAACGAAACAATCTCTTCAGAATGGCATCGTCGTTTCGTGTAATCCAACACACCGTCAAGGGCTCCCACACGAGAGAGTATATTAGAGCGACAGCCAATGGCGACGCTGACACGCCAACGTTATCGGTGAAGCAGTACATTCCGCTGGACAACCCTACGCCTAAGCCTGGCGATGTGACAATCATCGGTGCTCATGCAAACGGCTTCCCAAAGGTCAGTGTGATTTGTTCAAATGCTCACTGCAAGAAGTATGCTTAATGACCTAACAGGAGTTGTACGAGCCTCTTTGGGGGGAGATATATCAACGGGCGTCTCAAGCAGGCATTCGCATCCGGTCAATCTGGATAGCGGACATGTGGAGCCAGGGTCAATCAGGTGTCCTTAACGAGAAAATCCTTGGAAATGACCGTTAGTGATCACTGTGCGATGTTGTTTCAGCTATTGACCAGCGGTAGCGAGTTGGACCGATAATGCGAGAGATTTGATGTATCTCATCAACCAAAAACAAGATGACATGCCTCATCCAATCATCGGTATAGGCCATAGCATGGGCGGTACTCAATTGTAAGAGACATCCGGGCTTCTTTCCCGTCCCTTATTGACATAAGATACAGATCGCTCTTGTCTCTCGGACACCCGCGCTTACTGAGGTCCCTGGTTCTTATCGATCCCGTCATACAAGTCCCGAATAGCAGCATTCCCCCCGCCATGTCATCTACTTCCCGTCAAGATATCTGGCCATCAAAGGATGCAGCTACATCAAGGTTCAAGGGAAGCAAGTTCTTCCAATCATGGGATCCGCGCGTTCTGGACCTTTGGTTAGAGCATGGCCTCCGCCAAGTTCCCACAGAGCTCTATCCTGCCGAGCATGCCGAAGACAAACGCTTCACGCTTACGACTTCAAAACATCAAGAATTGTTCACTTTCCTCCGGCCTACATACCCCAAGGTTCCAGGAGAGAATTATGTTGACAAAGACCCCATTTCAGATGAAGAATATCCGGGATACCCACTCTACCGCCCCGAACCAGTTTATGTCTTTCGCCGCTTGCCAGAATTGCGTCCCAGCATTCTGTATATCTTTGGAGAAAAGTCCAATATCTCACTGCCAGAACAGCGACGGTTAAAAATGGCACTGACAGGAACAGGAGTTGGAGGCAGCGGCGGCGCTGCTGCTGGTCGAGTTAAGCAGGTAACTTTTGACTGCGGCCATCTGGTACCGATGGAGAAGGTTGTCGAATGTGCAATCGCCATCACTGCTTTTCTGGGGGATGAGCTCGAACGGTGGCGACGTGAGAAGGCCGAGTTCGAGCAATATTGGAACAAGAAGTCAAGAACTGAGCAGATAACAATTGACAAAGACTGGGCTCTCAAAGTAGATCCAAAGGCTATACATGCTGGCAAGACAAAACTTTGATGCAAGGACAAGCGGCATTACCGGTAATCACACGAGTGATTAAGATGTCCCAATCGGTATTAGAACTAGAATAGATGTTAGATCAATCTCATATGCCCTTTCCAGTGTGACCCTAACATTGGTATATAGCGAGGCACTCTGCAAACATGAACTCAGGTATAGCCTCTCAGTCCCGTTCCCCTCCGAGCCCTCAGCATATTCGTCACCATGGCTCAGAATTGTTTCAAAATATATACGCTATTGCTAACTTCATATCAATTTGTTAAGAAGCCATTTGGGCCTGAGTAGAGAATGAGGATAGGAGAGCAGGGCTAACAGCGGGCACAGGCATTTCCCCAAATTTGTTTGCGGTTCAAGTATACCGCTGATCCAAGTAACTACAGGACATATAAATGTACAAGTAAATAAGATCACAATTACCCCCGCAGTCATACGGGTGAAGCTCACGGAATGCTGTAGATCATGGCAAAGACTCGACGAGATGATCACAACCACGGGCTCACCTCGATCAAACTCAAAAGCTAAAGGCTAGCAACAAAACGAAACTTCATGGCCTGGTTTCTGAGAATATTGGAAGGAATGAAGTCCAGGTTATATGAAAATAAGAAGTTATGACGAATGATCGTTGACCATGGATGACAAAGCTAAGATCCAATCCGCCAAGCAGGAACCTTCTAATACAATAATACCGTAGATAGGATTTGAAAAAGCATAATAACCGCTCCCTACGTGATTCTACATGATCAGAAACCGTATGCTTCTCTAATAGATCAGATTTCTTCATGTTACATACAGCCTATGTCTCATATATCACAACATTTCGGCAAGGTCACCTCTAGAAGGTGATGAGTAATCTACAACAACTCTTCTCATATTATCATCTTTCTTGAGCTACCTATCTCTGTAAAACAACGGCAGATGTCCGAGATCAGCTGACACATACACCGATATCTTATCTCATGGTGTGAGAAAGGATACTCTGCTTTCCAGCTGTCCGTCGACATCTCACTATTCCAGAACAGGAATTTGTACAAAAGACTGTAAAATCTCACTTACAGAGGCCCCCATAGAGCTGTCTTGGCATCTCAGCCAAACCTTAAAAGCCAAGTAAGACCCCAAAGTGGGAAGCTGTGTACAAGTTGCTTGACATCTGACAGCTGCGCTAAAGAAGCCTTCAGGCAAAGTCCAGCAAGCCGTTCTATCAGCGAACTATCCCCGAGATGGCATTTGCTGTGATCACATCTTATCTTTGCCGAAGCGAATAGCCGCGGGTCGCTTAACTGTCGATTAGACTTCGTTCCCCGGGTGTAAGTGCCGCCACCACATAAGCCACGACGACCTCAAAATAGGTAGCAAGTCTCGAGGTGTAGTGGTCTGAGTAAGCGGCTGTTCCAAGCACCGAACGGTACACGGTCTGATTGGCTCAGCCTTGCTCCCAGAAGATTGGAAGCAAGTCAACCGCCATCAGGTGTGGATGGTTGCCTACCCAAGTTGTCAAATACTAAGCGCGGGCCCTTGTGAGCTTAATCAACGGTCCTCTTCGGTAATCCGGATGGATGACATTCAAGTTGATTCACCGAACAAAGGCCTAAACCCAAATGACAGACGGGATGTCTCACCCTCACCTCCCTCTATCTCCGCTAAGGCTGACTGGCGAGCAGCCTTTTTGCTATTTCCGGTTCCAACCTGCCAGCCTGGTTCTTAAGTCCACGCCTCCGCACCAGCCGGCACCAAGTCACGGGTTGGAGCGAGGATGTGACAAATCCGTGGCTGCCACATAAGGCTGCTGAACCTCCGTCCCCCTCACCCGTGATTAAGGGTGCCAGTAAGACCTAAGGCCTAAGTCCACGGTCGCGGCGATTAATCAGTACCGGCGCTAATCGGGAGTCGAAGCCTGACAAATGCCTGTACATCGGTTCACACCCCCTCCACCTCCACGGATCGCGATTGACTCTGAGTCGATCATGAGGGGGTGAGCCGAAACCTGTCAACGATTGGTCCTTCGGGCCATGTGGGCAATGGAGATAGTTTGGATGGACGGGATTGTATAGCATCAAGGTTGGACATGTTGAATACCAATCTACCGGAAGCCAAGTGGAACAGTTGACTCACAAGATAACCGCCAACGGGAAAGCTCGCAGCTCGTTGATTGACGACCCTCGTTTTCCTCGTAATCATGATTTTGAGCGCTGTCGATTACCAGAGGCACTGTTGGCGGTACTGGGATCCAGCCTTGACTGGTCAGTCATCAACAGCCCTATCAGCCATGGGCGTTGCTAGGTCCGACAAAGTCCGCGGTGCTCCAGCAAACAGCATTATGCGGGGGAAAGCCAAAATGCCGCTGACAGAGCAAAAGCGAGGAACCCGAGCTCCATGGACTTTTTTCATTTGCCACTGCGTTAGCCAATGAACACCTTCCGAGAGCGCAAACCGATCGATTTCGTCCGAACCGAAAACCCAATCCGAGCTGCAGCTAACAGGCGTGTAAACCCCGTCAAATCGTCAAATCGTCTCTATTTGCTTCCGATGTTGCCCGTACAACTGAGGAGCTCGCTGCCGGCGAAGGTGGGGCAGCCTCGGTCTTGTGATAGACAGATGGATACCCGGACACCGGAATTGCGCGAGAAATCGACCAGTCGATCGTCCACACCCTTCACACCCCCTTCGACTTTTCTTGTTCCTGAAAGTGGACAAGGTGTAGCTGTAGAGGGGGTAGGGAGCTCTGGTTGAAGCCGGCACACCTGACCTGATCATGCAGGCACCGCGATCGGAGCGGCATTCAAGCAGAAGCACAGACTCTTCGGTGGATCGGACGCACGAAACACCACGGTCCAAAGGCGGTTTTCATCGTGATCAAGGTACACGGGACTGGCGGCACCCCCAAGAGTCACGCGAGCCCACTGCAGATTGCGGTTCAATGGGGCTTCTATCCGCGATCGAGGGTTATTCCGGGTAGACTTTGGGCATGTAGAAGCAGCCAGAGAATCGAAGCTAAGCGTAAATAAGCATTTCTTATCGCCGCTGAGGTCGATGTTTCGACTTCGAGAGATCGCACCCCAGCTTTTGGTCTGAGATCGAGGAGAGAAGGGAGATATGATGCCATTCATCTCGTCTTCAGATCTCATAGGCATTTTAAAAATAGATGGTCCATTGAAGGATTCGATTTCGCTCCCATGGGCGTCAATGGCGTATCGGTAGTACAACCAAAGGGTTCTTAACAACGTAATCGATGATTCAAGAGGATGAAGCCATTCGAAGTTAGTAATCAGTCGGCACGAGGTTGCCGCAAAGCCACAGCATGGCTCTGAGTTCCATAATCAGGGTCCTTGTCTGGCTAGATTAGGCTTAGTGTTATTGCCGTGTTCTTGAGGTCGTTCATCCCATCCGTGGCGGCTTATGCAAGTTATGAATAGCATGCAAGTAGGCGAAATCCTCTCGAAAACAATATTGGACACTATTCTTCACCATATCCAATCCAATGCTTCTCTGTGTTAGCTTATGGCTTTCATGACTGTTGTTCACCACAATAACACTAATAGTAGTTTCCCGGAATAAGTTCATATGCTGCTCGGATTGAACTTCATCTAGACGGCACTAGCTAATGTGTTGGCTGTTTAGTGAATCAAGATAACTAAATATCTAGTAATAGTCATGATACTAGAAGACAGATACTCTCATAGAGGTCCATTCAACGTGCCATTAGCATCTTGATTGAATACTGCAGACACCTACCTACTTCCAATCAGAGAGCATACAATTCGCCTTCTCCATGAGAGCTTGGTAATCAATGGTAAGGCTGACACAGCAGTTCGCTGAGAGTTGCCATATTTGGACAAGCGTCGACAGCTACACACGCACTGAGTGAGATGCACCGTTCGGGATTCAGGTTGAGTCATGGCAACTATGAGTACCTACGCAACAATAGAGATAATACAATCAGATTATTGACGTATTATGCTATATACTAAGTCGGTTGATTCACTATCATGTCTTCACTTGTAGTTGGTCAAGTTACAAGTTCTCATAAGTCTGTGCATTCTATATGTTGATCGTTTATTCATGCCCAAGTACCTGTAGCCATATTTTACATCACATCAAGTGCTGGCGGAGTACTATCCCATCCCCATTGCTGCTGCAGATTCGCAACTCTCTCCGTGGTCGAATACCCAGTTTCCCGCTGTATAGTCGCCAGGAGCTGGGCTAATGCTGTCCTCTGTTCGTGTGTCTCAAAGCAAAGCCCTGCTATATACAAAGGTTGTACCATGTGTAGTCGAACGGGGTCATCTGGCCGTCCCAGTGATATTGCACATATCTCATTGGCATGTCCTTCGATCTGAGCCGACAGCTGGCGATATGCATTGAGGCGTTTGGCCACAAACTCCGGATGTGTCTCTGATAGCTTTTGATTCAGAGGTTTGTGGAGTAAGAGGAGAAGCTGCACAAAATGGTACAAGACTGCGGCTGTTGCGCACATGGCATTGGCGTAAAAGAGCTCCTGGAAAGCACTTTGAAATTCCGATCTCGGCGGCATAGTGTCCGAAGGCGTGGGTATGTTGTTGTATCGTTGTGCTATCCTCGCACAGGGCTCAAAGGTGTCTGGTAGCGCAGCACACCAGTTGTCGAGATGTTGGGATATGTCATCCCAGCTGTGAATCTTATGGAGTGAGCTTCCACTTGTCTTACCACCATCTAGAGGGCTACTATCTGCAATTTTGTTGCCGCTTTTTTCATCAGCCACAAACGCAAGTGTCTTCAGAATGACCCATATCAAACTTCTGCAGGCCACCGTTTCCGTCATTTGCAATTGGTGTCCTGAAGTTTCATCGCCGCAAAGTGAAACTGGTAAGTGAATCCCATTGACGACAACCATTGGTAGACCCGCAGCTTTCCATAACTCGAGGTTCTCTATATCAATGCGTGGCGGGACCTCTCCGGTGTAGGATGTGACCCAATCGATACAGACAATGTTCCAAAAAGACGCTTGCCAAGCTCTTCGAGTACTTAGGCCGTATGCTCCGCTGCGGGGATTATACTCGGTGTTTTCGAAGATTTGCTTCAAGTTGAACGTAAGCAGATATTGAGCGCCAGACATATGCCTGATTCAAGACGTGATTAGCAAGCTAGTTTTCAATGGTAAACCGAATGAATGAAAATCAGACTATACCTAGAGACTTCTGCAAATCGATTATCAAGTGATTCGTAGAGAAGAAACACGGATATTGCCGCCAAAAGATCGTCCACAACATTATGAGAATCCTGAATACTCCCAGTCCGGCGCCTCTTAAATGATGGTGACACTGCTGAATGAAGGTTCAATGTCAGATCCATTGATGATGGTGTACTTCCAGGTGATGAAGCAGGGCTGCCGTCACGTAGCGTTTGCAACAGTCTCATCATATGACCGATAGCCTTGTCATAGAAACTTGCGGCTTTGTAAAACCAGTCGATGTGAGCCACTTCAGAGTACTGCTCCAGCATCGACCGGCCAGGTGTCTGATGATTCGTCGAGTACGTCTCTCGTTTCGTCTTCCCAAATTGCTTTGCAGCAATGGCAGCCAAGGCGTTTTGTAAAAGAGGGCTTCGTATTGCCTTGATAGGGACAATGTGTCCAAAGAATCGCTCAATATCAAACACATCCAAGCACGGACTGATTCTTTCAGCAAAATATCGGATTAGATATGCGGTCTCGTGGTCGGCCTCGGTCGAAGAATCCGGAATTGGAGACGACAGGTCGGTCCCTGGCCTTTCGGATCTTTCTGATCTCTCTGTGTCCACTTCATATCCAGGTTGTCCATATCCTTCCAAATTGACGTCATTAAGCCAGGAGAGAGATGGTCCTTGCGGGCCGTTGGCATCATTTATCAAGGAGAGGGACGGTATGAATCCGCAGCAGTTGTTTCCATCCGCAAAGTAAACCTGGGGATCAATATCGAAAAACCTGGAGTCAAAGTCTGAGTCTGAGATACTCTCAGTCGTGATAAAGGACGTGTCCTGAATATCTTGGGTGATAGAAAAGCTGCCTTGGCCAGGCCTATCCAGGCTAGAGCTAGATCCCTGCAGAGCATCATTTTGAGACGTAAGCTGAATTTCGGGCGGGATTGGAGTTGGAGTTGTTGCCTGAGTTTGAGCAACGTCACTGCTTCCTGATGCTGTCGTAGGTAACAAGATTGAATCAAGCGAGCCTGAATATGGTGAAGCAATGGAAGGCGCCTCAGTCGCAGGACGTGAGTCTACGGTCTTGATAAGGCCACTATCCTGTGAACTGGCACCAGCCGAGGAGAACTTCTTTCGGAGGTTCTGGCTCTCGTCAAGGAACCTGCGTAGATGGTTGTAGCCCGGACATGAGCGAGATGCCTTTTCGCACCGCGCACAGCCCGGCAAGCGCTTGTCGCACTGGGAATACGTGAGTCGACCGCACAATCCGAACGGAGATGGCTCGCCATAGCATAGAACACGGTACATACCTTGACCCGCCGTTTCCTGCAGAGCGTACACGGCACGGTGGAAACCTCCATTGCGTCGGATCAATCAAGCACCACGGGCCAGACTCTCGATGCTCGCTCCCTTGATCCTAATACAGAACGAGTGTGGTTGCGAGTGAGTGATGAAAGAATCCCTGGGCCGAGTCACCGAGCGCCCCGCGTGAGTGGCTCAATGGGCTGATGAGAGTTCAAGTCCAGTATTGGGTTTGGTTTATCGAGCTTGGCTGGTCAAGTTGGAAGGTGAGCGGAATGCCGACAATGCCCATGTTGGGACTAGCGGTCTTTGCTGAGGCTATCCCATACACGGCAAAGCGTGTTATCACGACGACAGGGGGCTGATGATTGTGAGCACACAGTTGGTCATCCATCTTGAACAACCATCAATTGAATTCCAGCACCTTGTGGCGGCTGCTGCTGCATGTTACAGTACTCATGGCCCGCTAGAGCTTTGGCCTGCGCTTTTCCCACTCATTCCTCCCAGCTGCAACTCATCATCTCGCTCCGTGCACTCTTTTTTTGATCCACGAGAAGCGCTATTGACGGCAACGGTGGACGGATAGCTTCACAAGTTCACAAGAGGCCAGCGAGTGGTGACGGTCAGACACCAGTTTGCGCTATCCAAAATAGTGGTGATGAGGCCGAGCGCCGAGCATATGCTGAGCGCAAAACAACATATAGATGCGGCAACTGTTACCGACCGCAATTAGGCAGCAAGATGAAAATCCAAAGGGTACCGAACCCGTTCCATCACTGTCTCATCTCAAGACTCACGGCCCCAGGCTTGGCGATCTCTGTCTTGCCCTTTGGCCCGAAGTCCTATAAGCCACATGACGCTTGCTAACAGTACGATTCTTTAGCTGTTCATCTATCCCGTCAAATCACTCTTGCCAATTGAGGTATCAATTGCAGAAATCACGAGTGAGGGCTTTCGCTTTGACCGGCAGTATATCCTTGTCAGAGATCCCAAGAGCCACCCGACGATTCGGCCTCATCTAGCCGAGCACCTTACCGTTAAGCGGGTGTATAAACTAGCACTCTTCCAGCCTTCAATCAATGATGATTGGTCGGAGCTGACCATCAAGCACACGGTGGCCCAGCCGGAATCTTCAATTACTATTCCTCTCACACCATCGCCGCTGTCATGTCTAGACGCGCCGTCGTACCAAGTGAGCGTCTTCGGAACCGAGGCTTCGGCCGTTGATATGGGAGATGGCCCGGCCGAGTTCTTTAGCAAACATCTCGACATACCTACAAGATTATTGTTCATCTCCGGATCGGGTAGCCGCGAGATCCCAGGAGCTGCATACATCCCTAAACACCGCCTGCCATTAACAATCAAGGCTGCCGGTGAACATTTCCAGCCACAACGAATCCGATTTGCGGATGCTGCTCCGTTCCTGGTGACATCAACAGCATCTGAAGAGGACGTCAGAATCCGGCTACCGCCAGATAATCAGCAAGAAGATGTCTTGCTTCGCTTCCGTACCAACATCCACGTCGATGTGGGATCTGTTGCGGCGTGGGACGAAGATCACTGGAGAGAGCTCACTGTATTTGCAGAAGACGGAACTACGCCAAAAGCAGTTGTCCGCTGTGTCTTCAAGACCCCTCGCTGTCTGAGTATCAACGCCAACATACAGACAGGGGGTGGATCTCCGAGGAGCACACAAGTCTACGGCTTAATAGCTAGAGATAGACGCGTAAACAAGGCGTACCCTAGTAAGGCTTCTCCCTAATCTCTTCATGTTCATGATGGGCTAACACGTCTGCCCAGTGAAACCAGTCTTTGGACAGTGGTCGTTTGCAGGTCCCAACGGGGCCTTGCTTCGAGTAGGCGACGAAGTTAAAGTTACGGAGAGGGGGGCAAACGACAATTTGAGTGAGAATGTAAGTCAATATTCAACGACAATGTGAACTCAGACCCAAGGCTAACGATATATCAAGCTTGTTTCGGCTTGATTCTCAGCCAAGATAATGGACGGTATTTCGATATGTACAAAATGAAGGACACGGTAATATCCCGAATCGTATAAGTTGGCATGCGCCTACATAAACACATATCCTTCAGATATTCTGCACGGCGTATTATTTCCCGTACATAAAAGGTACCTGTATTCTATCTCAGAACAAATACGCGAGTGCACGGATTGCAGCCGTGTCACGATGACATAATGAAGAACAGAGGGGGGATATATCAGGTATCTAGCAAAGCGGAGGCTCATTTCTCAATGATACCCTCAGATAGGCTATTCATCAATCGGCTACCAGTATCAAAATACGTAAATCTGCTTTCCCTTGGCAATGATCTGCTTTCCCTTGGCAATTCCCTTTCTCCGAGGCCGCGCCGTAAGAGTTGACAGAAGAGGCAATACATGATGTCTTCCAGATATATGTGTACTAGTCCCAGATAGGCAAGTCTCAGCGAGCTGGTCCGGAGATGCAATGGAAGCTGTGGATACATCTGGCAAACCCGTCACGATAGCCAAGTTAGACGAGATGCGAAAACGAATGCGGTCATGATTTTGATTTTTCGTTTAGATGGATCGGATGCCGCTCGGTAGTAAAACCCTGATCGGCACAGATGCTATCCGGGGCGATCCTATGAGCTGATGTTAGTTTTTCTAAGCGCAAGGGAAGACGTAATGATACACATACAACATATATGCAGGGCGTGAAAGGGACAATCCATATATATATGCAATATCAAGGGCATGATTGTTCGGTATTTAATCTTCGTACTTTAGTCACATCTTTAGTCGTCTTTTAATGACAAACCCCAAAGCACACTCTTTTGGTCTTTAACATTTGTTCCCCCTTTCTAAAATCACAATGACGGTTGTGCAAAATTTTACCAGCGATGACGAGACGGTAGATCAAGTCGGAACCCCTATTTCAGAAGAAACGATTGAAAACACCGGTGTACAAGAACAACCACTACGAGGTGATGAGCACGATGGCGGATACGGCTGGGTATGCGTTGTGTGCCAACTGATGATTACAGCGAGCACGTGGGGAGTCAACGGTGTAAGTCCACATTGACAGCATCAAGAACGACACATCTTGTCAAATCAACAGAATAGAGTCTAACAAACTTCTTTACGACAGGCTTTCGGCGTATATCTCACTCACTACATCTCGACAAACGCCTTCCCAGGGACATCAGAAATCGCCTACTCCTTCATCGGCGGTCTCTCCCAGTCTCAGATCCTCCTCATCGCTCCTCTCGTCACACACGCCACCAGAAGGTTTGGAACCAAGCCTCCCCTACTTATGGGTGCCATCATGGAGGCAGGCGCTCTGATCGGAGCAAGCTTCGCTACGCAGTCATGGCACCTCTTTCTCTCTCAGGGGTTGCTGTTTGGCTGGGGCTGTTCATTCTTGTACATCGGTACCATTGGCATTATCCCCCAGTGGTTTCACCGGAGAAAGGGCATTGCAAACGGAATTGCTGCTGCAGGAAGCGGTATTGGAGGTCTCATCTACAGCTTGTCCACGGAAGCCATGATTTCCAACATTAGTGTCGCCTGGGCATTTCGCATCACAGCCATCTGCACCGCTGCAGTCAACGTCATTTGCATTATCCTGATCAAGGACAGGAATAAGCACATTCAACCTACTCAGCGCGCGTTTGATTTTGCCCTTTTCAAACGGTCTGAGCTTCTCCTCATTTCGACGTGGATGTTCCTCAGCATTATTGGATACACATGCGTTTTATTCTCGCTTCCAGACAATGCTGTTCGAATTGGCCTTACTGCTCACCAAGGCTCTATCCTGGGAGCTCTGGCTAACCTTGGAATGGCCATTGGTAGACCCATTGTGGGCTACTTCAGTGACCGTGTGGGAAGATTAAACATGGTGATAGGGGCAACAACCTTGGCAGGAATATGGTGCTTATGCCTCTGGACATCTGGCACGTCGTATTCGATCCTGCTTGCATTTTCCATTATTGGAGGTACAACAATTGGCACATGTTGGGCTGTAAGTATTTGAACTTTTTTCTCTACAACAAACTGAATCAATACTAACACAAAACCTCACAGATGGTTGGACCTATGCTAGCTGATGCCTTTGGAATGAAGCTTCTCCCTTCTGCACTATCAATAGTTTGGACGATTTCCGCCGTTCCATCAGCCTGTATGTTATCTTGCACATATACCCCTGGATCCAATATCCAGTTTGTCTACCAAATGCGATGCTGACATTTCTTTAGTTGCCGAGGCCATGGCCCTAGGACTCCGACGATCGCACTCCCCAGTCTACCTAGATGTCCAGATCTTCTCCGGCTGCATGTTTATTGGAGCAGCATTATTTTTACTGCCGATGAGATTCAAAAAGAGGATCGAAAGTGTGATGGCATCGGAGAAGCAATAAGACAACCACGACTTATACACGACTTATACCCGACCATTGCTGAGACCGAACATCGATTCAGAGTTGGCTATTTACAGCGCTACTAGAAGATAATACACGACATAGACCAATATGACAGAAGACGAAAAGATATAGAGACATATACAATGGAAAAATTGGAGGAATTGAAGAGAAGGCCCCCTTGGTAATTTTTGAATACATGTATTACGGGGACATTGATTTGAGATGAAAAGGAAGCACCAATAGAGGCGTCAAATTTAATGACAGTCATAGTTAATATAGATGTATATAAAGTACTACACAACATTCATTCGGTAACTCATAACCTGAGCATGCATTCAACTTACTATTCATTACGTGCTGAACTTTCCTTTTCCAAGTCATCGTGACAATGACCAATATTTGCATACATCGAGTTATGCAAGAATTGAATCCGCCAGCCCACGACATGTGGCTTGTCACGCTTAAAGCAGCACCGACATGTGGCGCACAATCAGATCTGGCAGGTGAAGCCCCGCCTCATGTCAAACATGTTCGCTGCCGCCAAAGTCCACGGGCAACATCCGCGCGGGGTCCGCAGCGGAACCGAGATAATCTGATGGCCGATGGCCGGACTCCGCTTCACGTCTTACAGCTTAGAAGAGAGATCATGAAACGAGGATCTCCGTGGCCCGCATCTCCTCCCAAAGAAATGGGTGTGTACTGTAGCTGGATAAAATGGAGAGAGAGAGAACGGCTGGGGAAAAGACGCCTTGGTGCTTATTCCCCATCAAGCTTTCAAAACGCCTCGTAGGGCTCCTCTGTAGGCTTGGCTTGGCCTAAATTCCCAAGCGGCGGATTTGCAGCTAACACCAAACATGAAGCACAACTAAGATATTACTCGGGGCGCCGCCAAAAGCTCTCCTCAGCACGGCACGATTTAGCCAATAGCAGCGCCTAAATGGCCCTTTTTGAAGGCGAAGGCAAAAAACAACCAACATTGGTCCAGTAAGCGCGAAAATATGGAATGGACGTTGTGTCGAGGAGGACCAAATTGCCTCGGAGCGGGCGCTTAAGTCGTCCTCTTCTTTTAAACTTTCGAGCTCTGCCTAGGTATTATTGCCAAAACGAGCGAGGTTCAAAGCCTTATCTTGACGGCCAACTTATCTTTACAAATGCTCTATTTACTTTCTCCCTCCTCGGCGAAGCGCGCCGCCGCCATCCGCTATTTTTGCTTCCCTTGTCAGACTCAGCTCTTATTCTGCGGAGAGAGCAGATGGAGCGGAGAGGGAGGGGAGGTGTCGCAGAAAAAAGAGCCGCGTGAGGTGCGGGAACTGGCGTCAGGCGAGCCGAGATTTGATAATGAGTTGTGCGCGGAATTGCTTACATACCTGGTACGATATGTATGTAGGTACGATAAAGACCCAGATGCAAATGCGGAGTAATCGTACCATTTTTGCGCATCTTAAGATGGACAGATTTATGGCAACACTACATGCACGATACTAATCGCGCCAGAACGAGCCAAGAGCTGTAGTCAATTAAAAAAGAGCGGAAATGTCAATAAAAGCAAGGGGTCAAGTTTAACCGCCCAGAAACAGCAAAAGCTTCACGGAAATGGCAAATATCGCAACACCAAATGGGGGTCAGGAGGGGGGCGTGTACTTCAATCCCGCCCAACACATGGCCTGATAAGCTGATGCGATTTTGTCGTTCGAAGTGTCCTCCAGATCCAATCTCGGCCCACCCCTTGAAATCTGCTTTGTTCTCTCTCCTTCCAAGATGGGGAGTTTCACGTGGGGTAGGGGAAAGCAATAGAGTGTTACTCTGTTTTCACCTCTTTGTCGTTGTCCCTCATACGGCTTGCGTAATTACGCCGTTATGTACCCATGTCCTGTCTGATGCGTTGGTCACAGGCCGGCGCTGCGGGGGGAAGGCAAACGAAGGCAACAGAAAAGGGAAATAAAAGTGTGAACCTAGGGGGGTTTGATAATGGCCAGCGTGCGCCAGGCTTACAAAACAACGGGAAGATTTTCACGTTAGGCGGGATTACGGCTCTGATTTGTTATTCACTCCAGCTAACTAGTCATGGTCGAAAACAAAAATGCCAAGGTTTTTTCGGTCAAGCAAGGGAAAGAAAAAAAGCACAAGCCCAAGCTTTTTGGGGGCCCAAGGCAAACAGGCAAACAATGGTGAACGGGCGGGCTTTAGAAAACACCCATTCGGCATGTACCGTGGCTCGGATCTCATAAGCATCACGGCAAGCAAGACACACTCACACACCGTCACTCCGGCTTTTACTGCATCTACCTAGTTTCCCCCTCCTTTTTTGTTTTTTGTTTTTGCGTTGCGATTGGGCTGTTATGCCTAACATCCAAACTCCCGCTGACGAATCAACCGCCGCCAGCAATTACCATACCGTAAATCCATGCCCTCCCGTTATGGTTTTGTTGGCACAAGACAAAAAAGCTGCTGCCTTTTCACCCGCCAATTTTAAGCAAGGGGGGGTGTAATGGTGGTGGGGAAAATTGCAAAAAGCAAAGATCTGGACGGCAATGCATCTCGTAAGGGCTTCATGTCTCTGCTCATCTTGCATGCTTGCCAGCTCATACGTTTTTTTCTTTTTCCCTCTTTCGCTTTAATTTTTAACCATTCATCACACACCCCCTTCCCTGCTCTAGACCCGTAGTAGAAAAAAAAAGCAAAGCAAAGCGGATATCCGCAAAGTCGCCGTTTTACAAAGCAAGCAGGCTAAGCTAACTCGCTGCAAGCAAAAAATTTTCCTTTTTTCCTGCTCTTTGTCGTCGGGACTTGAGTCGTGTACCACTGGCAGCTTTCTCCATTGGATTTGTCCACGGGACCCAGGCAAGGGACCGAGCGCCCGAAAGCATTAGAGTAATGGTAATAGATCCATTATAGCTTTTTTTTTCACGCTTGTTTTTTTTTTCCATCGAAGTTTTCATCCATGGATCGTTGCTTTTTTTCTTTTTGCTGGGTCGGGCGGATATTGCGGGCCTTGCACTCAATTCCGTTTAGCTCTATTTCGTAGGTAGTTTTTCTTTCCGTTGGATTCTGGCATTGGATTTGCAATTATTAAGGCTGGCGGTAAGCAAAAAGCAAGAAGCTGGGCCGGCATTGTCAAGTTAGCGCCGCAAATGTACGTACCGTAACTCCTCGGGCCATCTGACCTGGGATTTGAAATGCATCTCCGGTACGTATTCAGCCTGGGGCTGCTGCTTATCGGCTGCCACTCCCACCGATGCCGCTTCGTCCGAGCGGCGTCCTGTTAGTGCCGCTCGGCCCATCCGCCATTGCCGCGGGCTTTCGGACATCCTGTCAAATGTCAATCAAATCAGGGTTCAAGTCAGTCAGTTCGGTTCGGATTTTGAGTCACAAGATTGCAGAGAGTAGGAGACAATGTAGATGAGTTTGTAACAGTTTTTTGTATTCTGTAATTGGGAAATCGCTATTCGATTTGTTCCCGTTGCTACTAACTCGTGGTCCACTCAACCAAGGGAAGACCTGTTCCAGGGAGCGGCCCACCAATGTGTATCCATGTACCCATTCATTCCTCCTCATGAAAAAAAGAAACGCATTTGCCATGACATTGTATGAAATAAGACGTTGAGCTGTGATCTCTAATGGTGTATAGTGGTAATAGAACAAATGAAAGTATAAGTGAAGAAACGCCGTTGTGCCTTTTTATATTCCCTCTTGGGGTATCATGATGAAGAAATCAGAACGCCTTGCCAAAGCCATGCCATCGCTAATGCTAAAGAATCAAATCATATAGTAGTGTACAAGAAGAAGGATCGGTGGTGTCGATCAGTAGACTGAGATTGCCGACACCAGGCCCGCGGGTGTTCGCTGGCCCAGGTAGAAATCCTCTTCTGTGTAATATGATGATTCTTCGCTCTCTTCCTTGGCGGGGAGAGGCAGCTCGGCATCGGCTGGTGATGGGGGCATAGCCTCGTCATCTGAAGACTCGGAGTCGTGGTCGATCAGCTCCGGAGGGGAGTTTGAGTGTGAAGGAGTGCGGACGAGCTCGAGCTGAGCGTAGTCCTCCTCGAGATCGTCGTCACCCATGATCTCGTCCTCGACAACCTTGACTGTGGTGGTGGTTGTGGGGATGATGGTGGTTCGGGTGTTGGTCATCTCCATCTCGTCGTAGTCGGACTCGTCGTCAGAATCGGAAGAGGAGTCGGAGTCGTACTCTTCGTCGACGGCCTCCTCCTCGATTCGGTCGGCCCACTGGATGTGTCGGCTGCTGTTGGATCCGGAGGTCTTGGTGTTGCGGACAGACTGGTTGAACCACCGCTCCTGCTCCCGCTCGGCCTCGGCAAGCTCAAGCATCAGAGAGTCGAGGAGGTTGGCGTGTCCGACAAGGAGACGGAGATCGTGATCGGGTTGAGCAGCCTCGCGAGAGAGCTTTGCTCGGGCCTTGTGGGCCAGGTAGTAGGTCTGAGTGATAGACATGCTCTTCTTGGTAGCTTGTCGGAGGAGTGATGCTGAGGCAGACATTTTGTTGTGTGGTGGGGAGGAAGATGGATATATAGTGCAGGTGTGACTCAAGGCAGCCAGATATGGTTGCAGGGATGGTTGAGATGCCTAGTGGACTAGTATACTGCTGTTGTGTATCAATGCGAGCACTGGATGGATGTTGAGATATTGTTTGTTGTTCGAGTATCTCTTGTATGTTTCTTGTTATTGTAATGCTCGCTTGATTGTTGTGCTGAATGATATCGAGGCTCAAGGTCGGGGGAGTCGGCATTCTTTTAACTCGGAGCCTCCCAACCGGGTCCCAGCAAAAATCCATTCGGCATCGAGGTACGTACTCGGCACGCCCTTGTAGCCCGGTAAAAGCGGACTTTGGGAGACGGGCCCGAAAAGAGGCACGATGAATGCGAGGGGGGAGGGGTGAGACAGTCATGATCATTCAGCAGAAAAAATCACAGGCGTGGATGCAAGGGGGGGGAGGGGGGTGAGCAACGCCATGGGTTTTGGCGCTGACTAAATCCGAAAGCCCAGCGTCTCCGGTACGGACGTAGCAGCGAGTCAATCATCCGCGAACAGTACCCGACGCCTGGCTGCGCCTGCGCCCCGCGCCCAGGTACCTCGCGTCCCAGAGTACACGGCCGCCCGAGGCTTTGGTGCGAGCAAACCATGGCGTACGCCACGGACGGCTTCGGCATTTTGCGTGACTCCTTCGCAGCGTCGTTGCTTTGCAATGGGATTACGGCGCCAGTCCGCATTAGGCATTCGCACTCGCATAGCCAATTAGTCACAGCCCGTCAGAAATTTTTCCCTCCAGTTCCAAATTGCTTGGTTAGCAGCAGTAAGAGAGAGCCGCCAGTTTAGCTGGAAGCTTCCGCTTCCTTTTCGCTACGGGCTTAACGACGGCACCCCTCGCCATTACTGATCACGATTGGCTCGACAGCGTGCACGACACCGCTGATTCGCCCGTGAGCACCAGCCGACGACTGTGGATTATGAATCACAGGCCGCCCCATACCTGGCTCTTCCCTTCTCCCTGCCCTCAAGCTCAACTGGAAGGGCCGCTGATTAACAAGCCCTGACCTACAATGTCCGACACTGCACCGTTGTCCGAGGCCTAATTGCTCCGTTTGTCTATTTCTCAGCACCGCTATCATTGCGTAGTAATGCTCGTCGATTCGGCACAGTCATCAACAGATCAGACTTTGCGCTAACGTGGAATCAAATCAGAGAATGCTGCGTCCACTCCCCTTTGCCAATTGCTTTTGATCCGTTATGCTTGCCGATTCCTTAGTAACTAGTGCCGCCCAACTCGTGAGCGAAGATCTCATCGCAATCGCACTCCCCCATTTGTCACCCACGCTGGGATGGTTTTGCTGTTTTAGGCAATCCAATTCGAAAGGAAGCCATCGCGACAAGAAGTGCATTGCCCATTCGAGCAATTGTCGTTGCTATCACTGTTGTTGGGGCCAGGTACGCGTACGTGCGAAGCTACGACGCTGCAAAAGGGCTGGAATTGCTGCGCATTGCGCATAATTCGCATGGCCGTGCACGAGGCTTTGCTCAGGGACACGCATTTGGCATCCGTAATTCAATCGCAATTAAACGCAGCTCAATCTCAGCCCGCCCGTGATCTGGCCTGTTTTGTCGCAGCCTGGGGGGCTTGACAGTCAGCGTGACCCCAGGTTTCACATCCTTTTGCGCACAATCTGTCCCAATGCGGTGCCCGCGGATATCCTATTCGGCAATTTCAATCTTTGCGTGTCTTTCGCCGTTTTCTTTTCTTTTTCTCGCCCTCGCATAACAGCATTAGTGCGAATCCCTAGTACCTAGTACCACTAGTAGTTATGCATCGTACGTCGTACGTCGTATGTGTATACGAATCTGCCAAGCAGGCCACGACAGCGTCTAGCACAGCCCTAAACGGTCGTTTTGGACTGACACCATATCACAGGCTATTTTTCTTTTCTTACTCGCACACGGCCAACGTATTGCTCGCATCCGCTTTGATTAGCACAGGCGCCGCGTTGCGCTTGCGTCTCCCTGCTTCACTAGCAATAGCGATGCTCGCCGTTCATTTCTGGTGCCTAGTATGAGTACCTGGATGGGATGCCTGGACTGTAACATGGTACGGAGTAGGACAGTAATACTGAGTGCCCGCAGCCGTTCCGTTTGCCGAGCCGTCTCAAACAAAACTGTCGCTGCCAACCGTCAAGACAATCACAGACGTGTATTTAGCCCGGCTGATCGGTGGTCGGGGACGGGACGTGGAGACGAGAGCGACGGACCTCCGAGACGTGTCTGTCTCATCGGCCGTAAATAACCACCAGTGCAGAGCTGCCTATATCCTATGTCCTATGTCCGCATTCGTGCATAATGAGTCTTCCAATGCACCTAGAAAAATGCAAGCCATATCGCAGTCATCGCCGTGAATTGGCCCAAATCTCAGCCCGGTCACTCCCATCACCAATCAGACCCATCAATTGGAATTGGAATTGAGATTGGGGGCCAGGGGTGTCGATATTCTGTTGTTTGTCCTACCCGCTGTTTGAAGCCGGTACTGTAGCCTGTAGCGAGGGTAGCGAATTAGTAGGGCTGAGTCGATTGAGGCCCCATTTTTGATGACTCCGACGGTCTTGGGTGGGTCTTGCGGCCCTCGGCAAGGCACCACTCTCAAGTCCACAGACAGATGGGTACGTACCCAATTCAAATCCTTAATGGGAGGGGCGGCGGCACAGACCACGTCAATCAAAAGCAACTCCAAGCCCTGGGCGATCCCATCAGCACGTCAAGGCTGATGATAAGGCCCAACACCCAAAACCCACGATCTCAGGGAAAAGGGGGCTTGCACGCACTTGCGACGTGGCGCAGGGATGAAGGAATGCGAATGCGCTGGTCGTCCATCCTCGCAATCGGTACGCGGCCATCGAGCCAATGATGCGCTGCGGAATCGGGATGCGGCAAGATTTTGTGTTTTGTCCGGCACTTTTTGGTCCGCCCGTCCATTCGATGGCTGCCGATGTGGCCAATCACAGGTGCAGACGCAGACGGTGTCTGTGTTGCTGACAGAGCCCGAGGATATACGCGCATCGCCCGCGCCCGAATGCCGAGTTGGGCTTTTCGGAAAGATGTGGCTTTTGCTGCAACTGCAAAACCCCACGCAGCAAAACAGCGAGCGATGAGGATTGCCTACCTATCGAAAGGCTAACCCAAACTGCACAAGCTCTCCTGGCGCTCAGTTGCTGCCGCATCTGGACGTAGCTGTGCATCGTCATCAGCTCAGCCAATTCCACTGCGGAATTCCGTAGCAACGGCACAGCGCAGCCACGGCGGCTCGATTATCGTCCGCGTCGCCCAGCTCGCTTTCGTTCACGGCTTGCTTAGGATTAAGCTCGTCAGCCATTTCAAATTGACGGCTATCATAACGGCAGCCATAACGGCTACCCTGACGGCAATCCGCCTGGTGCGTGCAAGCCATGCGTATTACCTACGACTCCAATTCCAATACATCGTACCCTGTGTTAGTACGAATTAACGATTATTTTTAGCCCACAATCTTTTCCCTTTGTTTGATTCACTTTGGACGCCGAGACATTCCCCCTCAGCCCTGCAGGCGACAACCGATGCGATACGAGTTCCTCGTCAGTCAGCACAGGCTTCTCCATCCAATTTCGCAGGCACAGACACTGTAAGATCTCTCTCCCTGCAATTAGTGTCATCTACAGCCGTGTTTCAGCCCAGGCACGAACCAGCGGGCGAAGGATGCCATCGCGAAACAGTGGCGCTATCCCCAAAGCGGCTCCGTCGCTTCAGGGTCGATAAGACAACAAAGAGCCGGGGTTTCGGGGCTTGCGAGATTGAAAGATGATTAATGGCATCTGTCAGCACAGCATTTCAAATCGCCGCATCAGGCATGGCGCCGACTTTTTAACTCTACGCCCATCAACTCCCGTCCGTCTGGGTCCGAAGAGCAAAGTTCCACCGGGGCACATGGTGCGGGAATCCACAAATCCGTGATGGATACTTCCGCTGCCATCTCTTACTATTTACCTTACCTGATCATCATCAATCGCCGGGTTTGGGTTTTTGAGTTTGTCGTTTGCCGCTGGGGCACAATGCTTAGCATCGCACGTGCCGCAGCGCTGTCTGTTTGACTCAAGTCAGGGCACCGTCCCGTGACACAGACCTTGTGCTCTCAACCCCAGATTTCATGAATCGAAATTGTGGTCATCCCGCTGGTTTCCTCATCACCCCCAGTTAGGTAATCAAAACGGCAACTTCCACTGATTTTCGCTGCACCTTATCAATCATCGCGTGTACGGAGATCCTTCTTTCCTATCCGAGGTAATGCTTAATTGGCGTGTCGTTTAATCTATCGCCCAGGGTCGTTCAACAGCAATAGACGTCATAGTACATTTCCTACCCAGTACGTGCGTTGCGGCACAGATTGCGGCAACAACAGTTCCGCAGCGAGGGAAGCGAGAGCGAAGGAAAAGGGTCCAGGGCGGTAGACGCCGCCTTTTGTCCGCCACAATGCCGAAGACGGCCATTGCCCTATCACCACGCACGTTTCCCAGGGGCCCCATTAAATGCCGTCATTTTTCTGCTCTTTAGCCGGGGGTCGCACTAGAACAGAAAAAAATCAATGGAAGCAACAAAGAACATGCAGAGAAGACCCATCTCCCGATAGCCGATGATTCGCAGCCAATCCCAATCGCCGACGCCATGACGCCCAGCTTTGCCCGGGCGAATGGTGCTTTTCCGGACGAACAACGCACAAAAACAGATCTGCCGGCTTTTGGGGGTGCGGTTGCGGCATCTCCCCTATTTCGTCACGTCAAAGTGCAGATACGGGATGCAAAGGCGGTCCGCTTCTTTTTGTTCTTGTGGCCTTCTTCCCGTGATCGAGATCCGTGGAAGCGCCTCGGGCGTCCTTGCGTCCTTCTTTCCATGCTTCCATGCATATTCCGACCATGCCGCTTTCGAAGATCATTTTTCTTGTGTACACACCACAGGAAATCTCGTGACTTCGCTCTCCGGTGGTTTAGCAGACTCCGTTCGCCGCGGACATGGACTCTTCCGTTGCTCTCGTTACCAGGACGAGGCTCGCCAATAGGCAGTCTTGCTTCCGGCTCCTCCCTGGTCGGGTTCGAGCCTTGCGCTTGCGGGCGTCCGCCTCCGTTTCTCCATGGGATATCGGCGTTATTTCGTGAACCGTTTGTTTTTTTCGGACACGAGCCTTGTCTTGACGTAAGCAGAGGCGTGTCAACGCAGTTCCTCTGCCGCGGCATGCAGCATGGTTACAATGAGTGAGTGAGTGAATATCCGGCTGGTATTCCCGAACATTGTCCCTCTTTTTCTTGCGGGAGACACCAAGCAGACTCCATACATGACCTGAAAATAGCATGAGTAGCTACCCTGTGGTCCACCACGTTTGGGACGGCCCGCCAGGATCGCAGAGTACGTGTAAATCAGGAGTAAATACGAGTAATACTACAATCTACTCCGTATTTACCTTATCCACAAGGCCATGAACCTGGCAGCAATCACCAGCAGACAACTAATCAACCGGATGGTAGCCATTGATTTCTCGAAAGAGACAATTTTGCTCAGTTGGGAAACGGAACCATCGACGCTGCCATTTTGGATAAATTCGCTCTACCTCGGATCGCGCTATCCGTAACGTACGGAGCTCATCAGATGTTTGCGCGATTAGTCAACTTGGCTTCAATCATACGATGATGTTCCTCGGCTTCATTCATCGCACCCCTTGACCAAGAAGGAAGTGCCTCACTGATGAAATGACATGGTTCCGTTGCCGCGGACTCCGTGGTTTGGGGAAGTGAGATCTCCATCCTGCTGCACCCAGTTGTCTTGATGATTCGATCATCTGGCTTCGGTCAACTCAGCCGCCGCGCCGAGCCGGCACTCGGCGATGTCACAGGCAAGCGTGTCAGTTTTTGATGAACGTTCTGTCTATTCACTAATACAGGGTCCTGTTCGATGATCGAATCTTGTGGCTAATGTCTCCTGCCTTAAAGCGAATACTATACGCCCATGTGCCCGCAAGGTCTGAGCTTTGCTACCAGCCCAACTCCACCATCTATCTACCTTGACAGCATCCATCCCGCGCGCGTAGGGCAGAGCAGTGAGTGCAAAGTGAAGTGAAAAGGAGAACTCCCCCAACGCAAACCAAATCAAATCAGGGATCGCCTATCCCGCTGCTCTGGTAATGAGATCGGCAAGGTCGTCCATCCCACCGGTCCCAAAGCTGATTGGAAAGCAAAGGGGCATGTTGGTCTTGGCACGCACTCCCGCCCTTGCGCGTTCGAAAGTGAAGCCCGACAGCCCTGCTCATTGAAGAGCATTATGTCTTTCCCCCAAAAGCTATACTTGGATGTGATAGTATCCCCTGTTGTGTGACAAGCCTTTGGAAATCACCTGGGAACCTTTGAAGACGGCCGTCATCCGCATTTTAACCCACTTAAGCATGGCCCCCCTGCCCATAGGGCAGAACCTCACTCTCATCTCTCGCTCCCACCCTCCATATCAAAATGCCTTTGCGCACTCCGCAGTCCGTGCCGTGCCTCGTAAGCTGGGGGAGAGAGAAGGCAGGCTGACCAACAAATCAGGCACTCCGATGCGGCGTAAGATGGGGCCTCTCCCCCTCCCCAAATTCCAATAACCCCTGGCCGTATTTTTGGCTCCCGTCCCAGCGCAATGGGCCGCCCGGCATCCTGTCAGAACCCGTGTTTCTGACGGGACAGCTTCCACCCTCTTCCCCCTGATTATCATCTTCCTATGGTTACCGCATTGGGGAAGGACAGCTTACCCAGCAGTCTGGAACCGGGATCTGAAAATGATGCGCCGTCGCTAGCTCTTCGCATCGTTGGGTCACTGCTTACGAGTGCCTCTGGTGATTGTGCTTGGTGGTGGAGATGGGAAGTTATTGCGCGCGCTGTTGCCGACGCGAAAACTCATGCCCAGCGTTCTTGTTCTGTATGCCAGCCCTGTTTGCTGACATGTTTCCCCCTGATCGACGGGTTGCCAGACCATGGTATGTATTACTGGATACCGACGGAGTGGCACATCGCGAAACGTGGTCCAGCTTTGCGGGCGATGCTTCTCTCGCACGCCCCCCTTCCAAGCGAAGAAGTTGCCAGACCATGGTATTACTGGATACCAACAGAGTGGTATCGCGAAACGTGGTCCAGCTTGCGGGCGATGCTTCTCGCGTACGCCCCCTCCCAAGCGAACGGGAAGAGAATTGCCCGTGAGCTGCCCCTAAAGATAGCAAGGTCAGTATCAAAGGTAGTAATAACAGCAATTGTACCTTGCAGTAGCAATAACGGCAAAGGAGACCCGAACAACCATGACACGAACTATTGGGGAAGATGAAAGAAAAGATGTCGCTTAGAAATTGATGATGATGCTCTCTGCTCTTGTAATGATGAGATTATGCCCACGTCTATGCCTGAAGTTTCTGTTTCGTCCTTTTCCTCTTGCCGCCAACTTCCCTGCCCTCCTCCATCTCCAGCAACGCCTCCCGCTTCTTCTCGCCGACCACTTTGAGGGCGTCTCGGATCACCCTCGTTTCCAGGTTGACGCCCTCCTCTTCCCAAGCCTCCATCTGCCTGCCCACTCGCTCTTCAATGGCCAAGACCAATTCCACATCTCGTTGGCCCACAAGTGTCACGGCCTCACCTTTGCGGCCCGCACGGGCGGTACGTCCCACTCGATGGATATAGTCATCTGGGTCCCGAGGGATATCGTAGTTGATTACCAGGCTAACTTCTTGGATATCGAGACCACGGGCCGCCACATCCGTGGCCACCAAGATCCTGGCCGCTGATGCGCGGAAGCGCGCTAGGTTATCCGTTCGCTGTCTCTGGGGGAGCTTGGAGTGCAAAGAGGTGACGCGGTGGTCTAATAATCTCAACAGGTGATGAAGATACTCTGCCGTTGATGTACGGTTGCAAAAGATGATGACCGTCTTGTTGACATTGGCCTCAGTGAGAAGGAAGACGTGGAGGTAGTGCTCCTTGTGAGTGATGGGGATCTGCACATGTTTCTGACTTAGAGTTGCCGGGATGGCAAGCATCTGCGTGTCCACCTCACAGACGAAGACGGGCAGCTTTCCAGGTCTCTGTGGAAGATCTTTGAGCGCCCGCACCTCTGGAGTGATAGTGGCTGTGAAGAGAAGCGTCTGTCTTTCGGAAGCAGGAGGCAGTACTGACAAGCACTCCTCAACGTCGGGCAGCATGCTTCCCTTGCCAGCGGCATGTAAAAGACGATCGGCTTCGTCGAGAACCACATAACGTACTCTTCGTAGTCCGCAGATTGTGTCCTCTCCAGATGTTCTGATATGGTCTGCCAGACGTCCAGGGGTCGCAATGATGACGTGTGGTCGTTGAGCCAGTGCAATAGCTTGGGATCGCATGTCGGCACCACCAGTCACAAGAATCATCTTGAGGCTCTGCGGCGATGAAATTGCCTTGAACTGCTCATAGATCTGAAGAGCAAGCTCGCGGGTTGGTGTGAGAATGACGGCAAAGATGGCGGTTGGGTCCTCTGCCCACTTCTGGAGAACGGGAACAGCAAAAGCAACTGTTTTACCCGATCCCGTTCTGCTACCACCAATGCAGTCTCTTCCCTTTAATATCTCCGGTATGCAGCCTTTCTGAATACCAGTTGGTCGTCTGATAGCCATGTTTCCAAGCGACTGGACAAGCCATGGTCGCACATTGAGGGCAGAAAATGTGGTATTGGGGTCGGTCGGTGCAAGAATGGGATTTTGCGATTGCGGTTGCGATATGGCAGCGGCTTTACTGGCAGGCTTGACTTCTCCCTTCTTTTCAGCGCTTCGTTTGATTCGAGATGGCACGGCTATAGAGGCCAGTGGCAGCTGTGGAATTCTGCCACCATCTTCCTCGTCGTCATCGCTCTCATCGACTTCAACTTGAAGCTCGGGAGAGGTGCGGCGCCGTTTGCGGGCAGCGGCACTGTCGAGGTAATCGGACTCATCGGAGGATGTTCCCGCGTTGGAAGAGAGCTCCGGATCCGAAGATCGGTCTTTGTGCGTGACACCTTTGGAGGGCATGCTGGGGGCTTGGAATTGTGCAATTTGTGGATGCACTCCCAGCGTTCTGATGCAAAAAAATTTGGCGATCTACTAACCGCTACCTAGAAAAAAAAAGTTGGAGTTTGGCCATTGGACATGTGGGGCAGCGCGGCCCAGTGGGGTTCGTAGCTCACCGCTTTCCCTGTTTGGTGGCAGCGCATCAGAGATCAACTCCAAAGTATCCATCCAGAGCCGCGTTTAATGTTCTATATGGAGAATTAAAGACATCGCAGTACTACTCTGTAGCCGTCGGAGCCTCATGAATCTATTTTTAAAACAGATGTGCGTCGATTTTTACAGGCGAGATCCACCCGCTTCCGCTTCTCTTCGGTTGCCCGTCAAATGGACGAACCAACCATAGGCTGGGCGCGTAGACGCGCGCTTGGAGAAACGCAAGGCTAAAGGCGCAGCGATGCTTATTGGCTGATCGTCAGCCAGTCTGCAAGCTGCGCCGCACTTGAAACCGCATCAGTCGAGCACCTGTGACCACGTCTGGCGTCTGGGCCAATACGAGCCGCGCAGTGGTTTATTTTAGAAGCCCTCAAATCTTAACTGCAGAAGTTGAGTACGACGCGAGATGCAAGCTGCAGGTCGGTCGAATCCCAAGGTTGACTGCGCTTTTGAAAAGCTTGGCTGCAACGCTGTTTGCCCGTCCTCCTGGACTCGCTGAACCTGTGATGGTTTCTGGGGACAGGGCGCTGCATCTTCATTGGCCCGGCTTTGATGCAGTGTGTCAGACAACAATGCTTAGCATTGATGGGATTTTGGGGGCCCAGAACAACTGCAATGTCGAATGAATGGGATGCCAGCCCACTCCTCGTCCTTCTAGCTGCTTTGCTGCTGCAGGGTGGGCGACCAGTTCCAAAAGGTGGTGGCCACTGGTCTTACATTCCACGTGTCGACGAGTTCGGGACTTTTCCAGCAGGGCTGCTGCTCATGTTTGATTTGAATCCTTGTTGGATTGCCGCGGCTCAGCTGCGCGGACAGGTCAGCGCCCGGCACACCAAGGCTACGTTTCTTTGCCATAGCTCGAGATCAGCGGCCCTTTTGCCGGACGCATTTTGCCATCAGTCTCACCACGGCTGACCTATGCTGCAGACGGATGACGGGAAGACGGCTCAGGGGCGCAAAAGAATTCCAAATGAGCGATTCCCAGACACATGACATGGTGTTGTAGGGTAAGCTAACAGGAGACTTGATGCTTGGGATGAGCTTGATACTGCGCCGCGCCCAACGACCCTGGCTAGTGCTGCCGGCTCGTCTGCCCCATAGGGCCGGCGATGGGAACATGTCGATACATAGGTTGGAACTTTGTTCCAAGTACAGTGTAGTACTCATGCGGATCGCTTGCTTTGATAGGTACGTCGTGCTTCATGCTCTGGGCTCTGCAATTTTCCTTCCGATGCCCCTGGACCATCGTTGGCGACGCTGATAGGCCTCGGCCGTGCCGTCTCTCCGCATCTAGATAGGTACGCCGTGTTGTTAGATAGTAGTCGACTTGGTACTGTACTGATATTACTGGAGGCACAGACACATGATACCTGTAGCACCCGTAATTGCTTCAAGGTTCTACTTGTTTGCCCTCCAGCTCCGTGTTTCCGCGCGCTGATTTGCCCATTTGCTGCTCCCAGCTCATCTCCACGTCCCGAGACGTCGTTTCACCACCGCAAGTCTCAGCAGCAGCCGCGGAAACCGGCTGCCAGCTTCTTTCTGCTCCACCCATCCCTCATCTCCACTGACACGTTAGCGCCGCTTGCTTGGCTGAGCACGAGAGCTCTTGGGGGCCTTTGGGAGCCCTACAGTGCCTGAAGCTCTCCCCGCAGCGCCCCCCAGTGGTGCTTCCTTGCAGCGCCTCCCAAGTGCTACCCAACAGGTTGATGTACCTCTCCGGTGCTTCGACGTTCCATGTTGGCGGGCATTGATCCGCTCCATCCCATCAACTACAGTCTACAGGTACCCGCCCTGTACAGAGCCTCTGCCGCTGGCTGGCCTACAAGGGGCCCATCACCACTATGCGCCATGCACAATGCCACTGACTCCGCTGGCGCGCATATGCCGCTTCAGGTAGGTACATGTAGGTACTTGCGTTGCCGACGCCCAAAATCCCAGGAGCTGTACTCCGTACGGAGTAACCCACCTCGAATCCCTCTGCATCTCGTCCACGTACATGTAGCCCGACTTCTCCCCTACACAATAAAAAAAATCTACTAGACCCCGAGCTGGCCATAAGCTTCACCTTCAGCCAACCTTGAGCCATCGTCTGCATCCCTCGTTTGCCTCTTGCAGTTTCAATTTTTTTTTTATTCTTATTTCTTCTTCTTTGCCTTTGTGCATCTGGCGGCGCTGCCTTTTTTGTCTTGCAACAGACGCTTAAGCCGACTATCCCCTCTCGAGCGTCCCCTCACTCGCCTTCGACCCACGCTGGCACCAATAGACTGTGCATGCGAGCATTCGCCTCCTGCGATTTGAGATATTACTTGCCAACGCATAGCAAGTCGTCTGCCGATATTTGAATTTTCTAGCATCAGCGTCACTCTATTTGAGCGCCCTCTGGCCCTCTCCCTGTCGTCTATTTAGCGCTGCTTTCGTACCGCTGTTGGGACACTCCCTCTTTTTTTCTGCCGTGGCCGATTTTGTACTCTGTACCTTCTTGACCGTTGGGAGTATTTTTTTGAGTACCGCTCCGACCTTCAGCCTCGCAAAGGTCCCCTGCCATCTCACCACCATCAGCAATTCGCTCGTTTGGATATATCGCGACAAACTGCCTTGACCGGCACTGCTCATCATGGCTGACGCAGCCCCTTCACAATCCCAGGGCACCGACCCCGCCGCCCAGCTCGTGAGTTTCATGCACTCTCCGTCTCCTGGGCACACACAAACTAACCGACCTGCTCCGCTGCAGCATCCCGTCTCCTCCTCCTCTTCCGCTCTCCCAACTCCTGCATCAACTCCGATGTCTGTACCGATCATGAACTCTCCCGCACCTCTTCTTCGTCCTGCCATTCCCGGCAACCGGGGCCGTGCTGCTCCTAGATTGGGCCTGGCCATCCCTCCATCACCAAATGCCAAGCCGGTGGGCAACCTGACGATCCAGCCGCCCGCCAGGCCACCCCTACCGACTCTACACCTGGCCACTCCTATGGGGAGCCAGGTCACACCATATGAACAACCTGCGAGGCAGCAGGGAATACAGCCCGGACAGTCTGCTGGCGGTGGCAGCGAGAGCAGTGCGGCGCATTCAAGGTCGGGCAGCTTCGGCCCTCTTGATGGCCGGGCAAGCAACCCCACGTCTGCGGGCTCTCAGTTTTCGGCCCTTTCATTTGCCTCCCAGTTCGGCATCCCTGTAACGCGACCCCAAGGAACCCCGGATCCTGTATCTGCCGTCGGCTCAATGAGAAGCGAAGGAGGTGTTTCCATGGAGCGAGATGGGAGCCTGCAGGGCCTAGAGGGATTTGACCGACTCAGCATTGAGAAAGCAAGGAATGCGGATGTCGAGGATTTGGACGACGAAGGATGGAGAATTGCTAGCTTGGAAAAGCGAATCGTTGAGTTGGGCAACCTCGGCGAAGGTGCAGGAGGAGCGGTCACCAAGGCTATGCTTAAAGGCGGCAAGACTATCTTTGCCCTAAAGGTAAATGATTTCTGAGTATAAATACCATGCTGATGGCGATGCTAATATTACATCTAGGTCATCACTACCAACCCTGATCCTGATGTTAAGAAGCAAATCGTGCGAGAACTGGGTTTCAACAAGGAATGTGCTTCCGATCACATTTGTCGTTACTACGGAGCATTCGTTGATCCCTCCACGGCCACCATTTCCATCGCCATGGAGTTTTGCGAAGGAGGCTCATTAGACAGCATTTACAAAGAGGTGAAGAGGCTAGGAGGCCGTACTGGTGAAAAGGTACTGGGAAAGATTGCCGAAGGTGTTTTGGGCGGCCTTACCTACCTCCACACACGAAGGATCATTCACCGAGACATCAAGCCCTCCAACATCTTGCTTTGCCGTGACGGCTCAGTTAAGCTGTGCGATTTTGGTGTGTCTGGAGATTTCGGAACCAAAGGCGAAGCCAACACCTTTATTGGAACAAGCTACTACATGGCCCCAGAGCGAATTACTGGCCAGTCATACACCATCACTTCAGACGTATGGTCCACGGGAGTCACATTGCTCGAAGTCGCCCAGCACAGGTTTCCCTTCCCTGCAGACGGGACAGAAATGCAGCCTCGTGCGGGTCTCATTGATCTGCTCACGTACATTGTTAGGCAACCCGTACCGAAGCTCAAGGACGAGCCCGACAATGACGTGTACTGGAGCGACAACTTTAAATACTTTATTGAGTGCTGGTATGTTACCTCGTATTCGCTCTGTTTTGAGATTTGTCGCTAACTTTCCGGTTCTTGTAGTTTGGAGAAGACTACCCGCAGAGCCAGCCCCTGGAAAATGTTGGAACACCCGTGGATGCTCGAGATGCGACCCAAGAGGGTCAACATGGTGAAATACCTCTCCTTTGTGTGGGGTTGGGACGAGAAACAGGTCGACAGTTCTCGATGAAGTTTCTGACCCTAAACAACACTTTGGAAACGATACATTGCCATTCATTACGGGTAGACCAGCTGGCTGGCCTCGTCGTATAACTTAGAGCGCAAGGTCGTAACGGCATCACAAATACGAAAAAGAGTAAATGGGCATGTGTGATTATTGGATCAATGACGAGTTTTACCCCACTCATGGAGAGGAATCTGGGCCTGCTGCGGTGGATTTTGCAATAGGTCAGACAACGAGCTTGAAAGCACTTTCAGCAAGAGGAAGAGGAGGAGGAGAACAGCGATTAGGGGGTTGTTCATGCTACATTGTGGAGCTGTCAAATTGGCACCTCTCAACATAAACTTGAATATCAAGCGCTTGCACATAGCGATTCTTCTGATGTTTTTTTCTTACATCATCTTCAATTTTGTCGACATGGCGTTTATATACACGGGATCGTTTTAGTTATCCAAACTATAGCAGAAAGCAGAAGAGAAAAAAAAGATGAAATATGCCAAAAAAGAGGTATCCCTTGTGATAGTCAAAGTACGGTATTCCTACTGTACGCATATGGAGGTGGGTGTTTCCCATTAAGCTGCGTTGGTCTCAGGGGGATCTCCCATGAGTTCTCGGAGCGTGACGGTGGCGTAGGCACTTCTGCCGAGCTGGAACTTGATGACTGCGGCGATTTTGAGCGGCTGGTCTACTTCCATGGCTTCCTCTGCCTTTGGAACTTCTTCAGCCTTGTCGTTGGCAGTTGCGGCATCGTTGGAAGCATCCTCGCTCTGAGTGGCTTCTTTGGAAGCTTGGTCTTCTCCCTCCACCTTGGCTACTTTGCTCGGTCTCGCATCATCGCCTTCTTCGCGAGAGCGCTTGTTGCCACCGCCGGCTCTGCGTGCGGCTCTGATGACGTCCAGGTCGGTAGGGTGCATCTGCTCCTCGTCGCTCACGTACGTCTTGAACTCGACGGCGGGCTTGGCGAGGAACCTGTTCATGAGCTTGCGGTACCGTCCGGGCAAGCTGAACTCGCGGCGCATGCGGCGCATCTTGTGCGGGTCCAGCGCGCCGTTCTCCTCGCGGCCCATGAAGTCCTTGTAGAACTCGCCAATCTCGTTGTCCGGGTAGATGACGTCGTAGCCCGGCGTGGGGAGGACAATGTCGTGCACCGTGTACTTGCCGCTGGACGCCTCTTCCTCGGTCAGGGGTCTGGCGCGCAGGGGCACGTCGTCGTCGTCGTACTCGACTGGGTTGATGATGTCGTCGCCATCCTGGTCCTGGCCGCTGATCTGGGGCGCGGCCTCGGTTTCAACGATTACAAGATCTCCCTTGACAACCTTTTCGCCGTGGAGCTCCCATCGCCTGCTCGCGGCGTGGTTCCACACGTGGGACTGGCACGCGTGGAGGTACATCGATCGTAATCCCCGTGTGATGTGGATGAGGGCGCCGACAAAGTCTCTTCTGGACTGCTTGCCTTGCCTGTTTAGGTGTCGAAGAACGCATACTTCGGCTGAGAACCGCCTGGGCATAATCTCAATGGCCTTTTCGACGTCTTTTTCGGTCTTGAACAGCATGCAGGCAAGGTGGCGACTGTATTCGTCCCTCTTGGCTGGCTCATCGGGGATTCCCTCTGTTTCTGCCTTTTGGGCAATTTCTTCGTCATAGGCAAGGATAGCATTGATAGCACCCTCGTAGTTGTCTCCCAAAATCAGCTTTCCAACTTCATGAGTTCCAATCTGGTGGGTGCCAAATCTCTGGTGGCCAAAATAGTTAATCCAGCCATGCTCGCTCATATGGTCTAATGCAGATTGGACATTGGCACGCATCAAGTCGACTTGCTCAGAAATTGGCTTGGCGCTGGCCTCGCCGACGATTTGACAGTTTTTGATAGTAATGGCAAACTCATTTCCCAGCAGCTCTCCTAGATGGATAGGCTCTGACTTGTACTCGTAGTCGCCCGTTGTTATTCCCCAGAGCTTTCCGTTGATACCTGCGAGGCTTCGATCCCGAGTATATCGCACAGAGCAACGTTGGACTGTAGAAGCACGTCGGTCCTTGGTGCCTGCATAATTGATCACTTGAGGCTTCACCTTGAGAATACGGGCAATCTGGTTGACGGCGTCCATAGTGTCGCGATTGTCTTTGAAGAGCGTAAAGTGAAGATACTCGCCAATCGGCTGGTCGTCTTGCTTGTTCCGGTTGCGATTGCGTCCGCCTCGGCCTCTTTTGCCTCGCTTCATGGGTGCCGAAAAGCTTGCAATGATGGCACCAGCATCGTCCGTGCTAGTCTCTATCCTGGAGTTGAAAATCCGTCGGATTTCCTGATGAATTTCGCCTCTTTTGGACCTGTCATCTACTGGCTCGGAATTAACTGGCTTCTTCTTTTCTGAAGTTTCCACTTGGCTGTCTCTGAACAGCTGGACGAGCTCTTGCGCAAACTTTTCACCGGCCAGGTTGCTGAGAGCAGTGACATCCTCTGCCGGAACCTCTATGATCTCCTTCTCTTGAGGTGTGTCGTTGGCATCATTGGCATCAGCATTACCAGCATTGCTGGTAGGTTCTTGCTGCTCCTTGGGTGTATCGGCTTCTTGCGCTGGAGCAGCATCTGTTGTCTGCGCAACCGGTCAGCTCCATCTATAGCAACATTCCAGAGATCATTTACCTGCTTCACTTGACCATTCAGCCCAATCTTGTGCAGATGCACAACGACTCCGTCTTTCCCAATCTCATTGACTTGGAAATCTGAGAATCTATAATAGCATTAGCGAAATCATTGATCCTACTCTCTCATCTTGGGGACTTTGAAGAAGCGCGTACCTCACGCGCAAATCGCCCACCCATGGGAATCGCAGTGGCGTTGCGCGCTGCGTAATGCCTATTGATTTGGCGTGAGACGCACTCTGGCGCACATTGTAATGCGCTTGGTCACTCATGATAATGCTGATGCAGCAACAGAGGCGTGAATCAATTGAGTTGAGCCTCACTATCTGAAATTCTCACCAACATTCCCAGATTATTTGGGTCGTGTGGGGCGCATTTTTCCGGCAATAATGACTCTTCAGAGTGAGTTTGGTAGGCGGTGAAACCGATAGCGCATATGAATTCTTACTCTGAATCCAAAAAGGTAGGCGGTGGAGACAACGATACTACATAACCTGCGAAATGACATTGTTGAAACCATGAGAAGATCTATAATATATTTCCCATTAATTATTAATAATTTGGATCAATAAACGTTAATTGTTTGTTAAAGATATCAAATGGAGCAATGGAGACTTGCTAGCGAATGGGAAAGTAGGTATTTTGCAGAGCACCTTCTTCGGAATAAAAGTGTACCTACTACACACAGAAAGAACCGCCCTGCTCACTTAACACCTCCATACCTTAAGTTTCTACTATTCACTTGTTTTCAATATTTTATCGAGTCGGCTCGTACAATAGTCGGGACGCTTTAATAGCTTCAAGACGCATCTAAACCTAGTCATCATGTTGATCCTCCAATAATTCACATTTGCTTTCCATCTCATATCTCATTATCCTCACCAGTACTCATAAAAATCACAATTCAAGATACATATAACTACTAAAGATATCGTTTACCCTGCTCTCTCTCTCTCGCTGTGTGTATATGGCCAAAATCATCGAACGGACACATGATGGGCTCTTGTGTCGACATTTTATCTCTCCTGTGACATTTTGTGTGAAGCATCAGGCTGGAAGTCAAGTACGGTTCATCAACCTAGAGGCACATTTTCGGTAAGATGCCTCGGCGGTTAAGATGGATTCTTCCAGCTATTCGATTTGCGACCGACTCGCGGCAATCTTATAAAATCTCAAGTTCAGACTCAGACTTGGAGGAAAAAAGACTTGAGCAACCAGGTATGTCTTCGCTAAGGAGGCTTGTTCATTTTGCTTCTCTCATCGTGCTTAGATCTATATGGCGCCCTATGGTCAACTGGTTTGCTTGACTCTAGCAACAAGCGGTTGAACGAGCCAAAATTGTTAGAACTATCAGATGACATTCGATCTCACCTTGTTGAAGATGCTTCGCTAGGTCCCAGAGCCGGGGTCGTCAAGAGAGCTCTTCGCGAGTTGGTGAGAGACGAGAGCAGTATCATGCCAACCATGGATTTTGCGATAATCCAAAATGCTCGACTGGATAAACTTCTCTCTGATATACTGACGTTGGGACATCAGCAAGCCTCGTCCCATCCCCGACCTCGGATTGATGTAGTCATGGCTGAGAGACTGCAGAGGCTATGGATGGCTAGATTTCGCGAAAAATACTTCAACATTGATCAGATCCGACATCAAAATTTGTCAAGCACTGGTATTCTGAAAGACGTCGTTTTCAACAACATAGCCTCAGATGGCTAGGAGCTATGGCAGGCGAAGAAGTGTAGGACCCTGTCGGAGCTTGAGTGGAATCTCCAGTTCAAACCAGGGCAGTAAGCTTCACCGGACCGGAAGCCCTCGGCAATCCAACGTACTGACATCGTTTACCAGTTAGTGGCTAAATCTGGCATGTGCGCACCGAGATGGCATTGTAGGAAGCATCATCGAGACCCCAACAAAAGGCAAATACGGGGCTGCTGCGCTTCCGTTACTCACTGGCCGAGAAGAGGTACTGCCCTCGGGAACAGTTCGCTACATGCGAGAAGCAAAGCTGTCGGAAACACACGTCTCCTTGATATCCTGCGTTGGTACCCAAATACGGATCCTTAGAGGTCATCGACTCAGGAGCCCACTCTCCCCGAAGGCTGGCATACGATATGACGGACTGTAAATATTCATTTTCCTTTCATTTGATAAAAGGTAATTTGCCACGGTTGCTGACCAATTTTGTAGGTATATCATCCGGCGATACAGTCATAAGCAGAATTTACAGACTCGCCTGCATCGAACCGTCATCACATTGGAGAGAATCCCCGGCCAGCCGAACATAGCAGACCTTGCCAAAGTGCCTCGCCCCTCGCAAGTGGACGATTGGTTGCTGTTTGAGAAATTCGAAGGCGAGATGATTCGACAACACCATGGCGAACAAAGCTTCCTGGACTAGAAATTGATGAAGGCACAAGAACGCATGGAGCGGCGACAATGGAAACGCGCTCTCGAGGTTGGCGCTGCTTTGACGACGGCCCGACATGCAAGATACAGCTACGGAATGCGTGACATGGGGCTCAAGGAAGATACCCAGGATAACCCAAATCATTAGAGCATTCTGTTTGCTCCCTTCTTATGAAATGCGAGAGGCATTGTTGGCGCAACACCACGTTGTCACAATTTTTTTTTTGTCGGACGAGGTTTTGGCTTCCTGCTAAAAGCCGGGGCCTGATAACTTTGTATTTTGGAGGGGCTTTCCCGACGGCGGGGCTCATCAAATCGACAAACTTCACTCATACAACTATTGGCCGATTCACTTACACAAGACCTAAACGATGGGCAAGAACGATAAAAAATCCGGCGATAAAGGCGGCGGCAAGGGAAAAGGCGCTGAGGCCAAAGAAGGAGGAGGCAAGGCAAAGGGAGCGATGTCTATCAACGTTCGTCACATTCTGGTATGTCTAAAGAGCTTGAATTGCGCTGAGATCATTTGTGAATGAATACGGGCTTTACTCTTTCTGCCCTTTCGAAATCTCCAATGACCAACTATTCCCGGATTGAAGCCAGAAATATGTAATGAGATACTGATGACGAAAAGTGCGAAAAACATGCTAGGAAAGAAGAGGCTTTGCTGAAGCTGAGCGAGGGTGTCAAATTTGACGAGGTGGCACGGGCCTATTCAGAAGACAAAGCACGACAAGGTATTCAAAATCGCCCTTTTCCTTTTCATTCTCCGGCATCTTATCAAATGGCATTACTCTGGAGATGGGTTGCTGATAACTTTCTTTCTGTTCGCGGCAGGGGGTTCTCTAGGTTGGAAGATTAAAGGGAGCCTGGATCCTACGTTTGAAGAAGTTGCCTTTTCTTTGGAGCCGAGCACTACGAGCAATCCTAAAATTGGAGAGGCCAAGACTCCGTTTGGCTATCACATCATCATGGTAAGTTTTGAACGGGTATTCCCCTTGCTGCGCATTTTTGGGACTTGGTTCATAACGGGTTTTATAGGTCGAGGGGCGGAAATAAAAAATGGGCAACCGCATGTTTTTCAGAGAGCATTAGTGTGCAAAAAAGAGCCAGCAATATCAGATGATTCTTTAAATTCCTTTTTTATTTTTCCCGTCATGCAAGTTGGCCATGATACAAGGCCTAGAGTACAACCCTAAAGAAAGTCGTTTTTTTTCACGCGTCCTGAAAAGAAACCAAGACCGCACCTCTATAACCCCTTAAATCAACGCCGTCCATGCCCTTACTGGGAAGTCTGGAAGTAGTTCAGGATGATAGAACGCTCCTGAGACTCCTCACCCCAGTCCTTAACAACGACGCAAGAGCAGTTGACGACCTTGCGGGCGTTACCCTCACGGTCCAGAACGCCTAAAACAGTGTAAGTAAATTGTCTTCCCCCCATTCTCTTCGTTTTCGTCGGGAAATCACATACAAAGACCGGCCCACTCGCCGAGCTGCTTGCCATCGGGAACCTTGATGAGAGGAATCTTGTGCTCATTGCAGAGAGCAATGACCAGCTTCTTGTAGGCCTCCTCCTCGCAGTTCTCGTTCAGGACGCACATGTGAGCCTGGCGACGGTCAAGAGCCTTGGAGGCTTCTCGGAGACCGCGGGCGAGACCGTCGTGCATGAGAGCGAGCTTGAGAACACCCTTGAGGGCGTCCAGAACGGACATCTGGCCCTTGGGGGCATCTCCGGAAACTTCAACCTCCTCGGCGACCTCGGGGGCGTTGTTCTCTTCTACGTCCGACTTTTGCAAACATTCCCTGGTTAGCGCTGCGTTTCCCAATCGTCAAGGGGGGGTATTTTCGCAATCGACAAGGACCGGCGAGGGGCTCATTTTCTTTCGTGCATGTGCATTCGCATGGCGGGAAAAATAAAGAGCGTCCATCATTCCGACGTTGGCGATTCGCGAAATCCAGGTGAGAAAACTCACCATCTTGATTGTTGTTCTCGTCGGGCGATCCTCGAAGATTAATTGACGTGTAAAGAATTAGTGACGGGGTTTTTGCGTCGTGCGCGACAAGTGGTAGTAGAGATTGAGGATCACGGGGATTTGCCGAAATCAAGGTAACCGAGTGTGCCAAGAGTGCGTACCCTTAGGGCATTTTTACGCGCACGGACCACCAGGGCACACAACGCACCACCCGAGTGCGGGCCCCATACCAGCGCCCGATTTTTTTTTCCCATCTCGGCGTTGCAGCTCCACGACCTCACTTCAATCATCAGTCAAACTCCAAACGAGGTATGTATGGCCTTGGTCACCGCTGACGGCGATTCGGACCTGGCAGGATGACGCCTTTTATCGTGGCTGGGGACAGCAATCGTAGACGCCGGCCCCGATGAGCGACAATGAACGCGCGATGATGCATCATAATCATGCGGTTTTCTGTTTGGCACACAAGGCTTTGGCTGGCGTTTCTCGATACGCTGCTTCCCCTTCGGCAATGAGCGGGCTGAACCCTCGTCGACGGATCGCTGAGGGCACTCTCCACGCTTATGGGCCACTCCGAGTCTAACATGTGTTTCCCCTGTGGCAGATACCTCATTTCCAACTCCGACTTGAGAATCTCCTTTTCATCAATACCGCCAAGATGGTCCGCACTTCCGTTCTCCACGACGCCCTCAACTCCATCAACAATGCCGAGAAGGCCGGCAAGCGTCAGGTCCTGATCCGACCTAGCTCCAAGGTCATTGTCAAGTTCCTCCAGGTCATGCAGCGCCACGGTATGTTGGACGATTGATGTTTTTTTTTATCCTATTGCTTTTGCGCGACACCATTTCCCTTGCCTTCATTCGGCATGATAACTAGGGCTACGATCGATACCGCACCACGGTCCAGCCCCTATAAGTTGCCGATATATTATCCTGCGGTAGATTTTCTTTAGATTTCTATGCCTATTTTCACGTTTCAAATCGCCTGAGGTCTTCCGCAACATCGCTAATACATTTCTTCAGGCTACATTGGCGAGTTCGAGGAGGTCGATGACCACCGCTCCGGCAAGATTGTCGTCCAGCTGAACGGCCGTCTCAACAAGACTGGTGTCATCTCCCCCCGCTACAACGTCCGCCTGGCCGACCTCGAGAAGTGGGTCGTCAAGCTGCTGCCTGCCCGTCAGTTCGGCTATGTCATCCTGACCACCTCTGCTGGTATCATGGACCACGAGGAGGCCCGACGAAAGCACGTTGCCGGCAAGATCATCGGCTTCTTCTACTAAAAAATTGGCGGAGAGAGGAATGAAAAAAAGTGAATTTGCGGCATTCTCGGCGTTCCAATGGTGGTCGCGGTGACGGTAATCAGCATCCTTCTGATTTACACTGGGATAGTCACCCTTTAGCTTAGCGTACACTGGCAATAAATCACAGATGAGAAAGCCCAATTTTACTTGAACCATTCGTTACCCAGTGCTCCTCAATTTTTGCCATGTGATGGATATATACATCTCAATCTCTTTTAACTCTGGAAATCATCTCTAGCCAGTTATATGGCGAATCCCCCTTATGTAATAAATCGGTAAGCCTGGCGCCACTAGCAAATCCCCACCAACAAAGCTGGACATGTGCCTGAATGGGTTGCCGTCGCCACCTGTGGAAAGTAAACAAATCCCGTCTTGTCTTGTTTTGCTTAGCCCGAGGGCATTGCAATGGTTTTATCAATTTTGGATTATTGAATCGCCGAAATTTTGTTCATCTATGCCATTCTCTTGAGGCCGGGAATTTTGTGGTTCTTTTCTTCGCTCTGGCTATTCTTGGGGTGGTGATGCGATTGTCTCATTTCTGCTGAGCAGTTGGCTTTCAACGCCAGATTTCAAGATGCGGCGGTGCACGTATCTTCTGGCCGTGACGGTTTTGTTATTATGTATCTGCGCGTATTCTATTCTTGATATTGTGACCAATAGCTTCAATGCCGAGGATTATCCCCCTATACTGCCTCCGAAGCCGCAGAAGCAGCATCAACAGCCGCTACAAGAACCCCCCTCATCACCATCAACACCAACAAAATCAACAAAATCAAGCCCCGCCTCTCAAGGTCCGGTAACATGGGAGAACTTGCCCGTTATAACAGGCGGGCCACAGCCAAAGAAAGCTCCCGATGCAACATCACATCCAATCATCCATCTCATGAAAGATGCGCAGCATGAGTTTGCAGAGGTCAAGAAGCGACAGTCCAAGTCCCTCAAGGAGGCCGTCAAAGAGTATCGCAGGCGATATGGCATCCCTCCACCTCCACATTTTGACAAATGGTACAACTTTGCCGTAAGCAATAACGTACAGTTGATTGATGAGTTTGACATGATTCATGACATGATGACGCCTTTTTGGGGACTGCAGCCGCAGACGATTCGCGCAAGGGTGACGGAGGCGCTTGGGTATGATAATGGGCTGCTTGGAGTTGCCATACGAGATCACGGCATCACGCATATGGATCATGGGTATGAGTGGCAGAAGAATGCGACAAAGGGCATGATGGAACAGTTTATACAGTACCTGCCGGACATGGACTTGGCTTTCAACATTCACGATGAGCCTCGTGTCGTGGTTCCTCATGACGATCTGATTCGGCTTGTGAACAAGGCCAAAGATAAGAACATGCCCATGTTGAATGGGGAGAAGAAGCTCGTCAATCAATTCTCAGCAAAGCCATCTGATCTCAGCGACGGCAAAAGGTTCAAAGAGACGAAGCTCTCGAGGTTCAACACGATTCAATATCAATCTACTTGGGCAGACTCCCGCATGTCCTGTCCTCCCGACAGCCAGGCAAGGATCCTTGAAGACGAGCGTGCCGACGATCTGAGCAGATACGGCATCAGCGATCTTGCTTTTGTGTACAACACAACCGCCATGTCCGACATTTGTCTCACGCCATCCCTCAGCTCGACATACGGCTTTTTCGATCGTCCAAACTCGTTCAAAATCACCCATGATCTGCTCCCCATCTTCTCACAATCCAAGATCTCATCCTACGGCGACATCATCTATCCCTCCCCGTGGTACTGGTACAAGAAAGTCGCCTACAACGAAACCAACGACATGCCGTGGGAAGACAAAGAGAGCAAGCTCTACTGGCGTGGCTCCACCACCGGAGGCTACAGTCGCAACGGCGGCTGGAGGAGACACCATCGCCAACACTTTGTGCAGAAGATCAATTCCAAAGAGCAAGCCAAGGTCATGGCCAACAGCGGCACCGTCGAGAGCCCCAAGTGGATGGCCAAGGAGGTCCCGCGCGGGGACTACCAGGAGCTCATCGACGTGCACTTTTCGCACGTCGGACAATGCGACCCCGGCGACTGCGAGGCGCAAAAGGAGTTTTTCGATGTGGTTGATCCTGTTGACCAGCAGGATGCTTGGGGATACAAGTATCTGGTCGACATTGATGGGAATGCCTTTTCTGGCAGGTTCTACGCTTTCTTGCAGAGTCAGAGCTTGACTTTTAAACTCGCCCTGTTTCGCGAATGGCACAACGAGTGGCTCAAGCCGTGGGTGCACTACGTCCCGCTGAGTCTTCAAGGAGATGACTGGCTTGAAGCAGTACGCTTCATCGATCAAGACACCAAGGGGTCTTCCCAAGGGCAAAAGATCGCAAAGGATAGCCGTGAGTGGGCGAATCAGGCGATTAGGAAGGAAGATATGGAGGTGTGGTTTTTCAGATTGCTGTTAGAGTGAGTCTGCCTATGCCCGCTTCCTCTTTTTAGGAGTGCATAATGGATGATGTTGCTAACGAAAAGTTGCAGATACGGACGGGTGATTGACGACAATAGAGAAAATCTTGGATTTGAGATATGATGGAGCGGGCATGGATGGGAGGAAATAAAGCAGGCATCACTGGGCGTTTATATGAAATGATACCATTGTTTACTACTACTACTATAAATATTGATTGCATCATGAATTGGGCAAATCGCTGAACGAACACGACGCAGTTGTACATTCGCTCGTTGGCATATATCACTATAGCATACTATGAATGAATTTTCTTACTTCTTTACTTGCTCATTTCTCAGTCCGACACATTGACCACTCGAAAAGGCAACGCATTTTCATTACTGTCCATCTATATACCTGATGAAAACCCCAGTGTGCAAACCCAACTACTCCCTGGCCACCAATCCTGCACGTTCATTTTCCTTGTCTTCGATGCTCTCCGAAAAAAGCGAAGTTAATCGCTTTCGAAGATTCAAATTATCAAAAGACCAAAAGAGATTAGTTAAAAAAAGGAAACTCCTCCGTTCATTTAACACAGACTGGTAAATACGACCACAACGCCATCCACCACCAGCTAAGCTCAATCCTCATCATCATCCTCATCACCTTCAGCGTCATGGTCCGCAGAAGGAGACCGGTCCTGTCCTCCAACCGGGCTTGAAGCACCATTACGCTCGGCCTCTTCGCCATCGGCATCGACATCAGCCTCCTCAATGGACTGCTCCACATGTTGCTGCTCATCACCGCCCTCGTCCTGCTCCCATCCAAGAGGATGCCGTGAGTACATCTTCATGGCGCTCCTCATCTCCTCCGTGGGATCATCAACGGTAAGATCCAGCTGGTCGACCACTTGCGCCTCGTCGTCCTCAGAAAGACCATAGTTTGTGCGCGCAATGTTCTTGGTACGCTGGGGCCTGATGGTTGATTTTTGCATGATGGGGTAGTAGTACATGGCCTTTTGCTTGGGGAAGGTCTCGTCATCGTTGAAAGCGAGAATAATTTCGTCTTCGTACTTGGTTGGGTGATCGAGCTCCGTCTCCTGAGCCGTCTCATACGCCCTGATCCTGTTAAACTGAAAGTAGCCACCCGTGTCGGCCTTGTGGGTGTACAGGTCTTCATCATCATGGCTGGGGTCATCAACGTCAAACTTGCGGCGGAAGCGGTCCGCATCAGCACGAGTCTGGCCAAGGTAGAAGTCGTAGTTCATCAGGTTGGCCGGCTTGGGGTTGTTGGCGGGATCCTGCGCGTAGGCTTCCATAGCTGCTTCAAGAGCCGCTTCCTCGGCGGGCGTGCGGTCTATCGGCCTGAACAAACCGCTGCGGAGACGATTATCATACTCGTTGGAGCTCGAGACGGGGTTCGTGAGGAATTTGATGGTGACATAAGCACCGGAGTCGGGGAACGCGTCCAGGTCGGGCAGCAGGGGCACCGCTTCGACGAGCTTGAGGTGCTTTTTGGAAGGATGCTTGACACGCTTGGGGTCCTTGAGATCTTGTTCCGCAAGCTCGAAGCCCTTGTCGATCTTGCGTTTGATGACCTGGGGTGAGTCGGCGGCTGCTTCTGGGCGTTTGACTGGTCGTCGATTCTTGGCCAACAGCGCTCTAGGATGATTCGCCTCGAATCGTTTCGGCACCAGGGACGAGATGTATTCTGTTCGGCGGAGGAAGGAGACGTTTGCTTCGGCGACCTTGGGCTTACCAAGGGCCGCAATAGGTCTCAGGAGGGCTCGATCGTGAGGGTGGATGGCTAATGGCTGTGATGATGCTTGGATTGCTACAGGCACGTCCCCCAGGTCAGATTGGTTCAAGCTTGAATAACCAGCAAGTCACACTCACATCGTTCATCTCCATCAAACACGCCTGGCATGCCCACCAGATCAAGTGGCATACCCAGCTCTGCATCGGCCTCAATGTTCAGCGGCTGTTCTCGCGCCAGACGTGATGCAAACCCAGGCGTCGTGTACTGGCCGCTCGCGAGGCCGGTGTTGGGGATATCGAGCAGCTTCGGGGGATTCGGCGGCGGAGGCAGGGCATTGGAGAAGCGGATTCGCGCAATGAAGTCCTGGTGAATCATGCGCTCGCCTGAGCGAGCTCCCGAGGACGACATCTTGGCCCTTGTCCCCTTTCCCTACTCGCTCCTGGTCGGTCGAATCAATGGAGCAGATGCTGCAAATGAGGCTGTAAATAAATGAAGCGCTCGAGAGGCTCCGGCGTACAGGCGCTCAATTGCTGCTCCGATGGGCGATTGAAAGGCGTGGCCAAGTGTCGGTAATGATGGAGGGAAAAAAAAGAATCGCGCGCCGCACCTGAGAGGCGAGGCTGTCAAATCTGAGTGTAGCCTCTGCACAGGCTCCCCACCACGCGACTTTGGCTTGCTGCAGAGGCCGAACAGCAGCAATTTTCGAACCGAATCAATGAATCAAACATGAAAAATAAAAAATAAAAATGAAGATGAAAATAAAAATCGAAGTGAGTAAGTAAAATCACAAATTGCCCATCAGCTAGGCGTACAAAACTATTTCATTAAATTAAGTATAGGTAGCTAGCTCTCTATGAGAGTTTCGTCTCCACAACCTGGTTCCCATGCGGTTTCGTATCAGTCATCCGTAGTCTAACCCATCCGTCTACGCCTTTTAAGGATTCAATGACAGGCCCTCGTTTGCTGCTTTTATAAATAAGGAAAATTCTCCTTCAAAGACCCGTCATTCGCCGCACATGCATCTTTTACATGAGCCCACAAAGGCGCATTGATACGTGCCCGTAGGCAGCTGCAATCTGTCACACACGGCTCAAGCCAACCAATTTGAAATAAATCTGCATTCCCAGTATTCATTTCGAGTCCCCGGGACAGAGACTTCGTCTCCACGCGGTTATTGGCGAGTCTGCTTACGATCGGTCCTTGGCGTAGGACTTCTTGCCAATGGTAAAGGGGACGTAGCGATACTTGATCATGTGTTGGATCTGGCGGCGCACTAGAAACGATTGGTTAGCAGAGTGATGATAGGCACAGGATTTGAGGGCTTCATACTCGTGAGGACAAAGAGGATCAACCAATACATGACCAAGACGGGCCAGAACACGGGAACGTCAAAGATGGCGAACCAAGTGCAGACAAAGGAGATGCCGATGGCTCTCGTGGCCCAGTACCAGAACTTGAACTCGGGGAGGCGTCTGATGAAGGGCTTGAATTCCTCGTCTTGCTTGGTGGGGAGGGTTCCAACAGAGCCATCCTCCATTTCGCTATCCAGGGCATCGCTCGAGGGGTCGAACTTGGGCTGAAGGAAGGCCAGGAAAAGGTTCAAGAGGTAGATTCCAAGGGCGTATGCGACTGCGTGGCACAAGAAAGCGTTAGTATCTGCTGATTCATTTCTTCTTCTCCTCTGCTTTCGTTGCAACAGAGACTTACCAATGTACCATCCTTGCGCGACGAAAATGCGCAGGAAGAAGAGAAGCAAGGCCACGGCAGTGCCGATCCATCGGTACATGACATACGGAGTTGACTGGTCCAGAATCGCTTGGTATTGCTAGCCATAGTTAGCACATCAGCGGCTCCAGGAAGACAGGATGAAGCGAAATAAAAGCCAAAGTCGCGAGCACCTACTCTCTGGATCCTGGTGGTGTGGGCTGTAACAGCCGCGAAAGGGGTCTGTTCGGGCTCCGGCGCATCCATATTGAAGGCTGTAGCACAATTGCAACGTCTTGGATCAAGCTGGAGTAGAATGTAGATGAAAGACAAAGTCAGCGGGTTGCCGCACTAACAATCGCAGGCCCGGCGTTCGAAATGGGGAAACGAGGTTATGGACAGCAAAGGGTCGATTTATCGCGAGGCGAGATGGTTTGGCGTGGGGCGCTGGCCAGCATGTGCTTTGCGTACGCTTTGATTGAAATTCAGCCACGTAAGGCTTGACCCCTGGCCGCTAAGGCGGAGGCCGCCGGTGTTTTGCCGGTGCCTGCAGACGCTAGCGTCGAAGAATATGGAGTTACTCCAACGGCTAGCAGGAAATTGGAGGACTTGGCAGGTATCCGGCTATCTTCAGACGAAAAACTCTATACAAAGCCACTTTTGCGGAAAAGTTGTCCTTTCCTTATCTAATAGGCATATTTTCAGATGTTCGATATTGAAATGCCATTCCCAATTAAATTCTAGATGCCCATTCCTGTATACATACATAATCACACGCGTCATCATAAGCCTAACCACCTGCAACGTCTTAGTGGTACCTACTTAAATGAAGTCCACAATGGTGGACAAGGGCGCAAAAGTTGAAAACACCACTCGTCTTCTCCCATAGTGGTCCAACGATATAAATGTGAATGAATGTAATGATTATACCAGGGATGATCCAGGGGAATCTCGGCCACATAATTTCAATGAACCTGACAGCGAAGGGTACGAAGTTGCAACATCTGTGTTGAAGAGTCAGCCAAGACCTGCTGGGGGATGGAACGCACAGTTTATAGCGGCTCTAGTGTTTTAGAAGGCGTAGCGTTACGTTGAGTTCACAACATCAACAAGTTCAAAAAGCATCACATATGTAGCTCACCAAGAATAAAAGACCTATGTCATGGAAGCTTACTTTGCGATGATATACAGCACATATTTTTGATGGCCATCGTCTCTCTACACCACACGATGATTTGAAGTCTTCCGCGGTACAAATCAGGGTCCTATTTTTGGAGTAGAAGTGCTCACACCACACCCCGGACAGCTAGCTGCTACATACAGCATACATGGAGTTTGGTCTTAATTAGCCGGGCAGTAACAATTGACTTCATTTAAACAACACTGGTGGATATTTGGATGGCGTTAAAAACATGGTGTATGGCGTGCCGCACCCCACATTAGTCTAACCGCTGCCTTGACCGTGATGACTCGGTCCGTCGAGCGATGGTCCGCATTCTCGTAGTTGATAATCTAAACAACGTATTTATGAAAGAACCAGAAACAGACGGTGAACAATGTCCATCAGATACTGGGAACACAAGCTCCAGAAATGCTTCATTCAAGCATGGCCGACGATCCGGAACAATTGGCACCTCGGCATGACCGCGTTTGGCGGACCACCGGTCCATTTCAAAATCGTATGCCAAAACCATGACCAACTTGATGTAGTAGTCTGACCTCGAAGCAGTTTCATGACAAGTTTGTGTTGAAGCTCAATTGGATCGATGAGCAGATGGTACGCGCAATTGGAGGCGCCCCTACCCATTCAGCAGACTAATAAAAGCCGTCCGATAGTACCAGGAGCTCTTCAGCGTCTCGCAAGCTCTATCAGGTCCAGCAAGCACAAAGATGCTTTACTGTGTTAATTTAATTAACAACGGCTTACTTGGAGCTCTGCTTGCGTTCTTCATTTGGAGGTAAGCCTAGACTTTCGTACATACAACCCTAAGCGGCGGCTGAGAGTAACATCAATGGCTGCGCAGTTTGCCCGGAGCTCTGGGCATGTTTGGCCTCTCCATCGGCGTCTCTGAAATAGGAAGTACTTTACCTCGCGAAGTTTACGCTCTTCTCTCTGGGCTTAACGCTGCAACTGTTGGAATCATCGCCTTGGCAGCGGTCGAGCTATCAAACCAAGCAATTACGGACAAACTGACCAGAATTCTCGTCTTTCTTACTGGTACTGCTGGAATGTTATATAATGCGCTTTGGTACTTTCCAGTCCTCATGTTCGCTTCCGGATTCGCTGCTGTTACTCACGACTACCGCTGGCTTCATCGTCTCTGGCGAGCTGTTAAAAGTATCTTCACACGTGCGAGCCCCTCATCGACGGAAGTAGAAAATGATGCAATCGAGAGAAATAGTCGCATGGACTCTAACAGCTCTACCACCACGCCTCAAGAACATGAACTCACCTCTGGAGACGAACCCGAGTCGCGCACCATACCGCACGAGTATCAGCTAAACTTCTCGTGGAGAACTGGAACTGCTGTCATCGCAACCTTCTTTCTTACCTTTATTATCGTTATGGTGCTCCGCGGGGTCTTGCATAATCCTCCTATCCTATATAAGCTCTTTGCTAACCTCTACCTCGCTGGAACCATCATCTTTGGCGGTGGACCTGTTGTGATTCCGCTGCTGAGGGAATACGTCGTAGCAGAGGGATGGGTCAGTCCGCGCGACTTTCTTATTGGGCTTGCCATCATACAAGCATTCCCAGGACCGAACTTCAATTTTGCTGTATTCCTAGGCGGCCTTACCGCTATTGGGATCGGGCAACCCGCCATCCTAGGAGCAATCGTTGCGTATCTGGGCATCTTCTTACCAGGGATAGTCCTGGTTCATGGCACAATGGGCGTTTGGAAAGTCTTAAGAAGCAAGCCATGGGTCAAATCTGGGGTCAGAGGGATCAATGCAGCCGCCGTCGGTTTAATCTACACGGCTGTATATCGAATTTGGCAGGTTGGGTATGTAGATGAGGGTTTTCAGGCAGGGAAAAGCTTGGGCGATGATCCATGGTGGGTGGTTGTGACAGCGACAGCCTATGTTGGAGGCAGATATTTTGGTCTCTCGGCGCCGCTGGCGATACTTCTCGGTGCTGTGATGGGATTGGTAAGATATGGAGTGGTTATGAGGTAGACTTGCTGAAGATATATAGCGTTAAAAGATTGAAGCCAGGGAATATGTGATTGCCATATTTGCAGCACATATCTCGCCCTCTACTTTACAGTAATGCAATGCTGATATTCTGAGGCCCTTATATAGCCTAAATCTCACCCTCGAGATTCGTCAGTGGGTCTTCGTTTCCGACGAACGTTTCCACCTGAATCGCGTCATTGGTCTAGGGGTTAGGATTCAACTCTTCCATTCCAAATTGAAAAGTTGAGGCCCGGATTCGAGTTCCGGATGACGCATTTTTTGCTTCTTCTCACTTGCAAATATTTTTTTGGTTCCAATTTACTTCCGGCGTAACTCACTCATCCGGTGCAAGTTGAAAGCTTCAAGAATCACCTCTTCACGGCTATCTGTAAAACTAAAGACGCCACCCCCTCTGTTGCCTCAAGCCTCATGTGTCTCGACATGTGTCACCTCTTCCTCGAAATCCGCGTTCTTGGCCCTCATCTGAGAAAGAACCGCGGCTGAAGTGCTGGTTGAAGCACCACCGCCCACCTTGGCCTCCTCACCGTCAAAGAACTTGGCAATCTCTTCCAAGGGAGTGTTCTAAAGAAAAGGCAAAGGTCAGCACGTTGGACATGAGCGAGAGTGGCTTCAGATCCTACCTTTGTTTCCACCCAGAGAAAGTACACGACGACAAATATAACACAGAGGAACACGTCGTAAAACTACATTTGTCATTGTTAGATTGACGTGGAACAACAGTTGTAATGTTGAAACTTACAATGTAGAATCTCCACCCCTGAGATTCGATGCCGACGGGGTTAATGTACTGGTTGAGCACTATTACAATAAGTCAGCCAATGATATCTTGCAAAGTACGAGTAATGAATAGGTGCACTTACGTGATGAGCTGACACCGAAAAACGTAACGTTGAGGCCTTTGGCGCGTATCTCATATGGCAGAATCTCAATGGGATACGCCAACACCAGACCTTGCCTAAACAACTCTCATCATTAGCATTGTCCAGTTTTTTATCAAACACAACACTCAGACTCACCATCCACAGTTGAATGCCGTGTAAAACAAAAAGATCATGACAATGACGCCCTTTGCATCAGCTCCATCCCCCGTAATGTTATACCGCGCCGAAAGAATCGTCCACAAAACAAAACACACAATCATCGACCCCGTACTCCCCAGCACCATCTTCCTGCGTCCAAACCGGTCAATGTTGAACGCCGCCCAGATGGCAACAATGAAGTTCCAGATCTGCAGGCCGCCATTCAGACCCGCCTGCTCGGCATTCTTGGTGATGCCAATCGTCTCCAGCACGGGCACCAGATAGTACGAGACCAAGCCGTTGCCGCACCACTGCGAGAAGAAGCCCTGCAGGTAGCAGATGAGAGTGCGCTTGCGGTTGCCTGGGGTGCTGATGAGGTCGAGCCAGCCGCTCTTGGAAGAAAATTCTCGCTCTAGGGCCAGCGTCTCCTTGATTTCGGTGAAGGAGGTCTCCACGAAATCGGTGCGCTCGCCGTTGCCGTGGAACTTGACGAGGACTTCGAGGGCTTCTTCGTGGCGGTCCTTTGCAATGAGGAAACGGGGGCTCTGATTTCATCATATTAGACGGAGAACTGAAGGGAAACAGATCTGGAATTGGGATGCTCACCTCGGGCAGGAACCAGATGAACATAATCTGCACAATGGCAGGGAAAGCCTGGATAATGGAGGGAATTCGCCAAGCCCATTCACTGTTGATATTGATAGTGCTGTTTCTGTCAGCCCTTCGCCTCCCAACATTTGAAATTTTAAATTAAGTAAATAAGAGATAATAACATACCCAAAGGTCACCCATGCGGCGACAATGGATCCAAAGTACCACGTCGAGTTGTAAATCGCTGTAATTGTGGCTCGATGCTGGGTATGAGCCAGTTCAGTCACCATGAGAGGTGCACTCCCGTGGTCAATCATGACGCCGAAGCCAACAATAAATCTTCCCGCAACAAACATGCCGACTGTATATCACATAACCACGAGATCAGCCACACATTCTATAACTGACTGAAGCCCTGTCTAAGGGAAAAGGCTGCTTACCATTAATACTAGCACTCTGAACAGCCACTCCAATAATGGCAATAATACTTCCAATCACAACTCCCCATCGTCTCCCCAACTTATCAGCAATCGTAGCGGGAAACGGAAACGGAATCACGGCAATCAACTGCCCAAGCGCAAAGGCAAGGTTGTAAAACGCCAGCAACGAGCCACGAGGATGGTGGAAGTAGTCCTGCCACTGCCCGCTCGTCTGCAGAGCGTTCATCATGGAGCCATCGTAGCCGTTGACCATGGACGTCATGAGCGGCACGAGGAGCAAGAAGTATAGATGACGGAGGCCTGGCTCACGCCACCAAGTCACCTTTGGGAACTCTTTGTTGGCGAGCCTGAAGGTGGTGGACGGCGGAGCCGACGACTTGAGTGGGTTGTTGAACTTCATCTTCAAGTCACGACGGCTTCGTTCTCACCAGCTGCGGGTTGAGAGGATATGTGATCGGCAGCGGTTGTGATGAGATGAGGGCTCATGCATATCGGCTGCATCTCCGCAGTCCACGACGGGGGGGTCTATATATACACATGAGGGAAGCATAAGACGATCACGCAAGTAAAAGGAGGGGAAGCATCCCCCTTCTCTGCCCATCAAGCCACTAACACTCTAAGGCTTCTCATGACTCTCACGACTTGGAGCTATCGACAATGTCTTCAGCTTGGAAAGCAGCCGGCTCTTAGTCCAGGACAGCAAGTGGGGGAACCTCGTGCTTGAAATTGAGTACAATAGCCATGAACCGACCCCCGGCACCGGACTTTGTCGCCGTGGCTTGAGGGGATCGGCAGCGTGTACTCCAGGTTGAGATGGTACCTTAATACCGAAATGACAAAGCCAACAAGAAGCTCTAGTCCGGGTATATTCGTTCTAACAATCTTCATTAATGTCTAGCGTCGTGGCTGGCGACGGTTCTTTGATATAAGCACTACAAACATCGTCCATTGGCCTTTTAAACGTTTACCCCGAGCTACCATTGCAACAAGTCAAAACTGATCGTGTACTTGAACCAGCAGAATCTGGGGAAATCCACGCTTGAAATGTGGAATAACCTGGGGAATGCTGGCCAAGTGGAGATGTTGAAGGTGCTTTAGCCGGTTATGCGGGCGACTATGGCTGCATTTGTCTGGAGACATGAGTTAGTGGAAAAGTGTGGAGTTGAATTGCCGGTGTCTTGTCCATCGCCAACTCGGCTATTTTCCCAAACTGTCCAGCAAGCGAGGACTGACAACCTTTTAACAACCATCGTCGTATTAGAATCCCTTCCCAATGTGATAAGCATCTCGAGAAACTCGCGGGGTAGCACATGGTAAGACCTATCAGAAATGTGGATGATGCGGGGGAGCTTTTGATCTCATGTTCACATTCAGCATCGTGAATGGTTGCCCAGCGTGGGGAAGAGGACCATCCGAGATCGCATTGCGCCTCTCTCGTGTGTTTATTAGTTTTGCCTTTCTGGAGAAAGAGTTGTGAGATAAGCACTGCGGTTCCTGGAAGATGAGCAAATAAACTCCAGCTGGAGCTCTTCTTATATCAGCTCAGCTGTCAGGCCCCTGGTCGTTGATCCTGCATACCTCGAGCTTTTCTCAAAGAATCCCTACAAACCCCATCTCAACCTAAACAATGGCCACGTACCTACGGACAGACGTCCACGATGGCTGGACCTTCAAGCAAGCAGACAAGCCAGACTCGGACTTCAGACCCGTCGCCCAGTTTCCCACCGTCATCCATCTCGACCTCCTACATCATGGCCTCATCCCAGATCCGCCCAAAGACAGAAACAGCGAGCTGATTCAATGGGTTGGCGAGAAACAATGGCTCTACAAAACATCATTCACCTCGCCGCAAGCTCCATCAAGCACTGGCAAGGTGTCTCACACCATGGTTTTCGATGGTCTCGATACGTATGCCAAGATCATTCTAAACGGCAAAGAGATAGCCAACACCGCCAACATGTTCCTCCAATATCGTGTCGATGTCACGGATACATTGAAGCCAGCAGGCCAAGAAAACACCCTTGAGCTTCTCTTCGACTCTGCGTTTTTGGAGGGCAAACGTCTGGAAAAGGCGCAGGGCTACAAGAACCTGTTCTGGAATGGCGATTCCTGCCGCATGAACGTCCGCAAAATTGGATGTCATTTTGGATGGGATTGGTGAGTTTTCATAGTGTTTAGCCTTATATGATGGCGCTCAATATTCAATGACTGACCATGACGATTAAAAACAGGGCGCCGACGTTGCTAACCTGTGGTCCATGGCGACCAATTTATCTCGAGTCATTTGTAACTCGCATCGCCGACTTGAACATTGATATCGATGTTGCAGACTCGTTAGATGACGCAACTTTGACTATCACGTCAGAGTTGCAGGGCCACGATGACAACGAGAATACTATCCAAGTCAGCATCGCCAACCCAGACGGAGAAACTGTTTTCACCGGCGACGGGAACGGTAAAGTGAAGCTCACAAGCCCCAAACTGTGGTATCCAGTCGGTTATGGGGAGCAACCGCTATACACCGTGACAGCTGTTCTAGGTGACCAACAGGTCGTCCGCAAAGTCGGTATCCGCCATCTACGTCTGGTGCAGCGGCCTCTCGAGAACGGAGCCCCAGGAACGACCTTCTTCTTCCAGGTCAACCAGATCCCCATCTACTGCCGTGGTGCTAACTGGGTGCCTGGCGATACCTTCTTGCCGAGGATCAAGGAGAAACGCTATCGTCAGTGGATCGAGCTGGCTCTCCATGGCAACCAGAACATGATACGCGTGTGGGGAGGAGGTCTTTACGAAGACGACTCGTTCTATGAGATTTGCGACGAGCTCGGAATTCTCATCTGGCATGACTTTCAGCTCGGGTGCGGTGTCTACCCTGTCTCCGACTTCATGACCAACACCATCCGTGAGGAAGCCATTTACAACCTCAAGCGACTGCGACACCACCCGTCGATCGTCTTATGGTGCGGAAACAACGAGGACCACATGTTCGCCGAACTTCATCACCTCGAATACGACATCAACGACAAGAACCCAGACAACTGGCTCAAGACGAACTGGGCGGCGCGATGGTATTACGACAAGATGCTCCCCGATATCTGTGCCGAACTCGTCCCTCGCGTTCCTTACCACAACTCCTCTCCCTGGGGTGGCACATACAGCAATGACCCAACAGTTGGTGACATTCATTCTTGGAGAGTATGGATGGCAGATCAGCCGCGCTACCCCTACCAGGATTACGAGAAACTCACCGGCCGCTTTGTGAGCGAGTTTGGCATGAAGTCGTCCCCTTCTGTTCACAGCGTCCGCCAGCTCATAACGGATCCTGCTGAAAGACATCCCCAGTCTCGTACTTTTGACAACTGGTTCTGCGCACCAGAAGATCAGCGCACACTGTCAATGTACTTGATTGACAACCAAAAGTACGAACTCGCCTCCCTTCCGGCATATGTATATGCTACTCAGCTCAACCAGGCTGAGGCAACCGACTACTCGTTACGACCTTTCCGGCGCCTCTGGAAGGGTCCCGGGCAGGAGGAGTGCGCTGGCAGCCTGATCTGGCAGCTCAATGACTGTTTCCCGGCCGCTAGCTGGTCTCTGGCCGATGCATTCCTTCGTCCTAAGCTGGCTTACTTTGTTGCCAAAAGAGATTATGCGCCCATCATTGTTGGATGCGCAAGGACGACTGTAGAACACCCTGCCGATGAGTTCACTCGTGTGTACGTGGAACGCATTACCTCGGCGGATGTTTGGGCCAGCAACTGCACCACCTCTGAGGCCAAGTTGACCATCACGGTGGCTTTCTACTCCGTCCTGGATGGCAAGTTACTCGCTTCCAAATCTGAAGAAGTGATTCTACCACCAAATCGCTCAACAGAACTGCAAAAAGTAAAGTTTGAGGAAAAGGAATGGGGGGTCAAGCAAGAGTTCGTAGTCGCCGCTACGAAGCTCAGCAAGAATGGAGATGTCCTAGCTCGCTATGTCAACTTCCCACAGCCGTTGAGGCACCTCGATTTTTCCGCTACGGAGGTTACCGTCACGAAAAAAGAGATTAGTGGCTCAGCTGGATCTTTCGAAATTGCTGTCTCGGTCAAGAATGGTGTGGCTAAAGGCGTAGAACTGTTGGTTGACACTCTCGATCCAAATGTTGCGGATAGTTACGTCTTTAGCGACAATGCCTTGGATCTTGTCCCAGGGGAAGAGCAGACTGTGACTGTTACTACAGTCGCCGGTGCAAAAGCTGATCTTGAGAATGTGAAAGTGGTGGAGCAGCACTACGGTTCTGTGGCTCCGAAATCGAAACTTGTATTGATGTAATAAAACCAGTTGCATTCAGGGGGTATCTATGTTGCGTGTATCTATCTATCTATCTATATGAGTTAGAGAGAGGTTTCTTCAGTGTTCTTGATAAAGTAGATACAAAGAAAAAACTCACGTTTACAGGATATAAGCACTCAGTCAGTTGAGAACATCACTCCATGTCTCCCTTAGCTTCTCAACTGTCTGGGTTACATCCCATGTCGTCTCAGCTTCGATGCGATGAAGTAGGCCTAGTAGGTACGACTGGGATTTAACATCTCTTAGTGTACGGCCACCTATTAGTCCGATTAGCTGATGTTTGTTTGTGTGTCATAGAGAGGCCTTCGTCATTCTGTAAACGAAATTAAGCGGCCCGCCACTCTACTCACAGTATGCTAATATTTCCGCAGCATTCACCAGAGCCCCAGGGTATCGACACTCTTTATATGAAAATAATCCACGAACAATCCCACAGATCTGAATGGTGTGCTTGACAGCTTCTGCCTAGAAATCAATGTCAGCTAATGGCAGTGGAAAGAATGGTGTACAGGTATAAACACACAGTATCCAGACTCTCCGGGTTCGTTTTACTAGACTGATTGGAAGTGGTAAATATGACTTTGCAAAGATGGAAAAACTGCATTGCCACATCTAGCAGAGAACTCAAGAGTTAGATGACATATCCCAGATTAAGATGGAGAGAAAGTAAAAGTGACTTACTGTGCCAAATGCATGTGTATGTGATCGCCGGAAAGGGATGGTCATCCATAACCATGGAAAGCGGATTAAAGGTATCAGGGAGCCTCTCCTTCCAGTTGTCCACAAGAGTGACCAGCATCTCTTGATGGACAGAAGTTGCTGTGGAAACGGACGAATCAAAGTAGTGGTTGATTACTCGTGCTGTGAGCCAAATGATGTTATTAGTCCAATCATCGTCCGTATCTCCGTCAAAAACGACGTAATACGTTCTATCCGACGTGTCAATATTGGTCGGGGAGCAGCCGCGAAGAGCGGTTAGGATCTCCTGGCGGACATATGTCCAGAATGCAGTGTGCTTGAGGCTTCCTGGGCCAAACTTATTTGCATTATAACTGAAAAGAGATAGAGAACCTCTCAAATGACGCTGCAGATCGACCTCGGCATTGCGATCGCTCAGCATCTCGTGCATTCGTAGAATGACCGTCGACAGCGCCAATGCACTCTCGGACGCACACGCAATATCTTTCAATGCCGCAATAAGCCGGCAAACGCAACTATAATGATATTCATCTGCCACGAGAGGGCTGATATTTTGATCGGAACGGCTCAAATATCGCGCCGAGAATGCAAAGATTGCATCAAGGAGCATGGGACATTTCATGGCCAGCTGAGGTACGGATGCTGAGAAGTGATGTCTCGGATCGTTCAGTGCCAACTATATATCAAGTATCAATAACCATATTGCAAAAGCAAATCGTAGCAAATGAGCCTACCCATCCGCTTAAGTGCTCCGTGTAGACAGTCAGCAGACGCGCTTGTTCCGGGTCTCTCAAAGGCCCTCGGAGCTGTGGAAGATATATGGGCAGTGTTGAGTATAGAGCTTCTGCCAGGCTCCCAATAGGAGTACTTGTAGTTTGGCTATCCGAAATATCTTCGAAAAGGAAATGTGAAACCGGTGGAAGGGATATATGGAGGAATCCAGGCTCCGGTTCTGTCTGGCTAGAAAACTGAGATGCTGGTCTCGGGGAGCTTGGTGGGTCGTCTTGTCGTTGTAAGTACAGGGAACCAAGTAATATTTGTAGTGAATCTCTCTCACCTGATGAATTAATAAGAACTGAATCTGCGTCGTCTTCTATTTTGTTAAGAGCTCGGCTGATTCTACGCGATTTTCTTCGTACATGATGGGCAAATCGCACTTGAGTGGCCATATCAGCCCAGCCCAGACACCCGAGATGTGTAGGACGGTTAAACTTACAAGAAGACGGAATCTTGACCCAGACGTGATCTTCTGGAAAGTCGAAATACTCATTTTCTACCAAGGCAACCTCATTAAAGTTGTCGGGGCTAGCTGCCCTAGGAAAGGAACATGGTCGGCCAGCTATCTCGCAGCGCTTGCACTCTGGTCTACGTTCATCGCCTTTGGTAGAGTCAGCCTGGGAGTGTCTAAGACATAAAGAAACGCATAAAGCTAGTAAAGGGGGGAAAGAAGATGGTAAGTTCAATAACTAAGTGAGAGGAAAGGGATCGTCATGGCTAATAACGGTGTTGGGGCTGTCTTGCATTAGCCTACATACATTTAACGTGACGTTTTCTGCATGTTAGGCTGCCCCCGATTTAACCAGTCAGTCAGTGAGGGCGATAGACAAGGGCCAGCAAGTTATTATGCTCTTTGGTCTGCTGGGATAATATTTCATACCATCCTGTGCCACAGTGTTAGAAAGAGGGTTTAAAGCAAGTCAAGACAGCGAGATGTGGATTTTACCTGTTTTGACACGCTTCTGGGCAGAGTTGGTAGCCATTATGAAGCAATAAAGGCAAACGCAGCGTGGCCGAGATGGATATACTGGATCATCCCCTTAAACTGACATATGTTATGAAGCGAAGGAAGAGGAAATTAGATGAGGGTGTGGATAGGCGGCTTGATGTGTTGGTCGTCTGGAGTTTGATGGATCCAAGTATGGAAGCCAACATGAAGACTGAAGTCGAGGAAGGATGGCTGTAGAAGCCCCACAGCAGGTGTTCTTTCCCCACGCCGCTGAGCACTAGCGAGGCTAGCCGGTGCTGAAGAAGAATGCGGAGAAGAGTAAGACATTATCAAGCGGAGGTAAGAAAGAGCGAGACTGCAAAATAAATAAGGGCATACACTCAGCAATATAAGCATCCAATCAGTTTATTGAACAGGCGCAGAATAGAAATAATACTAAGTAGTAAATAAATATAAATATAATCATACTTACTAGAGAAATATAAATATAATAGTAGATACTAGAGAAATATAGATATAGCAGCAGATACTTGAAGAGTTGAGATTTATAGGCGTACTATTTAAGGCGCGTGTGTTCGTAATCTTCTCAGTCTCCCCCGCTTAATTGTCTATTGTCTAGTGTTGGCTGTACGGAGTGGTATCTTGACGTTGAAAATGGCAGCTATTCTACGCTTTATTGACATATTGAGGATTTGTGTATTTATTTTTTTAAAGTGCGCATCGTGAAGAAAGAAGGTTTGATGCTACAACTCGATCATGTGGAATACGAAGCACACTCTCATCTAGTACCTGGACTAAGGCTCGGCTAATTTTGACTTCCTGGCCCCTGTTATCCAGCCACTAACAACTCTGACCAAACATCTGCACCTTGAAAGACACGTCCACGTGCTGATTAGTACAGATGAAACTGCTTCGTGTGAATGCTCTACAAAACAAACAAGACGTACAAGTTCATACGTTCATCTTTAAATAGAAGCAGCATACAACGTTAAAAATCCATTCGACTCACTACTCCACATGCCGTACAGGGTAAGTCTCCCAAGTTGAAGCAACCAAGCTAGCCAATAACCGCTCAACGTCATGGGTGCAGAGGATCCATCATCAATCAATTTCACGGATCCATGGAGGGGCACCACTTCAAACTCAATGCAGTCAGTACGAGGACCTTGGACTTTTAGTGCTAACAGGTGCTGCAGCAACGCGTCGCCTCACAGCCCAGCCTGATTGATGCCTCCTGGTAGCACAACATCCCATCCATATTATAGCGCCTTACGCCCAAGGATCGTCTTCCGACAACCACCCAACGTCATCTCGCCTCACTCTTTCTCTATCCTACGGCCATGACGGCCTGCGTCTCTGGCGCAAGGTTGCTTTGCTAGCATCTCGTTTCGTTTCGTTTCACCTTACTTCAACTCATCTCAGCGTCTGCGCAGTTCACTCACATCCATCAGTCCTGTAAACACTCAAAATTAGCGGAATCGCAAGCCGCCAGCTTACTAGGTAGTACAAGACTCCATACCTGTACCGTCAAACTCCATAAACAATGCGAGGAGAGCCTGAATCTGAGAGCGACTGGTCCTCGTCCGGCAGCGAGTCGCCGCCGCCAGCTCCTCCTCCTCCTCGTGCTCGCACTCATGCCCGTACTCAGTCTCATGCGCCTCCCCCTGCCTCAAATCCAGAACCACATCATGGACATGCGTCAGCACCAGCACCAGCACCCGCGAGACGCCTAAGCATCGCAGGCCGTCTGCTGGGTTCCCTCAACCAAGTGCGTGCGCAAAACAAGGAGAATAGAGACAACAGGGACAACAGGGACAACCGGGACAATCGAGAGAGAGCTAAAAATGAGCCGCCACCCCCTGAAAGGAGGCGCTCATCCGTCGCCGACAAATCGTCGCCCATGATGCGCATCAAATCGTGGTTGGATACATGCAACGGCCAGCATAACCACCACTGCGGCGGCGATGACGCTGACACAACCACTTGGCGTCCCGTCTACCTTGTCGACTCTGTTGAGCGATGCTTGGTCAAGGCCAAGCCGACAGATCGCTATCTCGCCTTGAGCTATGTCTGGGGTCCGCTGAACCCGCGTCGAGGAGGCCCCAACGCCGTTGTGCGACTGCTCAAGTCCAATATCGAGGCCTTCCAGTCAGAGCTCCCGGAGGTGGACATTCCCGAGACCATTCTCGATGCCATGTATCTGGCAAGAAAGCTGGGCTTCCGCTACCTGTGGGTCGATCAGCTATGCGTTGTTCAAGACGATGATGTGGACAAGGACAACCACATTCGGCACATGCCTTACATCTTTGCAAATGCATACCTCACAATCGCCGCAGCTTATGGCGACCTCTATACCGGCCTTCTCCCCATCAGTCCAAAGCGCCCGCGCGACTCAAAGGCTGGTGGTAGCACTAGAGATCACAACGAATTGCTGCGGCAATCTAAATGGAACACCCGCGGATGGACCCTACAAGAGCATCTCTATTCGCGCCGTACCGTTTTCTTCTTTCAAGATGCCGTGACATGGGAATGCCACTGCGAGCTTTGGCAGAAGAGCTCCTTGAATATCATGCCAAAGCTGCGTGGCAGTAATCGGCACGAATGTATCAACCGCCTTTCTTCTGCCATTCTTGGCTATCAACATACTCCGTGGCCTGACCTGGACGAGTACGCTCGCATCGCAGCCGACTATAGCGCAAGGAGGGTGACACACGTCGAGGACACTTTGAGAGCATTCTCGGGCATCACTTCCATGCTCTCACGCACATTTTCAGACGGCTTCATGTATGGCATGCCGCTCATGTTCCTTGACGTCGCTCTACTCTGGCGCCCACAGGCATCAATACGACGGAGGGCACCACCACGGGCCCCCTTTCTTCCGTCATGGTCTTGGATGGGCTGGTGGTTTGACGGTGTTCCTGTTGACCTGGTGCTATGGAGAGCTGCAGCTGATTACGTCGAAGAGACTAGTCCGGCAAAAATAGGATCCAACCCTAAACGATTTCAATCAATGCAAACTTTCAGGATAAAGCCCACCATCAGTTGGAATCTCACAGACAGGGCTTCCACAGTTCCCGTGAACAACACTGGGCTGCGGTTTCGAGATCTCCGCTCCCGCAAAAATGCTGGGACACCGTTGCCCCGAGGTTGGTCAAGGAGCGGATCGGCTTTCAAACATGATAGCGACCGTGAAACCATTTTCAAGTATCCTGTGCCAGTAGTGGACCCCCCAAAGGATGGACAACACGCGCCAACAATCGCCGAGCAGACTTTCCCAGGACCGCTCCTATCTTTCAGAACGGCTGCTGGGCTCTTTGATGTCGATCTTGCTGATACTATGGCACCCAAGGATCATTCAAATCCTCAGCTCGCCATTGGAAACATTTGGAGCAAGTCTGGTAAATGGATCGGTGAATTTCGAGCTCACGACGCGTGGATTGGGGTCCAGACATCCAACCATGACGGAGGCGAAAAACTCGAGTTCATTGCCATTAGCACGGGAATGGAGCGCAAGGGCTCCTTTATCTTCACGCCGGAGAAATTCGAAGAGAATAAAGATGCAGACGGCATACTGGATTTTGTGAATGTGCTCTGGATTGAGAGAATTGGCAGTGTTTGCTACAGGAGGGGCATTGGGCATATCCTGCTCAAGGCTTGGAATGCACAAGTACGAGACCAGGTGGATATTGTTCTCGGATAGGGGGGTTTCCCTGAGAGACACCAATGGTATCTCTGGCGAGGACCGTGAGGCATGGCGTTTGGGAGTCTGATTCGTGGAATCTTGGACGGTGGCAGTGGTGAATGTCATTACCTGTTCTGTACTCACGTGTGTTCTTGTTCTTTACGTTCCTGTTTGATATGTTGACCTTTACGATATTGCGTGTCTGAAAAATTGGGAGGCGGCTTAATGAGACATAGTGCCTAGTTAGCAAGCAATCTGATTTGATATCATTTCCCTCAGTATTGCCATATCTGGGTTTATTCTTGTGTATCCTTGCCCAGAAGTTTTACAATGAGAATTAGATATTGACCTGTATTTTGCATGTGACAACCATGCACGACAAACATGCATTGCATCGGGTATCCATCACGTGGAGGCTTCCAGCTGGGCTCTTTGATTCACTTTCACCTATGCCCATACGAGCCGATCATACTCGTGAGAGAGAAGAATGTTGCCAGTATTTCTCTAAGAGTCTATTGGATTATTACTAGACTGTGTGCCGATATTAGGTATACCACTTCTATGTATTGACGAAGCAAGCTACCTAGCAGCCGTATGACAAGCTCAAGCCTCGTCCTACTGTGGCGTAGATGTTTTAGACAATGTGCTGTCACTTTGAGCTCTCGATGAATGACATTTCTTAATCATGTGCCAGATAACCGGATAGATGCTTTTGTGATAGAATCTCTGTCATTTACATGAGTTCAGAAATCAAGCTTCTCACTGGAGAAGCACAAAGAACTGTATTTCCTCTTCAAGATGAAAGCAATTCTCACAAGTCCACCAAACACGCCTGGCGTCTTATGTAACGACGGGTACCTGCTACCCCAGGCTGCATCGACGCTAAAGCGCCCTGTAGCCTCAGCGGTAAACTCCGCCTGACCAACTCCGTCTTTAGCGGCCGCCCAGCTTACATCCATGCTTTGTTCCGACGTCAACGCCTCGAAGCCCTCCAGCTCCTTTTATCAACGTCACGAGTTCTTCTCTGGCTCTTGCTCACGCGACCGACCCGCCAATGCCTGGATAGACAGGCGTAAGGGATACACCAAAGTCCCTTCTTCTCGTTCCTCTCATACCGAGACCCGAAGGAATCGGAGATTGTAAAACGTTCAGCAGCAAACCTGCTCGATACGAAAGATTAACGCCAAAAGCCGAGTGACGCCAATCACTCCGATAACAACCTCCCCCCAGCGGAGGGCAACATCACCAAGGCTTTAATCGAAACACACTCCTGCTCGGAGCCAGCGGAATCTGATAGAGAAAATGGCTTCGAGACCAGAGTACCAGTCATTAGCGGATGTGGAGGATCACGCAGCAGCCTCAGACGAAGATTCGGCGCTGCTGGGAGGCCTGGACCAGGACAGCAACGATGTGCCCTTTTCGTGGATCGAATATGCCATCTTTTGCTTCCTGGGTATGGCCATGCTTTGGGCCTGGTACGCACATAAAACACCTTCCCCCATCAAATCTCAATATACATGCAAAAAAACAAAAAAAGCTAATGTACTTCTTTCTCAACAGGAATATGTTCCTCGCCGCCGCCCCGTACTTCGCATCCCGCTTCGCCGGCGACTCCTGGATAGAAGCAAACTTCCAGTCCACCATCCTCACCGTCTCGACCCTCACGAACCTCGTCTCCGCCCTCATCCTCTCCCACATCCAGCACTCCGCCTCGTACCCCTTCCGCATCAACCTCGCCCTCGTCATCAACACCGTCATCTTCGGCCTTCTCACGGGCTCCACGGCCGTCTTTCTCGATGCCTCGCCGCGCCAGTACCTGGGCTTTGTGCTCACCATGGTGGCATGTACCTCTTGGGCCGCGGGCCTGATGCAGAACGGCGCGTTCGCTTTCGCCGCTGGCTTTGGCCGATCCGAGTATATGCAAGCTCTCATGGTAGGCCAGGGCGTGGCCGGAGTTCTGCCTTCCATCGCGCAAGTCGTCTCCGTGCTCCTCTTCCCTCCTAGCAAAGAAAACGCAGCCGCAGGCGAGGGCGCCGGACAGTCCTCCGCATTCTACTACTTCCTCGCCGCCGTCGTCATCTCCTTGGTGACCCTCGTGGCCATCATCCCCCTGGTCCGCCGACACAACCGCCTGGTAGCCGACCGTCTCACAGAGCACCTCGCCTCCTCCATGGCCAGTATCGAAGAGGCCGAGCGCGCCACACGCAAAGTCGTCTCCCTGCTCCACCTCCTCAAGAAGCTCCGCTGGCTCGCGTTCGGCGTGGCCCTCGTCTTCGCCGTCACCATGTTCTTTCCCGTCTTCACCGTCAAGATCCTTTCCGTGCACAAGGATGGCGGGATACTCTTCCAGCCCGCCGTCTTCATCCCCGTCGGCTTCCTCTTCTGGAACATTGGCGATCTCCTGGGCCGCATCGCCACCATGCTGCCCTTTTCGCTTTCCCACAGGCCGGTCCTGCTCTTCGCGCTGGCCGCGGCCCGAATCGCGCTTCTCCCGCTCTACCTGCTCTGCAACATCAACGGCCGCGGCGCCATCATCCCGAGCGACTTCTTCTATCTCTTCATCGTCCAGCTTGTCTTTGGCTTGACCAATGGATGGGTTGGATCGAGCTTCATGATTGCTTCGGGCGAGTGGGTTGAAGACAATGAGCGAGAGGCTACCGGTGGATTCATGGGCCTGTGCCTGGTGGCCGGTCTTGCATCGGGAAGTTTATTGAGTTTTACGATATCTGACATCTAATCATTGTGTGAACTGGTCATTTTAAAGGCGTTATCATGGGGCGTGTACGGTATTCAATTCATGGGAGCGGCATTCAACAGCCCAAGTTTGCTAATCCAAAGCTATGCAGTGTAAATTACCAGATATTAGATGAATAGCTATAGTAACAAATTCTAGAGAAATATAGCTATAATAGCAGAGAGTAGCAATTGTAACAGAAAGTAGTAACGATATCTACACAGCAGATGCTCAAAGAACCGGGTATCAGTCTACTACTTAACCTAGGTAAGACCTGTAGTAGTAAGTAAAAGGCTTCAATTCCCTTTGCATCCTATTGATCACTTGAACTCAACGCGATTGCTAAAATGCTCAATAGCTATATAGATCTTTTAGGCAATTCATTTAAAAAGAATACGAAGCCATCTAATCTATCGCAAAATACAACTGAAAGAAATATATATACGGAGAATAATGGTATTTTATAAAAACCCAGTTAAGACCGAAAGTGCCGCCGTTCTGTATTCCATGCAGCTTTATCCCAGCGCTTCCCATAACCCATTTCGCTGCGTCCACCAGTGATGCATTTCCTCCTACCTTAGTAGCCTTTTGACGCCCCCTTTTAGAAAATTCCAATGCCAATTTTGGACAAAAGACAAAGAGAAGAAGAAGGAAAGGAGTAAAAAGAGAAAAGGTAAAAGCTGTTCGCCCACCAAAAAAAGTCCCAGACCGATTATAATTCCATAGTGCCAGATTCTTTATCCTCGTCTAGGATCGCACCTCAGGGGGTTGTTATAAATAGAATCCGATTGTGCGCCTCCCATCTCTCGTTTAAAGGGCTCCAGGCCCTTGTGTAGCGCCGCAAGATCCCCTGTATGCCTGTATACCGTTTTCCCCGTCTTCGCAGAAGAAGGAGAACCATTCTTTTGGTAGCTTGAGAGCTTATTATGTTTTGTAGTATTATCTTCTATGAGAAGAATGACTGCGTCTCCCGTACGAGGTTTGCCCGACCACTCCAGCGAGCACAGTGACGGCGGATGGTAGTATGAATCGCCGCAAACAACCCAGTCGGCGGTATAGAAGCCACCTTCAATGAGGTCTTGCTCCGTTCCGCGCCAGTGGTTGAACTTCTTTTCAGGGTCCTTAAAGTCAAAGTCACCAAAACGAAGTTTGATTTCCTCGTCGTCGTTCGATGGAACAAGTGCAAAGCACGTACAGTCACGCAAGGTCATGGCGACGACGAAATCCAAGTTAGTAGGAGGTAGTAGGGGCCCCACGTGATCGAGGCTCTTCTGGCATTCCCTCAGCTTTTGGATTGCCTTGTGGTGGATGATTTTGTCGAGAATAGCCTGGACGCGTGCGTCATCCTGCCGGGCAGAGAGTTGCGGAGCTATTCGGAAAGGTGACGCAACTTGCTGAGGGCAGTCGGGATTTGCAAGCGCAATCGGGCAGGGCCGCCTCTCAGGGCGTGGAGATTTCGAGCCGGGCGTTTTCAGGTAGTTGCGAAGTTCCAAGGCACACTGCCTGCATCTGATGGCGCCTTTAGGGGCGCTGGGGGACTGTAGCAGCCACTTAGGTTTGAACTCGACAAGGATGGAGCCATCGTCGCCTTTAATTGCCTTGTTAATACGTAGCCGCAGAAGGTTGAAAGAGCCGCATTACTGTATAGCAACTTGGACGTAAGCATGTGACTAAGGTACTCACCATTGGGCCGCATGTCCTCCACAAGAAAGCCCCAAGATGCGTGGCCAATGAAGGAGCCTTGGAATTTAGGCTTGCGTTGGTGGTTCATGTCCCGAAGCATGGCGTTGAGGTCATCCACAATGCCGGATTTATGCAGTACCACCAGCTCCTGGGACACGGCATGTTCGCCTAGGTGCGGCTGAATCTCACGGATGAAGAATTCCTGTTGGCGGAGATAATAGTCGGAGGAAGTTGGAGCGCGGCCAAGAGATGGTGCTTTGGCCACCCTCAGGAGCTTGCCTATGAGAGAAGAGGGCACGGGTTAGCAAACAGTAGTTGTGCATTGGTGCTTGTGTAACCACATTCTTAGCGTGGACGAATGAGTGTCTCGATGCTCTGACAATGCAGGGCTGTGGGGTTTCTATCGCCATCAGGGTAATTGGCTGTGCGATTCCCGGCCTAACGTACCTTGAAACTGCGCACCGACGCGACTGCCTGGGGGCAATTTGATCTCGAAGACGGCGTTGGCGGCGCCTTCGCCAACCAGCCTGACGGGCTTTGTGCCTCGCGGCAGGACACTGACCAGAGGTTGGTACGCGCCGTCGCCGTCGCCGTCGCCGCCGTTGTCGCCACCCATATCCAGCGCGAGATCAACGTCTTGGATTCGGAGTTGGGGGCGTTGTCTGGTTCGCGGTCGAGTCCGGCTTTGATCGCGGCTGTCGTTAGTGTTGTGTGAATTGTCGTCGTCTTCGTCGCAGTCGCATCTACGGTCGCGCGAGCGGTCATAGCTCATGGCCCGCAGCCGGGCCATATCCGCCGAGCTGACTGCGACAGCCTCATCGTCAGAGTCCTCGGCCAGCGAGTCGGCATTGGAGGGCGATTCTCTGCCGGCATCAGAAAGGAAGTCGTCGTCGAAGCAGTCGCCGGCAACGGAGGAGCCGTTATTGGAGGCCGAGTCCTCGACAAGCTGGGGTGGCAGCTGCAAGAAGGTCTGCGCCTTCATGATTGGGACGGTCGCGGGCCCGTCCTGCAGGCCCTGCTGCAAGGGCTGCAAGGCACTGAGTCGGGGGGTGTGATAGCGCTGTGGCGGTACGTCTCAGGGAGCACGGAGGCCGGGCCAGCGGTCGAGAGGCATGCGAGTGAGTAGATTAGGTATAGCAGTCGAAGGGAGAGTTGAACGGTGAGGCAAGGAAAAAGCGATATCGCCCTAGGTCGGAGGTTTCGATGTACCGGCCGTAGTCTAAGGCAACTTGCGAATAACGTCTGTTAGGTAGAGTACGTTTCCCCTTGGTTGGGCTTTTTTTCCTTTTCTCTTGGCCGGGTTCCGATGTTGAATTAAACGGCCCAGAGTGGAGAGCTGGAGCAGCGGCGTTATCCTTGCGTGGAAATTAGATGTCGTATTTGGTTGGCGGAGGAGGACAGAGGACAGTCGACAGAGATTTCGCAGGAGATGTTGGTTGGGTTCGAAGGTGAGAAAGGGGGAGGAAGAGAAGCGGCTCGTCGATAGATTTAGAGTTTAAAGACTTGACGGATCGAGGCCGCCCGCTATGGCCAGCTTATTATGACTGCCATTCATTGACTCAACTTATGACGCGGGACCTTTAGCACGAGCTACAGGCACAAGCACACACGTGTGTAGGAAGATGGAAGGGAAATATACCAAGACAGACGGACGACGTCGGCGTAGGAGCGAGGCGAGGCAAGGGAGGGCAGTGATGTGCTCAGGTCGTCGGCATAGTGTCGTGTGGCGTGGCGCGGCCAGCCTGTGATCTGAGCTGCGAATCTGACAACTGGGATCGGAATAGGTGCTAAGGCAGACGCTAGTACGAGCAGCTGGAGGCAATAGTACGGAGTAGTATTACCAGACAATCCCTGCGAGTATATGTGTATATGTAGGTGCTCGTGCAGTGTATAAATGCCAGGCACTGGATGGAACAAGACACGATCCAAACGGAAAAATCGTCATGATGGCAAACGACATACCAAGCGTCTCCCCCCCTTCCCTTTCGTGGTGGCGTCCAAAAGGCTCATTCAGTCACTCAAACCCCTCGCAGCAACGAGGGCAAAGAACTCACTGGCCAGACGTAATATTGGGTCTGGTCTCTTTCGTGCCGACTTGGCAAAGTGCAGCTGAAGTCGCATCCAGTGACGTGCATTTCCCCCCTTGGCTCCGCTGCAGACGCTGGACTATTTCCGGGCAACGGCAGAACCGAGAGCACGGTGGTGGTTGTTGCTAAAGAAACATGCAAGAGTCGGGTCTTCCAATCACAGCCGCCATCTCGATGCTGCTTGGCGGCTTACAACCTACACAGCTGGGCAGGGCTGAAGCACTGCTTACAAGAGAGAGGCTGATTCGGCTTCTGGCAGCGGCGGTTGGATGCTGGGAACGCCCGTGCGGCCTCCCCTCCCTGCTCATGAATCCCACACGAACCGCTTCCTGCTCTGCTGCCTCGACCTGTGAATGGTGCCCGGATCGCGAATGCTACCACCGCATGTCACGATGCTGAACATGAACATGGTGGGCTGATGCTACATACAGCTGCGCTCCTTCAGCGTTGTCGGGTTTGGCTTTATGCGCACAAAGGTGCTAGTCGTCAGTAGTGCAGTTGTACCAGAGATCAGTGTGCGCCTGACCGTGTACATGTACGTGTATGCATGTATGACTCGGAGGCGATGCATCACAGGGCACCCACGTACATACTCGTAGCCTCGGGAGACCCTTCCTCTGGGCTCCCCTCTCAACCTATCTTAGCACCATGCGCTTCGGATACGTCTCTCGAGTGCATGATGACGGCATCTGGGATCGTCAACGCAAAGGGCAACATACCTACGAGGGGAAGCTTCTGCTATCTAGGCACGCAAGCACGTAGCAATCTACCCCGTACGGATACTGCCGCATACCTACACTCAAGATATTAAACGGCACCCCTTGCCCCGGATTTACGGTCCCTGTGATGTCATTAGGGGGCCAGCCACATGCGCTCAAAGATGCCTTGGACCCCCGCATGCGGCATCAAAATAACGTCGAGATGCAGGACACACTCCCCATCGAGACGTCAGTCAGCAAGCTGTTCTGCTGTGCTACCAGCCCATGCAAGGACTTGCACCCAGTTCCTGGCCTCCGGTGGTCGGGCCTCCATCCAAGTTGACCTGCCCAAATTATGCTCCGCATCGTTAGTGGCTTCTATTGGCCTTCTTCATCTTCTTTGGCTTTGGGATGTCTTCTCTTCCTTTTGGGAGTAGTCGTCTGATACCCTGGTAACTCTTAAACGTTCCTCTGCGGAGTAGATGAGGGTAACGAAGCATTAATGGGGACTACCTACCTTGGTTAGTCTTGCGTAAGTTATGTATTATCGCAGCTCTTGCGACCTTCTCTGGTGGTGTACACTAATCCATATATCTGCTCCCGTTATCGCCGCGTTCTCCTAAATCTGGAGATATCACTGCCAGGTAGTGTCTATTGACACATATCGATACCTATACCTACAGATACCCAGGCACCGAGTAATTCTCGTTGAAATGATGGATTGCCAAATTGGGCCAATCCCATCAATATCCTTCTCCTCCCAATGCATCCAGCCCTTTGCGGAATATCGTACGGACACTGTTAGGACAGTGCGAGTATCGGGGATTGCGCATGATTCTCATCCCGAAAAGTGCCATGCGTTCTGCTCCGACCTCTACCTGTATCTCCCGGCTGGTCCTCCTCTAATGCCGAGTTTGGACAACTTAGCCGACATTAAGCAGCAATGCTAATATTAGCTCGTTTCGTCTCCTTATGCAGCTTGCGAAACTCAAAAACGCGTCTTTGATGGAAACATTGGCATTGATTGGTTTTTGGACCAAAGGGCTGGTGCGAAGAGACATTTCTACGCGTCTCCTCGCATCGTCCACGTAGATTCATGTCTTGGTAGCTGCAAGGAGGTCCTCAAATCTTGCCACTCGCTTTTCGATCATCACCCCCTCATATGCGCCGTGATTTGGCAGTTCTTGCAGATGCAGATCTATCTTGGCTATCCATTCGCGCACTGGGCGTGTATACGAGAAGGGGGAGCTGTTGCAATAACTCGTACATTCCGGGCAGCCGATCGATAGGCTTGGCCGTCAGCTGATTATATGAGTTGAAGCAAAAAAGCAAGTGTCGCGATCAGGAGACATGCGCCATCCGATTCGGCTAACATTGCCGCTGGTTCGTCTTGGGGACTGCATACACTTTGGCTTGCATATCGAGACCAGTAAGCATGCAGACGTTACTGATTGCGCTTGGCCATCGCGCGCCTGGTTGCATTTTGTGCTCTCAGAGTCCAAAGTGGGCAGATGTGAAGCCCGCTCGCGACATATTCTGCACAGTGCCGCCCGCACGGTATCGACGCCAGCGGTGGATTTACAGGCAGAGCCCGCGGACGAGCCCGCCTGAAGCGCCCCACTGGTCGACGGTCTAGCGGGTTGTTTCAGCGCCTACCGCACCATCCGTGCGTCCGCGCCATACCGAGCTCCCAGGTCTAGCTGGTGAAAAATTTCTGGCGCCCACTTGCTTCGCTACGCAGCTTCTCCGAATCTTGGGCCTCAGCTCTTCCAACTCTTAATAGCGTCATCTCCACGACCTTGCTCCTCCCACCTCCGCGTTTCCTTTAGCTCAGACTCTTGCATCTTGATTCTCTTTTTTGCATCCTATTCATCTGGAGCTTCCATTCGTCATTGCCCTCGCTTCTTTTATCGAACCGCATCGCTACTGCTGCATACAAACCCCCTGCTTACAAGCCCCAAGCGTCTTCCACGATCGATCCCCCACCCACAGAAGGAAAAAAAGCTGCCTCAAGGCCCATGACGGCCAGCGCCCTGCACATGGTCTCGAGATAACAACTGCCATTTCAACATGGCCTTCAACTTCAACTGGTCGCCTTTAACGGCCGACGCCGAGTTCTACTCGCGTGCCCGAGACCTGCTCACAAAGGCCCTGAACAAATCGCCCAAACCCCCCATCATCGTCGATGACATCCTCGTCAGCGAATTCAACTTGGGCACCGTCCCACCCGACCTGGAAATCCTGGAAATTGGAGACCTTGCAGAGGATAGATTTCGAGGCATTTTCAAAATGACCTACTCTGGAGACGCCTATTTGACGCTCAAGACGCGGGTTCAGGTACGTTTAGCAGCTTTTTGGGAGACCTCTTCGGCTCCATCCCCGTAATAATTTTTTTTTTCCTTTTTTCGTCATGGAGCTCCCTCGCGCCGCGCCGGAAACCCGATAATGCCCGAAGCACTTCATGAATCGCGCCACCACAACAACGCCTCTGAATCGCGCTGCGCTTTTTCGGTTATTACTGGAATGGGCGACAATCAATTCATTATGGCTGTGGCAATGAGCTGGATAAGTGTCTGGCTGGTTTGGTAGTGAGCTTTGAGATATCGCGTTGTCGGGATGCATTTCGTCATTACCGGCCTTACCGTCGATCGCATAGCTCTTTGCGCACTGCACACAAAAACCAGCCACTGCGAGCTTTCACTCTGGAACTGCTTTGTTCCCGGTTCGCAATGCTACTCATACATGATATTTGTCTCTTTGCATGAATTGGCTTTTTTTTCTCACAGTTATTTCTTCTTCGCTGGTGCGACGGGGGTTGAGGCAGCTTTGCATATACTGAGTAATGGGTGGCTAACATGATCAATCTCAGGCCAATCCACTCAATACCTATCTCTTCTCAAAACCAGAATTCACTTCTCCACAGCCACTGGCCGCAGCTTCGGGCCTGACGATCCCCCTCTCAATTACCTTGTCCGATATCAAGCTATCGGCCTTCATTATCCTAGTCTTCTCGAAACAAAAGGGACTGACCCTGGTGTTTCGCAATGACCCACTCGAGTCTCTCAAGGTCTCTTCGACCTTTGATTCGATCCAATTCGTGCGGGACTATCTGCAGCGGACCATCGAGCAACAATTGCGAAACCTGATGATGGACGAGCTGCCAGCGATTATTCATCGTTTGTCTTTGCAATTGTGGTGTCCTGATCAGGCCAATAAGGGCGTGGAAACCCCGAAAGAGGAGACGGACGAGGAGGGGGTGAACCCGCTGTCAAGCCCACCACTGGACCCTGTCGATGCCAATGGCAACCCGCTCGACCCAAGCGCCATCTCGGAAATCTCTCTGAATGGCGGAGGCGAGACGCAATCGCTCTTCTCCCAAAAGAATCTACTGCGTCTCGCTGCGCTAACCGATTCTCATCGGACCCTTTCTCTGTTTACGCCCGGTATACGGGACGTGGTATTCCGAGCTTGGTCGGGCTGTGCCGACCGTACTGATGCCGCCACTCCGTCGATATCGTCTCCCAATCGTGTGAGGACAAACTCACATGCCGGCGTCACAGGCACTACATATACATTCTCTGACACAGGGAGTACCCTGCACGGCTCGATATCTTCACGGCCTTCCTTTACTGCCAGTGCTAATGCCTCTACTACGGGCTTGGGCGTCGGCAACAATGTTCGATCAAGGCAGGGCCGCAAGAAGAAGAACCGTGTGGTTAACCTCAGAAAGACCAAGTCGGAAGCTGTCACTCCAGAGAACCAATCCGAAGCCGGATCCAACACACCCGTCTCGGTCAACATTCCCCTCTCGGAGCCCTTATTCGATAACTCAATACCTGAAGAAGATGAGCATGAGCTGCCAGATGATCCTTTTATCACCGATCATTTCAACCCACAGACGCTCATGACTGACATGGGTGAGAACTCACTCACTTTGGAGGAGCTCACATCCGCCCTGAAAGACTTGAAGATGCTGGCTGACGCCACGGCCAATAGCCGTAAGGCGACTCCCGAAAAAGGCAGCCCTCGGGAGACCCCAGGTGCCAAGGCTCAGTCATCGCCTGATCTTCTAGACCAAGACTGGGTCATGAAGATGGCGAGCGAGATCGCACGCCGCGTCTACGACGAGAAGCGGTCCCAGCAACGGGGCAAGTGGGATGAGTCTGAGGACGCCCCACCCCCGGCATACGAGGCATCGCCCTCGCCTCAGTCCCCAATCCATTAAACACCAGCCCGGAGCCGAGCTGAGTGAGGGTATGGAGAAGACATGAGCTTGCCACCCCCTATTATTCGCTCCCTACAAAGCCTGTTCTAACTGTCCCCGCGTTACGGATGTACAGACTGGACTAGACTTGAATTCTTCTTTCCTTTGTTTTTTCTTTTGTTCGATGGCATTGTGCTGTTTCTACCACTAAAGTATGAATATGTATAGATATATACATGCACGTACGCAAACATGGGTATGTTATACCTCGGCGTTTTATGGAGGAAAGGGCCACAGGGAATGCAGGGCACGCATCACAAATCACGTACACACGGGACAAAGAGGGCAGGCAGGATTCAAAAAGCAGAAGCAAAAAAGATTGGCTAGGATTTAATACCGGGTGGGGTCGGGATGGTGTTTTTTTGGTTGCATGATTTGATACCCGGATATGCACTTGAACAAGACAAATGGGTCCAGAAGTGTTTACTTTCCATGTTTCTTGAGTGGTCTGCCGTCCCTTTTTTATGGAGCCGTCTGTGAGCAGACGTGTACGATGGATGATGCGTGCCTCTTTTGTTTTTCTTTTTTCTTCTTTTTTCTTTTTCACATGGTTTGGTTCATTAGCCGCGCCAACCCCCATTTGCATTGGCCACCCCCGGCGTGTGTTGGTTTAATACGTCAAAAGGTTGGGATGTTCGGGTCGGGATTTATTGCCAATGTGGGGGATGGAGTGGGCTTCTTTTCATGTGCATGGTGTTTACACCACCTCCGCGGCATATGCTCATGACTTGAGATTTTTCTGTTTTTGAGCGTTGAGCGTTCACAAGGCATTGTATTACTAGAGATGTCTTTCATTCGCCTCCCTTTGTTCCTACTCGGGATTCATTCACATCACCGGGAGAGGGAAAGGAAAAGGGGGCGTTGTATTATTAGTACGATACGAATTTTGTACTATTATCGTGTACTTGTATTGGGATATTGGGATCGGGGTACGGAATCGGGATCGAGATACAAAAAGACAGACACAACTCCAATCTGCAGAGAATGATTACAGCGTAAGCTCTGGACCCTCTCGTCCATGTATCACTCGCATATGTGCATGTTTCTGATGATGTGCTTTTTTGCTTTCTCACTGACGTTATTACGCCAGTGTAAGTCGATGGTGATGTCTGTGTCAGGCTGCTTCTTCTTTTTTCACCGCAATTCTCGGCTGTGCGTATTTTTATATGTAGGGGCGGCAGCGAAGGATATTTTAGGTTCACATGATCAGATTCGGCGTCAAAGAGGGTGTGCGCAGACTTTGTAGTTCGCTAGCATCCTACTTGGGCGGTTATCCAACATGCCAATGAGAGATACTCTTGAATGCTACAATACTTAGTACCGTCTACAAATACATGTACAGTAACATAACATCAAAGTAAAGACATGTTGATGGCTATGATACCACCTGCTATAAAGGTAACCTAGTCTTTTATCTTATTTTTGCTTCTTTTTTAATTTTTATTCTTTTGCTATGTATTACTTGCCTGCTTTGGTACGCTATGCCCATACAGCGAGCATTTATATCTCTCATATATATGGAGTCTCTGTTACCCTAGGTTTATGCAGCTACCACAAAGAAGGGCAGGTCTCTCAAGCAGTGGGGAAGCATGTGTCATCACAATCGTCCGACCATTCGATGCTTTTTCTTCCTTCTCCCTTCGTCCAGTGCTACCATCAAGAGATGGACACTGAGACCAATGCAGCTAAGCGGTAGCATCAAGACATAGTGCCTCATTTCCATTGCATCTTCTTCCACATACACCCCTTACCCCCCTCTTCTTCTCCAACCCTTCGTACCTAAGTAGATTCTGATCGAGGGGTCAAGTAGATTCGTATGCACTCTCCAGTAGATGTCTTGTATAAGCCCCCAATAGCCCATCTTCTGTGACCATGACCGTAGCCTATAATCTCAGCAAGTGGCAGTGATGCCAAAGCTAAAGCTCAGTCAGATATTGCGGGGATTCGGGCTGACAATCGCGTCCGAATCATCGCTCTTGGCTCGTCCCCTCCCCCTCATTCATGCGGCCGTCCGCTGCGGCCTGCGGCAGACGTTGCTCGCCGCCAAGATCCTGCTTTTGCGACTTTGAAAAAGACTCCAAAAATATTAAGTGCGAAAAAAAAAGTGGCCCGATGCGCTGGCAGCCTATGGACCAACGAAACCAAGAGGGCGAGCACGCTTTCTGGCGATGGCATCCGGCTTGAAACACCGGTAGCAGCCACGATTTCTCAACCAGGTGCGAAACAAAGGTGGGGTGATGATCCAGGAGATGCATAGTGCAGGATGAGAGCTCTTGCTGATGATCCACGGACTTCCTCTTGGATTTCGGTCGTCGGGGCCCGAATCACGAATCTCGGCGGGTGCGCTTCTTTTTCCGTGGAGGCCGCTGCATTGATGACAATCCTCCTTTCTATGAAGTCTTTGCCACTGCTGCTGCGTTCTCGGTCTTTAGTTGAGCCAGCTGCTCTTCCTTCTTCTTCAGCTCGGCGAGGAGCTGCTTGGTCATCTGTTCCGTCTTTTGCTGAGCGTCCGAGAGCTTCTTGATCTCCGCGGCCTCCGTCTCCCGACTAAACGGCTGTCCGGGCCGGTTCGTGTTTGGAATCATGGCCGTTCGTTCCCAAACATCTCCACTGTCCGGCGCGGGGAGTGGCGGCGGCGCGCGGTTCTTTCCCTTGCCCTTTCCCTTGCCACTTCCACCGGCCGGCTTCCATCCTTTGGGCACGGCGCCAGAGGTGAGGATCTGGTAAAATGCTTCGTAGGGCTCGTTGAACAGCTGCTCTTCATAACTCCAGGCCCGGACCTCGCCGTTTGACGCCAGCATGGACTGCTTCTCCTCCTCGGTCCTACCGTAGGGATGGAGGCGCAGGTAATGATACAGCGTCTGCGGTTTCTCTCCCGAGTCATTGACGTAGTACAGCTTTATCGTGATATCAAACTCTCCCCATCCTGTTTCGTTGACTACGAACGGCTTGCCGGGTTCTCCTTCGACCACTGCTCAACAGTTAGCATGCACAGCTCGGGAGATCACAACTACACCAGAGGGTGGATGTGATGCTTACTACGGACGTAGTTTGGAATAGACTCGTGTAGCTTAAACTGTACACGCCGCAACCAATACGTGATGTCTGTATCCTCCATGCCCCGTACGAAAACCTGCCATGAGTGCGTGTGGTTGTCAGGCGCCCCAGGTGGTCGTGGATTCGAATCTGAAAAGGGAAGCGCCGTACTGCCAACGACAAACGGTCGTCGGATCTGCGTCAGCTTGACGCGCTTTCCGAATTGATTCGACGGCGCCATGCTGTTGTGAAATGTCGAGCCTCGTATCTAGAGTTGAGTCGCGTCGATGGTGGGAAAAAAAGAAAGAGCCAAAGTCGAGAAATGCACGGCACTTGTCAGCCTTGCAGTTATGTCATCGGGATCCGCTATTTACCAGCCAATCATATTCGCGTGTCGGCCAAGCTTCAGTAGTTTAGAGTTGTTCAGCCTTATGTGCACTAATAAGCTCTTGCTTAGCTAGGTGCATGATTTCATCGACTTTACCTCATGGCCTGATTCCCCATTAGAGCTCGCATCCTCTCGAATTTTAACCCGCAAAACTAATTAATTGTTAATTTCACTTATACACCCAGCTATTCATCGTCACCCGCTCTCTCAATAAGCTATCATCTCGTTATAATCCACGTTCTCATTCTATTCCGGCCATGGCAGCGGCGGCCAAGAAGCTCATCGTCTGTGGAGGCAACGGCTTCTTGGGGTCCCGGATCTGCAAATATGCTGTAGCTCGGGGCTGGGATGTGACATCAGTCAGGTAAGTAATTCACACGCGATGCAATTTTTTTCATTGGTTTTATCATGAGCAACAAACTTCCACCAAAAAAGCCGCTCTCATGAACTCGATTGCTCACATATATAAAAAAGTCGCTCCGGAGAACCCCGATGGGATTCCGTCACATCAAGCGCCACTCCCCCTCCATGGGCCCATAAGGTCTCATGGGAGCGAGCCAACATCCTCGAGCCTTCAACTTATGCGCCGTTGCTCAAAGGCTCCGATTATGTCGTCCACAGCATGGGGATCCTCTTAGAGGCAGACTACAAGGGCGTCATTTCCGGACGAGAATCCCCCATCTCAGGGCTTCAAAAGGCTTTTGCCCAGGCACGAGATCGAGGAGTTGACCCCATACATACTAAGCCCGGCGAGACCATCAAGCCTCCCAACCCCAAGGACCAGATGTCCTACGAAGTCATGAATCGTGATAGCGCCATCTCACTTGCCAAGCATGCTGCCGCCGAGAACGCCAGCGCCTTTTGCTTCATCTCAGCCGCAGCTGGAGCGCCGGTTCTGCCTCATCGATACATCTCCACCAAGAGAGAGGCTGAGATCTCTATTGCCACCAACTTCCCTCAGATGCGCGGCGTCTTTATGCGGCCACCGTTCATGTACGATAGCTCACGCAAGATCACAATGGGTCTCGCTGCGGCAACTGGTGCTGGAGCCTTATTCAACACTTTGACAGGAAACTTCCTCAAGGGCTTTATGGGCGCGGCTGGAACTAAGCCCCTTCAGGTTGATACAGTCGCCGAGGCCGTAGTCGAGGCGCTTGCGGATGAGACAACAAAAGGCCCCGTGGGGCCTGAGCAGATTGAGGAGCTTGCGTCAAAAGGTTGGAGGAAGTCAATGCTGTAAACAAAAAGTTCATGTATCATTAAAAGTAAAATTCTGTGCGTCTATATGTGCAGAATAATTCAGAAACAGGAGAGGGAAAACTCCCCTCATGCAATTTAAACCATAGAGTCCGTATCTCCAAAGCGCCTCATGAAACTCAATAATGATGTACAAATTCCCCAGAGAGCGTCTCAGATCATCGTTCCACGCTCAAAACTGTCTCTAATCTCCGCTGTGTATTTATTATAGAAGCGTGACAGCTTCTGGTTGAACTGTTTGTTCTTTTCGTTGATGTATGTGACGTCTCCGTCTTCGCCATTCTGCGCCATCCGTTCCTTTCTCTTTTTGAGGCGGACATCTTCTGCACGCTGAAGATCTTTGACCAACCGATCAATAGCTTCTTTATCCGGCTTGTTTTGTGTAAAGGATGTCGTGTCGGCCGTTGAGTAAAAACTGCCGTCTTTATCCACGGCAATGAGCTCGCCATCCTCCGTCTCGACAATGTCCAGACCACCAGATGCCGCAGCCTTTTCGATGGCAGCCATCTTTTGCTTCTCGTATTTCTCTAGGTCGGGATTGACGTTGCGCAACTGCCTCTTGTAGGACTTGTTGGCTTCTTGATGGTAATCTTGAAAGGCGTTGTTGTCGCGGTGCGTTCCCTTCTTCTTCATGCGCTTATCCCATTTTTCGCTCTCGTCCACAGTCCAGTCCCACGCCCGTTTGCGCTCAAAATCTTCGCCAGCCTCTTCGGTGTCTGCCTTGAGCAGCTTGTGGGATGCAATTGCGTGTCTCCGATGCAGGGCCGTCAGCTCGCTGGGATTTGTAGAGAGGCGCTGTGATTCCAGAGTTGCCTCCTTGAAGTTGGTTTCTGATGATTTCTTGGCACGGGCCTGGAGGGCTTTGAATCGAGCCATGCGGTCTTGCGCTTTAGCTGCAGCGTCTGGTTCTTCTTTCGCTTCCACGGTCGGTTCGGGAGCTGTTTCGGGAGCTGTTTCGACAGGCTGTGATTCTTCGGGATTTGATTCTTCAACCTTTGGCTCCTCGGCCTTTGATTCTTCGACCTTTGATTCCTCGACCCTTGATTCCTCCTGTGCTTGCTCCGCTGCGATGGCAGCAGCGTTGCCCCTGGTACGTCTCTTCTTCGCTGGTGGTGCCATTTCTGGGTGATGATGTGACTTTTCCTGTTGTTTGTCTTGACGCTTATTCGGTGGTAGAATTGAAATTTTGCTAGAAGTAGTCGTCGCAAAGGTGATGTCTAGGTGAGAACGATGGTCTCCGCGACAACGAAGATGTAGTATTGTTTGAACAAACCTTTTGGGCGCCTTGGTCTCGAAGGTTTGAATGGGCTAACGTTCGGATTTACGTGGCTGCGCTTCCGACAGCCAGCAAAGTGGAAGCAGCAATCCGGCTTGAGCACAGGCTCGTTAGTGGGAGATCCAGTGGGTATTATCCGCTGAACGTTAGTGGAATCTGGGGTAAAATAGGTACCTCGGAAGCCGCTGTAGTTTGGCTCGCGTGAGCAGTACATGCCATGTACCCTTTCCATCGACAGAGCGATGCTACCATAATTTGCTCTCATCTCAAACCACTCAAAGGAGGAAGAAAAAGTTGGAAAATCCAAGGCTTATGGAACATCAGCCCCCATTGAAACCTCGCCCAACATGATACGCTCAAGATGGCCCTGGACGCTTCGACTAACAAGCTCAGCTCATCAGTCTGTGGCACGTAATCAGAAGCGTTGCAAGGCCTTTGTGCGGAGACTCGATAAGAACAACGAGGTCTATTACACAATATCCAACAAGCGGCCACCAAAGTCTCCCGACTCCATTCCCGTTCGAGATGACTTCTTTGAGATGCCGGATCTATTGCTGGACCTCGACGCCGATGGAAGCCGCTTTGTCCGCCCGGCAGACGAGGCTGATGAGAGGCGATTGGAGAGGAAATGGGACGTTAACCCGAAGAGACTCAATGTCCAGCATCAGTTGAAACAACTGCGAGACCAAATCGAGGAGTCACGGAAGAAGGCTGATGATATCTTGTCGAACCCGGCAAATATCTGGAGACTCAATTCACATGATATTCTATCAGCAGCTCTGCGGTGCCCACTAGGAACCGTCGACCAAATTGACATAAGCACGACAACCTCAGAAGCACCACCAACTCTCAATAGGCTTTCTTCGGGACAAGACCCTAGGTTTCTTGAGGCGCTCTGCAGAGAGAATGGAATACCTCCCCATGCGCTGCAAGATGACCAGGTCCTTCTAGAGTGGATGTTGCTACGATTCAAGAGCCTCAAGCGATCTATAACCAATCGAAGCGAAGAGCCACTGTCCTCGTCTCAGTTGACATCTTCTCTAAAGAACTCAACGTCCATCACTGATATCCGTCGGCTAGTGTTTCATGCTCTGAGTTCTGCAGAAACAGCCCAAACCTACTTCCCCAAGACAAAAGCGGCCAATGACGATTCAAAGAGCACATTAAACGTGGCCCGGGAAATACGCAACGCCTGTTTAAATGTCTTAAACGAGCATCCAGAAAGGGCGGTTGTCCATCTGGAAATACTAGGTTTCATCGGGAATCTGGCTGCAAGATTGTCGTCTCACGGTGCTGCTATTCCACCTGCTTTGACCGGACTGGCACTTCGACTTTCTGCAGCAGCGGGACTTACTGGAGCGACATCTGAATGGCTGCATAGAGGTTTTGCGAACTGTATGTGGGAGAAGCATACGGCATCATCAAAAGACGTAGCCGAAGCTCTCACAACATTCGCCCAGCATCTGGGAAATCCAGGGGAAGGTGGCTTATACGCCGTTCACGATCGGCAGTTGCTCTTGCAGCTACTAACTGGCATTGATGAGAATCACACACTCTCAAGTGATTCTTTGCGCTCACTTCCCCTATTCTATCTCGGCGAACAGAGCCAAGTCCCTACAGACCGGGCATACGAAATGTATGAATCGTACATGACCCTCCTAGGCCATCTCGGAGCCGTGAGAACCATCTGGAAAGAATGGCACGTCTCTAGACCTATTGTAACACGCTTTTTAAAACCAAACGACGGCATCCAACGACTCAAGCATCTATACGAAACATCGCTACTCAGTGCCCTTCGAGTAGCCGCCCCCTTAGAGACACGATGTCCTCCAGATATGGAGCTGGGCGAATGCATCGCGCAGGACTATCATTCAATCGCCGCACAAGATGCCAACGCTTGGCATGCCGATGCAACAGGAACAGCTCGATCAAGCAAATCTACAAAGGGCAGCTCTTTAGGCTTGCCGTCTTTCGACTTCCCCCTTGACGAATGGATTGCAAAACTCTACGAGACTGGCCGTCAGGGTCCCCCCTCAACTCGGTGATTGCATGAGTTGATTGAATATGAGCATTTCCAAGATCTGAAGTAGGGGAATAGCTATTCAACACCTTAGCGATCGCGTGCAGTTCAAGTGACGGAACGGGATGCGAAGGAAGCCTGGAAGCCTACCATGTTCCTCTACTAGGTATTATCTGGTACATTTTACTGGCTTCAAATTTGAGAACGGTTTGCTGGATAGCAAACATGGGTTGCTGAATAGCCACTCCGCAACGGAGCGATAAAGCACAGCTTGGTATATACTACAGTTTAGTTTCGGCTTTATAAGGAGCGAAGAGATTTGAGAAGAACGTACTAATCGAACGTTTTGACATAATTGGACTACGACTCAGGAAGCGTCAACCGCTAGAGATAGGATAAGGATTTGAACACTGGAATGTAGCCATCAAGAAGGCCAAATGCAAATGCCATGAGAGCTCCGATCTCGCTCAGGGGAGAAACTCAGTATCAGTCGGATGCGGAGAATAAATCAGACTTGTAGCGCCACAAGCCATATCGCCATATTAGGTGGAGAACCTATCGGGGATGTGGTTTATTAGATCATTCATGCTCTATTCTTGCAGCCTTGGATGGAAGCTACATAGATAAGACCCCTTGGTCTAGAATTCACATCTGCATATAGGAGTATCAATAGCAGCCCCCCTACGTCTATGGAGTATTACAACCATTCCCATCACGGTGGGTAATACCTAGTCTCTATCTAAGAAATCTCCTCAACATATTTAACCAATGCCAAAAATAAATATACTATCCGTCTCCGCAAGAGGAGAGGCAGAAGAACTGTGGGTTATTAATTTCAATTCCCGTGAGTAAGCCCTGAAAAACTAAAGCCCTAATTCTCCATACTTGAGAGAGAGATAGGAGACTTTTTAATCAAGGCACGATTCAAATACCCGTCCCGCGGAAGACAGGGACGCAACTTGCCGGCAACTAGATAAACTGGTCTGATGCTGGTCAGGAGAACGAGCATTTATGCAGAGCGGGTTGGCCAGGGGGGGCCAAGGGACTCTGCATTACTCGTGCAGTGACTAGGCAAACGGGGTGGCAGCGTCCGGACCGATCCCGCGCAGATCCATTCGGCGGGGATAAATGCCAGACTAGCCCCATATCGCTGAGATTACCTGTTGGGCCATCTTTTCCTCCTTGTCTTTGCGGAAGCCCGTGTGAACAAGGCGGCAAGGGAACGCTGCTGTCGTGGCATGCCGTGTGTTGGGCTGGCATTCTGGAAAGAAAGAAGAACAAACAAAAAGACAACTGGGTGCTCCGTATTTCGTATACAAAAGTGCCTTTTTACAGATACGACGCTCACAATGGGCTCACCAGGGCAATAGTCAATCTTCTTCGACGGCTATTCAAAGCTTGGCGAGGAGGACGCTATATCAACACGTTTACAAAGTGTCAAGGGGTTGACCTTTTGTTCTCAAGTGGACTGAGTCGTTGGTTATGCGTGTCAACACACAAGTCACAGCTCAGACAAAGATGAATGGCTCTTGACAGCTGTCGACGCTCTGTCTGAGACATGCATATGCGCATAACAAAGCTAATGGGAAGCACGGACATTGCGTCTGATGGCCTCAGCCTGCACAGCTTTTGCATCAGCTTCCTTGAAGCCCGAGGAAGGATGCGGGGTTTGGCATCTAGAAGCGGGCATCAAATTGCAAACGACGGCTAATATTGACGACTGGTAAGCCCAGATGCCAAGTCACTGCCACCGCTTCTTTTCCACTATTCATCCCATTTTGCCGTTTCAAGCAAGTCCCCATCTATACTAGATGAAGTCAAAGCAGGGCTTCCAGGGCATGTGGTTGGGAAGCAATGCAGAGTGTCCCTCTTGCAACTCAATTGCGTGTGATGTCTTGATTGGCAGAAACCCTCGTCCGGTAAGTAATCCCTGTTACGGCGGGCAAGACAGTTTTTGTCGGAATTGGCGGTGTTGGAATGGCACGATGCCCATCACGAATTGCAAACTTGGAAGCTTTGGAGCAAGGGGGGACGCAGTTACTGTACGGCCATGGAAACGGAGCCACTTTGACCGTCTGGCGGTATGCCGGGAGAAACGGGCAGCTTCGCCTATACAGCTTCTCCATAATAATGATACTCACGATGGAGTCGATTGCCTGTACAATGGCACCCAACCGTGCGAGTACACAATTACACGTAATCGTGAGGTAGTATTCGCAATGGTGGCGATTGGGGAGAAAACGCAATGGCCTCGCAACTGTCTTTTCTCATGCGTTGAGCATCTCCTGATACAAGGTATTGTGGAATGATTGGGCAATGGACGCTGAATTGGTCAGGATCATCCTAGCAATTCTTCCAACCGGCTGAAGGGGAAAAGTTTGAAGCTATTTCCCCACAGAATGAGAAAGCCCCGGCTATCAATGGCAGAGGGAGCAAGGTGAGAAATAAGCCAGACATTTTTTTTCATGTTTCCTCTTTATGGTTTTTCCTTGTCTGGCTTGAAGGTTTATTTCCCCTGGGCCAAGGTACGATGCACAGCTGAACTTATTTTTGCGTTTTCCTCCTCCTTGTGTGTGGGCCGATGGAGCGAAACCCGCGCCTAGGCGAATATTGGCTCCTTGGCTGCCATCCCACGAGCCTGGAGTCTGGAGAACGAGTCGCCAATTCGGCGCCGAATATGGCCACAACCGAACAAGCCGCAAGCCGTAGGTGGATATCACCGCAACTAGGCAAAACGGAATCCAGGGGGCAGAAAGTGGACAAAGCCTTTGGGGAAGAACAGCTCATTGTCCGTTGCGGAGTGCGAGTACGAGCAACCCGTGTACGATTATGTACTGTCCATACGGAGTAGATCCAGGCAGTTGACAAGCGGAGTGCTTATTAGGGAACGGGAAACAAGTAAGAGTTAATTTCTGTACAACCACGGAATCCGGGTATTGTGGCCCGTCAGCCCTAATTGAAAATATGCCCTTCTATGAAGGTCGATTGGGCGGCAAAGTCTGACAGGCAGACACCATGTGTTTGAGGCTAAGACGATGCGAGATGCGGTGGCATAGAGCTCCATGCACTTCCCGTGTTGTCCAGGGACCAGCTCTGCGCCAGTAGGCTTTTTGGGAGTCAATTGAAGCGAGGCCCAGATCAGTCCAAGAATATCCGGAGCTGGGGGAGGGCAAAGTTTGCAGCATGCGTCTTTGAGATAGCTGCAGCAACCCCACAGACGAGTCAAGATGCTAGATGGAAAGTTGTTAGTGAAGCCTGTAGTCGCAATAGCACCATGGCCGGTGTCTGGGCAATTAATTACTGTCCAAACTAGCAGGCAATAGTAGGGGCCATGGTGAGACTCGACGTGTGCATTTCGGCTACTTTTTTCTTTTCGCACCGTTGGGGCCAACAACGAGAAAACGGAGTTCGAGGAATTCATGCGCTTGCAACTTGGTCCGGAATCCGGGTTAGTCAGGGGAATGCCGAGGACAAGGGACAGGACAGGCACAACGAGAGAGTTTTTGCACGGAGGACTCGGACAGGCACAGGGACCCTGATGGCACTGGCACTTGGGAAGAGAAAGTATCGTATGTACGAGTATGAAAGAATGCAAGTGGTTAGCCTGATGACAAAGAAGACAAGATGGATTCGGAAGACCGAGAATGACGACGCCTCGGAGTTCGAGGAAAGTGGCAGCATTACATTGCCGGTGCGTCATTGTCGGACGGACATCAAGGTGAACGGACAGGACGGAGCAGCGGAGACACTGGGAAACACCGTGATGGCTCGCTCTCGTTTCTACTCGTTTGTTCCGTTTTCTATTTTCAAAAGTCAGGGTGCCGATGTACCTTGGCTAGCAGGACCTTGATAGACCAGAAAACTAGTAGGACGCAGAAAGCAAAATTAGAAAATTAATTTAGAAAATTGCTACAGTAGAATCCATGATCCTTGGAAGTACAGTAATAACTAGAGTAAAAAAAAAAATCTATTCTGTCCTTTGTCTTTACCCTGCCTCGCATCACAGTTGCGTAATAGTCCAAGTTGCAACAGAACGGCCATCGGTCCTTTCAACCAAAGTTCTACCCCCGTGGCCCCGAACCCGCGGACGGCGGCGGCGCTGATTGGATCGCGGTGGTGCGAATATAGCGTTTGGGTCTCTGAGGAAACGTGCTCGCTGGACTGGATGACTGTGCAGCCCAGCAGGCGATTCTACGAGCCGATTGTGCCATTGCCTTGCGCCGTTTATTCCGCTTAGCTGCCCCACGGTCCAGGAATCACTGGAAACGAACGATTGAACAGCCCATTGAGCAAGTAAAAAGACGTAGGCGAGAAAAAAAAAAATTAAAAAATAGTAGAACATGTGCGTTTTACTCTCCACTGTTTTGCGCAGCCCGCAATTGATGCCGCAGCGGCTGGTGTCAGCTCGTGTCTATGGGCTGGCTGTCATGGTTAAGCATGACTGAGAAAAGTTTTTCATCTTGTCCTTCTCCCGTAACCCCCTGATAGTGAGCTCATCTTCCGTTTTACCTTTTTTAATCTTTACAGTGAATTTTGAATTAAATTTTTTGATTTTTTGTGCGTTGATGCTTGTAAGCTTGAAAATGTACCGACTCACAGGGGTCACAGCACTGAGACGGTTGCGATAAGGGGCGCCGCCGTGGCTACCACCTGCTAGGAATGTGCTCGGCGCAACAAGCAAGGTACCAAGTCTGCATAAGGATTGCGAAATGCTAGAAAATGCCACAATGGCAGCCACCGGGTCCTGCCACTGCTCGCGACAGCCAATGGGGCAGCCAATTGGCGGCCGTTGGAGGAGGAGGAGGCGGGCTTGAAGGATCGTCGTCCGGTGTTTTGCGGGCACAGACAGCACAGAAGGGAACTTAACTTGGAGGGAACTTAAACTTGGTCTAACAGGTACGAAGTACCCAGAAAACGGAATCCGAAGGGGAACCGGTACCTGGGCGGACCCCTCGCGCAAAGACCTGCCCAAGAGTGCGATGGGGGTACCGGTACCGCCGCTGCGTGCCAGCTCAAGGCGGTCCCACCAGTGTATGTACCTAGATGGACCTGGCCGGATGCATGTTGGCGGAGGGGCCACGACGGCCGGCGGAGTACGGAGTACGAGCTGGCCTGCAGGGTGCACGGTATCGGATACATGGGACGAGGTACATACTCCGTACATGGCGCATTTGGCAGCGGATGACAAAAATAAGCGAGACGGGACGTGGACGGTACAAGAACGGTTGAAATCTTGCTTGTGATGCTCCCCTCATAAAGAAGATGTCGCCGACAGCGTACATATGACATTTCTCAAAGATGTTGATCTCTGATAATACATCTCTGCAAATACTGTACAGATCTAACAGGTACCCAGTAAAACAGATGTAGATAGATGCCTGCTTTGTCTCGGGCTTTTTCATGCACATTTTGTCCACCGCATTGCTAAGCTAGCTAGTTCCAACAAAAGCTTGCGCACGCCGTTTATAACAACTCCTCCTCCTAACCCCTGTCTGTCCCTTCTTTGGGCCCCGTGCGTCGATCGCCACCAAAAGGCGCCGCCGCAAAATCTCGGAGCAAGCCCATTAGCTCATGTCGGGGCCGTCGAGACAAAAAAGCCCAATGCAAATGCATGCGGCCGGCGACTCGTCACTTTGCGTGGGAACGCGTGCTGCTGCCCATTGGCCTCCACTCGTGCCTGGCAGGTTCCACGATGGCCGGGCTCGAGAAGGATGGAAAGGTACCTCGTCCTGCCGTGGCTTTTGGCGGTGCCTGGGAGGTACAGGTATTAATTCCTCAGCATCCCCGGATACGGGCAGCTGTTGATCTCTGCTTCCATCTCATCTCATCTCGTCTCGTCTCTGGTACTTCTTTCAAGGCACAGCAGCGAGTTTGCAAGCCTTGGTTTCCCATCGTTTGATCCGTTGTCTTGTCTTGCCCTGTGCTGTCCTGCCCTCTCTTGCGTGTACTCGGCGCATCATCGCATCATCGCATCATCGCCAGCACCCCCTTGGCTTTCATCATTCTCTCTCCTGCATCAATCCAATCGCACAACATCCAGCAACAAAAGAAGCCCAAACAGCTGCACCCCAGGCTTACTTTTACAGCGCAGCACCTCTTTTTTCTTTGCTAGCAGCTTCCACCACATCTTGGCTCATAAGCACGTCAGCCCGTCTTACAAGTCCATGCAAGCGAGCCCAGCCCTACAGTACCATTGATCCTTCATCCGAGCTTCAATCTCTCTCTCCCACAAAGCAAGCTCTAGGCCGCCAATCATTCTTTTCCGTGCCCACATTTTCAATCACAGAGGCTTTCATCTTCTGTCAAACGTCAAACCAAGTCCCAGAAAAAAAAACTTAACACAAGCAAACCAGCCCACAAAAACAGAGTCATCGTTGCCTGGTACCATCGCGACATTGTGGAGCCGGGCGTCGACAGTTGTGTCACCGTCTCTGCTGTAAACTTTGCGACTCGTGTCTCCGCTTTCGGCTGTTCTCAATTACTGTGCGCTCCAGTATATTACAGATAATCAACCCGCGACATCGAAAAGGAGTCACACACGCCAGCATTTCTCACCTCTCACCTCTCACTTTTTCTTCTTCTCTTTACTTCACTTCATTTCCATCCTGCGGCTCCGCCTTGCAAATCGACGCGTCCCAACCCAACCAAACTGCAGCTCCGCCTCCATTCGGCAGCACTAGACCGCAATCCCGTGCCACTTACACCAAGGCCATTTTCATCTCACCCTGCTAATCGGTGCCATCTGACCGTTAATACGCCTATATTTGGCCTTTGGACTGCTCCTGTCAACTGAGCATCAAAAGTGGATAGCTTTTATCTGCCCGACGAATCGATCTGCAGCATCCTTCCATCTACCGGATCCTGTCGATCAGCTCGCCCATTTGTCTCCGGTGTGACCGCCATCAATCTGGTTATTACGAGTACACGAGGCACAAGGTCCAGCCCATTTCTCAAGTCACGCATGAGGACAACAGCCTCCTTTTATTCATCTTCATCTTACGAGTACGCGCTCTCCAGCACGACCCGTCGCACACATCCATTTGCCTGCCAATAGGATATAAAGTGGACACAGCGGCTGTTCTGTTACCAACCTGCAGCTACCTCACTTAACCTTGCTTTTGGTTATCTCTCGAGCCTTGGACCGTCCTGGTAGTTCCACACCCTCGTTCCACGAGCTGCCAGGATAACACCTCACCCACGCACCTGGACTTGTCTGGCCTAGGCGCTTTATTAGTTATTAGTCGCTCGACTCCCATTCCAAATGCCTCATCATCAACGTCGAAAGTCCGGACCTTACTCTGCCAACTCATCTACAACAGACGTACGAAAGGCTGTTACCGCCACGCCCACGCAGTACAAGCGACCAGCCATGACACGACGACACACTCCATCCAATGCCCAGAAGCTCGGGCGAGGCAACCGAGAGCACAACAGCGAAGTCTGGGACAATGACGAGCGGGAGAGCTTCCCCCAGTATTGGTATGAAACACGCCTCTTCAATTTGTGGTGCAGCAAAGGGCTTTTTTTTTTTTTTACTGACTCTTGTTTCCTACAGCATGACCTGCGAGAAGCAGTTTGTCCCCTACGACGAGATGTTCTTGTACTGCTCTGATGCGTATGTCAATAATAGACCCCAAACTCTCTACTGATAACCACCGCTGACAATGTTGGATATAATAGATGCCGCCGAGTTGACCAGAATTCGTCTTCGCAGCAGGCCGCCACGGTTCACAGCTACTACGGTGCCGTGCACAACTCCTACGCTCACTATCCTGGAGACAAGTCCGAGCCCCGAGACATTGTGCCGCGCGCCTCACCATCGAGGCCCAGCTCGATGCACTTCAGCAACTCTCCCCCAGCTTCTCCAGGCACCACACTCAACTACCACACCTCTGCCATGTCCGCCTTGCGATCCCTCAACGTGAGGCCGCCAAGCCCTCCATCACCCACGGGCAGCGGTATCTGGCCCTTCAGCCGCAGCTCAGCTACCAGCCCCAACAACTCGTACACGCGACCCTCTACTAGCGGCTTCTTCTCGTCGGCGAGCACCTACGATCTGGGCTATGGCGGCGCCTACTCACACGACACTGCATCTGGAGCCATGGACCGGCCACTGCCCTCGCGAAACCCCGGCAGCAGCTCGCGGCCAAAGAGCATCGAGCTTGTCATCCCCATGCTGTCTCGGTGATTTCGGACGCAGGCATGCGTTGGGGAGGGCATGAGGAGGACGCGGCTGGCTGCAGTCTGTCCACCTCGAACCTCCCTAGCGGCCTCATCCCCCCCCCCCTTGCGGACGGCATGCCGGCTACCAGCAGCTGGGCCACGGCGGCCTATCACCGGACTGTCTGAGGCCCTCGGACTGGGTTGGCGCAGCTTGGCCACCGCTGTGGGGGTGCTCTGGCCGTGTTGGCGCGTGCAGATGTCGTGACGGTGCTGCAACTCAAACCGCGCCTCTCCGCATTTTGCCAGAGCCTAGCCAAACGGCGCATTGACTCGATTGCGGGGTTGCAGGGGTCCTGGTGCCAACGGCAAGGGTTGTCTCAACATGTTACCACCATCAACTGACATGTGGAATGGTCTCGCCTGTCCGTCTGAGCATCCAGCCAGCCCCTTTGCTTATGCTTCCCCCCACGGCTGTCTGGCACACTTGTTCATTGTTTTACTCACTTTTATCCGGGCGTTTTATTCCAGGGAGAAACGAAACAAAAGTTTTGATGTTACCATTCCGCTTCTACCTTTATTATTACTAGTGTTTGTTTGTCACCACCATGGAGGGGGTTATCGGGGCCTTTACCAACTTTGGACGACGGATTGTCCCCCCTCGCACGGCGCTTTTTTCACATCCCCAACCTCTCGAGCTCTCTTATCAGCCGCTCTCACTGTCACCTTGCACCGCATATGTGACTGCATTCCACCAATGCGGGCCCCGGGCGACCGAGGCCATCTGGAGCGTCGCTTCGCTTCGCTTCCGGACTCTTATCTACATTTCTTCTTTTGGGATTTCTTTTCTCTTTTTCTTTTCTCCTTGCGTCTTCTCTCCTCTTATTTCATTAAAGACTTTTTATTGCCTCTTGGCACAAGATTATTACATGTCACATGGATTAGATATAAAGCATGACATGACATAGGTATTTGGATGATGATTCGGCGGCGCTTTTGCATGGATATTTCATATACATTTATTTATTATACTATATACTAAAAGACGGAGAGGCAAAAGGCTGTACTAATTTGCTATGGCTGATGGGATGCATCTCTTGGGGTAGACAGAACCCATGAAACCAATAAGTCAATAAATATCAATTTAATAAAACAACTTGTCAGAAATCCTTTGATCGAATCGAGCAGCCGGATGCAGTGTTCGGCGGTGTTCGGCGCTTATCCTGCCTGTTTTGTACTGTATTTTGTTCACACTGCAGCTGCAACTGGGTACTGCTATTTATATCTGCCTTTCTCCCTTTTATACGTGAATTATGTACACTGAACATTAGAAGTATCGCGGATAAATGATTGTGTTGTGCAGTTACGCGTTCGTACAAACATTAGGAGATACCTAGTACTGAGATGCTACCTTGGGTACATAAGATAGGTATCTGGTAGATAAGGCGGAGATACCAGATAAGGCCTCTAGATAAGGTATCTCGTTGCTGCTTCCGGGTTGCTTATCATGACTGTACGAAGTACTCCCTTACTGCCTTGTCTCACAAACAGTCGTACGAAAACGCTGCGAGCAGCTTTACCCCACAGTTACCCAGATAAGCAAGGAAATGTCTTACCTTGTGTTTCTCTTATCTTTCGTCGACTGCCTACTAGGTAGGTACTGGATGCAAGGTTCGGGTTCCGAAGGGTTCTCTTGCATTTGCATTTGCATTTGCATTTGGTGGTGCCTGGCGGTTAGGTAGGGATTAAGAGAATTAGGGGACCTGCTTTTTTTCGGTTATGGATGGGATGGAGCGGCTCGGAAGGGGGACGTGCCTTATCTACTATTACATGGATACGCGTAGGTGTTTTGTAAGGTATCTTGTCTTTCCTTTGTTGGTCGGGGTGAGATGCTGCGGTTAGAAGAGGTCAGTATCGGTGGTGCTGTTATTGGGTGTTTCGTCGAGAGTATTAGAGTTGATAGGCGGTTTGTTTTCGTTCGGGTTTACCTAGTGTCCCTAATGTTTAGTTTGTTTGCGCAGCTGTGAGACTCTTGTCTGTGAGATAGTTGCCACTCTCTGGGTAGTTGTTTAACAACTTGCCGTGCAACGCAGCACTACCCCCGGAGCCAGGAAACAGGAGATATTCGTGCGGCTACCTGGCGGCGCTGGAGTGCATAATGCAGTGCATGTCACTACGTTTTTGTCCGTATCTTTATTTGTGCATTTCAAAAAAAGGATGTATTCTTTTACCACATCTTAACATGTAAGTGGGCGTATCGTATGCAGCATCGCGACATCTAGAGCTAGCGGCACGGCGTATTATGTCGTGCATCTCTATGCTGTCTGAAACGTTGTGCTCGAGCAACTACCAAGGATTACACAGAAGTTTAATTATAGGTGATGCGAAGAATCGCGTCTCTGGTTGGTCAGAAAATTGAAATGTGTGACGAGGTGGCGGAAGAGTCGTATGGAGAGGTGTTATTTCTCTTTTTGTTTCGTGTGACTTTTTTGGTCTGGTGAGCTGTGAATTTGGTGTGGAGTGTCATGTGTTGCACAACATGATTACGTGTATTACTATATATCATATTCCAAAAACAGTACTGATGCCGTTTAAGTGTTTACTGGATTCAAAACGGTTGGAATATAAGGTACCATTGCAACACATACATAGTACGTTGCAAATACATCCATAACCACACGCAGTCCTGCTGCGGGAGGCCAACAACCCCACAATCATTTGACAGCTTATTCGTTACTGAGAATATTGAATGGCATTTTCTACTGTAAGTTAATATATATCATAAATTAGAAGGATTCCACCATGAGCAGAATTCGCAGTAGGGTGGTTGACTTGTAATACAGTCAATACAGTATAACAGAACGTAGCATTCCCTGTTCCCGAGACAGCCCTTATTGGATGATTGAAGAATTATATATACCAGAGGGAATGCGATCAAGCTCCATATTATTGTTAAACTCGTGAATCATCTTTCCTTACCCCTGTGTAACCCTTTCCATCATGTCATTGCTCGCCGTCATTCCCGGTCATGGAGATGATGAATTATGCGTGGGGCAGATCTATATACTGTCCATTCTCTACACTAATGAAGTCCTGACTGCTGTTGATTACCAGGATCTGAAACTAAGGCCATTCGACAATAGTCGCAATCAGATGTGGCGACTTGATCCACATGTTGAGAACAGACAGACATTCGCCAATGTCGAAACCGGCCACTCTCTTGGCGTAAACCGGACGCATGGCTACTTCTGTTGTAAATGGGACAGCTATGGCCCAGGAGAGCAGTTTACATTCGTCCCTCAGAAAACTGGTGGCTATCGCGTGTATAATCATAATGGCAACCGGCCAGCATTAGTCACACGGCAAGAGAACGAGGATTTCCTCCGAACTACGACTCTTGGAAATGCTTTTGTAACGATTGGTGTTCACTGTGCTGAGTAAGTTGCTATGATATAACGTGGTTTATAGAACATGTAGCAACAAATGCTCACTCGATTTAGAGACACAATATTATATGGTTCAGAAAGAAACATATTGTCGCAACCTTATCCCACCAATTAGTACTTGCAACCACCTAGTGGATAGCAAAAGGGCTGCTGGCTTTTTGTAACAAGGAGAAGTGGCTCTAGAATTGTCCATCTAGGACGATGGAAGCAGAGGAAGAGATCACCATTGCGGCACCATGTTCTTTGTTTGTTATTGCGATAGCACTCCCGTCTATGCAAACAGCTGCCGTGGCCTTTCGATTAAGAGATCAATATCGTAAAGAGCCGCCGATATGTCATCTATAACCTACGAGTGAATCTATAGCGAGTTGATTCCAGGTCTTTATCCTCTTACGCTTGATCTACTCGACATTTATGTGCATGATACGAAGTTGAAGATCCATAAGCGGTGCTCTCAGGAACTGACCAATATGAAGCCCTTCTTCAAACATCCTTAGACATATCGTCCACCACATCACGACAGATCAAATTTGTTACAACAGCCGCATCTTCGTAAACTCATCATCACAGATTCCATACAAACCCTCGATATACAAACTCTATACCCCCGACATCATTTCAGTCACATTGCAGCTTCAAACAATTGCCATCATTTCCTAGTTTCATTTCCCCTACACTACCCACTCCACTCACTTCACTTCACTTCACTTCTTTTCTTGTAAAAATATCTCAAAACACAAACAACACCCCAGTAGCATAAATTCCAACTCCATACAACGCAGGCAAAGCACCCGTTTTTATTTCCGCCTCATTCGCGCGCTCTTCCCTCCCCCTTTTTCCTTGCAAGTCCCATGCCATGCCAAGATACGTAATGTAACAGCTCAAGATAAACAAAGCACAGCCTGGACGAAGACATCATATATGGCATAATAGCTAGTCTCTCAGAAAAAAAAGAAAAAAAAGCAAGGGCATCATAAGCCTCATTCGGCTGTAAGTCGTCACCAAAAAAAATAAAGACGCATCGACGTGGCCGCCATCTTTGCGCCACTACCCTTTTCCCTCCTTAAAAATAGCACTCACTCACTCCTTTATGACATGACGTAAAGATAAAGGAAAAAGAATCATTACAACCATCCTGAAACAAAAACTTGTTTTTTACATCCCGTCTATAGGTCTTGAGCTGGCCATTTCTCCGTACCGGCCTCGGTGCTTTGTCGTGTCGTATGCCTGGAGCACGCGCGTCTGGCTCTCGTCGGCCTGCGAAAAGGCATAGCCACGCTGCTTACGCATACGCTGCACCTGCCGAACCTTGCGGATAGCTTTCTGAAATTGCTCCATCCTGTTTAATACAAGTTAGCCGCCGCAGCTCTATCATGTCGAGTTTCAAGATTGCTAGATTAAAGGGACACGGGGGCGGCTGTGCTACATACCTAGGCCGGTAGTCCTGAATATTGTACTTTTGAATCTCCTGAATGTGGTGGTACGTCTGCGGCCGGTACATTCGCTTGGCGTATTTCCAGGCAATGTCTCGTGACAGACACAGCAACGCAAGGACAAAGGTTTGAAGCCAGAAGACCGGGCTGCTGTACAGCTTGGGAATGACGCCATGGTATTCGGTTGAAATGTTGATCTTGGGTGCGACGGTACCGTAAACGGCAATAAACACCCACCAGATGACCATGCTGCCGGGGATGGCCATCACATGGTACTTGGTCCAGTTGTTGGTTACCAGCGCTGCCTTGCCTAGGACAGTGAGGAGCACAGCTCCGTACAGAGCAGTTCCCCAGACCCAATGTCCGTCAGTCTGGCCTTGGCCGTCAATGACATCGCTGTACCAGATGAGCTCAGCAAAAATGTAGAGGACGATGGAGTGGTAGATGGCGTTGGCAATCCACTGCGCAAACACCTTTAGCTTGAACGCGGAATTCTGCTGGCCCATCATGTAGAGCTGAGGGTAGCGATCGAGTAAACGAGCAGAGATGAACTGGTCAAGGATACCAATGGCGAGCGGCGGAAGAACTGTGTAAAAGACGTTGTAGAAGGACAAGGTCCAAGATTCGTAAATGACCTGGCCGGAAAAGACATTCTGGAACGTGTACCAAAACTGCGTCAAATACAAAGCAATGTTCTTGTAAAAAGAAAAGAGAATCGTCTTGCTCACTCGCTGGTAGCTCCATGCGCCGTGGACAAGCAGCAGCTTCCGTAGATACCTAAACTGGGCAATGGCCACATCGGCACTTCGAGCAGCCTGCAGACCCTCAACACCGCTGATACCAACACCAATGTGCGCCGCCTGGATCATGGAAACGTCGTTTGCTCCATCGCCGATGGCGAGAAGAATCGATTGCTTCTGGTATTTCTTGACCAGCTTGACGACCAGAGCCTTTTGCAGGGGTGACACACGACAGCAGATGACGGCCTTGCACATGATGGCGAGGTCGAGGAACAGCTTTTCCAGATCCTTTTCGAGGGCATACGTGAGAGACTTTCCGTCAATGACCAGCGCCAGCGATTCCATTTCGATAGTACCGTCGCCTTGCGTCCTGATGGCATCAATCTTCTTCTGGATGTTGTCGCGAGTTGCGGCTGCCGATTCCTCGTTGACGATCAAAAGCATCATGTCCTCGCTGAGAAGCTTGCAACTCATACCAATGTTGATGGCCGTCTCCTGTCGATCTCCGGTCAGAACCCAGACTTTGATGTTGGCCTGCTGCAGGGTGTGAATGGTCTCCGGCACGCCATCTTGGAGGCGATCCTCGATAGCAGTGGCACCAAGAAGGTAAAAGTCATGTTCAATAATCTCAGCAGCCTTGTCCAGCTCATCCGCTCGATTGCCGCCAACAGTCGTTGCCGCAGTATCAAAGATCTGGCGCCACTCGTGGTACTCTTGTTCCGGCACTTCACGCATAGCCAAGCAGAGCGTTCGCAGACCCTCCGATGCGTATTCCTCGAGGTGACGCAGAGTGACTTCGACATGGGGGTTTTGGTCGTTGAGGCGTTCCAGGATGACGGTATCGGCACCCTTGCAGTAGACACGAATCTTTCCGTCTGGGCAGCGAAAGATGGCAGACATGCGCTTACGGGTTGAGTTGAATTCGCAGACGGCCAACAGTTCGTATTCCATTTCTCGACCATTGGCTTCGATGATGACGGATTTCGGCTTTCGTGCAGTGAACCTGTAGCCCATGGTGACAGCTCCAGCCACAAGGGCACCTTCGTCGGGGGAGGCAGCTTGATATTTAATTTGGCCTTTTTCGTCCATCTCAGGGATAACCGTGTGGCAGGTAGCAAGAAGCGCTAGGAAATGGTCAATCATCCCCGCAGTCTGATGTCCTTGGGTCAAGTTGGCCTGGAGCGCCTTGAAGTCGTAAATGGCTGCCTCTTCGTCGTCCACGCCCGTCGCTCGGCGGTCCTCGGGAACCTCTTCGGCATACATAATGCCGCCAATAGAGCATTGCTTGAATTCCATCATGTTGCAAGTAAGCGTACCAGTCTTGTCCGAGAATACGTACTCGACCATGCCGAGTTCTTCGACCAAGCTAGATGTTCGGCAGGTGGCTGGGGTATCAGTCTTGTCGTAGTACATGTCGAGATCGTCGTTGATGAGGATTCCATGCCAATACTTGACCAGCTCCACCGTGACGAAGAGAGAGATTGGCACCAAGGCAGAGAAAAGCACCCAGTACGTAACCATGTCTTTGAAAAACGTCGAGGCTGCGGTTCCAGCGCTGTCGATTTTGTCCAGATAGAGATACGAAAGCGAGTCGCCAGTAGCGCCGCGCATCACCAAGTCTCCCACGGTACTGATGACGCTAAGCACCAGCAGCATGCCGACCAACATGAGCACGAGCCAGTTGAGCTGCCTTTCGACCTTGGTTCGCTTGATTGGCGTCGCGGTGGCGTTTCGCATCAGCTTGGTCTCGTGGCCCGTGAAAACAACGATGCCGTGGATCCAGGGGGTGTTTCTCAGAGTGGCACCTCGAAGGAGCAGCTGCTCGGGATTCAGGGCCAGCTCCTTTTCTCCTCCACCAGCTTGCATGATCAATGTTGCTTCGTACGTGTACAGGCTGCTGTTGGGCTGTTCCGACTTGATGCGACCACCCAGTCGGCTCACTTCGCTAGGGGAAACCAAGGTAGACGTCTCTGGAAGGGCTTGCTTAATCTTCAAGTTGGTCTCGCCATCCAAGTTTGCTGTTTCGATATAACAGAGACCCTCGGGCTCGGAACTTGCCAAAAGAACCAGATCGGCTGGAAACGGCTCCTCAGATTCGACCCTGACCACATCGCCCACCGCTACAGCATTCCATTTCGTGTCCGTGAAACTTGAGCCCCGTAAAACTCGCGCCGTGGAAGTGTTGAGAGCATTGTCTGCAACTCTTCTCCGGTAATCCTCCACCAATTCCTTACCAGCGGAAACCAAAAGCACAACAGCCAGGGGTCCAATCGTCGTATACCTGTTCGTGGGTGACAATCCAGGGATCTGCTGCAGGGCGGCCGTAAACAGGAAGAAGATGTTGGCAACTTTGGAGAACTGCTCAAAGAGGAACTTGGGGAGAAAGGTGACGACGTTGTACTTGGCCGTCGAGATGTGGTTGCCGGCGTACTTGTTGGCGGCATTGGCGGGGGGGTTGTTGAGGTGGATGATTCTTGGTCCCAGGCTCGCGGGATCTGGCTTACCCCTGCCAAAGCCGAACTTGAAGTTGCCCGACTTCTTGGCCTTGGGCTGCTGCTGTTGCTGCGACCCGCCTCGATCGAGTCCCGGCTCGGTCAAGGGCAGGTCCATCTCCGAATAGCCCTGGCCCATGCCCAGCCTGTGCTTCAGCTTGCCAAAGAAGCCTCCTCCCAGAGTCAGCACGCTGTTCCGGGTTCTCGCATTGTCTCTAGCAGCTGACGATGGCCCCGCACCAGGAGCGCCGCCATGCTGGTAATACATCTCGTCCTCGTCGAAGTCATCGGCATAGCGCGGGTAGTTGTCAAGGTCCGAGGACTGGCTGAATTGATGGTTGTGATAGGGCCCCGACCGCTCTGAGGGCTGCGCCATCTGCGCTCCGCCAGAGCGACCCGGGGGAGGATATGAGGGCTCGGCGCCGACAAAATCATCGTAGGACACCGACGGTCGGCTCGACGGATCCTGATCGTGCTCGTACGCCCGTGCCAGATCGTCGTCGTTCAAGGCCGACCGCTGCCCCGCGCTGTATACGGGCTGCTCGTTGTCCAGGTCGAGCAGCAGGTCGTCGTTATTCGAGGGCCCGCCATGGCCTCCTATGGGGCGTCGTCCAGCCATGCCGGAGGACAAGTGATGGTTAGGCGATCGAGATGTCGGAAAGGCAACGCATGCGGGATCGACGGCGGGTTTTGTTGATTCGTGGTGGTTATTGTTGTTGTTTGTTTCTGAAAACTGGCGGGCGTGGTGGCTGCACTTCGTATTCAAGGCTCGCAAAAGCAAGCTCGAAATCGGGTTGACACCTGGTCCCGCGATATCGATAGGGTATGGTAGGGTCTGCTCTGGCTCCGTAAGACCGCTGATGTGTTCCGTTGAAGGTTCCCCTGCACAGCCTCGTTTCGGCGCGCAACCCGCTATTTCAACACGCTGTAGCGGCACGCTTGTTCGAGGCTCAGGGCGGTACGTCAGCACTGGCAGTGATTGGCCTCACAGCGGCAGCAAGTTAGAGGCGCAGTTGAGGGCCAAAGAGGATCCCAGAGCTCAACTCAGCAGTTCTTTTGCCCGGGAGCTGACAGAGTACATGTAATAATAGCAATTGAGCACGGATCAACGTCTAATCTAACAGCCTCTGTCTCCTCGCTCCCCCTCCCTGGGATTTCTGATACGAGACGTCTGATGCTGAAAGGGGGCCGTCCAGTGTTAATTGCTGCTGCAGCGCCTGTTTTGCGAGGCTACAGGCGCCTGAGAAGAACATTAGCGGGCCCACGTTCCAGCTCGGGTTCCCCTGAGCGCGGTCCCCTTTGCGACAAGTCCCCCTCCACCGCATTTGCACCGGCGAGGTACCTTGCTGAATGCCAGAGCTAAATTGAGGATACTTTGCAACGGTCGGTTTCGTCACCCTTGGAATTCAAACAGTGCCGCAGCGGCGACTTGTACGGAGTACCGAGTACAGGAAAGCTGCCGTTTGGTCTCAGCCTTGCCACCGGCATCAAACAATCAAAGCCCGACATCATCTCATCAAACATCAAGTTGAACCCACAAGGCTGCCCCACCGTTCACTGCATTGCATCCCGAGGGTTGAAAGAAGAGTGCGAGTAAAAGCGCTGAACAATAGTCATCATCACATCAGCTATACATTCTCTTTGACAGACCGGATACCAACAACACCATGGTCTGTGGCAAATGTGTGAAGCTCCAAAAGAGCACAAAGCTCGCGACCCCAGAGGTGAAGAAAAAGAGCGAGATGTACTATGGATCGCCAGCCAGCACAAAGGCGAGCGGCTCCAAATCAGCCACTCTAGGTAATACCGGAGTGTCCAAGGTAACGAAGGCCTTGCTTTGGTTTCACTCTTTACATAGAAAGATTGCTAACGAATCTCAGAGTAAGCTGCTATCAAAGGCAGCGAAGAATCCATACGCACAGTACTCAAGGTATGCGCAAAATCCTGGATCCATCAGTATGCGCCTCGACTGACAACGGGTTAATAGTTCATGTACCAAATGCAAAACCAAAATCACACAAGGCCACTCTTATTGCCCAAAATGCGCCTACCAAACCGACTGTAAGTCACTCAATACTGCTTCTACATTCATACCATCTACGTGTATCCAGGCTCACATTACCACTCAATAGCCTGTCCTATGTGTGGAAAGCCAAACAAAAAGTCCACCTCAAAAGCGCCAACAGTTGATGCCTACAAAAACACGTTGAAATAAAGCATCGCCTATCATAGATGGCAAGGTATTAAGCCGTCTCCTTGACGCAGGAACCAAGGTCCAGCACGTCACATTCAAACGAGAACATTCCGAAGAGCGGTGAGCAAATCTCACTCAAACGCTTATGCGCGCGCTCGTATCGCCCCAAGCGACAGTCCTGTTTCTGTATGTGTATCGGTATCGTCCAAACATTCGCTCTTTAGACCCATCCAATTCCGACATTGCAGAAGAAATGAGTTTGAGATGGCTACGTGGTAGCTCGAAAGAAGATGTGCGGCAAGGCTGGACTCAATAGAAACTTCGCTTCAAGAGAGTATCTACTGATACTCCTGTAGATAAATCAATACAGCTACCTACTGATATACCCAACATTCAATAGCCGTGTCCTACATAACCGGTAGGAAAAAGACGTAATGACAGCTCAGCCAAATCATAATCCATAGATTTTCTCTACAAGTTTTTTTTTTCTTTCTCGCTCAATGCAGTCGAACATTCCCACCTTTACAGCTTGGGAGCGCTGTTCACCTTGGTCAGCCATTTCCCAATGTGCTCATTGATATCAGGTCCAGCCTGCGTCAACGCCCAGTGGGTAGCATCGACCTCCGCCCGGGTCAGATCAGCAAAAGCTGCGTCCATGCCCTGAGACATGGCCGGCGGCAGAGCATCATCGTGAGTCGCCCCAATGAAGAGCGCGGGCTGCTCGAACGTGTTGGGGCGCGCCTCCTCGCCCAGCGCAATCTCCTCGTTGGCGTTGATCTCGCGTGTTCGGTACCAGTTGAGCGGGCCACGCAGCTCGGGGGCCTTTTGCAGCGAGTACTGCTCGACGTAGAACTCCAGCTCGTCGGCGTCCAGCAGACGGGGTTGCTGGACCTTGTCCAGCAACTCGAAGATGACGCCGTGCTCCATGGTCATGCCGTATTCTCCGTTGGGGGTCTGGCCGAGGAACACGGCCTTGAAGAACTGTCGTAGCTTGTCCTTGCCGGTGACGTGGGCCTCTACGTCAGGGCCCCCCAGCTGTAGCTGGTACTTGAAGTTTTGCAGATGTCCCGCGGCGATGATGGCCTCGAGGGGAATGTACTCTTTGCTCAGGGGCAGCAGAGGAGTGCAGATTGAGAAGACGGCCTTGATCAGCTTGGGATAGTAGTAGGCCGTTCGCCAGACCAGCGCACCGCCCCAGTCGTGGCCACCCAGAACGATCTGGCCATCCTGGCCGACGAATTGGCGAGCCAGCTCGGCGACATCGTCAGAGACGCTCTTGAAGCTGTACGCTTTGGGGTCCTGGGGAGCGTCGGTGCCGGCGTAGCCAATCATGTTGGGCGCAACGACCTGGTAGCCCAGGGACATCAAGTAGGGGATCTGATGGCGCCATCCGAAGGCGAGATCGGGCCAGCCGTGAACAAGGAAAATGGTATCGACCTTGGCGCCTTCGGGCTCACCGAGGATGTAGGAGTATGTCTTGCCGCGGACCTGCTTGGACTCCCACTTGACTCGAGGGTCATTGGGCTTCAGTTTGCTGGTGTCCATCTTGATATACTTGCGGGGCCGCATGGTTAGAATTAGAGTTGTATAAAGTAGAAATAGAGTTATAAAGAGTAAAATTAAAGTTGTAGAAAGTTGAAGAAAAAGAAAAGGGTTGTATAGAGATGAATTGATGTAGTATTGCGGAACAGACAAAACGTACCTCGGCGTTCCTGGACTCAATGAGGGGCTCCGGTGCTACAACGCCTCTCGACTTACACGCTTAGCGGCTACCTAATACTTGAGCTTAACGCAATGGAAGCTAATACAACTACCTGTTCAGACAACAGAAAGCATTGATTCTATCCATACGTAATAAACGGCACGACCAACCGCAATATATATGCTTCACTTGGAATATTGTGTCACAACCAAAACAAGCAGCAAACATCCCCCCACCAGCAGCCTCGGTCAGCGGTCATGGCCGATCACCAGCGGGGCCCCTCTAAAAGGGATGAATTAATTACTTCATATTGTAACACAGGTAATCAAAACAGGGGGACAAACACCAGAGTAACACACCTGACGCAATCAATTTGCGTTATTCTGTGTATCATGAAGCTGTTGGATGTTGGTATCCGTCTTGTGAAGTTGTGTAAACTTGCATGTTGCATGTACGCTTACCATGCCTCAAAGGAGTAATTGCTTACCCGCACCGTCTCATTTGCTTACCGTACCTGTGGCATTTACCTACTAGATGGAGATCCGAAAATCATTACGGATATCTAAGCCTATTTGAGACACTTCCGTGCGATATTCTGACACGACTGCATCCACAAGGAGTAACCGAAGACTCTGCGGATATACACAAACGATATATACACAAGTAGGAGGGTTAAAAATGATCTAATCTGAAAAGAATTCATACGATACCAGCGACAATGGCACATACTAGGAAAAGGCACCGATAAGAGCAACTACTTGAAGAAGCAGGTCATCGAGATGCCATAGGTACCTAGGTAGGTGCTTAGATGCTAAGCGAAACGGCTGAGTGCCGAATCACACCAACTGCCGAAACTACGGCATGATGATACACCTCCAGTGCTGTCCAATTGGAGCTTCAATTGCATCAGTCTGCTCCATCAACAATGCCCATGCTCTTGTAGTATGTGCATTTCGACGCAACGCATTGCTGCTAATCTATCTTGACAAAAGCTACTTTGATCTCAAGCGTCAATTTTCACATGACGTTATGCTATGCCTGTCTGAATCTCTACCTACAATACCCATTTTGCAGCCTCCCTATAGCAACCGACGACTCCATACCATATTGTAACTGGATAGACCTGGAATTAAGAATAATCACACCGTAAAAAATATCAAGGTATCACTTAGCCTCCAGCATTGTAAACAAGTAAAAGGAAATTTGGGGGAATCAAATGGTTCGCGCCGGTCAGTAAATCACCATGTCCTCCTCAGCCTCTTCGAGGTCATCACCCGATTCATCGTGATGCCCCCTGTGCAGGTCTTGGGACACTCTTCGTTCCTGTAGGTGTGCCTTATCGGCGCTGTGATGAGGGCTCCGGACAGGACTCTCACGCTCTGGTGCTCTCGTGGCAGCAGGTTCATCAGGGGTCACGCTGATTTGCCTCGTTGGGGGACCATACCGCTCAATATGCCGCTGTTTTCGAGCCTTGAATTGCTCCACCTCCTTTTCCACTGTGGCTTTCGCCCTCTGGATCTGGTCATCGATGGTGTCTTTCTGTTCAGGCGTGGTTTTCCATGGAAGGTAGAACTGCGCAACGTTAGCGTATATCTCCAATAGATGATTGTTAGATCGACGGTGATGCATACAATTGAGGGCTCTGCCCTGGTCCGCAAGAATTTCGCCATGGCCAGCCGTTTTTCGTGCTTCTTCTTCATCTAGTTTCAATTCCCAAATTAGCACGCCGTATACCCTCCCACAGAACGTGGCATATATCTTGTCCGTACCACTTCTTCGTCAAACACAATTTGCTCCGCCATGCGTACTAGGTGCAGCTTCTCCAGCTTCTCGGCTCTCTTCTGATCATCTTCAGCCTTTTGCTTCTGTATGCGGTCTTGCTGCCGGCGCTCAATTTCTTGTCGCCGTTTCTGCTGTTGAGAGGTGTTAGAAGTCTGGTTCAAGGTACTCATCAACCCGCCAAACAGTCGCTTTCCGCGCTTCTTTTCCTCATGCATCGCTTGTCTGCGCCTGTCCTGGGCTGCGGCCGAAGGAACCTCCTTGTCATCGTCCTTACGGTCGTGGTCGTGGTCGTGATGTTGATCGTGACTAGGCGACGGTTGCCGCCTTGAAGCTGATGCAGCGGCCTCGTCTTCGTCATCGTTGTGCTTCGCACGCTTGGGAGAATCGTCCTCGGGGCCTTCGTCTTCTGCTTTTCTCTTGAGAGATGCAAGATCTGGCGCCCTTTCCGGCGCTGGATGATCTTCATCCGCTGGCTTCGATGCCACCCTTGAAAAAACGGCTGCCTGTCAGTTTCCAAACCAGTGACAGTGAAGATCAACCCACACTTACGTCTCCGACTCCCCCATTGTAGCCATTGTCGTGTTGATGCAAAGTTACCTCATCAAAGCTGCGTAGCCATGAACAAACATGATAGATCCCAAAGCTAAGGCTGGAGCTGCGAGCTGCGAGCTGGTGCGAAATAATTGGCTAGAGGTTGTCAAGGCTGAGTAAGAAGAGCTGTCTCGGTGAAGGTTCCTCGACAGATTCGGCCCCCACCATCAAGCTTTCGTAGCGCGTGATTGGCTAAGCAGCCGTTTTCGCCTCTGCGTTTCCTCTTCAACGTCACTGCAAGGCTGATGAGAAATCCACACCCTGCAGTTCTAGCTCTTCGGAATCTTGGACTTGTCACGCATTCAAAGCTGTCTTTCGTCCTCTCTCAGCGTCCATTGTCTTTTTTGCCCTTTTCAACTTCAACAACAGCCAGAGCGTCGCGAGCTGCCTCTTGCCCACCATGTCTCGCCATCATCCGTAAGTTTCCATCCTCTCTGCTGCTTCGCCATTCTGCCAAACATTAGCTGACCATCCTTTTCACCTTGCAGCGATCTCGTCATGTGCCGCAAGCAATCCGGCATCGCCATCGGCCGCCTCTGCGACAAGTGCGATGGCAAATGCCCCGTCTGCGACTCCTACGTCCGCCCCACGACCCTCGTCCGCATCTGCGACGAGTGCAGCTTCGGCAACTACCAGAACAAGTGCGTCGTCTGCGGCGGTGAGGGCATCTCGGATGCCTTTTACTGCTACGAGTGCACCCGCCTAGAGAAGGATCGCGATGGATGCCCCAAGATTATAAACCTGGGTAGTTCAAGGACAGACGTATGTTTCCCTCTTGCCCCCTCACGTGCGAGTTGTCTCGCGCTTGGGGATAAACGTGGATATGCGCGTATGCTAACCTGTGGAATACAGTTATTTTACCAAAAGAAAACGAATCGGCAAGCAAATTACTAACACAGCTGTGGCCCGGGTTTGGGCGGTACAGCAGTGGAGAGTCACACGGGAACCCTTTTCAATACATCTTTGAAATCATGTGTGCATATGGGGATTGGAGTATGACGGCGTATATACCGGACATCTTTTGGCAGTCGATTTGTGTTTTGGTTTTTCCTTGTTCTGACAATTCAATATGAGTACAGTTGGCGATGAGATTCGTCCATATTACCTAGTTCTAGACACTATTCAAGATTGGTTTAATTTAGAGCTAAGAAGAGGCATATTCATCATAAAATTATCGTGTCCGCGAGGACGTGGCACCGCAGTACAGACAATACCAGCTAGCTATCCAACAATAAACTCCATCTCAATGCAGAGAGAAAAGAAAAGTGATACAAAGAAAAATTATAAATATATATGGTGTACAATCCCGGGAATCCACGTCCATTTTAGATATAGCTGACCTTGGTTCCCATTCCCACAGTTGCCGCAACCTTTGCCCAAGACGCTCCCAGCATTTGCTCAATGCGCTGTCTCGTGGCTTTGTGGCCCAGCATGATAAGCAATCCCATGGTGAAGACCAACAGCCTCATGATTACGGCCGGGTTGCCTGCCACGGAGCTAGCGAGACTCTCAAACACTTGTCGAAATCGGGTCAGGATCAAGGTAGCCCGGGCTGTAATGGTCATGGATCCAGACGTAGTCGCGGCCTTGGATTTTGATTTTCCACTCGGGCGCGCGACGGTGTTTCGCGGCGATCCAGGTGGCTCGGCTCTCCCTACTCCGTTGAAGCTAGGAGTCTGTTCGATGCCATAGTCGCCTTCGCTAGTCTCTCGGCTTTGCCGTTCCTCTTCGAGCCGTTTCCGTTCCTTCTCTTCGTTCTCGGCCTTTAGCCGCTTTGCCTCGGCAATGTCTTTCTGCAACTGCTCCTCTTGTCGTTTGAGCTCTTCCCGTTCCTGTCGTTCCTGTTCTTCTTGCTCCTCCTGCAAGCTCTGCAAGGCTTGCAGGAAAGCCTCTCTGCGCTCCTCGTCGAGCACAGCGCTAACGTTGATAAATTCGCGAGCGTAATCCCACTCGTTGTTTTGAGGAAGGACGTGGAGAGTATAGAGCTCCAGAAGCTTGACTCGGGAGTTGAGGTCTCCAGGGGTATTCGCGCCGTTGTTCCTTCTGGCGGGTGACTGGTAGCGACGTGACGGCGCCGTAAAATCATTCAAATCAAGATTGGGAATGTTTGACGAGGCCAGGTAATTTTCCAGCATCTTTTGATTCAGAGCCTGGTCACGAGCGTGTGCAAGCAACAATGTCGCCCTATCATCACCATGGAGGTTAGCAACTGTATTGGGAGGATACAGCACAGAAGGGTCAGTTCCAACTCACAAGTTAATCACCACATCGGCATCAACATCTCCTTCTATGCCGTGGTATCCATTCTTGACTACTTCCTCCCAGATGGATCCGTCTCGCACTTTGGTGCAAAGCGCTCTCCACTCCTGATTACCAAAGGCATCTTTGCCTTCTTCAGGCTCCAGCTCAATAATGGAATTCAAAAGGGTCAGGTATAGACTCCAGACTTTGACCCTGGTCCCTCGCGAGGACTTGGTCACCGGAGCTGGCTCGCCATCGTCGGCCGAGTTGGGGGGAGTGATGATTGGTCGTAGCGTGCTGAGAGCTTCGGGCAGTCGACGCGTCAAGAACAAGGTCGAAGCCTGGCGATATGTCTTGGAGACGGGCGAGATGCGTTTGGATCCGGAGGACGACAGGGAGGAGATGGACGAGGCGAGAAGGCCGCTTCCAAAGGACTCGTTGCTCGACATTGCCGGGTTGAACGAGGCGGTATAAGAGCCCCCGTACGCCATGGCGAGTAGTTGATCAACGCGACGAGCTGGAGAAGGAGGAACAAGGGGCGGAGGGGGCGGAGGGGGCGATGGCGACACTCGGGGCTGGACGCCAACTGGTAAACATAAGAGAGGAGTTAAGCGGAAAAGGCGATGGCTATCCCTATGCCATGCACGCCGAAAAGAAGATTTGGGCCCTACTCAATGAAGAGAGGGGATGAAGAGGAACAAGGAGACAAAAACGAGAGAGAGGCAAGCCGTCAGCTATGCTATAATACTAAGGTAGTAAAGTGGTGAGAATGTTACGGGGATGGTTCAGCTGTCGTGTTGATGCTGGTAGAAAGTCGCGACCAAAATGACCTGCAACCACTTGCGGCTGGTCGGTGGGCAGACCAGCTTTTTCTCAGCCAGTGGAATTGGCCCAGCTTTTAGCCTCGGCACCTCCAGAAGGGAGAGGTTCCACAAGCCGGGAGCAAGCTGAGAAGGTCAACCGAGGCCAGCTGATGATGGCGGCTGCTACCCGCTACCAGCACCGGCGCGGGCGGTTCTATGGCGCGACAGGTACCGCGCTAACCTCCGCTACCCGATCTACTTGTCAGGCCAACATCTGATCTCCTCTAGCAAGGATCCATGGTCCAATTCCGGAGATGAAGAGCCCTTTCGAGAAACCCGCGAGATGCACTGGCAGCTTCTGTGCAGCCACTCATTTTAGGGGCCTCCGCGTCACGGGGTCGCTCGTCCGTCTCGGCCGGCGGGGATGAATGCAAATGCACAACAGATGCTGATGATCTGGCAGCATGTGAATCATTCATTTCGCCATGTATGAGCATCTGGGCAGTTAGTAATTAGTGCTAATTACCTTAGCAGGATGTACGCCAAACTCGAACTAACCCGCCATACTACAGTAATGAGAATTCGACAACTATTATTCGTACACTTCGTAGTATCATAGCCCAACCTCAAGAGACAAACCTCGCTCTCCCAAAAACGCCCCTAATGTACATTTAACCCTAAATCATCAGACATGTCATCTTGTTGCCTCTCCGACAAGCAATTGGATTCCACGTATAACAGCTCTCAAGCCTCACGCCGTCTTCGTGATCTCCGCGGCGGCGAAACCTCGACATCAACTACTTTCCTCGAAACGATGATGCTGTCCTCTCGATCCATTATCGAAGTTGATGCCCCCAGAAGCTCCTCTTGTCGTATCCAGCCAGCCTCCAAGGCAAAGCAGGCCACGTCAGCCGCGCATCCAAATGCAGGTACATCTTTCGGGGCATCAGGGTTTAAATATTTCCAGAGTTCTGCCGTCTCCTTCTTGAACTTTGCGAGCTCTCTTTTGCTGCCTTCAAAGTGTTCCACCATGTATTCGTAGGTATAAGCCAGCCAGAGAACGTTCGTGTAAGGGGCATATGCGTCCCAAGAAAGCGGCCCATCGATTCCCTTGGCATACGGGACATTGTGAGCTTCTGGAGGGAGCCACTCTCGGTCAGCTCGAAGCAAAAAGGACCGCATCTGCCTATAAACTTTGCACTGGGGGTTGTAAGTGCTAGTGAATAAGCTTAGATCTCTCTCCAAGTCGTATACAATAGGCGTGGAATCATCGTTTGTTAGGTCTTCAGCTCGCGAGAGGCCGTAGTCTAGGATTGTGATTTCGAGGCCCGAATAACCAAAAAATCCTTCTGCGTTGGGATCCCTCTTTCGGGGAGGGCGAGCTTGCTTAACACAGAGGTTACCCTCGTGCAGGTCGCGATGCTAGCATAGGTCAGCATTATGTTGCCACGGATGATAAACACACAAGTAGGAAACATCAGAGAGGAACAGATACCCACCTCGAACATGGCAACTTCTTCAGCCCTAGCTAATGCAATCGCCTCCAATAGAAAAATGTCCCATAATTGATCTACGCTGTCCAATGGCCAGTTCTCCAGAGACTTGCCTGCGTCTCCGAGCTCCACAACCAGGAACTTGGTGTCATCCAAGTACCGGCTTGGTGACGGGTAATACTGCGCCCTGCCCGGATCTTCTCTCTTCATCTTCTTCTGGGCTGTTTGATGTGTTTCGAGGAGCTCACTTGTCGTCTTTCCCTGGACAATGTACCGTTCTTTGTAAACGGCGAATCCTGGAACATCGGAGAGCCACTCAGAAATCTGCAACTCATTGTTGACATCGTCCTGTGAATGGGGCTCCTCATCAATCAGACCAGATGCCACTTGCGTTTTTGTTAGAGGCTTGATTGGTGATGGCAGTCTGATGGCCTTGATGATACTGGTGCCTCGTTTGTTGGTAATGCGGTATACCTCTGCGGATGAGGCCTCGGCAATCTTGACAATCTGGTCTCCAGGAGGGCAGACATCGCCCCATGTGAGAACTCTCAAGGAGGACTCATTCTTGATTGGAGTAATGCGCTTGCTTGTGCGTGTCCTCCTCTCTTTAGGCTTGTCCTTTTGGCGTATTTCGATTTTGTCCTCTAGGATTTGAATCTTTTTTGTTTTATCGTCTTCAACAATTGCAGTTGTCTTGAGAGTCTTGATAGAATCCCGCTTGATCTCAGTGACTTCAGGCACCTCGAGCTCATCCTCCACAATCGATGCATCTTTTTTGAAGGCCCTCCTTGACTTGGTTTGGGGTCTCGGGGTCTCCAGTAGTGATACTTCAGATAGCCTTTTAGTCAACGGAGCAATTTGCTCCTCAACCGGCTTTGCATTTTGCTTCGTGGGGGGCTCCCGAACTGGGGTCTGGACCAGTTCTGCAAACATCCGTTCGGCGTTGGATTTCTTGGACTGTTTTCCATATTGACGGGTGGTCGTTGTGCGGCGCATTTTTTATCATATCCCCTATCCTGACGTCTTTGCTGGAAGCTGGTTTGGCGGTTCAACTTATTGATGGTGATGCTCACGTTAGGCTTGAAGATTACTGCCATTCCCAACGTTGGCCAGGCAACAATATCAGGGGTCCGTGTGTTAGTCAGCCGGAATGGCCCACAGCAGCGCAACGTCATATGTGTTCATACGAGGCAGGGTCGGAGCATTGAAAGTTCATTTATATAAGTGATTTCATGCCATATTCTACTCAGTATATCAACCCATTTTGCAGATGCCGTTGCAGTGTGCTGACCAGGTTGACAACAGCAGACCAGCACAAGACATGCAATGTGTTTCTGTACCCTAATTGACGCTAGCTGGTGATAGTTCCAGCGTGCTACCCCAGGTAGTAGTGCTAATGCAGTGGGCTGTAGAAAGTCCATGTGTTGGGGAAAGCTAAGCTCCTGGTGATGGTACTGGGTGAGGCAAGCATCTCGCGCTCATGGCAAGAGATGGAGAAAGATGAATCAGGAAGTGGGCAAATTATCATTCATTGGCTTACTATTCATAATGATTAATTCTTATATATCACAATCATAATCATCCCATCAATTGAAATGTTCTTCCCGTTTCTTATCAAAAGCTCATATTAGGCGCAGACTCGCTCAACCAACCACAGGCAGGGCTAGAAGGAAGCCCAGAGAAGCAAGACCCCACCCAGCCTTCGAGAACCTCCGCAAAAGATTCCACGTTGGCTGAATCGCCATCTCCATCTTCTCCTCCTCCAACCTCAAGCCAATTGATCCGTCATCCGCCATGGCCGACGTCCTCAAGAATATCTTTGGAGGCGCAAAGCCGGAGCAGCCCGCTGCCGCCAAGCCAGACTCTGGTACGTTTTCCGCTTCCTTGTTTGCGCCATTGACGCTGTTCCAATCGCTTGCCTTTGCGCCTGTGCCGCTGGTCGCCCTGACAAGCCACGCGATGCCTCGAGAGAATTCATAGCAGAAGCTGACCGTTTTGACCAGACTTTGCCGACTTTGCCGGAGCTCCTGATGCCGTCCCCGAAGCCGTCCCCGAGGCTTCGACGCTGACCGGGTCGGTCGCCCAGCCCACGGGCGAAGTGGTCTGGACCAAGTGGTACAACATCCATGAGCGCCACTCGCTGTCCGAGTTCAAGCCCGAGGGCATCATCCTCGTCATCGCGTCAATCATCTTCATATTCCATATCTTTGGCACGCGCGCAAACCGCTCCAAGGCGAGGGCTTGGATCAAGGCTCATGCCCCCGTCATGAAGAGAGAGTTCGCCTCTGTCGGCTTCCGGGGCGTGCCTACGCTCGACTCCGACTTTGACCCCAAGTCCTTCATCAAGGAGAAGTCGCTCTTCGAATTTGCCTCGTACGCCACCGGCCGCCAGAACGTTGCCTTTATGGATGTCAAGATCACCCTTGCCAAGCGATTCAACCCGTTTATGCACTACATCGAGCATGGACTGTCTCTGGTCACTGATACCTTTCCTGCCCCTCAGGAGGTTGTAGAGGCTACCATCTACCCCTTTGATGGCAAGGAGGAGCTCACTCTCCCTCCCTCGGCCGGCGGAGTCGACGCTCGTCCCAAGGACAGCAAGAGCACCTTTGACGGCTTTGTTTGGGCCATTGTCAACAAGTCTAGCATGCAAAAGCTGCGTGATGACCGCTACGACGTCTCTCTGACCGCTACCAAGGACAACTCCAAGCTGCCCAACTGGCTGACCATTATGAGCGAGAGCGCCGAGATCACCGATGCCTTCCTGACCCCTGAGCTGATTGAAGCCGCCACCAAGGCCGGCGACCTATTCGAATATCTCATCATCTCTGACCAGCCCATTGACAAGCCCGTTCGCCTGGAGGATACTGCGCCGCGCAAGCGAGTGTTCCTCAAGTACCGCCTTCCGTCGAACAACAACTACGACCAGTTCTTGCCCCTGTTTGAGCACTTCCTTCGCATTCCCGATGCTCTTGTCAAGGACGCCCATTTCCGTCCCGAGGTTCTCAAGAGGGTTCGTGCCACTCGCGAAGCCATGATTAACCAGATCAAGAAGACGATTGAGGAGGAGAAGAACGAGGAGCGTCAGATTGAGAAGGAAAAGGCCAAAAAGGCCAAGCGAGATGCTGACCTTCAGGGCCTGGATGCCAAGGCGCAGAAGAAGTATCTCGAGAAGGAGAGGGAGAAGGAGATGCGCAAGTCGCAGAAGAGGATGACAATGCGAGGTTAACAGAGATGACGATAGCAGATGTGTGTGTACGATGGCACGACATGGCGGCGTTTCTTTTGGGGGGGTTGACAACGGGGGAGAAATGTGAAAACGTTTGTAATATGTACAAGTAATGTGTACTATGTGATACTGGAATCTTTCATTCGTTTGTTATTTTCTCAATGGGTTGAGGTTCGGGCGTCGGACAATTTGGGTTGCAACAACTCAAAAGGTTTCGCGAGGGATTCATACTGAAGGCAAGGGAAAAGTACCAGGTAGTAATTAACACTTACATTAATACCATTCGCTTTTTTTTCTGCGCGTGTCCTATGTTGCGAAATCATACGCCAAAGCCATTGTCATCATTTGGCATCCTTGCTCAGCAAATCTTCAACCCTCTTAACCTTGTCCTCAGCAGTCTGTTTCTTATCCGTCCTGCCCCAGATATTGTCAGCAAATTTTCATATAACCAAGAGTTTCTCCATCTCCCCCTTCCTAAAACTCACCTTGAGCCAACCCTCATCGACGACTGAACTCTTACAACCCCCTTCTCATGAACCGCCGAGTGCGCCTTGCCAATCACCGTCATGACATCCTCCCAGCTGCCCTCTAGATAAGAAAAATAATCAGCTCACATGTTTCTTTTCATGTTTGACATCTTCTTTCTCAGCCATCAAAAATGAAAGAGAAAAACTCACCAACAGTCGTTCCCGCAGAGTGCATCGTGTACTTCAACCCACTCGCCTTAAGAACACGCTGAACCTGCGCAACTTCTTCCGCCACGGAAACGCTGCCCGTGCCAACCTGCAGAAAATCCATCAGTTAACGAAAAGAACCCCTCCATAGACATCTTACACAACTACGATAAAAAGAGAGAGAAAAGACGAACGGGAATCAAGCAGAAATCGGCATAGCACGAAGCTGGCGTCGGAATCGAAGCGTAATCCATGACTGCGGCAGTAGTCCCAAATGCTCGGTGAGATGAATATGCGTGGATATGCCTTGAGGCGCCGTGGAGCCGAGATGAAAGGCGCAGCATTCAATGAAGCTTTTTGAATGTAGCCGTTTGTTGGGGGGTTGGTTTGAGAAGATGGAGGCGAAATTCGGGTGATGGTGGAGGGGTTTTGGTTTAGAGAGCTTTTTGAGTGGCTATTCTTACCTAAGTACCTCTCAGCAGCAAATCCCCAATTTCTTGGATAATTAATGCTGTCACTGCCTACTCTCTTCTACTATCGATATTTTCTTTGAGTGTTTACTACTATAGTGATACTTTTCTTATATAATCTGGTATTATCACTGGCTTTGAATTTGAGTCTCGAGGTGGTGATTAGCAAACTTGGGGTGCTGAAGAGCTACCACCCTCTTTTTAGCGGGGATCGAGTATTACAGTGTTTGCGTGGCGATAATGAGTCGATAGCATTTCATGTGTACAGAATTCAAAATTAACGACTTGAGAGAAGATATAAATGGATACATCGCATGTATTTGCTATATGAATAAAACCAACTGTAATGATATCGCACATAGAAGAGCATCATGTGAAATATGAGGGTAGACATGGCACTTTACACTCACAATCCCACTGTACTAAGGCAGCAAAGAAGGTATGTATTGGAGATGCAAATGCATCTCCAGGTATAAATATTCAATTGGTGGCGAATAGAGCCAATGCCTAAGGATAGGTAGATATGCAAAAATGCCAGAATGTTCAAAAAAATCTCTATAGTTCCCTCAGAAGATGATGTTTTCCCCCCTCTTTTTTTCTTAGAAAAGAAAAGATCAGAAACCCCATGCATCGCAATCTAGATTGCCTTTGAAATAAAAACGCCTCGCTAAAATGCCAAATGCAGCGTGCCTGGAGAAGAATAAATGGGTCGATTTGGTTTAAATTTGATTTGTTTCTTTTTTTCCCCATTCTCGTATTCAGCTGAGCTTATAATGAGCTCAGCATGAGACACGGCCCCTTAAATCATCAACAGCGTTGCCGCAAAGAAGGCAATCAAGGCCCCCGTGCCAAACTCGCGCGCCTGGTTCGTCGAATCTGCCGAGTTGCTCGAACTGTCGTTGGTGGCGTTGATCCTACCGGTGACTTGGTTGATGCCGTTGCTGTTGTCCGCAGCCTTGACCGTCTCGCCTTGATCCCAGAAGTCAACGAGAACGAAGCTGGGACGGTGGTTCCACTGGGTGTTGCACTGCTGGATGTGGAGGCCCAAATTTCCCGCTGTGGTGGTGTTGTCACTGTTGACAAGAACAATGTTGTCCGTGTCGGGAATGGTGAGGCCTGCCGTGATTTCCTGGTCCTTGAAGTGGTTGATGAGTCCCATGAAGCCTGATCCAAAGGCTTGCGCAGCAGTGCCGGCGTTAGAGGGCCGATCCACAGTGCAGTTGAAGCCGTTAAGGTCGACAACGGTAAACGGCGTCTCAAACACGTAGTCGAATTCGGGCAGGAGGTAGGGAGATGAAGAAGACGAATCAATATTGGTGATGAAGGACACGACGCGAGTCTTGTTGGCGATCATGTCCCGCAGACTCGGCCACTCCGTCTTGCTCTGGGGAACGAAGCCAAAGTTGCTGAGGCCAGACTGCTGGAAAGCAGCCGCAAACTCAGAGACATTTTCCTCATCCGAGTTGACCAGCAAGAGGGTGATGACGTCCGAGGTATGGCTAACAACCCAATCATTGATGTCTGCCAACCAGTTCTCCAGGGGTCCGGCATCCAAAAGGCCGCAGGAGGTGTGGCACAGGTGAAGAGTGCCGTTCTCGTTGTGAACCTGTGCCTGAAGAAGACGCAGGCCAGCGTCCAGAGCATCCGTGGCGTTGAGGAACTGGTTACCGGCAATGGAGTTGCCGGTGCTCGCGTCTCTGAGAAAGGCGCTGTCGTGGGCTCCCATGTAGGTGATGTCGTTGTAATGGCGATCACATAGTACAGGCGAGTTGTTGCAGACTTGTGACTGGTCTGAAGATGACGATGAAGTCTGTGATGGCGATGCTAATGAAACTAAGGTTGGGGACGCTGCAGACGTGGGTTGCTGAGGGATGGCCGAGACGCCAGCAATGCCCATCAGGGCACCAGCCAGGACATGAGATAATGAAAAGCGCATTGTGATCTTGTGTGGTTATCTGTATTTGATATATCACTGCCTATATCTTGCCCTTGTCAGTTATGGAATGCCGAAGATGGAGTCGCTTAGAGGTATCCCATGTACAGTAGATACGCCAAGTCTCTGCTGCTAAGTGTCCGAATAGTACTAACCAACCTTGGTGATATAAATAGAAATGATTCCGCTCTTTTAAAAAAGAAACGAAATGAAATGAATGAAAATGAAAAGGATATGAAAGCAAATATGTATAGAACGAGTGCAAGAGAGAGACGAGAAAGAGACAAGCAAAAGAGGAAGAAAAAAGTTTAAATCATAGAACACTAGCGGAGCATTTATGATACGAAGAATGGAAGGAAAATCTAGTCTCCAGATCAACCCTAGGAATAAAATACAAGAAAAAAATAAACGTCGCGTTCAGCTTCGGTGAGTGAGAGAAGACGACCCAAGAAAGGAAAAACAACCTGGAAAAGTATGGATTGTATGAGAGAAAACCCAGACGCAATGGCCGTCTCTCGGTCTGATAGGAAAAGAGCCCCCTATCGGAAAGACAGTTAGCGAGTGACAATCTGGTGGCGGATCCCTGCATGTGATGTGCATTTTTGGCAGTGCCAGAACTGCGCCTCGAGACGTCAGCAGTGGAGACGCGCTGAAACTGCAGCAGATGTGCCCCTAACGCGGTTTCTGCAGATCTCGAGGTTGAGGCTCTACATACGTACGGGCGCTGATTACATAGGGCATGGATGTCATATGATGCGATGTGGTGGTCTTACTCATGCTATTCTATATAAAACGATGGACAACGAATAAGATGATATAACAATACAATACAATATTTCACTCGTCATTCATGATTCATACTACTGTCTCTTCCACATCTCTTGATACTGTATCTACATACACCAGAATCCACTACCAGGCGCCCTACGCATCTCCAAAACTGCCCCAAAACGTGCCACGGAACAGACCACACAATTGGCCCCTCTTCAGCCCCTCCAAAAAAAAAAAAAAAAAAAAAAAAAAAAACTCATGTCACTGTATCTCAAATACGAAACATCGATGTGACGAGGCTGTGTGGATTCCGATCAGCTCACAGAAAAAAAAATCACAAGCGGCTGCTATTTATATCTCGCACACTAATCCTCTCTAGGCAATTTCTCTTACAATTACATATCCTCCCCTCCCAAATCTTCGAATTGATCGTTGCCTTTTCGCATCTTCGCCCGATGAATAAGGTTTCTGGTTGAATTCCTTAAAAACGATGCTAACTCTCGATTTTCTTTTCTTTTCGACAAGGGGCATATCTCGTATCGAGCCAAATCTGACAGATGCGGGGAGAAAAGAGGCACACGCGATAAACTCTTCCGTCCAACATACGTACACGTACTACTAATTGCCTATTGGAGCGGCATCGGTAATGTTTTCTTACGAATCTCCCCATACAAGCGTCCCATCTCTCCAGTTGCTTTCCTCCATTATAACCCACCGCCCTTTGCTTTGCCTCCATCACATCACATCACATCCAAATCAGGCATACGTAACCCCTCGTAAAAAGACAAACATACCAAACCCCCCATTTCATGCAAGCCACGTCAAAGCCACCAGAGAAAAAAGAGCACACAAACACCATATACCAAAACACCGATCTCACCGTTTCCCCAAAAAGGCCGCGCGGTCAGTGGAGTCGAAGTCCTTGTCCGCCTTATCAAGCCAAAACTCCATAGCCTCAAAATCCAAGCCGTGGGAATCAACAGGAAAGGCTGCAGTACCCCGAACCAGAACCTTGTTAAGCATAACATAAGCATTTGGAGCCTTGGAACCAAATCTTCCATCAGGATCATCGTTGTTCGGTGTTAATATACCTGCTGTGCCTACGTCCAATCTCCGTTATATGAAGTAGGCACATCGGCTTTAACCCAAAGGATGACACAACATTTTCCTTCGTATCACTTAAATCTCTTTCGGCGATGCTCATCATCTTGGCAAGAAACACAGCCCGCATGGGCTCTTTAGTCCCTATTATTACACATCTTTTTAAACTATCAACCCATGCAAGCTCGAACCTGGATAAAGTATTTACCAAAGAACTCGAAAGTTATCCCATTTGAGTGATTGATCCCAGACGTTTTCATTCCCCCGGTTGGTATCATCCTTCTCGTCATCTTCACTCGGGATCGCCCACCACCTCTCTCTCGGCCTCTTTCTCAGCTTCTCTCTCAGCTGCGGCTGCGGCTTCCATTTCTCTGAGCTGCTGCTGTCCTTCTTCAGTCGTGGCATCGATAAGCTCATCTTCGAGACTTAGAATATTGGCCTAAGATGGAGAAAACTTGTTAGCCCGATATTCTCAAATAATAGGAGAATGTATGCCCAAAGATGGGCGTGCTCAACTTACCTCACCAAAGAGACCCACCAACTCCTCTGCATCTTCAACCTTCATGTTCCCCAACACCTTGTTGACTTCGTCCAGTTCCCCTGACTCTAGTGCCTTCTTCATATCGGGAGCGAAGCTATCAAAGATTTTCCGGGCTGCCTGGGCATCTGGGTCGTCGGTTTCGGCAGGGGGAACTCTGATCTGGATCGTAGTACCGGGCTCCATGGCATGTAGTTGGATCTGTTCAACCTCTGTCGGCTCCTTGGCCCGCTCGGCGATGATTTCGGCCGACCTGTTCTTGATTCTCATGTATGTCTCCTGAACATCCTTGTAGAACACATCTTGTGCTTGATGTCCCTTGGTCGTGATTCGCTTGAAGAAGAGCGCGACACCATCCTTGCCCAGAGCGCGGCAGTACTGTAGCAATAGCGCCTGGTGAACACACTGACGGGACAAATCGTCTTTGCGCTCCAAGGCTGCGTCAAATGCAAGCACAAGCAGTCCGTCCGTCTCTTTTTCCGTCAAGATCTCCGGGTGCTGAGACAGGAACTTCAAACTAGCTTGGTAGTCGTTGACACTAATCTCTGAAAACTTCTTGGCAGTGGGTGATGCTTCCACTTCGTCATCATCATCCACCGCGACCTTGTCTGATGAAGACGCTCCTGATGCCGATGCCGGCGCAGAGGTGGAAAAGTTGGGGTTCAGAAGCTCCAACTTGGTATCTTCCTTCTTCTCCGACGGCCCTGACTTGTTCACATACGAACTGTTGAATCCATCATGAATGTTATCGCTCGTAATCTTCTTCCCTTCTTCCTTCTCAAGATTCTCCAGCTCCTTGGCCTGTTCCTTCTGCAGCTCCTTAATCTTGTCCACGTGCTCTTGAATCTCGTCCATCATCGCCGTATACCGATCATCGGGCTTCTTCTCCTCGAGGGCCTTGTTCACTTGATCCAGTAGTTGCATCAGCATCTTCGAGTACGAAGGGAGCGGTTGGTCGTCGCTAAAGACTCCCTCTGGTCGTGGAGGCGGCTGGTCGTCCTTCGGGTCCCCAGCGGTAGACATGACGGCCTTGAAAGCAATCTCGGCCTGGTTCCCAGTCGCAGCCTCGGAAGCGTGGGACTTGAGCGAGTCCAAGAGCGATATTATCCTGCCCAGCAGGGCACTGTTGATGATCTTCTCATACTTGAGTGCTGCGATGCGGTTCTTCCTCTGCTGACGCTCCTGGTGGATCTGGTTTTGCTTCGCTCGAATGAAAGACCGCTTATCCACGTTGGGGTGAACTTCGATATCGGAATCGTCGCTCACCTCGATCGCATCCTAGTCGACGAATGCCACTGGTTAGTAACTGCACTTCTCACGGGGGCACTGCATCCTCACTGCGTACAAATCGGCTGTAGTCAATAGGCATGGTGGGCTGCCTTTGGAGCTTCCGAGAGCTCGGCGGTGCTGCAGGAGGGCGGGATGTTTGATGCAAATAGAATCTCGCACGCGGCCTGTATCACCGTTGATTTCGAAGCTCAAACTTGTAATAGTTATGATACTGAACAAAATTGTGAGAAGAAGGGAGAAGCTTCCAAGCTTGACATCACCATTGAAAGAGGTTCGCCAAAGGTGGGGCGATAGAAGTCCACCGAAGCTTTGGCGGGGTCCAACCTGTACATGGATTTACTAGGCATCCAAAGGGTTTGAAATCAATATTGATGGTATGTAAGAGCCTCATACAACACACACAGCAAATCACAATGTCAAATTCAATTAGAGACCCAGCTGGGTATTCATTTCTCGATTTCACATCATATATCCTTGTAGCCCTAAACGTCTCCTCTGCGGCCAATCATACAAGACGCACGTCGCGCCGCCGCTAGTTTTCAATACCTAATCTATCTACTATACAGATCCATCGAAAGCATTCGGATATTTTTGTTTTAGAAAAGAAGGCGCAGCAAGAGGAAGAAAAAGAGGAAGCAAAACTAAGGAAGCAAAAGCAATCGCGCCTAGTAGTATAAAACATGTAGTCATTGTTTCGTCTTCTGCCGCCGTTTGGTAGGCATCTTTTCTCAGATCGGGATCCCCCCATATAGGGGCATCGAGGAACTAACCGGTCAACCACCGACTACCTCGTTCAAGCCATGGTCTTCATGAAATCGTCCAAGTCGAAGCTCTCTTCGTACTGCTTGTTATCCCACAATTCTCCCAGATCATCCAGCCATGCCTTCTTGCCCGGCTGCCGCAGTACGTCGCCAGTTTCGAGATCAACCATGTCCTCCTCTCTGCCGTCAATGCCGTTTTGCGGCTTATCAGATATGAGACTCGGTCCCGAGTCGCCCAAATTGAACAGGTCAAGGATTTGATCTGTATCCATTGTCGCCAAACCAGCGTTCTGCTGGTTGACCACCGTGGAAGCGACATCAATCTTGAACCGTTGGAGGCTGAGAATCTTCTCCTCCAATGTGCCACGCGTGATGAGACGGTAGACGTTTACCACCTTCTTCTGGCCGATTCTGTGAGCACGATCCATGGCCTGCAGGTCCTTCTGCGGGTTCCAGTCGTGCTCAACGAAGATGACAGTATCCGCGCCCGTAAGGTTCAGTCCCAGACCACCAACGCTAGTGGTTAGCAAGAGCACGTCGTACGACGGGTCGCTGTTGAATTTGTTGACAATGTCTTGTCTCTTGTTCGCTTCAACGCCACCATCGAGCCTCAGGTAGGAGACAGAAGGCAACATTTCTTTCAGCACCTTGTTCTGAACCATGTCCAACATTTCCTTCATCTGACAGAAAATCAGAGCACGATGAGGCTTGATCGGCTGGTATAGCGGGTCGTTGGAGTCGTCCTTGTCATCGCCGATGCCACAGTCAATCAGGAGATCTTTGAGGGCAGTGAGCTTCGGCGCATGATGGGCATCCTCAATCGACGTCCCTTGCTTCTGTAGAATCTTCTGCGTCTCGGCATACAGATCGCTTCCCGGCTTCATAACCATGGCAGGCGAGTTGCACAGCTTTCGCATGTATTGCAGGGCCTGGAAGATGTGCTGCTTGGCCTCCTTGTCGTCTCGGCCGGCCTCGTCTTGGATCTTCTTGCCCTGCTTCTTGGTAAAGTCTTCGAAGAGTTTCTTTTGCAGGTCGCTGAGATCACAATAGTAGTTTTGCAAGATTTTGGGTGGTAGATCGTTAAGGACTTCTTCCTTGAGACGGCGGAGCAAGAACGGAAGCACTTGCTTGTGAAGAGCCTCAATCGCCAATGCACCAGCCTCCTGCTCCTTAGACGATGCCTTGCTGTATCGGCTTGCCGCGATGGGCTTCGCAAACCGGTCCAAAAACACCTTCTCGGCTCCGAGGAACCCGGGCATAAGGAAGTCGAATAGAGACCAAAGTTCCAGCACATTGTTTTGGATGGGTGTACCAGTGAGGATCAGTCGGTGGTTACTGGCCAGCCTCTTTACAGCTTGGGTAATCTTGGCTTTGGGATTCTTGATCAAGTGGCCCTCATCGAGCACAACGTAGTTCCAGCTGTGCTTCTCGAGGACATCAGAGTCGTTCCTGGTCACATCATACGAAGTAATGACAATATCGGTATCGCCAAGTCTATCTTTCATAGCTTTACGCTCCGCTGGCGGCCCAACGTAGGCAGTGACGCTAAGGAAAGGGGCGTAGGTCTTGATCTCCTGCTGCCAGTGGCCTGAGAGTGTTGGGGGGCAGACAATTAGAGACGGCAGCCGCCTCACATCAGGAGCCTGGGTTTTGGCAAACTCTTCCTGTCGCTGGTGGTGATCACTAGCGACAATGCAGATAGTCTGTAGAGTTTTTCCGAGACCCATATCGTCACAGAGAATGCCGTGCAGGTGATACTTGTTGAGGAAATTGAGCCAGTTGACACCGTCCTGTTGGTATGATCGAAGCTCTGCCTTGATCGCCACGGGGATCTGGAAGGGCTCAACCTTCTTGGGGTCGAGAAGCTGAGCAATAAAGGTTCGTTCCCGATCTCGTCCCTTCAGGAGTTCCTCGGACAAGCCAGGGGGGTCGGGAATTCCGGCTTCGAGAGGCACCAGTTTGACAAGCGTGGCGAAAGATGTGGTAGCAATGAGACGAATCTCGTTGTCGGAATCGCTCATTCGGCCGAGGACAGGCACAATCAGGAAGATGACGTATGGGAGGATCGCGTCACCCATGACAGCAATCAGGTGATAGATGGCTTCGATTACTCCTTGGCGGAAATTGAGATCAAGCGGGTTGGAGATTGAAGGGAGGACCTTCTCCACGAGTGCAGTCATTCCGTCTACGGTGATGACACTGCAGATAGTTGCCAGGCATTTGGCGGCCATGTAGCGGAAAACTGAGAGGTCGGAATGCAGAGCCTTGATGACAAGGGGCATCATCTCCATGACAAACGGATGAAGGCTCTCGTTCAATGTGGGCGTCATGGTCCGAATGACCGACATGGCATCCACAATCTCCTGGCCAAACGTCTGCTCAGGATCCCGAGCTTCCGCGGGCAGGTCCCCGGTGAAAGCCTTGACCAGCGCATCCTTCATGAAGCCTTGCAAGCTTGGCACTGACTCGAATAAGGCCGCACCATACGTCTTGGACAGAATCTCCAAGGCTTCTTTGGCACCCCTACGTGTGATACGGGCAGCCTTGGCTTCCCTTGCCCACTTAGCGGCATCTGGGTGGTCAACGCGATCCTCTTCCTTCTGCATAGAGAGAATGCAATCGGTCTTGGTAGCATGAACGGGAAATTCGGGGGTCTCTGCTACTTCAACGCAAGAAAATTTGACCAAGTTGGCAACAACCTTTTCCGCGGGATTACGCCTGCCCTTCTCTGTAAAGAGCTGTACCAGTTTGGCGATGGTGTCTGATGAGCGGCTCTGGAGCTGGTGGTTCTCCTCTGTCTTTATCGAATCCATGATACTCTTGATGAGAGGACTAGGTTTCTTCGGCAAGAGCTTCATCGCGACCATGGCACAAGCTGCACCAGCCTTGATCCTAATGTCACGAGCATCCTTGAAGGCCTTGGCCTCTTGAATAGCTGTCATTGTGTCCTGGCGAGATTCATCCAGCTGCTGGCCGGCGATCAATCGTTGGCCGGGGGGCATAATCTTTTTCAGCCTCTCAAAGTCTTCGCCAACACACTTTTCAGCAGTAGCAATGGAAAAGGCACTGGGGCCGGCTTCGGCTTCACCTTGAACCACGACGGGAAGGGTGGGTAGCTTGCTGTGTGAGACTTTGCCATGGTCGCGGAACAGGTGAAGTAATTGCTGGCACTGGCTTCTGGCTCTTTGAACAAAGGTCACCAAGTCTCGGTAAGCTGAAGGCCGGTCTGATTCGACAATCCGCTGGAGATGATCCAAGTAGCGGGCAGGGTCCTCGGTATTTTGGCAATTCCTTGCAAACTCGTCAATGACAAGACAGGCGGTCAGTTGCGTAGAGGAAAAGGCGGAGGTGAGGCCTGGAACAAGCAGGGCATCATAATCGTCGAGATTCGTCGAAGGCACCAAGGACATGATGAGGCCCATGGCCTTGGCAGCTGAAACTCTTGACCGAATCAGAACCTCTAAGCCAACAAGATCAACATCACCTTGCATCATATGGCCATCCACATCATGCGTCAAGTTGGCGGGGGTGGTGTCTTCGACCTTGGTAGATTTACGACGGCGTTTTACCGGTCGTTCAGGGCCCTCAGGCGAGGAGAGTCGTCTTCCACTAGGCTGCGCCGGGCCTTGAGCAGAGTAGGTGCCACCAGATGGCTTCTGGAACAAGCCGGTATGCATAGGGATGGGATGCCGCGACACGCCAATGGGATGTAACGTCAGCTGCATTAATGGATCAATGTGAGGAGCAAATTCATCAGCAAGAATGGCGGGGTCCTTTGCCAATGAACGGACAAGGGCCGCCCAGAGGTCCAGCGACATGTCAAGGGTTTCCTTGTCCCTTTCGACAAGAATGTTTTGGAAGATGAGGCGGAGAATTCTACCATTGAGCCAGCCCTGTGATGTCTCATCTGCAAGATTCGCAAAGGTCAAGAGGGCTTTCAAGACAGCAAGGCGAACAGATGTGATGGTGTGTCGTAAGAATGGATAGAGGCGAGGAACCAGCAGAGTGAAGGATCGCTCTTCATCTTGGGCAGCAGATGTCTTCATCGATTCAAGTACCTCGGGGAAGCTGCAGAGCGTAGCCAGAAGATCCATAATGCGGCCTGTGCTGGCGCTCAAATCGTCGCCCAAATTGGACAAGCTTTCCCATACTATGTTGGTGAGGCCATCGAGAGCAGCCGGGCGCATGGTGACAAATTCTTTAGCCATGGGTATTAGGGTGGCAGCGCTGACAGATCGCACATCGTCATCGAGGTCTCCGAGACCCTTCATTACCGCCTTGATGACCCCATCAATCATGTCTCCATCCTGAAGCAATAGATCCTTCCTAACTGCAACAACATATCTCAGGCCAATCATGCCACCATGGCAGACAGCCCAAATCGGCTGGTCTAGCTTGAGATCTTCGTGCATCACCATGCGATACAGGACCCGGTAGATGTCATAGACGGAGTTGGGGGGGACATGTTTAAGAACAGCACCAAGGGTCTGACCAATAGTCTCTCGAATTGGGGCAACGGACGTATCGGAGCTGTAGTCAGTAAAGCGGTCCAGCATAAGGACGCAGCAGAGTCTACAAGCAACATCGTTGAGCCATGTGCGGTTGAGCTCATTATTGTCATCCACCGATTTGCCTCGAACACGGCCAGCCCCGCCGCCATGGACTCGGAGTACCTCGCGCAATCCCATGGCGGCTCCATGTCGCGTTTCCCATGAGGAATCGAAGAGATCAATCTTGAGGAAATCGCAGAGTCGCTCATACGGCCACTCGGCACCTTCCATGGACTCTTCGGCTTCAAGCTCAGACTTGATCTGCATCACCGATCCCTTGAACTCGCTGACAACCTTTGCATCCTCATCGATATCGGTTGGACGTTCGAGGTTGAAGTAATCATTCACTTTTCCATTCTTTTTCGATTCGTCTGCCATCGGGGTATCATCTGCCAGTCCTTCAGATCCAGCAGTCGTCGTTCGTCGCAGTGATAGATCTCCAAACCCGCCTTTGCCCTGTGCCTTCATTGCCTCCTTCTTACGTTTTCGCTTAAGTACGTTCAGTTGCCTTGAGCTAAGCTGAGACTCTTCTGTCGGCTGACTCTGAGACTGCGTGCCATCGCCTTTACCAAAGCCACCGCCATTGGGCGCATCGAGTGGTGTTTTTGGTATTCCGTCCCCTACGATAATTTCCTCGTCTTCGAATCTCCTCCCAAGTAAACCCAGGCGGCCCAAAAGTGTCTTCTTTTGGTGCTCCAGACGAGCTTGAGGGTCGAGAGAGGCAAGGCTGTACTCAATGCCACCACCCCGTAGAAGCGGTCGCCCGAACTTCAAAACGGTGTCCACATCGAGGGTCTCAAACTTGAAGACATCGTCATCGGTAAGAACGGATGCCGCCTTGTTGTCTTCCTCTTTCTTAATCGTACTGTTTTCGGACGAGCTCTCTTCCTTTTTGGGCTCACTTGGGGCATCTCCTGAGTTGGGGTCATAGAGCGGGGCATTTTCTAAGATTCTGCCAATGGCTTTGGCCGCAGTTTGCCTCGTCTCCCAATCCTTGTAGCGGAGATACGGGATGACCCGAGACAGGAGATTGAATAACTCATCGGGATGTTGCTTTTGCCAGTCAGCAAGCTGGTTGACTGCAGTGTCTCGGATGAGCCTTGTGCTCCCGGTCTCAAGGATGCTAGAGGAATGTGTCAGCTATCAGAATCAGAAGGGCTTGGAAACTCCTCCGTAATCGGAGATGAAGGGGAAGAAACATACGTAACTAATCGGTCAAGTCTGAAGAAATGTTAGCCGCTGGCTCTACTGCCGAAGAAGTAAGAGAGTGTGAGAACATACCTAGAAGTCATGGCGTAGTCGTGTATTAAAGTAGTATGTAAATGGTGTTTTGGGGCTCATGACATAATAAGCTGGGTGCTCTATATTTTTAGTTAGCACATGTCATACTTGGTAGTTGACAGGATAATCCGAATTTGAATAAGCAAAGAGGGAAGAGTAGGCAGAACGGCAGTGCGTGCAGCAGATATTGAGACGGGTTGATGTCAGTCACGCTCGGTGGTCGACAGAGACGGTATAGCCGGGAGTCAATCCAAGCGGTCCGCTTATATGTATTTGCAGTGCATCATATGCATGTGGGAGAAGTGCAGCGTTGGGCATTGTAGTGAGGCTGAGGCGATGTGACCAAGAGATTCGAGGCAGCAATCGTCAATCGCTGCTGAATCGTGATATAGCGCCAGCTGTCATAGAGAAGCTAATGCAGCACGTGCAGCGCGATGCAGGCCTCAGAATCATCAAGCGCCGGAGTTACTTGAGGAAACGGTAACAGTGAGGTGATGGAATGTTGAAATGCATCGGATTGGGACATCAAGAGCAAATCAAGAGATGAATTGCAAAAGCCTTTTACATGATGGAAGTGGTGATGATACATGAAAGAAGATAAGATAAGGTAGGTACCAGGTACATGTACCGGGTGGCAGGGGCAGGGATGGGTGAGATGGAAATGGCGTAATCAGAGGAATAAACACCACAAAGAGGAAGTACTTGCCTGTAAGACACAACGCCGGTCAGTTCTGGGGGAGAGTCCTGACGATGCAGTGAGATGCACCGAAAGGACGGCAATGCAGCCAAGCAAATAGCCGTGACCGGGCAAGTGAGAAAATGGTGATGCGACGTGATGCGATGCGATGCGACGCCTGGTTTATACCGAAGCTTGGTGAGTGCTGTCGCTGTAAGAGGGTACCTGGGAATAGGCTGGTTCGTGCAGCTTCAATGGCGCATACACTATTGGATTGGGTTAGAAATGGTTTTGAAGGCGAGGGGGATCCGCCGAATATGAAGAGCCACGCCAATGAGGGCGCGCGAAAGCACAGTCGCAGCCGGGGGTGTACCAGGTACTAAAAGCAGCTGTGCGCGGCGTGGGATTGGATGAGGCTTCCTTGGAGCGTGTTGCGGTGGGAACTTGGAGGCTTGTGTGTGGTAACAGAGCAGCAGGGGAAATGGAGTATGTACCTTTGGGTGCCTGAAAGATCAACCCGATGAATCAATCAAATTTGATAGCACGTTGAGATGCCAATCAATGCAAACGACCTTGTATAAGGTAGCTGAGCTGTGCTGCTGCCTCGGGCAACGGAACCCGGAGCAGCGCCTGACACGTAGCAATGCAGCGCTGGGCCAGTGGGAGTGGCGCCGTCTGCCTGCGTCTGCCTGCGGTTTGTGCTCTGGCGAGGGCGCGGGTGCTGTGCTGGATGCGACTATGGCTATGGTCGGGCAGGGCTGGACGGGGAGAATTGAGTGGAGGGCAGGCCGGGCTTTCTATATGTCTATGCCTGTATTTTTATACACGCTGCGCCGTCCCAGCGACCAACGGCGTCTCGCTTAATGTCCCTAATGCTTCGCTAGCGCGCAATAAGCGGGGCCACGTCCCCCATTGCTGGAGCCCTGTCCAGCCTCTAGCGCATCAGTTGCCAGTGAGTGACCGCATACAATGTACTCTCATACCTGTACCTCAGCGCTTTGATGGACGCATCATGGATGTACCTGTTGCTGCGTCTGAGGCGCGCTGCAGTACTTGCATCCTGTCTTTGTTCTTACCACCTATGTACCAGGTCGTAACAGCAGTACAGAAGCAACAGCAGGGTACCTAATTCTGTCCTCGCGGAATCTTGCTTCTTTTCTTCTTCTTTGCTTTGTTGGCTCCGCGCCTTTGCGCAAGGTAATTAGCCGCGGCTTGTACGGAGCAAACGACTTACTTCTTTGCTCAGCACTGCTGCATGCAATTGCATCTCGAGATACACGGCAATATGCCGGCTGAAATGCTGCCGCCGATTGGGGCACCATTCAGGCAGCTTGCCGCGAAAAAAAAACACCTTGACAGGCGCGTCGCAATCTCGATGCGCAGCATGGATGTGCTCAGCGTAGGGTATCAATCGGGACGCCGGCCGTACATTAAGAGACCAACCAGCCTTTCAAGGTACCTCTCAATGAGCTGATCTCAGGCGCCAACGATGCTTACCATCTTCCGACGTGTACTTGGACTGCGACGATGGAAAACTCACTGCAGCAAACCTAGCAAGAGGAGCACAGCAGTTGAAGCTTCAAAGTTCTTGTAAGAAGAGAATTTGCTAGAGCAAACAGGCCCCCAGATGCCCACCCCCGGCAAATGTCGGATCCTCCTGGTCCTTCCTACCCATGCTTCGGGTGGTTTTGTTTTGGTTTTTTTTTTTTTTTCTGGTTCCCTCCCGCACATCGTAGGTGTCTTGGGGCGCCTTTGTCTGCTTGATTGCCTTCATCATCCAGCCAGCCACGTTGGCCACCAACACAAACCGCACATGGCTTGCCAGCATGATCCTGGACTGCGTATGGGAAGCTATTGAAATCAGTCCCTTACAGATATACCCACCTGGATACGGAGTAGGTATCAATACTTTTATTGAACGAGGACACAAAGCATGTATGTATGTATATGACATGTACTACGATGATTTTCAAAGGCGCAACCCCTGACATGCCATGTCGCAAAAATTTTCTCCGCTTGTCTTCTTGAGACAGAATGGCCAAGGTTGGTTGGTGCAGGCCAGATCTGGCTTGTCTAGATCGACCCGTTTGGCCGTAATCTAAAATTGCCGTGAGACGCTATTGTCCCTGTTGCTCAGCATTAGTTGGTCCGACACACGCCATCCATCCCCAACTTGTTTGACTCGCGGAGACTGGTTTCTGCAATTCGACCCGCCTATGACGATCAGTCATGCACGATTGTCGCCCATGGCTTTTCCGCGACTTTGGCGTCGCGTGTGTATCTTTAAGGATCGGCGTGGAGGTAGTAGTGGGAGCACGAGAATTAAGGCCAGATCATATAGCGAGTGAAAAGAGTCCTGGAACAGCTTGATGCAAATTACTGTGGCGGCGAATACCCCATATTACCGATTACAGCACTAGTGGTTGGGTTTTTGCCAGGGTAGCTACCACGCCGTCATGATGCTTCTCAGACACATCTCAGTTTATCACTGTAAGTGGAACATGTTCATTTACCTCTCGTGGGCTCGTGTCATCTTACGTATTAGATAACATGGGCACCTCATGCTTGGTACGCCATGTCTAGGAATCAAATTCGATGATTTGTTCGTGTCTGTCAGTGTGTGAATGTACTCGTATGTACATAGCATGTCGTATTCTTTGTCGAGTGGGCTATCCTGGTCCAAGCGACGCCCCGGCTGACGTGTTTTCCCCATGACAAGACAAAGAAAGGCTGAACAATTACAGTCCTAGCCGTGACACAAGAAGTACTGTAATATTTCAATAAAACGACTACCAGTAGCTAAGGAAAGAGCTATTGCACAATAGCATCTTAGACAGCTACGCCAGTAATAAGCTCTAATTGATTTTCACCGGTGAGATGTAGGGTAGATGGCGCCAGTAGCTTTAGGCGCAGCAGGTTGGGTACCTAAACAGACAGCAAGCACCAAGAGCTATCATCGACACCTGATTTTTTAGGCGCTAATCTTAGATGGGCTGGTGCAACGCGACTCCAAGTTCTCTGATTAATCGCGGGCCAGACGAGACGCGTCGCATCGCATCGCATAGAACATTTGCGCTCCGTTGATTCTGCGCAACCCGCGGCAAAAAGTTCAAGTTCTGCAGCTTCCTGGTCTCTCGGATGTTGCGCATCGGCGCCCGCGCAGCCGACCATGTATATCAAGCAAATCATCATCCAAGGCTTCAAAAGGTGCGGATTCGCAACCCCGCCATGTTGTTGAGACACACATTGTGTGCTGACTGCTCTCAAATAGCTACAAGGACCAAACAGTCATTGAGCCCTTTTCTCCTAAGACCAACGTCATCGTCGGCCGGAATGGATCGGGAAAGAGTAACTTCTTCGCGGCCATTCGCTTCGTCCTCAGCGATGCATACACGCAAATGAGCCGTGAGGAGCGCCAGGGTCTCCTCCACGAAGGTTCGGGCTCAGCCGTCATGTCAGCCTATGTTGAAATCATCTTTGACAACAGCGACGACCGATTTCCCACCGGAGGCAAAGAAGTTGTGCTGCGACGCACCATTGGTCTCAAGAAGGACGAATACTCTGTCGACCGCAAGGTTGTCACCAAGACGGATGTCACAAACCTGCTGGAGGCAGCAGGCTTCTCACGTTCTAACCCGTACTACATTGTGCCCCAAGGTCGCGTCACCGCCTTGACAAATATGAAAGAGTCTGAGCGATTGAATCTGCTCAAGGAAGTTGCGGGTACACAAGTCTACGAAGCCCGCCGCGCCGAATCCCTCAAGATTATGACGGAGACGAACAACAAGCGAGAAAAGATTGACGAGCTTCTTGAGTACATCAAGGAGAGATTGGCAGAGCTCGAAGAGGAAAAGGAAGAGCTGCGAGGCTTCCAGGAAAAGGACCGAGAGAGGAGGTGTTTGGAATATGCATACCACCACCGAGAGCAAACCACCGTCCAAGCCGCGCTTGAAGAAATTGACAATGCCAGGCAAGACGGCCTGGACAACACAGATTCGAGCCGCGCGCAGTTCCTGGAAGGAGAAAAGGCGATTTCCAAGATTGACGCCGAAATTCACAAATTGCAGAGAGAGCTGGAGCTTCTGCAAATTGATCGACGTCAGCAAGAGGAAGATAGACGCGATAATGCGAAGCTGCTTGCCAAGATTGAGCTCAAGGTAAAGAATCTGAGAGAAGGACAGTCTGCACTGGAACAAGCTCGAGAGCAACATGCTTCCGAACTGGCCTCTGTACAGAGTGAGATTAAGACCAAGGAAAAAGAGCTGGCGCAGCTTCTCCCCGAATATACGAGGACGAAGAACGAAGAAGACGAGGTCAGGAGGCAGCTGGATACCGTTGAGGCGTCACGATCACGCCTCTTTGCAAAGCAGAGCCGTGGATCTCGGTTCAAAAATCGCGCTGAGCGCGATGCCTGGCTCAAGCAGGAAATCGAGGAGCTCAGCTTGACCATCAGCACCCAAAAAGCAAACAAGCTGGACGCTGATGAGGAAGTCACAAGAACCCAAAAGGCAATCGAGCAGGGCGAGAGAGAGGTTGCCGAGCTGCGCTCACGTTTAGCCAACTGGAGTGGCGACAGGGGCGAGGTGGTAGATCAAGCCGCCCAGGCACGGGCTACGCTGGACAGACTGAATGATGAACGGAAGCTGATTCGCCGAGAAGACGACAAACTCAACTCTGTCATCTCCAACGCCCGGCAAGAGAAGGAGCACGCTGAGCGAGAACTGGCTCATGCGGTTGATGGAGCCACTGCTCGTGGTTTGGCTACTATCCGCCGACTGAAACAGGAGCAAGATATCCCGGGTGCCTACGGAACATTGGCAGACCTGCTGGAGGTTAGCGACGCATATCGACTGCCCGTCGAACAAATTGCTGGCGCTAGTTTATTCCACTATGTCGTGGACAATGCCGATACTGCCACCTACCTCGCGGATACCATGTACAAACAGCACGGCGGCAGAGTCACATTCATGCCGTTGGCCCAACTTCGCCCACGCAAAGTAAACTATCCAAATTCCAACGACGCGGTTCCACTTTTGAGCAAGATCAACTATGATGAGCAGTTTGAGAAGGCGTTCCAGCAGGTATTTGGAAAGGTTGTCGTATGTCCCAACCTTGCCGTAGCTGCTCAGTATGCCAGGAGTCACGGTGTGGATGGTATCACAGCAGAGGGTGACACTACCAACAAGCGTGGTGCCATGACTGGTGGTTACATCGACCCCCGGAAGTCACGCCTGGAAGCCGTACAGGCTGCCAACAAGTGGAGAGAGGAGTACGATGGTCTCATTGAGCAGTCTCGCAACATTCGCAGGCAGATTGAGCTCAAGGACCAAGAGATCACCGGCGCCATGTCTGAAGTTCAAAAACTTGAGCAGAGGCTCCGACAAGCTGAGGATGGCTTCGAGCCACTCAAGCACGAGCTTCGAAACAGGTCATCTCACATTGAGAACGAGAGGAGCCGTCTTGATGGGGCCATCAGGAGACGGGATGCGGTTGAAAAGAACATGAGTGGATTCTTGCAGGAAGTTGCAGCTCACGAGTCCGAATTGGGCACAGATTTTAAGAAGACACTTACAACAGCTGAGGAACGTGAGTTGGAAGGATCAAGCCGTACTGTCCAGCAATTGCAGAAACAGTGGAATGAAATCAGCAACAACCGCAGAATCCTGGAAAGACAGAAGCAGCTGTTGGAAATCGACCTACGGCAAAATCTCCAAATGAAACTGGATCAACTCAACAGTCAAGCATTTGAGAATTCTGCGGTTGGTGGCGCGTCAGGTAGCTTGAAGGAGGCCGAGCGCGAGTTGAAGAAGGCCCAAAAGGCTTTGAAGGCTGTTGAGGCTGATTTGAGCCAGACTGAGGCTCAGCTCGACGAGCTCAATACTCGCCTTGAACAGCTTGAATCTGAAAAGGTCAACCGCGAGCAGACTCAACTGGAAATTTCCACAAGAATTGAGAGGCAGCAGAAGAGGATGGAGAAGACCTTGCAGCGAAAGGCTCTTTTGACTTCACAGGCTGCAGAATGCGCGAAAAACATTCGGGAGCTGGGAGTATTGCCCGAGGAGGCCTTTGACAAATACGAGAATATGCAGGCTAATACCGTAAGTCTTGCTTCCCCCGTGAGGCAGAGTGGGAGAAACAAGGGGAAAGTCAACTAACTTGCTCGCTAGATCACATCCAAATTGAAAAAGGTCAACGAAGCGTTAAAGAAGTATAAGCACGTCAACAAAAAGGCTTTTGAGCAGTACAACAACTTTACGACGCAGCAAGAGCAGCTAATGAAGCGCCGGAAGGAATTGGACGATTCTCAGGGATCTATTGAAGAGCTCGTGGAGCACCTTGATCGGCGAAAGGATGAAGCCATTGAGCGTACTTTCAAACAGGTTTCCAAGGAATTTGCCACCATTTTCAGCAAGCTTGTGCCAGCCGGCCACGGTCGTCTTGTCATCCAAAGGAAAACAGATCGCCGTCAAGACGCTGAAGAGTCGGACGAAGAAGCACGAGGAAGTGTTGAGAACTACATCGGTGTTGGTATTAGCGTGTCTTTCAACTCCAAGCATCTTGATGAGCAGCAAAAGATCCAGCAGCTCAGTGGTGGTCAGAAGAGTAAGTGCCCTCTGGTTGTCCAAATAGTATGCCTTGCCACTAACTTCCAATCTTCCTAGGTTTGTGTGCTCTCTGCCTCATCTTTGCGCTGCAGCAGACCGAAAGCAGTCCCATGGTCATCTTTGATGAAGTCGACGCCAATCTGGATGCGCAGTACCGAACTGCCGTTGCCTCACTTCTCGAGTCCATTTCCAACGAGGCCGGCACCCAGTTTATCTGCACCACTTTCCGACCCGAGATTGTTCACATTGCAGACAAGTGCTATGGCGTGACGTTCCGCAACAAGACGAGCTCCATCAACTGTGTCAGCACGGAAGATGCTCTCAACTTTGTCGAGGGGCAGGCCAAGCCAGCCTAAGTGAAGCGTGTGCTGCTGCATTGGTAGTATGACGCTTTGGCTGAACTGAACATAGTGTTTGACAATCTGGAAATCGGGAAGCGGAAAGCGGCGTAGCGGCGTTGGGTAAAGCGGTCACCCGTTGTGCTTTTTGGAAGGGCTGGTTACTATTGCTATAACTTTGTATGAAAAGAAATGAATGCTGGCTAATGTAGTGGGGAGTTACTTGATGTGATGAAAACTTGGGGATGATGAGGTTTCGAATACCAGACTTAGAATAGGGTCGAGGTAGAGGAGGTTGAGGGTTGGCCATTATATCATGATCAGTTTGGCTGATATAGCCGGTTTTGATACGAAGCGCTCCCTATGTTTGAAAATGGCTTGATAATAAGTGAATGTTGAAGAATTCTAAGCAGCAGAGTACCCCCCCTTAATTGCTCGAGGACATTGGCAATTTCATTGCGGTCTCTTTTGAGAGCAACAAGGCAAAATGAGCAGAAGTAATAGATAGTTCCAACAGCCGCAGTGAAGCTCTGTATAATGGTGTAAACTATACAATTCATAATGTTACAAGTCCCGACATTTCTCCATCCCTTTTATATCATCGTAATACACATTCCCTTTTTCTTTTCTTTCTTTTCTTTTTTCTCCTTACCGGTCAGCCATCATATTCTTCACGCCGCGATAATACTCCGGCGCCAGCTCCGTCTCCAGCTCCTCCCGCGTCAGCCACTTGAAGTCCGTGTATCCAAAGGGGTTGCCCTTGAGGTCGGCCTGGCCGGCCATGATCCTGCCCTTGAGGAAGAAGGTCTTGCGGCCCTTCTTCTCGACCTGGCCGTTTGCGCCGAGGACGGGCTCCTGCACGAGGTGGGCGACGGGGACGCGGCCGACGAGCCAGGTGTTCATGTTGACGCCGGCGGCTTGGTCCATGACTCTCTTTGCGCCCTGTTTTGTTTTCTCACGTTAGACCATCATGTCCCATTATTAAGAAAAAAAAGCTCCAAATAAAACGTACCTCGTGGAGATTCTCGTCTTTGAGAACATCGGCAGGGAAGCCCCATCCATCAGGCCCCTTGACAACAAGATACAGCGTCTTCTCCATCTGGCGATCCAGCCGCCTCACGTCCTTCTTCAAATCCGCCTCAGACAACCTCTCCGCCGGCCTCTCCACAGGCACAACGTCCTCCGGCGCAATGACCTCCGCATCATCACTCACCCTTGGCGCAGCATCCTTCAGAAGACTCTCCAGCACAGTCTCCTGCGCGCTGAGCTTATCACCAACCCTCAGCTCGTCGTCCCAGGCGGTCGAGTTCTTGCCCTTGTAACTCCCCAGCTCCTTGGCCACGGTGCCCCCGCGCTCCTGGACCTTGAGGCTCCAGTCCAGCTGCGCCGCCGTGTCGGGCTTGAAGTATATGCTCGTGATGAAGGGCGTGTTGAGGCGCTCCTCCAGCCGTTTCTGGTAGAAGAAGAAGGCGTTCTCGAAGGGGTGCAGAGTTCTCGTCAGCAGCGGCGGCCGTGTGAGGATGAGGCCGGAGCGGACGTCATATGGATACGGCGTCTTAGTCGAGGATGCCAGAGGAGGAGGAGCGTCGACAGCAGGAGTCTGGACCTCTGTTGTAGTTGCAGCGGCAGAGTAGAATCGGGCAGATGTCGCTTTGTAGGTGGTTGCGCATCGGGAACACAACGTGGGGGAAGAAGCTGATGTTGCGAACTCTTGGTTAGGTTTTTGACTCAATTGGCAGCAGCAGTGGTTGCTTACATGAAAAGATGCCTCTAACGGCTCTGCTGCCTCTACTTGAAGCTGCCATCATGGCGGAATCCTGAGTGGCTGCTCTATAAAACCCGAGAAGCAGCGCCGGGCCTTTTGTCGTGATGTCTTGCGCCTCGAACTTTTTTGGTTGTACCTCATCCCACCAACACCAACCAGCTTACATAACGCATACTTATGTAATGAAACTCAAGGCAAGCTGGAAATGCCAAGCAATATCAATTCAGCCAAACTGCTTTGCTGCCTCAGGCCACGACCCGCAAAGCCGCACTTTCAACTAACATAATTCCCACCTTTAAAATCCTTTTCCCTTTCCTCTTTTTCTTCTTTCCTTCTCCAAGGCACCATTACCTTATCGTCAAGACCTTGCTTTCCACCTCCACAGCGTCCTGATCATTTATTCGTGTGCCGAGAGAGATAGATGCAGTCTTTTTCGCTAGCGGCACCTTCTTTTCTTCTCCTACTGGGTTCTGTTAGATAGATACTGCTTACATTCTTGCTACCAATTCCAAAATGAGGGCCTTTTTTGGCTCCTTTTTTCCTCTTGCCTTCTTGCGACATTTTTAGTGTTCCCACCCCGCTATTGTACTGACTATCCCATGAAGCTATCCCCGTTTCCAGCTGTCCATTTTCCGTTTTTCGTCGCCATTTCTCGTGATAGCGAATAAAAGAAGAATCGTCATTATTCAATGAAGGCCTCGATTTCTATTTTTATTTTTTATCAACCGGGCGCAAAGACATGGCACCGAATCTCCTGAGAAGTGCTACCGGCTTTTGGTTTCCTCGTTGAATTTATGCCGGTAAACTCCTCTTGAGTCTTCAGGACCCGTTGGCTAAAATCTCTTCAATCAGGTGCACAACCTCCCACCATGAAATACTGCGGCTGGGATCGAAATTGATTGGAACTATATATCTCATTCAACTACTAGTTCTAAGCCCTAGAAGTCCGCCCACAGAAAGAAAAAAGACATGTATGACAAGCGCAATACATATTCAAAGCTCGAATCGCAATGCGCTGTAGCAGTATCGACAGGCGCCCCCAAATATGACCAAAACTGCAAAACAAATGCCCGACTCCTATTACACCTCGGTGTCCCTAACTAAATGCACTTCGCCGTCAATGAGGCTGGGGGTATCAAACCATGATATGGACCGCCGACAAAAGCCTTGAAACGCCAGACCAAATGCTTATTGCTGTGCACCCGTGATCAGGCTTGAAGTTCGGAGATTGCTCGGGCCACTTCCTGGGTGACCCTTTTCTCCCATGTTTGTCGTCGAGATTCGTCATCGAGTGAGGACGCGTCCTTCACTTCGTCGTAAAGTTTTCGTGATATATCACGGTTGATTGTTGCATATTGTTCTACCGTTAACTTCTGAGCCCGCCAATGCGGCCTCAGGGCGTTGCGGACGATGTCATTGACGCTCTTCTTTTCCTCAGTCGTCATTGTATGTCTCATGGAGTTCTCATCGCCACCGCGGGTCGGGCTGGACTCTGGCGACATCTCGTGCGCGCGCCGCGGCCGTGGCTGGCGAAGCTCTAGAGGGCGACTCTCGAGCCGATTCTCGCTTCGGCCACCACGAACTTCAAGCTTTATCGGCGGCGATTCGGAGTCGCTGTGGTCGCTGCTGCTGAAGCGGGTGGGTGAGTAATTCGCAGGTGGGTATATTGGTTCGATGTGTGTGCTGAGAGAGAGAGTCGGAGAAGATGGCCGTCCATTGAGATTGGGTAATGGAGGTGGTGTTAGTGAGAGAGCCCGTGGGCTGCTGAATGCGGATGGAGATGGAGAGAGAGCCGGAGATGATGCCTCATGGAAAGGCCGCCAACCAGAGGCGGTGGCGGACGCTTCGTCTTCCGAGTGGATGTTGGGTTCCAGCTCTTTGAGCAAGGAAGAGACGACCAAAGCTGGCTCAGCATCGTCCCGGCTGGCACTGATGGTGTTGGTGTTTCTCGATGAAGTCCCATTTGGTACCCTTGCCGAGGACGGACCGGCCGCTGCCGGAGCACTGGTTGCTGCAGAGCTTTCCCCGTGCGTTGGGAGCCGTCGGGTTCGAGGGCGCTTGAGTTTTCTCTCGGGCTCCTGGGCAGGTTGCTCAATGGGTGAGCCCGTTACGGACCGAGCCTTTCGTTTGCGGGTGCTTGGGCTGGAGTTCTCGGCCTCTCGAGCACGATCTAGGGCTCCCCAGGCACGCCTCTCGTCCCGCGTTTCCTCAACGGGTGGTAGCAAGGGCTGGAGGCGTTCGCTAATTTGTGGCGGAATGTTGCTCGCAAAGGATTCCCGCGCACCAAGCCGCTGTGCAATGCTTATCCGTTGCTGCCATCGCTGCAGCTCTCGTCGATCCAGCTGCTGAAACCTGCGGAAACGCTCAAGATCTTCGTCCTCGTCGTCGTGGTTATCGAGATCAAGCTCGCTCATCTCGTAGAAGCGGCCGGAGAACTGGCCCCAGGCGCCCTGCCACTCCATGTTGCGTGCCTGGCGGCGTGCCCGTCTGAGACGAGCGCGGGTGCGGACGTTGAAGCCTCTGTTTGCTCGACCGGTTGGACGGCGAGCGGTTTGAGGCCGTGGTATGGTCTCTGAGGCAGCTTCTGGCTCTGGCTGGTCGTCCGTTATCTCGAACAAATGGGCACATTCCATGCAGTACCAGTCACCCTCGGGGATGTAATCGAGGCCAATGCAGTGCGTATGGTAAGCTGCATCGCAACCATCGCAGAGCAGGAGAATGTCCTCTCGTTCGGCCGAGTTGCAGATGGGGCATGGGTTGGATTCTTCTTCTTCTTCATCTGGGTTCTCTCCAAGCCACTGCTGCACGTCGAACTCGGCAACTTGCTTTTTATCTTCGACTTCGTAGGTTGATATGGCGATGCCTGTAGAATTCCCAGCCAAAGTCAGCAGCCGCACCCGTAGTGTTTGTAGGAAAGCATTTGTGCGGTACACACAAAGTAGAGGGGTTGCGAGAGCAAAACTTACCATCTTGGCCATTGTAGACTCTTACAGAGTGAAAGGGTTTGCGGCAAATGGGACAGGTATTGGTCTTTTGGGCCCAGGACCGGATGCAGGCATCGTGGATTATGTGATCACAGCCATCGAGAGCCGCCACTATGTTGAGATAGCTAGAATCGCCCTCGACGGCCTCGGCGATGGCAGCTGTAGCGGTGTCGACGGCGGGTTGAGGGCTCTCGGTCGAGGACGAGGGGCGCGGCAGCGGATCCAAACATATGATGCACTGGTCAGGCTCAGACATGATGCCGGGTGTGATGAGTGACGCCAGAAACTGATGAAAACATGTAAAAAGACAATGAGGTTAACAGTGCCCGATGGAGCAGGAAAAAAAAAGGTAAAGGTAGATTCCGGCTGGTTTCTGAAACGTGGGAAACGGCGGTTTGTGGCGTGTGCCGCAGCGAGAGAAACTGGGTTTGTATGAAGGCTAATATGATTTGATGGTTTGTATTAGTGGTGAAGCGGTGCTTTTGTCGGGTGCTGGTAGCGCGCACAGTGAGAGTGAGGTCCAGGTCCAGGCACTACCAGTACGGACCAGACCTTCAGTGAGGATTGAAAGAGGGAGAGTTCAGCTAGAGACAGCCTGGAAAAGGCGGGCTCTGGCAAGCCTAGCGCAGGCCTGTTAGGGGTCTGGGCGGGGGCCAATCAGCGAGTCACAGCGCTGGAGCAGCCACGCCTGTCATTGATTGAGCGTGCCGTTTGTTGGATGCTGGAAGGTGGCGGCAGATGGGACTCGTACTAGGAGGGGGATCCAAATGCATTTGATGGATGTCTTTTCTCGGCGTGAGCGTGAGCGTGCGTGAGTGAGCGTCAGAGTCAGAGCCCGGCTCGGGGTAGCTCCGTGCGTGATCCTGGTGGGACTTACAGATTCGATTCTCTTCTGCACGAGGCCGGGGAAATGAGTCGAGCTGAGTGAATGAGTGAGTGAGGGTTTCTTGGTTGCTCTGCTATGCCATCAATTTTCAGGGCAGGGAGACAGAATCTTTAGTGTGTCATTGGAGTGACTTGAGGAGAAGCATCGAGCTCCATGCAACATGAACTTTTTTTCCGGGTTTTTAGCACAGACGATACCATCTGTACATGTACATATGTACCTGTGGTCAGGTACTTTTCACGCGAGTCTAAATGCGCAAGAAACAGTGTTCAGGTACTAGCAGGTCGCAGGTACTCACTTAACTTAGATTGGTAGGCCGTGTGCTCCGTGCTACCATGCAAGTCAGAGAGGCTCTGCCTTGTGACGGACGTCACACCTCGTATCAGCTCTCCATCAGCACTGAGCCGATACAACATGATCCGTAGAATGCAATAGGAGTGTGGAATGGAAGCCAAGCAAGAGCAAAAAACACATGATAACTGCACGGATGGTTCGAAGCTACCGTTGGTGTAATGAGGGAAATTGGTGCCTGTTTGGGCGTTACAAGTATTAAGGTATAGGACTACAATAAGGTCAGGTATAGTACATTAGTACACATTAAGCGAGACCTCTAGAAGCCCGCAAGGGAAAGAGAGAGAGAAAAAAAAGCCATGCAAGAAAGAGGCAAAACGGCTGTGCATATTATGGGGTCAATCGGTACATTGCGTTCAGACGAGGAGACAAGGTGCAAAAGTGCAGATTACAGTGCTCCGTATATCCGCCATTGCCTTAGCACGCGCGCATTCCTTCGCTCCTTGCCGCTGCTGCAGCAGTGCCTCTTGGGCGGATACTTTACAGTACCAGACCTTTCAATACCTTGCCTTGGTATTCATATGTTGGTCACAGCAATACTAAATACTATCCGTGCAGATCTTATCTACTAGGCACCGTGTTAGGGTCCGAGCTACCTAATGGACAGACAGAGACAGACATCAAGGTGTTGAGTAGAGGCGGAACCATGGGAGCAGCAAGCTACCAGGAACGGACCTATTCCATGTACACAAGGAGTACAGTAATGCAAAAACCTTGAAAGTGCTGGGAAAGTACCTGCAAGATTCGGTTCGCCGTACTCGGTACCTCCCCGATGGGCTTCGAACGGATGATGCCTTGCGCGAAAGGGCTGGGTCTTTCAGTCTCACGTGCCGAGGCCGGCGTGCATTTTGGTGGTGATGAAACATGCAATTCATTCGCAATTAACCCAGAGACATGGCCGCCAAGGGGTGCAGTAGCATTCTGGGGGCAGCTGCTCAGTACCTAGGCTGACCAGGCTCTGGCGTGCATGTTCAAAGTACCTACTACCTGCTATACCAAGAAATACTAATATAAAATACAGGCATCAATGATACGAATATACTGCAGATACTCTACCGCGCACCCAGCCATTAGTACCTTATTGGAAGTCATCCGGGTTGGCCTGTATGGATGCATGCGACTTGTTACGGCACTAGGCAAAAAACACCTGCTGCTCCGGATGTCGTAAAGTTACATGGTGGAATGCATCTCTGATGGGAGCATGGCCGGGGTGGTGCTACCAAGGTGGTGCTTTGTATACAGTACCCGTGTAACTGTAACCAGAGATCCAAATGGACATTGCGGAAGGGGAGAAAATACAGAAAAAGAGAGCACATTATGGAGTTCATTTCTATGCCTGCTAGGAAAACCAACAGACAAGGGTGATTTTGGAGAGAGAATTGGATTTAATCTGAAGGGGACTATCTCAAGGGCCAAGCGGGGTCTGGAGGGGATTTGCCGGGACTACGATTGGAACGTCTTTGTCTCTCATTTTTCAAGTTTTATTTTGTCTACCTCACAAATTTACTCTTCGCTTTCACTCATTTTATTACACTTTCGTCCAAATTTAGAAAGTCGCCTTGTACACACAGCCAGGTGCCTGTTAAAGTACATTATATCGCGGCTTAGAAAGGATAAGGCACATTAGCACCTCCATGCTTGCAGTACTTACTGAAGTATCCGATTCTACTGGAGAGTACTAGTATTAACAAAGAAAAGGTTCAAGAAGAGAGACGAAAAACTTTGTGTGCGTGCCCCATCCGTTGCATGCAAGGAACCACAGCTGCATTCGTCACTTGACGGGCAATTCTCCCTCGACTCTCTGCCGGGGCGTAACACGGCCACATGTAATTTACCAAAGGCAGCAATCAACTCCATGGGTAATCAAGTTGATGCAGTGTGATGCCACTTGCATTGGGACCAAAAGCGCCATCTCTGCCGGAATTCCCCACTCCAACCCCGTCGTCATTGATCCCATGAGCCGTGAATGGATACGAAGCACTGCGCCATGCCAGTATTGCTAGCACCTGGACAACTTGAGTTAAGCACACTTTGCATCGTTCTCATTTTCACCTGGCACCGCCTTTTCTGGTGAATATCCTGAGTTTGGAGCGTTCACGTGCCAGTAGATGGTCGCAATTGCGGAGGAGCGTCCAGTTCGTTTACAGTTATGGCCATATGGAATACAGCACTACAATGAATTCTGCTTTGATGGCAGGTTGTGACTTAATTAACAAGTGCCGCAGTGAGATCCCTTGTGACACCTTTCGGGTGGACCAAGTCGGCGTCGACGTAGAGGCCCTGCTGCGAGAGAATATGAAAAGAGGAAAATACGTAAGAGACTCAGTGAGCGCCGTTCGTGCACTGGCGTAGCTGCGCGTCTGCTCGAGTCCCCGAATCGCCTTCGAATTCTGGTCATTCGCGTGCCTCTCTCTTCAGTGTGGTGAGCATAATCATCCGGCCGACAAATTCCCTTCACAAGGCGCTAGGATCCATGGTATCATATCATTGCTTAGTTCGGGTGTCCGAGATAATGCAATTTCCTTTTTTTGTTCATTGCCTATCGACCGGTGTCTATGACCAAAGATCGAGCGTCGACGTTCATTTTTCGTCAACGTAGTGTATGCACGCAAACAATGTCCCCCATACACCAGACCGAAAAGCAAAGCCGAATCCCTTCAACCGTTTTAAGAAGAAACACCTTAAACCTCAGCAATCTCCCTCAATCGTCGCAGAGTTGATCGCATGGCAGCGGCGGCGGGTGTGCTGTAGAACATTGCAACATTAGTATTCATCTTCCGGGGAACGGCGTGCTCGTGGAATGTCCAGGCTCGTCTTGTGGTTTGTGGGCAACATACGCAACAGTGTAGGCACCGCCAGCAATGGTTCGGCTGCAGGCGCGGCAGTTCCAGATACCGACAGACTTTCTTCGGACGGTGGTCTTTCCGCAGAAGGTGCAGGTGTACTTGGCGTGCTGGGTGATTTCCATCTTCTTCACCTGCTTTCGCAGGGAGGCACCGTAACTATAACCGGTTGCATTAGTTGCTAGTTCATCTGGAAATTTCCATCCGCTTGTGATATGTTTCGAGTATCGAAGATCAAGTCTCGTGAGGTTGCCATAGACACAGCCAGTCTATCCGAAAGCTTTTCTCAAGGAAGTGTAGCAGAGGCCGTGGCAAGACAATTGAGAACTCGTTTTCGTCGGGCTCGGGGTCGATATGTCGTATTGAGGATTGGATTTGTTGTGCATCTTTTGAGACTCACCGGGTACCATATTTACCGCTGATAACAAGTTAGCAGACATTCGTTTGTTTAGTTTGTTCCATCAAGGGATTATACGTACGTCACGCCGACCTTCTTGGTGCGCTTGGTCATCTTGACGGATTTGTGTGGATGGGGATGTTTGGTTGCTTGACTTCGGTTGGAGGCTGCTCTCACGAAAATGTGTTGGAAAGCTGGAGTTGTGATTTTCCTTAGGGCACGCACGTGAGCGACGGGCCAAGCGAAGCCCCACCACTGTTTTTCATTTTGAACTAGCTATCGATAAGAATGTCTTCCATCACGTGACTGTGCCGTCTGCCATCTCCGTCATCCCCACATTAGTCCAGTTCCCCATCTTTTTCATCGTGTCTGCTGCGTGTGTCTGGATTGGATGATTTATTGTGGGCTTTGGCCATGAGCGAATGGTTTCATCAACATGTTGCGACCACCTGCAGGCGGTTGCCTCGGTTGGAATGAAGTCAGAGCATCATTGTTTTCTTCTAGAGTCAATCTGCTTTGTGCCTATCTAATCTAAGTATAGCTTCAGTAAATAGAAACGTATTTAGCTACTAGCAGAAGCATTGGAATTTAGTACACTTGTTCTGCATCTGCAGCTGTTCTCGGCCCATTAGCATCATTACATTGCAAAAACGTGGCCAACAGTCCCGGAGGACCTTGCCACCTTCACAGTCTCTTCCATCATCTCTGTCTGGTGGCCATTATCCCTCTTTAAACGCTGAGCAGCATTCTATCACTCACAATGCCATTCAAAGAACACAATCGCCAGTATGACCTGGTTGTCTTTGGAGCCACGGGTATGTGATGTTGAGCTTGGGGTTCAGTTTAATGGAGACCAATGCTTATGTATAGTGTAGGATATACCGGTAAATTGGCAGCCGAGTACATCATTGCCAATTTCCCAGTCAATTTGAAATGGGCGATTGCCGGTCGTTCTGAGTCAAAGCTCCAAGCAATCGTCGAGGACTGCAAGAAGCTGAATTCAGATAGAAACCCTCCAGGTTCGTCTACAGCTACTACCGGTCAACTTTTGGACATGCTGTTTCTCTAGAGCAGAATTAACAACTCGAGGATAGCAATTGAGACGGCGGGAGTGGATAGCTACGACGAAATGAGTGCGCTGGCGAAAAAGACATTTGTCATGATTACAACTGTCGGCCCGTATAGCGCTCACGGAGAGTATGCAGTAAGGGCATGCGCCGAAGCTGGTACACATTACTTTGATGTAACTGGTGAGACACCATGGGTCTATAGAATGATTAAGAAGTACGAAAAGACCGCTAAAGAGAGCGGTGCTATTCTCATCCCACAGATGGGACTGGAGTCTGCTCCAGCAGATCTATGCACCTGGTCTTTGGCTCAAACACTCCGGAAGCAGCTGAATGCTAAGACAAGAGACGTTATTATTTCGATCTATAATCTGCGGTAAGTCGAACTCTCTCATCTTACGTCCTATAATACTATCGGAAACGTGCGCTTACTCAAGGCTTTACATTTAGAGCGGCTCCCTCTGGAGGCACCGTTTCAACTGTTCTCACCATCTTCGACCATTTCACCCTGAGTGAGCTGGCAGAGTCTGGAAAACCGTTTGCCCTATCCCCTATACCTCACCCAGGAGAGCCAAAGCGACACAATGCCTCCATTTGGCAAAAGATATTTGGCGTCCACTATGTGCCTAATCTTGGGACCGTCACTACGGCCTTTACTAGTTCTGCCGACCAAGGACTAGTAGAACGCTCATGGGGCCTTTTATCAGAGATTCCTAGCCGGAAAGACGAGTTCTACGGGCCCAATTTCCATTGGGCGGAATGCTACAGGCCTCGCAATTGGCTGTATGGAGTTATTGTTCATTGGGTAATCGTCATTGGCATATTTCTGGTAGCTACTGGAAAACCTGTGAGGACTCTGCTCCGAAATGTCGTTCCGGCACCAGGCACAGGACCCTCCAAAGATGAAATGGAAAAGGAGGAAGTTGAATGGCGTGGCATTGCGAATCCAGATACGGAATTACCTGCTGATAGGCAAGCCTTTTGCCGAGCTTGGTATTATGGTAGCATGTACTCGTGTAAGTGGAAAACACCGGCCCCAACAGATGGTGTTTCTTGAGGGCCAGCTTCTGACGATCGTATATTTACAGTGACGGCAATGTTATGTAGCGAGGCAGCTCGAACAGTCTTGGAGGATGACCTCGAGCTTGATGGAGGCTTCTATACCCCGTGTTGTCTTGGGCAGGGCATTGTTGACCGTGCTCATAATGGAGGCTTCAAGATGGAGACGCGAATTCAGCAGAAATGAGCCCTATTGGGGTTACCATGCGCTTTCTTCAAGAGTCACCAAGTTTGATTTGATCGTCTATATATGCGGAAATGTATCTCAGTATGTGGCTTGTAGTTGGAAGACATTGAAGACTATCCACGTATTCATACCTAAATAGCACTCAAATGCTTAACGTGCTGAGAGCCGTGTCGCAAATTCAATGGTAGCGGTAATACTTAATACTAAGCGAGTATATCTAGTTATACATAGTAGTATATACTGGAAGAAACATAGCAACATGTCAGGGTGTCGAAGACAAGTCATGCAGTGGAGAACCAATATCTATGTGGAGATTTGTTAGCGGTAGTGCCTGGATTGTTTTGGAGTTGCAAGCCGATGTTGACGCTATGGCTCCAATTTTAGAGTTTTCAGTTCAATACAACAAGGTTTGTCGAGAGGATTGGACACAATAACATCCATTGAGCATTGTTGCTAGATTGCTCCAAACCCAGACTGACATTTTCAAAGCTTCTTGTTTCAATGCAAAATTACCCGCCAAGGTACTCCTCACTTGCAAGAGACTTGTAGAAGTCAATACATTCTTTTCTCACATGCAGCCATAGCCTGGCCAGGTCCTTGTACCCATCTGCTCGTGTTTCTCCTGCACGAAGCTCCAGTGGGTCGCGTACTGTACCTACTGTACTCCGTAAAGGTAGCACAGCACATGAAAGTGCCAGTCCAAGTACCTGCTGTTACAAGCACTAAGGCTCCCGAGTGGGCCTAGACCGCTTTTCGTCGAATTTGGCCAGGGAAAATTGGACGGTACTCCGTCATCGAGCAGCAATAGCAACCTCCAGAATTCTGCCTCGCACAAACTTCTTCACAGCATCTATCCCTTGCTCACCTATCCAATCGCTCTCAATGCCGCCATCCTTCTTGATACGTAGGCGGAAATAACCCTTTTTAGCATCCTGGCGTATTTTTTATCCTCCTCGCTGATAGAGAACCTGCTTCCCGCGGGATCTGTCTAAGCCGTTGCCGCCCTTACTTCATCCCCCAGCTCCCAGCGTCCAGCCTCTGACATTGGAAATGGACTCTTCCGACACCGCAAACACGAGCGCTGGCGAGACGACGCCTCTGCTACCCACGCCCGATGCCTCTCGGCCAAAGCCTGCACGAACAGTCACCTTCAGCGCCAACCCCGTCAGCCGAACCATCGACCCCGATCCTCCTCGCCTACCAAGGAGCTATGCCTCTCATAATGTCAACCATCAGGCCGGCAGCAGCGCCGTCGTTGGCCCGCCGATGCTGACAGCCTTGAATAGCAAGCTTCGCAGGCGACATAGCGGGGGGTTCGTCCCTGTGCTTGCGCCGGTACAGGGGCCCAAGATTGGTCCGCAGAGAAGCACCAAGAAGACAGAGAAGCTCAAGCTGCTGCCGAACCCAGATTTCGGAGACGAGGGTGAAGATGAGGAAAGCGGAAGGGATGTCTACTCCCAGTATACCCGAATCAAGGATCCGACGGCGCGAAGAGATGCTGCGCGACTCGGAAAGGCAGACCGAGATCGACTGCCTCGCGTCACCGCGTACTGCACCGCCAATCGCTATGAGATGGAAGGATTGATGAGATTCCTCAAAGGACGAGGCAAGACTCGCGGCGCGAACCCTAAGCTCATCGACGAGTGTATCTACACGCCCTACATGTACGGCAAAAGCCACCGAAACCATGAAGTTGTCGAGCCGAATCAAGAAAGGCGCCATTCTACAGGCAGCGAGCTGGTAGACGGCGAGACCGAGCGAGAGGAATTCATATCTCTGCCTCGTGATCATCAAGACTCTGGCTACGGAGAGGGCCTGATGATCGACCACAGCCGAGAGGAAGCCGGGGACCTCCCTAGTGAAGAGCTTCTAGGTCCAGCCATGCCCGAGCACATGCCCATAAAAGACACGATACCGGATTTTGATATTCAGGTACACATGCCTGAAGTCTTTCTGTTCGATTATGGTGTGGTGGTGATATGGGGCATGACGGAGGCACAGGAGGCCAAGATGCTCAAAGACATTGCCAAGTTCGAACTGGAGAAGCTAGCTCCTGATGATGTCGAGACGGAGCACTTTAACTTTTACTATACTCGGGAATATCAAGCACGGATCTACAACGACTTTATCACGCTGAGAGACAAAAACAATTACATGACCAAGCTTGCCATTTCACATGCTTTAGCACAGAGTGTCAAGGTAAGATGATTTTGACTTGGGGAAGGAATAGGAAAGAGGGTGTAATATACTAACAATATCAATAGACTTCACTTTTTGAAGAACTCATTGCTTCCACCATCGACACCACCAAGGATATTCCCACTCAGATTGCCTTGACGGGTAAAGTGGCTCTGAACCGCAAACAAATCAACATGCAGATTGGAGAGCTCTTCATTTTGAGGATCAACATCCATCTCAACGGCTCCGTCTTGGATACCCCCGAGCTCTTCTGGGTCGAGCCCCAATTGGAACCTCTCTATCAGGCTGTCAGAAGCTATCTCGAGATGGACCAACGAGTCGGCCTCGTGACGGAGCGGTTGGATGTTATTGCTGACTTGTTGGCTGTCCTCAAGGATCAGCTAACCCATGGCCATGGCGAAATGCTCGAATGGATTGGTATGTTTCCTTCCTGTTTACCTACAACGCTTTTGTGCATAATGAATGCTGACTAGCTTGAATTCAGTTATCATTTTGATTGCTATGGAGATCCTGGTGGCTGCAATCAATATTGTTGTCGATTTGTATGCCGGAGAAGTTTGAGCGGAGTTGTTTAGAAACTCTTTTTCTTGGAAACTAAGAGGCTGTGAACTTGCGTGCGGGAGAAATGGAGTTGATTCTACCTTGGGCGTTTGAATTTATCGTTGTAGCGAACGGGGGTCATGGAGTGGGCGGCGTCAATGGCTGGGAAGAAGCGAATCATTACATATTTTTCAACCATCGACAGCAATGCATAACAGGGCAATGCCATTGAACATGTGATTCCACACTGTAGCAATTCAGAAGCACTGGCTACTTTAATGTACATGCATCCAAACGTCCCAGATTACAGATGCACCCCGGCAATTACAGTACCGTTTAGAGAAAGAAGAGAAAGAAGGAAAGAAATATTGCCAAGCAGAAAACAAGAAGGAAAAAAAAAAAGCAAAACCGTCTCTGTCCTGTACCAATATGAAGAAAATAACGCCTTCCGCACCATGATCTGCCGTCTCCCGTCCCATAACCGCGTATAGCCGCCCTTTTTTTGTTTACTCGTCGCCATCCTTATCCATCTGAGTCTCCTGGTCTTCGGTGTCATAGTTGCTCATCTCAATATCGTCATCGTGAGCCTCAGCCTCTGGCTTTTCAGCTTCGGGCTCGGCCTTGACGCTGCTCTTCTTGGGAGACTCGACGTCGGCATCGGCATCAGCATCAGCGGCTGCCTTGTCCTCCTCCTCTTGAGATTTATTCAGTTGGTCCGCCTTGGCCTGGTATTCTTCCCTCTCCGTTTCCGGTAGCTCATCCCAGTCACGCTTGAGCTCCTCGTCAATATTCAGCTCGGTATCATCCTTGTCATCCTTGTCATCCTTGTCATCTTTATCTTCCTTGTCCTCCTTATCCTCCTTGTCCTTGACTTCAAGCGCCGGCCGAGCCTCCTCGCAGTAGAGTTCAAAAGCAGTCTTGGGCTCTTTGGAAGACTTGGACACGCCGTTGGCGCGAGAGCGCTTTGCCTGGCTATTGGACTCAGACGCTGGGGATGTTGGCTCCTTTGCGGAGCTTTGTTTGGCATCGGCGTCAGCTGGAGCATTGGACTTTCGGTGACCTTTCTTGATGCGCAGCGGCTTATCCTTGGGCTTTCGGGGGTTAGCATTCGATTCAATGGGGATATCGAAGGAGGTTGCCTATTTCGTTACACTCAAATATCAACACTGAAAAAAGGTGTTTTTGGTGGGGAGGAAAGGGAGCAGCAGCAACGTGCAAAGGAGATAAAAAAAAAGAGCAGGAAGGGGGAGAGAGAAACCCGACTTAGCCGGGTAGCAGCAACGTAAACAAAGATAAAAAGAGGCAGAAAAATAAAGAGATACGAGGAAGAAAGCATACCGTTGGAGGCGGACTGGGGCTGCCCTCGGAGTCTTCGACGTTTGTGCTGGTGCGCTTGGCCAGCTGCTCAAGCAGAAAGGCCCTTTCTATCCTCAGCTTCTCGACCTGGCGCTTTATGCGGGCGAGCCGGAGCCTGGCGGCGTCGTTGGCATCCTCGACCTCGTTTGTGCGGTTCTTCAGCTGGACACACTTCCGTCGGTAGGCTTCTTCGACAGACGGAGGCAGCGTCGAGGGCACGCTGGCTAGCTCAATGTTAGCCTCAGCAACCAATTTTCTCTTGGCAGGCATTGTTGGCGATTGTCAGGTGGCGAAAGTCGAGATTCGGGGGATGTAAGAGTTTTGTCGCGAGAAATGGGAAGGATGCGAGGCGACGCAGCGAGGCGCGGTTTGATGCGATGGAGATGGAGATTGGCGACTTTTTCTCCGGCCGGCGGCGGTATCGGAATCGCACGTTGACGCGGCACGGCAATGATGCGGACGAAGATGGCAGATTGGAGAGAATTGGAAGTTTTTTGAAGGGAGGAAAACAAAAAAGCTTTAGGACTCACAAGGCTGGGGCGCCATGATGATGGGTTGCGGTACGTATTGGAAGAGATGCGCCGAGTCAATGGCAGGCAAATGGGCGCGCCAATGTACATGTACCTCTGGCTTGGTCAAGACAAACACCTACGGAATGTAGGCAGTACGAGCGTGCAAAGCAACTTAGAAACGAGACCTTTGGAAGACGCTCCACAAGGCGCGGGTTAACGCGTGCGATAGCGATACGGGAGGAGCAATTGGAACGTTGTAAGTGAGAGGGAGAAGAGGAGAAGAGGAAAAAAAAAAGAGAGCAAAAGAGAGGGTGTAGAGCGAATAAAAAGCAAAAAAGACGAGTAACGACAACGCGACTAGTCGTGACGAACTGCAGCAGACTATATTTTCATCTAATTGGTCTATGGGGGAGATGCAAGGAAAGAAGAGGTGTAAGATGATGAGATCTTGGAGAGAAGGGGCCGGTTTTGGGCAGTGCTGCGAGGCTGCGAATTTCAGCGGGTGTGGCCACTAAGAGCTGGAGAGTATGTACCTGCTTTGTACCTGTGCATATGGTTGGTGGCCAAGAAAGGCAATGCTGAGTTTAGTAGCCGGCAAATTAAAAGCAGAACAGAGAATAGATCCGTCTTCTCGTAATGGGCAAGATCAACAGCGGTTCTCATAACATCGTTCAGGACATGTTGATGGCGAGTAACATGCAGGTAGTCTTGATTATCAATAACCGTCAAGCTGCGTGTACCTTGCCTTTGTATCCTTGGTGCTAGATCACATGTAGCTGTCTGTATGCCGCCTCCAAAGAAGACTCATCTCTACCTAGGTATTTTACTTGTTGGCCCAAATAGATTCAACTGTATCTGAATTGACAGATAATGAGTACTCATATGCTCTATTCCACAGACAACTCTCTATTACTGTAACCCCCTATTTTTCTCCCCTAGCCTTTGCTCTCACTTGGTCTCCATAGAATCGCATGGAGGGGCAGCTGCTGGGAAAGCGGAATAACACCCTTTCCTAAGCAGCCATGATTGGCTAAGCACCACAAAAGTGCCCCCCAGGCTGCCAGCAACCACCCCCAAGATTTTCCCAAGGAGCTCCAAAGGGACCATCGCCAACTCCCCAAACTCGAGTGTCTGGGCGGGTCAACAAACAAATCTTCCTTTTTTCTTCTTCGTTTGGTTCGATTCGATTCTCGTCCTGCCCGTCATGTCGCTCAACATCCCCAACGCGCCCAACTCGGGCCTCTTCAAGAAGGGCTACAACAAGTAAGTTGCCAACCCCGCCATGCCATTCCATCAAAACCCACGACACGAGCCGCGAGCCACGAGCCAGAGCACACCAGATCAGATCAGACTAGATTTGATGGCTGACAAGACAATTCACCCTTCTCTAGCTACGACTCAGAAGATGGAGCCGTGCTGCGGAATATCGACGCCTGCCGCACCATCACGTCCACCGTCCAGACGTCGCTGGGCCCCTACGGCCGCAACAAGGTAGTCATCAACCACCTGCAGAAGATGATCCTCACCTCCGACGCCGCCACGATCCTCCGCGAGCTCGATGTCGTCCATCCCGCCGCCAAGCTGCTTGTCATGGCCTCCCAGCAGCAGGAGGCTGAGATGGGTGACGCCACAAACTTGGTCATTGTCCTGGCCGGAGAGCTGCTGCGAAAGGCCGAGGACCTGCTGCGCATGGGCCTCAAGACGTCCGACATTGTCATCGGCTACGAAAAGGCACAGAAGATTGCCCTGGAGACCCTGGAGGAGCTCTCTGTGGACAAGGTGGAGAACATTCAGGACCAGGCCGAGCTGAGCAAGGCCCTGCGAACCGTCATTGCCAGCAAGCAGAACGGAAACGAAGAGTTCCTGTCAAGCCTGGTGGCCGAGGCCGTCTTGGCCGTCCTGCCCAAGAATCCCGCCAACTTCAACGTCGACAACATCCGAGTCGTTAAAATCATGGGTGGTAGCTTGGACCAGAGCAGGGTCGTCAAGGGCATGGTCTTCCCCAAGGAGCCCGATGGTTCGATCAAGAAGGCCAGCCGCGCCAAGGTCGGTGTCTTCACCTGCCCCATCGACACAAGCCAGACAGAGACCAAGGGCACCGTGCTGCTACACAACGCAAAGGAGATGATGGACTTCACCAAGGGCGAGGAGGCACAGCTGGAAAAGGCAATCAAGGAGCTCTACGACTCAGGCCTGCGCGTGGTCGTGTGTGGTGACCGAGTGGGCGACCTGGCCACACATTACCTCAACCGTTTTGGCATTCTCTACATCCGAATCCTCAGCAAGTTTGAGCTGCGACGAATCTGCCGTGTCGTTGGTGCTACACCACTGGCTCGGCTAGGTGCCCCCATGCCCGACGAGATGGGCAGCATTGACGTTGTCGAGACGATTGAGATTGGTGGTGACCGCGTTACCGTCTTCAGACAAGAAGACGAAGTCACACGCACTGCTACGCTGGTCCTCCGTGGCGCCACCCAGAACCACCTTGACGACATTGAGCGAGCTGTCGACGACGGCGTCAACGTTGTCAAGGCCATCACCAAGGACAACAGACTGGTTCCCGGAGCCGGTGCTACCGAAATTTCACTGAGCGCAAAGATTCAGGCTCAGGGCGAGAAGACACCTGGCCTGAGCCAGTACGCCATCAAGAAGTACGGCGAGGCCTTTGAGGTCATTCCCCGCACCCTGGCCGAGAGCTGCGGTCTGGATGCTACCGAGGTTCTCAGCACACTGTATGCCGCCCACCACAAGAGCGAGAGCGGTGATGCTGGTGTCGACGTCGAGAACGAGGAGGGCAATGGTGTTTTGAACGCAACCAAGGAGGGTATTGTCGACCTGCTCGCATCCAAGAGCTGGGCCATCAAGCTGGCCACAGAGGCTGCCCGTACGGTCCTGTCAGTCGACCAAATCATTGTGGCGAGACAGGCTGGTGGGCCGAAGCCTCCTGGCCCCAACCCTGTAAGTTTTTGACGTCTATCCTATGAACATTTTTACCATGGCACATTTATGCGGCTGTTTGCTAACTCTTTTTTAACAGAACTGGGATGAGGACTAAATGGACTCAGGCTGCGTAAGGGAACGGTGGAGGGGAGGTTGAGGAGGGCATGTAAAAGCATAGATATCCGGGACCATTTCGAGGCAGGCTATGTAATATGAGGACAAAGAAAAAATGATAGAATTTAATCTGATCTCTGCGTACTTTGCTTAACGAAGAGAGCTCTAAACAGGCCATTCTAGTTCTGTAATGGTGGAGGTCCTGTTCATGGAAAGGCGCCTGAGTGTATAAGCTTCAACTCCGACTCAGCTCCCGTACTGCGGACTATGCAATTCAGCCCTAGGAGTTCAATCTTCTCGGCTATAACCAGACTAACAAAATGAAAGCACCGGGTACCTGATCGCAAGTCCGCTCAGCTACCGTCCACGGCATAACGGAGTGCTAATTCCATTGTATCCTGGTAATGCCGAGCCATACGCGGATATACAACGGCCCCATGGATGTCGGAATTACAAGATAGTATACGCAGCCAATCAGGCACGACAACGCCGGAGTGACAATCTCGAAAGGGAGAATGATGGATTTTAACTTTTCCTTCTCTACGGAGTAATCATTAATATCATTCCATTGTCTTTTTCATATTCCCATCCCGCGCGCTTGTTTAGAATGTTAGGAGTTGCGGGCTCTTCGTGCCAGGGTCGAACGAATCAGGAGACTCGACGCCGGGATCCTTCTCTGGAGCTTGGGAGACTTCATATCATATACGATGCAGAGTAACTCTAATACAACGGGATTTAGTATAGAGTCAACAGTAGTTGTCTAGATTCTTCGAGCGAAACGCTGTGATCCACAATCTAGGAGAGCAAAGCGAGACATGTTGCCTGAGTCAATCAAACTGGCTTCATCGCTCACGGAGTTAATCGTGGATTTGGACCTCGGAAATATGAGGCTCATGTTCACCGTGGGAATCTCAACCGAGGAAGAAGCTTGAATCGTGAATGTCGTGTTGTTGTATCATTGTCTTATCATAATTATTCTTCGGACTTCTAAGGACTCTCCATGGCGTCTCTCGTATAATCATATCATCTCTGTCTTATATATAAACGGGCTGTATATATACCACAGTCCCTTCTTCAACACAATCCAACTCACCTCAACTACATCTCTCATACACAAACAAGCAAACTCCCTCACAAACACACACAAATCTTTCAAAATGGCCTCCAAAATCGCCATCATCATCACCAGCACCCGCACCCCCCGTCTCGGCCCCAACGTCGCCTCCTTCGTCCACAAACTCCTCACCCCCCTCGCCCAATCCTCCTCAGCGACCCTCTCCATCGTCGACCTCGACACCTTCAAGCTCCCCGTCTACGACGAGCCCGTCATCCCCGCAAACGTCCCCGCCCGCGGCCAGTTCATCCACGAGCACTCCAAGCGCTGGTCCGCAGAAATCGCCTCCCACGACGCCTACGTCCTCATCGTGCCAGAGTACAACTACGGCGTCGCGGGGAGCACGAAGAACGCAATCGACTACCTCAAGAACGAGTGGGACGGCAAGCCCGCTGCCATCGTTAGTTACGGCATTTCGGGCGCAAAGATTGCGTCTGAGCAGGTCAAGGGCTCGCTCGAGGGCGTGGGACTCAGGGTCTCTGCTACTAGGCCCCAGCTTGCCTTTTCTGGTGGCGTTGGGCCTGACGCTTTCCTCGCTATTGGGGAGGGAAATCTGGGCGAGGCCACGAGAAAGGAGTGGGAAGAGAAGC